CGGAAGTTAATGAGAGGGAAGGACCAGGGCCCCGTGGAGGGCGCCACGCCGCGCCACGCGCCGACCATCAGTTTTCCCGACTTTCTTTCCTAATGTCGCTTTTATCTGCAGCGGCCGGCGGCCATTCTTCGCTGGGAAGGCGCTCCAAGTCCCCCGCGTCTTTCAAAGCGTTCAGTCGGCCACGGACTTGGCAGGCCGGCGGGCAGACCGGCAGGCAGGCCACCCGCGGGGAAGGCCCATCCTCTGGACCGTCGTGTCCTCCCGGGCGATTTCATGCCTGGCGTGGCCTGGCGTGGCCTGGCCCGGCCTGGCGCCGCCAGAACAACAGATGGTGATGATGCGCGCAAGCGGCACGCAAGCAGGCCGGCCCGGCTCGGGCGGGCTGGGTGACAGTCACCTTGACTGGGCCAAAGTTTTTCGTGACCTGCCGGAGCACGACGCACGCGGGCCGCCGCCCACCGGGCACCCACCCGGCCCGGGGCCCGGGGCGAGTGGCCCGCGACACGCCAGGCCGCGACACGACGCGACGCGGGACACGATCGACTAGGGAAGGGAGCCCTCTGCTTTTTCAGCAGCACTCCTCTCCTCTCGGCTCGGCGTGAATCACCCATTGTGATCCGCTACGTGCCGTTTCGTCACGCGGCGCAAGTGCAGCCGACACACGCGGCGTGCCGTGGCGTGCCGTGGCGTGCCGCCGCGGGGGCGGCGCCGCGCAGCAGCAGAGGGACGCGCCGTGACCTCCGCTAAACGCCGGACCGAGGCGGCGGAGGAGAAGAAGGAGAAGAAGATTACTTCTTTCTCCGGCAGGCCGCGCTGCGCCGCGCTGACCCGCCGACGGCGCCCTGGCCAATGCCACGTGCTGTCCAGGTGGCCGTCGTGGCCGTCCGCGTCATCGGCGTCCCGCCGTAACGCCTCGCCCCGGGCCGCGCGGCGGGCCGAGCCTGCTGCTGCTGCTGCCCCCCTGGGTGATGACCCCAGCAGCAACAAGCCGGCCGCACCATTAGTTTGACCGACCACCACACTGATTCCGAGAGTCGTTTTCGCCGGACTATCTCTCCCGCACCCTTACGGAATGCCCCCTGAGGAGTGTGAGAGAGAGACGTCCCCCTCGGAAGCAGCCTGCAGGACGAGTAGTGCTCCGCCCTGGTCCAGAGTCCGCGGCGCGGGCGGCGTGTTTGGCTTGCGACACGTACATGTCATTAGGCTGGGCAGTGCGCGGCCGGGCGGACGGACGGACAGACAGGCAGACCCGCGTCCAGTGCGAGAAGCACTGTGATAAAGGCTGCTGGCCCTGTAATCACGCGGTGCACCGGTGCGCCGAATTATCAAGTGTGAAATCCGTGGCAAAAAAAAACAACACAACAAACAAACATTGATGTTATCGGCCCTTGAAGTACGACACAAGCGAGCGTGTCCCGGCGGCCACACTGTCATGAATGGCACAACACAACGCCGCACAAATAGAACGGAATCTCCGCAAAAAAAGACGGAAATTTTGTAAGTTGTGTGCGCTTTGGTGTGTTTCGTTTTTTGTCTGGTTCGAGTCGGAGCCGATGAACGCGTACGCAACCTGCACCCAGCCCTGCAGCGTCCTGCGCAGCCACTCTGTCACAAGTTAGCGCTGGGCGGGGCGGGGCGGGGCGGGGCGGGGCGGGGCGGGGGGGGGCAGCAGCCTCGCTGCCTACCAACTTGACGGCGTGAAAATGATAATTTCGTCTCGCAGCTGGGGCGGTGGCGGCGACGGCGGCGGCGTGCAGGCAGGGAGTCGGAGGTGACGGGGAGGAGGAGGGCCTGCGTGATCGTGAGCAGCGATTTGGTGGGCGGGAGGCAGATGAGCCGAGTCGAGCCCCAGCCAGCCAGCCAGCCAGCCCGAGTCCTCGAGACCCAGCCGGGCCGCGTCGGCCCGGGGTTTTCGCATCGCCTTGGGACGGGACGGCGGCACGGCGGCGACCCCGAATGTATTGGCAGGCCTGGCGGCTATGAGGATGAGGCGGGGCCGGAGTCACGACTCGAACGACTAGCAGTGAGTTCAGTCCGCCCCGTCGCCGCCGAGGTCTCAGGGAAGTCCCGGGCCCGCCCTGCAGCCCCGCGCCAAGCCCCGCGCCCTCCATTCGAATGTCTGGCCCGATATCTGGCGCCCGCGGCGCGAGGAACGCCTGCCGGCCGCCGCGTGGACCGTGCCGCCTCGCCGTCGCCAGCCTTCGCCTTGCGCCGACCACCGCGACGCGGCGGGCCTCCCTCGCCCTGCCAGGCCACGCCGCGCCTGCCCGCGCCGTCCCGCCGTCCTGTGTGTGCACTGTGTGTGCACTTGGCCCCGTTCTGCCCCCAAATAATGACGCACTCGGTTTTTACCACGCCGCGGCAGTCGCGGCGGCGCCCGGCGGCGGGTGCCGTACTTGTAAAGGCTAAGCCGGTATGAGAAATAACGCGCGGTGTGGGACTGAGAACGGAGATAGTCGCGATCCCACGACCGCCCCGCCGCGCCCCGAGCAGTTCACACACCGGGGGTGGCCCTGGTCGCCTTGCATTGCGTACGGCGGGAGCAACACGGACGGACGGACGCGCGGGGCGGAGGGGGGGGGGTGTCTTTAACCCGGCGGGCTTGCTGCGCCTTTGTGCCCCTTTCCGTTACGGGCCTTCATCTTCAGAGCGACACCGCTAACCAAGGGGTAACCAACTCAAGATTTTCATGTACACCGATTATGTTTAGAGTATATAATAACATGTGATTTCTTTTGATTATTTTATTATTTATCACTGATAATAGGTTATCATGTTGATTATTGGGAAATATTGGGGATTATTTGAGCGCCGACCTCAGAAAGCTGTTAAAGTGTCGGAAATTCAATATTAGTGACTTTGGGCAGCCACTGCGTCAAATTTAGTTGCGGTCATGGGCCTTCCTCGACGCCTTACTACTCTGAAGACCCTACTCTTTCATGCCCCGCCTCGGGAAGGCTTTGACCGCTGATAGTTTGGGAGCAGTGGCCTCGCAAGGCCAAAAAGTGAATGAATTTCAGAAAATCGCCGTTTTTGCTGACTTTGAGCGGTCACTGCATCCAATTTAGTTGCGGTCATGGGCCTCCCTCGACGCCTTACTACTCTGAAGACCCTACTCTTTCATGCCCCGCCTCGGGAAGGCTTTGACCGCTGATAGTTTGGGAGCAGTGGCCTCGCAAAAATGGTCAAAAAGTGAATGAATTTCAGAAAATCGCCGTTTTTGCTGACTTTGAGTGGTCACTGCATCCAATTTAGTTGCGGTCAAAGGCCTCCCTCGACGCCTTACTATTCTGAAGACCCTACTCTTTCATGCCCCGCCTCGCGAAGGCTTTGACCGCTGATAGTTTGGGAGCAGTGGCCTCGCAAAAATGGTCAAAAAGTGAATGAATTTCAGAAAATCGCCGTTTTTGCTGACTTTGAGCGGTCACTGCATCCAATTTAGTTGCGGTCAAAGGCCTCCCTCGACGCCTTACTATTCTGCAGACCCTACTCTTTCATGCCCCGCCTCGCGAAGGCTTTGACCGCTGATAGTTTGGGAGCAGTGGCCTCACAAAAATGGTCAAAAGTGATATTGAATCCCCGAAAGTACGATTGTCATTTCATTGGATGATGTTGATTATTTCACTGATTACCAACTAGACGTGCAATGATTATCTTGAGTTGGGTACCCCTTGCCGCTAACACTCTCGGTTACCGTCCGGCCGCCCGACCGGCAGCATACTCATTCCGAGAGTCGTTTCCGTCACACTGTACGTATCCCTCGCACTCATGGGGCGTCCCATATGGGTGCGAGAGAGACAGAGCGACGCAAACGACTCTCGGCATCAGTCTGAAGGACGGGCAGACGCACTCGATGTGGCACCGCCGATTCGGCGCGCACCGCCTTCCAGCCCGGCGCAGCCTGTAGCCTGTAGCCTCGCAGCAGGGCAGCAAGGGCCGTCCGTCCAGTGCCCTGCCTGGCCCTGCCGGGTTTATTTCTGCCTCTTTTGTCCCCGCATCTGGGTCAGTGGGTCGCGCGGGGAGCATGAGGGGCACCGCCGTCCTGGCCGGGTTGGTCACCCTAGCCAGCCAACTTGCAGCCAGCCCGCCGCCCATCGCTCAGCCGAAAACCCTAACACGCTACGGCGTGCTACAGCAGCGCGGCGGCGCTCCGCGTGCGCCGCATGCGAATACGGCCGCGAGTGTGCCCGCTGCCCGCGGACCGATTCCGAGAGTCGTTTTGCGCCTCTCTGTCCCTCTCGCACTCACGAGAGATCCCGCATGAGTGTGTGAGAAAGACAGCGCGACGGGCACGTCTCTCTGAATCAGTGCGCTATGCTGCTTCGGCTGCTGTGGCTCCAGGAAGAATATCTGCCGGCCCCGACGCCGCTGATTTATTTTGGGGCCACCTCGCGGTCCTCGCGGCCCGCGCGGCCCTCGGCTCCACTTGCGTGCATGGCCATATGGCACGCCATAAGTAATCAGGCTCGCGTAGGCGATAACGCCATGAATATGCAAGCCGCGCGCATTGTGCTCACGCTGCTGTGTGTGTGTGTGTGTGTGTGTTTGTGTGTGTACGTGAGCGTGAGTGCCGTACAAACGCGTGGGCGTGTAGCTTAGCTATCGCGCTCCCTTACCTAGCGGTCTGATTGGTGGCCTCCCAGGTGCCGAGCCGCCCGCGCTGGACCTCTAGACGAGGCGTGTCCGTGCCCCGGCTAGGCAGGCAGGCCAGGCCGCTCGGCCCGTGAATAATGCGAGCTGTCTGCGAGGAGCCGCAGCCCCACGCCTGCGAGGTAGGCGTCCCATTCGACGTGCGCGCTGCGCGCCCCCGTCGCTGCGCCGGCGATGTAGGCAGCCCAACGTGCTCCCCGATCTCCACTGCCGCCACCGCTCGCCGCCTGCGCGCCGCGGACGGCCAGGGCCAGACGCTGACGTGGTTCTTCTTTGGCGCGCCAAGGGTTGCCTACTCCACTGTCTTTGTGGTGGGTGGTGGGGCGATGGGGTGAAAGACAACAGCGGACTTTGGAGTGGCCAGTTTATTTCGCCAGTGAGGGTGACGGTGGCGGCCAGCGCGGTGGACGCCGCCGCCGGATTTAAATAGATTTGGAATAAATACAAGCGGCCTGGAATCGCGCGGTGTGGTTTGGTGTGGTGCGCCTGGCGGGGCGCCGCTTAGTACTGGTAGCCGCCACCGCCGCCTCCGCCGCCGGGCCTGCCGCCGGGTCCACCGGGGGCGGGGCCGGGGGCTGGGGGGCCGTAGCCGCCCCCGGGACGTCCACCGCCGCCGCCGCCACCGGGAGCGCCGGGTCCGGGCGGGCCGGGGATGGCCTCGCCCTCGTACTTGACGTCGGCGACGAAGCCGCTGGCGTCGTCCGCCTTGTAGGTGACCATCTGCAAGCAAGGCAAGCGAAGTGGTGAGTTTGGGGATCGCGGACAACGGGGAGCGCTCCCCCTTTCCCCGCCGCGCAGCGCGAAGCGCGAAGCACACCCACCTGCGTCCTGCCGTCGGGCAGCAGCACTCGGTACTCGCCGGTCACCGTGTTGCCGTCACTGCTCTCCTTGCGGCTGAAGTCCGTGCCCGTCGCGTCGTCCTTCACCTCGTACTCGAAGCTGTACGGCTCCGGCTGCGCACACCAGATCGGTTTCAGAGACACGTCCTCGTCTGCACGACGCACAGTGGATTTGCCAGAAGACCGGTGGAGGTGGTCGAAATCCCAGACGTGTTTTGAGCTCCAGAGTCGCTGAGAGGGACTCGAACCGAACGTGTGACCCCCACGAATGGATTGCTCTCCGAACGAGGAATCCATTGGTGGGGCCACACGTGCCGTTCGAGTCCCATTTAGCGGCTCTGGAGCACAAAACACGTCCGGAACTTTGGCCGCCTCCACCGGCCTTCTGGCCCACTGTGCGACGCCGACCCCGTTTCGGCCCTTCCACCCCGTCGTCGCCTTACCTCGGCGCTCTCGCCGCCGCCGCCGCCGGGCTTGTTGCCGCCGCCCCCGCTGGGCCGGGGACCGGGGCCGCCGGTGGGCGGGCCGTAGGACGCGGTCGGGGCCTTGGGGCCGCCGCCAGGGGCCGGGGGCAGGTAGGAGTTGGAGGGCGGCCCCGCGGCCGGGTACTGGGCCAGCACCACGCTCAGCAGCGCGGGCGCCAGCGCGAGCGCCAGCAGCGCCTGCAACAGACGAACATTTGGCTTGAAGCTTGAGGGGCTTGAAGGGCCCGACGCGGGTCCACCAAGGACCGAGACCGAGGGACGCCGTCGACCTTTCCCTTCAGGACTTCAGCTATCCGCCGAGAGCAGCTCGCGCATCACTGCTATCCGCGGAGGCGCACTCTGTCTGGCGGTCGGCGCTCTCGCTCGCACCGCGCGCATCGCGCTCCCCGCACCGCGCCGCACCGCGCCGCCTGGGGACGCAGCCTTGCCGGGCAGCCTTGTCGGTGAAGGGGACGGGATGACACCAACAGCTGCCTGCCAGAGCTGGGATTCGAACCCGCGACCGCCGCGACAGCCGCGATCATGTCGGCGGGATGAGAGAGCGACGTCCACGCCACTGCCGCCGCCGCGCACTGCACCCTCTCCCTCACACACACACACCCACACACACTCACTTGCGGTGTCGGCGTCCAGCGCGTCGTTTTTGTCGCTTGGTTAGCGCCTTACGTGGACAGCGCGGAGTCACGATGCAGCCAGAAGGCGAGGCAATGAAGGGCGAAGCCGCGAAGCCAGGCGCGGCGGGGACGAGTTTTTCCTACGCTAAATTGCAGTCAGCTGCTGAATAGCAGTGCCAAAACCCGAAGCGTGTGGACACTGCGATAAACAAAAGCAAACCAGACCGAACCGAGAGGACCCTAATGACCCGGGGATCGGCTCCGAGTGACACGTCTCCCGGGCCGCGACGCCGCCAAGCCCCTCGGCCGCATTGAGATGCTCTATCGCGCAGGGCGCAGGCCGGCGCAGGCACGAGCAACACTGGTAAATGACTCGGATAAGGGCGTGTTGGATTACGGATTAACAAGGATTAGCGGCGAGGCGAGCTCCAGGCTGAACATGCGTTCAAGTCTCTGGAAGGGAAGGGCCTGGCTGGCTGGCTGGCCGGGCAGCATGGCGACACTATCGCCTTGTTCCAATCGAGTGCTGACGACACGAGAATCGTGGACACCGACGTGAACTCGGGGCACCCAGGCCGTGCCCAGCAGACCCTTTCTCTCTCTCTTGCACTCGGGGGGCGTGCCGTACGAGTGCGAGAGAGACAGATCGACGAAAGCACTGTTCGGCCTGCAGGCCGTCCCGGGCACTGCAGGTTGCATCCAAGTTGCATCACGTGTGTAAGTCATGTCGTCTGCAGTGTCGTCTGCGGAGGCGTCGTCATGGCAGCATGGAAGGCGGTGCACCGCATGCGGAGCGCGGACACGTCATTGATGAGGCGACCGTGGGAACCGAACGCCGAACGGTTCGCTTCGTTCGCTCGGCCAATCAGGCTTTTCCATTTGGCAGTGGCGGCGCAGCGGCGCGGTGTCCGGTGAGCGACGCGGCCGCAGCATTGGCCCTCATGCTCCGCCCCGCCATCCGCTCCCGAGGGCACCCGAACCGTTTGTCTCTGAGAGTGAGAGAGAGCGTCTCGCTTCCAAGGGAGTGGCTCCCTCTCTGTCCCGCTCGGTGCGCGTTTTGCAACACGGTCCAGCAAGGGCCCGAGCCTCGGCCCGAGCCGAGCAAAGCAGGCCCGTCCCGATGCATCTCCGCTTCCAAAACAGTGTTGCAATTATTCGCGCTATCACCGCAGCGGGGCCCCAGGACTCCAAGGGCTCCTCGAGCTACTCCAAGGGCCCCAAAGCTCCACGAGCTACTCCAAGGGCCCCGAAAACTACAGCGCAGCCTAGCTCCAAGAGCTCCAATAGATCCAGGAGCTTCAGGGGCTTCAAGGGATCCAGGAGCTACAGGCGCTTCAAGGGATCCAGGAGCTGCAGGAGCTTCAAGGGATCGATGAGCTGCAGGGGCTTCAAGGGATCCACGAGCTGCAGGAGTTTCAAGAGGTCCAGGAGCTACAGGGGCTTCAAGGGATCCAGGAGCTGCAGGGGCTCCAAGAGATCCAAGGGCTCCAAAGGTGCCGTTGCCTGGGCGACGCGTTTTGGCTGGTGTACTGGTGTGCGTATTTTGTTGGCAATGACGACTATGATGGCGACGAGGACGACCGTCCGCCGCTCGCGGTGCTGCTGCCGCGTCGCCGCGCCACGTCCAAACGACGGCCAGGGAGGAGGACGGAGAGATAATGGAAGTGCGAAGCTCCGCGAAGCTCTGCCAGATGCGGCTTGCACAAGGCGGCGGTGGCGGTGAGACGGACGGGACGTGGCGACAATGCCCCGTGGGGTCGCCGACGTCGCCGACGTCGCTGATGCGGTGGGCGGCAGCGCCACCGAGTGGCGATAACTCCAACTAAGCCTTCCTGCCGAAGGTGAGTCACCGCGCCACACCGCGCGTCGCGGAGGCAAGGAGATATCGGATGCGCGCACGCACTGCGCTCGCACTGCGCTGGCACTGCGCTGGCGATGGCGGCTGACCCATGTGATTCCTTGGAAACGACTAGCTGCCGGATGTTCAAACTTTCCTTGTTCAAAAACCGTAATTAAAAGCATTAAAAGAGACTTTATTTTAAGCAAAAAGTACGGCCCCCATCGGACGTAAGGGAGAGGCGTCAATCGAGATTGCGTCAAAAACCAACATGCTGGACGCACGCCTAGTCCGCAAAATTAAGATATCCATACACCGTTTGCCCCAAAATTCAGCTATTTAAAGTGGCTATCACAGGAACTAGAACCAATTCACGCAGTCACACGAGCTAGTTTTAAGCTGGTTTCGGGGCAATGCCCATTTAAGACTGACATGAGTGCCTCGAGCCAAATCCTTTGAATCTGGACTTCCCTTTCCTGGGCGAGCAAATACCCGCTGCCACCGGCGCCACCGGCGGATCGCTGTATACCTGCTCGTCATGTCACCGCAGGGTGTCTAATGACAATTTTACCAAACACAAAAATTACCCCTCGATTTTATTCGGCTAAAAAGTTCGGTGCCCCTCACTCGTACACACGCACACTCACACACACACGCCCCGCCACTGCCTGCGACTTACCTGGGAGCGATCCATGTATCCTGAGGCGGTGCACACACACAAGCAGCACGGACTGTCCCTTCGAAGCAGCCCTTGCGTCTATTTATATACGCTAGGTCGCCCCTGCGCCTCCTCGCCATGGGCCCCCACCGCGCGCCCCCTGCGCCCCCTCGGCAGCGGCCCCCACGCCCCCCGCCGGGAGTTCCCCGGCCGCCTCATCCCGAAGCACGCCGTGGAGGCCCTCCCCCTTCCTCTACGTCGGCCTGCCCCGCTGCCACCCCGGCGCGGTGCGCGGTGTCACTCCACCCACTTGGCCTGCCCCTCCTCCCCCTCCCCCCCTCCGGAATGAGAAGCACCGCGACAGATCAAACGCTGGCCGTCGTTACCGCCAGTGTCACAGAGTCACAGTCCATACAAGCAGACGAGTCGCGGCAGCGGCCTGCCACAGCGCAGCGGTTGGTGCAGTCCTTGTGACACAAGTGCGTCGCTGCTGCTGACTTACCCGCCTCAGGCGTAGACCGGGGTTCGAATACTTGCCACGGCACGACGCCTCACTTCTATATTTCAAATTAGTTTCAACTTTGGTCCAGCCTCCTTCGTACTGTATCTTCCGAGCAGGAGGATATGAGCTCTTGAGAAACCGTTGACGAGTCATCAGCATTCGGCACTTTTGCAAGTGCGTTTTGTAGCGTCGCCAAATAAGGCATGCGGCCGACAAAAATCCCCATGAAGCACCACGAGAGGCATGGCCTGCCCACACCAGCGCCACCAGCGTCATCGCGGACAACAACAAGAGGGCGGAGGCGGGGCGGGCCGCTTCGAGGCAGAGTGTCTGTCCGGCCCCGTGCTTCCGGCTGCAGGCTGCTTCCGAAGGCTCCGAACAGCGCTCTCGTCGCTCTGTCTCTCTCGCACTCCTGCCTGGATAAGGGTGTGAGAGAGACAGAGCGATGCAAGGACTGTTCATCGCTAAAGGACGCCTGCGGATGGCAGCCCCCCGAGCCGCCCCCGCCACACCGCCCGGCACTGGGGTGCGGCGGACTGCCCACCCTGCGGCCGGAAGTGTGCCGATGTCACGGTGCGGGCCGCCTGGGCCGCATGGGCCGCATCGGCGAGGTCGGGCGTGCGGGTCACCGCGTCGTGGTCCACGTCGTGGTCCACGTCGCGGGGCCGTCGGGGCGTCGAGGAGGAGCCCCACGCCCTGCGGTGCCCTGCGGTGCCCTGCGGCCGAGGGAAAGGGACTCGTCGAGCACGTTGCGCCACGCCGGCGACGGCGGCGTGTTCGGCCCGACCGCGTTGTTGGGGTTGCGTGCCTCCATGTGCCGCTGTAGTGCACCACGGTGCACCACAGCGCACCACGCACCCATCCCTCTCCGTGGCCTTTGGGATTTACATGTATAGTGTGTTTTCTCATTTATGGCATGTCGCCGATGTGGTGCGGCGGGGCAGGGGGCGTCGCGGCGCGGCCTGTGCTCCCGTATACTCCAGTGCATACAGTGCAGCAGTGCAGTTCCCAGAGCGCGTCTGCCGCGTCGGCCGTTGCACTGGTGTGGCACTGCACTGGCTGCACTGGCTGCTGCACTGGCTGCTGCACTGTCTGCTGCACTGGCTGCTGCAGCTGCGGCCTGTGGAATGTGGGTCGGCAGAGGAGCAGCGCCACGCCGTGCCCTGGCCGTGGCCCTGGCCGTGCCCTGGCCGTGCCGCCGCCATGTCGTTGTACAGTCGCCACACCGTGCAGCGCCTCGCGGCGTGCGGCAAGGCGTGCGGCAAGGCGCGCCGCGTCCCCAGGGCCCAGGGCAAGGCCCAGGGGCTTCCACCCGCGCCGCCGCGGCCGCGCCGTGCTGGCCATCACGGGCACCACGGGCACTGTGTGCATGCAGCCTTGGTGGGCGGATGGTGCGGGACGGCGGCCTGGGGGAGCCTTTCCTTTGGCGGGGGTAGTACCAGGACGACGACGAAGACGACCACGACGACAACCACAACCACCACGACGACCGCAACGACAACACCCTCACGGTGGCGATGATACGCCAAACCTAACCTAACCGAACCCCCAGGCCACGGCGCCACGGCCACGGCAGATGGCGCGGCAGCACTGATCGGTGGCCAACAAGTGAGGCAATAAGGCTGCAGCGCGCTCCGCCCGCGCCGCCCGCTCCGCCGATCCGTATGACGGTCTCCACCATTAGCGAGCTCTTGGAAAAAGTGAAAGGGGTCAAAGTGCGCCGGGGACCTCAGTGGAGACCAGCTGCGTTGTCAACGAAATTGGTGAAATACTTATGCAGCTGCTTGCGCGCACGCTCTCCGCCCGTCCACCTGTCTGCCTGTCTGTCTGTCTGTCTGTCTGTCTGTCTGTCTGTCTGTCTGACTCTCTGTCTGCTCGTCCCGATGCGCCCATTCAGGACTGGCCCGACATTTTCGCTGTGTGCCCTGAGGAGCATTCCCCGTGCCCATGCGCCCCGCGCCTGACAGTGCGGCCGCACTGACCCCATTCGCGCCGAAATCTTGCAACTTTACCGTCAAGGGTGATTATGCCGAAGGCACACACACAAAGCTGCTGCTCGAGACGGGCGGGGTGCCGACCGGAGGCCGACTCGACGCGGTGCTCTTTTCTGTAGCTCCTCCTGGCCTGGCTGGCCTGGCCCCGCGTGCCTGCAGTGTCTGCAGTGTCTGCACAGCAGCAACGGCAGAAGCGCGTGTTGAGTGTTGACAAAACGATGCATTGTCTATGGAGCCCATTCCAACTAAGTAAGGCACGCGGCTGAATGTGTCATTTCAGCCTCTGCTCCGCGGGGCTCCTCGCGACGAGTCTCGCAAACACTTAACGTGATTCAAGCCGCGCCGCGCCGCGCCGCCGCCACAAGCCGGTAACTGAACGGGGCCGCCGGGAGAGATGCGCGCGGTCCGGCCGTGCGTCGCGGCGCGTCGTGCGCTGCGTCCACGGCGCGGCGCATCGCGCACCGCGCACCGCGTCGTCTGCTGCCGACACAATGCCCTTCCCTTATCGGCGGCCGGACCATTGTGCGCGCAGCCTTGGCGCCTTGGCGCCTTAGAGGACAGGATGGCGGTGGCGAGGAGCAAGCGAGTCCGGAGGACCGCCGCCTTTTTCTCCGGCCATCCCCCGTTTTTGTTTTGGCAGTGCGGCGTCCCGTTGACGGCGGGGGCGTGGGGCACAACCGGGGGACACTGAGGGGCCGGCGGCGGGCTGCATCTCGGGGGACAGATCGACGAGCTAAATGTCGGCCATTATCATTACCTACGGCTCGCGCTGCTCGCGCTGCTCTCGCGTCACGCGGTCCTCGCGGCACTGCCGGCCTAGTGGCCCTGGCGGCCCTGGCGGCCTGGTGGTGGCGGTCCAAGTGGCCGCGCACGTTTCTCCATCGCCATATTTATCGATAGGGAACACGGAGTGTGTTTCGGCCGACCCCGCACCCCGCGCATGCTAAGTGCGGGTTAAATGGCTCTGCTGCTTTAATTGCGCACGGAGCCTTTCCGTGTCACCGGGCTGCCCTCACGTCCCAGCTGCATGTCGTCCCGGCTGCGTGCCGTCCCACCTGGGTGTCGTCTCCCTGGGTGCCATCCCACCACGGCCAAAACCAACGGAAATCACTTTGTCGCTTCAGCCGTGCGGGGCGACGTTCCCCTGTGCACGTCCGCGGTGCGCGTCGTCGCCGAGGTGCTCCGCGGCCTTGGCGGCCTCCTCGACGCCGCGCGGCGTGGCGCTCCGAGTAATTAGAAGGGCCCTGCTCCCCTTTATGGCGTGCCGACGGCGTGTCATCTCGTTCCTGGAGTCTGCAACCCGCGACTAGCCTGCGCGCTAAACGCTGCTGCCTCGCGGCCGAGGCGCGCCTCGTCGCCAAGGTGCTCGGGCCGCGTGGTCGTCCGTCGTGGCGACGGAACCTACGGAACCGGATGCGGCGCCGGGCGTTGCGCGCGCCTTGTGCCTGCTCCGCCTGCCCCGCCTGCCCCGCCTGCTCGTCGGATGGCCGATGGCCGCCGGGCGTGGGAGGTCCACGACGACCGTCCGCCGTGCGCCGCGCCGTCCGCGGAGAGCGTCGCGACAACTTTGTCCTCGGGGGGGAGTCTATGCCGTCCCGTCCCGTCCAATCTGTATACTGATTCCGAGAGCCACTTTGGTCGCTCTGTCTCTTTCGCACCTAAGAGGAACGCCCCACGTGTGCGAGAGAGACAGAGCGACGAAAACGACTCTCGGAATCAGTCTGCTGTGTAGGCTTGCTCGCCGATGGTCGCGAGGCGCAAGGCGCAACCGAGGCGCCGTCAATCACGACTGCAACAAAAGGTGGGGACGGCGATGGCGGGAATCGAACCAGGACCGAAAAAACGCGAGGGAATGGGAAACGGAAAAGCAAGATGGCACCACAGCGCCGCGCCATGCGTGGTCTGCGAGAGGCGCGAAAACTCCTGAAAATTATGGGTGGTCTTGTCCAAAGGCCGGAGGAGATGAAGAAGAAGAAGGAGGAGGAGGAGGATGGTCGCGATGGCTGTGCGTGCGTTGCCGGCGTTGCCGGGCACGGACACCGCGTCGTCGCGTCGCCCCACTGCCCCACCGCCGGCGCGGTGTGGTACAGTACGTGGGAGCGTGGCGGCCGGCAGGCCATAGGCAGAGCACCACTGCCGCGAGTCGAGCCACTGCCGTGGCGGCGCTGCACTGGATGCAGCACGCAGCGCGCGGCACGCAGGACATTACCATGCTATCGCTGCCCATCCAGTGTAGTGGCCGCTGATACGCCGCGCGTCGTGGCGCGGCAGTCCTCGCGGACCAATTAAAGGCGATCACGGCGCCGTTTTGGGACGCAACAGCAGATTCCGAACAGGGCTTTCGTCGCTCTGTCTCTCTCGCACCCCTGCGCGGCGCCCCGTGAGTGCGAGAGAGACAGCGCGACGAGAGCCGCGGTGTTCGCGGAGTCGGCCGGCAGGTTAGCGAGACAATAATTGCAGCACGTTAAGGGAGCTGCGTAGGTGCCACCTCGTGGTGCCACCTCGCAGCACCACGGGGCTAGGCCCAGCCCTGGCGCGCCAAAGGTCAAGGTCTGCCCTGCGCGGTGCGGTGCGGCGCGGTGCGCCGGGGTGACCCAGCCTTGCCCTCCGAGCAATAATTGCCCAGGCCGGCCCTGCCCTGCCCCCGCCCCTCACAGCATTGTTCTACTTCATGAATCGCTGCCCAAAGGTTAATGCTCTCACAGGCCGAAACTCAACACCCCGTTCAAACCAATGAGCCCTGTGCCCTGGGTGGCGCGCGGCGCTGCCCGCCCGTGCGTCCGCCCGCCCACCCGCCAGTCCGCCTGCATATCTCTGGCCGGCCATCTGCCTTCCGTCTGCTACACTGCGGCCGCGCGAGTTAGAGTGAAGGAAGCGGCAGCCGCGGCGTGCTTGTCTCTGCGCTTTACGGTGCAGGGGTTGGTTGCCAACCGCTGCGCAACTAAACGCGATCAGTTCCAATAGAGCTCACGACGCCACCCCCACCGCGCCCTGCTGCAGAGCCTGCTGCAGAGCCCTGCTCCGGCTCGAGCCGCTTATCTTCTTTAAGACCATCATTTGCCCTATCGCCCTTGTTTACGGCCGCCCCCCGACGATGACGCCGCGACACCGCAAGGCCAGCCCTCCCTGCCTCCCTCCGCCTCGCTAAATCGGCCGAGTGGCGAATCGGGACGCCACAGGTGGCGGCACCCAGACTCCGAGAGTCGTTTTCGTCGCTCTGTCTCTCTCGCACCTACACGGTACGCCCAATGAGTGCGAGAGAGACAGAGCGACGACAACGTCTCTCGGAATCTGGGTGCCGCAGTGCAGTACGCCCCGCGAGTACTGCAACGCGCTCAAGTCGCGCGGCCATCTTGATATCGGCGCCAATGCGCCAATGTCTCAGTCAGAGTGGATCTCGGAATGTGACCGCCGCTTGGTGCATGGCTGCATGGCTGCATGGCTGCATGGCGCTTGCAGCGTCAAGCCCCTCGGCAAGCCGTCCGAACGACGCTCCGCGCGCGGCTAACGCGGAGCGGGGGTTGGCTGGCAGGAGGGCCTGGCCGAGCCGGCGCTTGCGTGGCTCGCGGTGAGGCTCTTGGTGTGGCTGCGCCGCCATAACCTTTATCCCAGCCTCATCTGCGCGTCGTTACAATGCCGCCTGATTTGGTTACAATCAAAATATAACGCGATAGGGATCTGGGGCTGCCCGGCTCGGCTCGGCTCGGCTCGGCCCGGCTGCCTCTTCTCCGCCTCTGGGACCTGCGCGGTCTATGCCTATCCTCACGGGGCGTATGACGCTGCCGGCACGCCACTGCTGCCAATCCGGGGAGGTGACGCAACGCCGCAGGGCAGGGCAGGGCGGCAGGGCGCACTGCACGTATAAATCTCCGGCGATTATATTTTTTGTGGTGGCGCCGCGTCGCTTCCCAGCCCTCGTTATCGGACCGCGGCCCACCGTCTCAGTCTCAGTGGGGCGCGGACAGCAGGCGGCAGCAATGCCCCCGGCAGGTAGGCAATTTCCCCCCTCCCCTTCTCTCTAGTTTACTTTATTGGAACCCCCGGCGCAGCATCTGCCGGCCGTCCTTGCAGACCGAATGTGGAACGGCCAGCCAGGCAGGCAGCCAGCCGGTCAGGCGGCCAGCCAGAGCAGCCAGGCGGCGCGCGCCACCGCGGAGTCACACCTCCAGCAGTGCGGCAGTCACCTTCCGAACAGTGCTCCGCCCGCTCTGTCTTCCTCGCACCTTCCAGCGAAGCCAATTGAAGCTGCTCGCGCGTTCACCCTCCACTTGCCCCTTCAGCCGCCTGATTCAGCTGCCCGCACGCGTCGCTCTGTCTCTCTCGCACCTGTATGACCCACAACATGAGAGCGAGAGAGATAGAGCGGCAAGTGCAGACGAGTGCGAAGACCTTCAGCGCCTGTGAGATAGGCCACCGGCTCGACTCGCAGCACACTCCTGTAGAGACGGTGGCCTACCTCGCCCCTGCCTTCTCACGGGGCAAGGTAGGCCACCCTCTCTGCAACCGTGTGCTGCGGTCGGACCGATGGCCTGACTCATTACCATTGCTCACAGGCGCTGGAGGCCAACTTTCTGAAGTTAAAACCGCTCCTTCATGTTTTGCCCAAATTAACTCGATCTTAACTTTCGGGCTGCTGGCTTCCCAGTATAGTGCTGCAGTAGAGTGGAGAAGCCTTCCTGGCTGATTGACCCTCCACCCTCGTCGGTCCGGGAGGCTCTGGAGGGCACTCCGCTGCTCCGCTCGTGGGGCAACGCGTTGCAGACTGACAAATGAGGGTCGCGCTGCCGGTAAATCACGGATTGGACGCCGGGCGACGCGGTACGGCCGCGGCATCGCGCGGCATGCATCGCCGCGTCGCCGCGTCGCCGCCCGCCCCGTAATAGCGCCCTCCGGGCCGGGGTATCGCGGCGTCGGCGTCGCGGCCGTCGCGGCCGTGCCGTCGCCACGTGCTGACACTTTTACGGCGCCCGGCGGTCGAAATTGCGAGCACCTCCTGCCGCCGGGTGAGTCCGAAGGGTCGTTTCGTCGCTCTGTCTCTCTCGCACTCACGGGGCGCCCCCACGAGTGTGAGAGAGACAGAGCGACGAAACGACCCTTCGGAATCAGGCGGCTGCTGCTGCTTTTGCTGCTGCTGTTCTTGGGCACAGTGAGGCCGCGGAGGCTACTCCACTCGCACCGGGCTGGCCCTTTACGCCGCCTGCAGGCAGAGTCGCTGTCACTGTCGCACTCGTGGGGCTTCCCGTGGAGATGGGAGAGACAGAGCGACGAAATGGCGATTCCTCGGCATCGCTCTGTAGTCCCTGCAGTCCCTGTCCCAGGCGCGGCGCGGTTTCTCGCGGTGCGCGGCGGGCCCGTCGTGAGGCGGGCAGTGGCGCGCATTTCAAAACTCACGCGCAGTCGGGCAGGGCCTGGCAGGGCCGGCATCGACGACACGGAAGGCGATTTGGTATTCCCCCGCCGCCGCGGCGAGGCGCCAGGCCAGGCCAGGGGGAGCTCCCTGATTGGTCGGAATCTGCATATAGCGCGTCCCCAGTCCCCAGCGCCGGCGCGGCGGCATGGTCGCCGATGGATTGCCTGGTAGTAGTCGTGCCTCCCGCAATGCCTAGTCCAGCCCGCTCCAGAATCTCTCTCTCTTGCTCTGTGTCCCTACTCCCCCTACTCCCCTCTCCCGGGACCGCGTTGACCTTTTCCACACTGCAAAGCACTGCAAAGCCTCTGCGGAGCCACTAGTAACTGCCGTCACTCAGGGGCACGGGCGCGTCGCGGAGCACGGCATGGCGGTCACCCTCCCTGCTACTATGCTTTGCATTCCTCTTTCGGTTTTGTTTTGTTTTTGAAATTGGCGAGCCCGCCTGCCGCGTCTGGCCCTGAGCGGGCTGCCATCTAGCCGTCAATGTCAACTGATAAGTACATGCCTCGACTGGGTCATTGCCAGGCCACGGCGCCACGGCGCGCCGCCACCGCCAGCAGCTTCTCCAGCTTCCTGCCTTCCTGGCGGGGAGGAAGGCCTTCTTGGTGCCCTGGAGGAAGTGCGGCAGGGCTGGGCCGGGCTGGGCGGCAGGGCTCGGGGCAGCCTTCCGTGCCCAGAACCCCATCACTGGGATAATGACGATGGAACGATACCCCGAGATTGGACACGGCGCCTGGACCAGCGAGCAGCCAGCGAGCAGAGCCTCGGCTGGGAATGGACTCAGCCATGCGGGATGGCCAACAACAACAACAACACGGCAGAGGTAACTTAACAAGGAGCAGTCTTTATTTCCAACAACAACAACAGTAACAACACGGCGAGCCGCCGTCCTAGGTCTAGGGGTGCGAGGGCGTCCACTTGGAGCTGTGGTCGCCGCCGCCGGTGCTGTAGGAGGAGCCTCCCAGGGACGACGACGACCCCAGCGAGTACTCGCCGCCGGACAGGTGGTCCGAGCCCAGCGAGCCCAGCGACGCGGCGCCGGCCCAGCCGTGGTCGGCGGACGCCACCACCTTGGGGTGGGACGCCTCGCCCTCGTACTGCACGTTGGCGTTGTAGCCGTTCTTCCAGTCGGCCGTGTACGTCACCACCTGCGGCAGCGGGAGCGGGGGGAGAACACTGGTTAGACTCACCGAGCAAAGCCTTACGTGCACCGGCTGCGCTCCGCCGCGCGGGTGCCGGATGGGTTGCCTAGCCCGAGGCGCTAGCTCCGCTCTGCACGTGTAGGAGTCCCACAGTGCACGCGCTGCGCCTGCGCCTTGCCGTTCACGCAGCCCAACCGGCCCGCTTAGGCCCGCTGCAGCCGAGCGAGCCTTTCCCATCGATTCGAGACGGCGCGGTGCTCGACAACGCCAATCAGAACGAAGCCGTTGGTGTTTGTCTCGCGCTGGCCGGGGCTCGTCTCGTCGCTTGCTTCGCTTGCTTCGCTTCTCACCTGCGTCCTGCCGTCGGGCAGCTGCACTCGGTAGTGGCCGGACACGGTGTGGCCGTCGCTCGCCTCCTGCTGGTTGAAGTCCAGGCCGTGGTGCGCGTCCTTGACGCCGTACCCGAACTTGTACGGCTTGCCCTGTGAGTACAGCACAGTGTAAGCGACACTCGTTTAGCTCTAGAGTAGCCCCGCCGCGCCGGCGGCGGCCTGTCGCCATAAAGAAGGAAAGGGACAAAGAAGAGCTTGATGGACCGCATTTCTCACGCCGACGTGGAGAAATTCTGTCAAATAATGGGTGGACGGCGCCACCGCTGTCGCCGAGCGCCGCGCCGCCGCGCCACCACGCCGCCGTGTGGAAAAGTTGCGACAGGCAAAACAGAAGCAGCTCGCGTAACTAGGCGAGATGCCTCGCACGGATAGAGGAGGGGGCCGGGGGAGGTGACACGCGGCGAGACGGCGTAATAGTACGCGCTGCGACACGGGGGTAATAGTACGCCTGCGACATTGAAAAGTACGCGGCGAGACGGGGTCATAGAGCAGGCGGCGGCAGTGGTAAAAGTACGCGGTCGGGGTAAAAGTACGCTCGGCGGTAGGGGTAATAGTACGCGGTGACACGGGGTAATGGCACGACGTGCTCCTACACCGTGAATACATGCGACACGGGCTGGCGGGGCTGGCTAATGGGACGGGGCCACGCGGGGCACACGGTGACAGCAGGGTGGCTATCGCGCGCGTCCAGTTTGGAGCAAGTTTCGCTGTACGAATGCAGTTGTCGCCGGGCACCGGTGCCGGAGTCCCGAGTCCCGGACTGGTATCAGTGCTTTGCCGCGTCGCCGCGTCGCTTCGCAGGTGCCACGCCCGGCGGCCGGCCGGGCCGGGCGAGCAGGTTCGCCGCGCACTTCCTGGCGGACGGCCACGCGGACTCTCTGGGACTCCGGGACTCCCGCGGCGGTCGCCGGACGCATCCGCGCCGAGGTGCCCGAGGTACGTCCAGCGTCCAGCGCCGTTTAGTGTCGCGTGCCGGCCAGCCAGAGAGACTAGAGAGAGAGAGACTGGCCGGACGGGCGGACGCTGCGCGTCTCGTTACGTTTTAGCGTCACGCCGTGACTCGGGACGGCATAGTGACGTGATGCAACCGCGGGACGGACGGACGGAACGGACGGAACGGACACGGCGCATAACCAGGGCACATGTCGCTAGGCTGGTGTGGCGGTCTGTTTGAAGCCGGGCTGAGTAGTGTTTAATGAGTGGCTCTAAGAGCACCAATCACTTTCCTTTTTCAAAACGGGTAATTAAAACAATGTAAGTTACCCCTAAGTTACAACCAAGAATCAAGAAAAACTAAATCTTCAAATGAATGAAAGCGCGAAAAGAGCTAAGAATTGGCTTCCACACCCCCGCCCCAGTGTTGCTCTAAGTGATCGTTCAATTATTTTTCTCTTCGCGCTACCGTGCACGCCGAGACGCGGCACGGCGGCACGCACCAGTCGGCGCTTTGCACTGCTCTGCACTCCGAGGCGCCATAAACCGCCAAAGTGCCGAACGAAGCGCGCCGCGCCGCGCCGTGCCGCTCATCGCCGAACGAAAGGTAACGCTCGCTAACGTCGGCGGGGCCTAACGGCTGCCCAGCGGCCGTGACGTGCCGTGACGCCGGGGAAAGGGGCGGGGCTGCTGCAGTTACGCGGACGCGACCAGTAAAACGGCGCCGAGGCGTCCGACATGGATCTGTATGGAAAGTTTGCTCAGCTGGCTCGGTAGTGAAGTCGTTACACGCCCCGCCACGCCCGCCGCGAGTACCATCGGATGGCGTGCTCTAATTGCGGAGAGATTGGCGCGGTTTACCTCCTCGTGGTGGTGCTCGTGGTGCTCGTGGTGCTCGCCCTCCAGGGGCAGGTGGGTGATGTGGCCGAGCGAGGACGCGCCCTCCAGCGACCTCCTCGAGGACACGACGCCGGCGTGGACGCTGGCGGCCCCCAGGGCGAGCACGCACAGGGCGGTGTACATCTGGAACGGTGCGAAGCCAAACAGTCAATCAAGAAGAGGGCGTGAAAATAAAGAGAAAGAGGGGAGAACGGCGGGTATTCGAACCCACGGCCATCGCACAGTGACAGGTGCGGTGGGGGGGGGGATTTCCCCAAACGCCTGGTGGTAGGCAACCAGCATCACATGCCCCTGTAGGTAGGCAAAATGTACTCAATCGCCCCTCCTGTCGGGGGCTCCTTAAACCGCGCCTGCAAAGTGGGGACCGGCGGCCAAAATTCTAGACGCGTTTTGAACTCCAGAGTCGCTAAATGGGACTCGACCCGAGCGTGTGACCCGTTCCTTGCTCTCTGAACGAGGAATCCATTGGTGGGGTCACACGCTCGGTTTCGAGTGAGTCCTGTTCAGCGACTCTGGAGCTCAAAACGCGTCTAGAGTTTTAGCCGCCTGCGCCGGTCTTCTGGCACACTGTGCGCCGTTTTGTCGTGCCGGTGCTTTGTTGTTGCGCGCGTCCGCTCACACGCACTGCTCCAGTCCGGCGGTGGCGGCAGGCAGTCCCACCGTCCAGGAAACACTTTTACAGCGGGCATTCCGGGATGGCGTTCCTGATGACGTCCCTGCCCTCTACTTCCGAGTCTGGATGGGCACGCCCGGCACGCCCTGCACGCCGGCACGCCGTGCGCGGGAAGGCACGGAAGGCGCGTGCGTGCGCGGAACGGCGGCACGCGCGGCTCCTCCGGGAAGATGGCGCCCGATCGCATCTAGCGCGATCCAGCGCCGCGGACTCGGCCGCGGCGCACGCATTGCCCTATCGGCGTCTGGCTCGCGTTTCGCGCGGTTCGCGGGCCTCGCCGCGCGCAGCCACAAAGAAAGGGGCAGGCCGACACCCGCCAACACCCCTACCCCGCGAGCGGGCTGGCTGGCAAAGCCTCTCGCCCGACTCGTCGTCGAACGCTTCACCCGCTGGCAAAGCACACAGTCGCGCAAATTCGGAACACATTCAAACGATACCCATTGATGGTGATCCTTCTTGCCCCTGCCCCAGTTTCGGCTTGAACCAAGGCGTGTGGGCAGGGCAATGTGTTCCTATGTGTTCCTGGTTTTCGACCCGTAGCAGTACGTATTAGTGGGCAACAGGCGGCCTGCTCTGTGTCAGCAAAGCTGGCAAGTCTCTAGAACCATCCCCGTTCTTCAGCGCGACTTCCGACCCGGGAGGAAGGACCTGTAGTTAGACTGCAGTTTAAACTGCAGGACAAACCTATAGTCCGGAAACTGCAGTCAAAAGTGACTGGTAACTACAGATTAACTATTGAGATTAACTAATGATAGATTTTGCAAGGAGAAAATGTGTGTGTCACGTTCGTTTGAATAACGGTGTTACATTGGCTTAAACGTGACACTTCCGTAAGGATGTCACGAATGTCACATTCGTTTGAACGTGGATAAGCTTACACTCAAACGAATGACAACTTAAAACTCACGCTTGAAATAAACCTCTCTTGAGTAACGAATCATGAATACAGCACAACGGGGCAACCCCTATTGAAGTCCCATGTTCACTTGAGCGCCTGGGATTTCTTGAAATCCATCTTTTCCCCCCAAAACACCACAAACTTAGCAAAAGTTGAGCGCCAAATCCGACGAAATCTCTTCCCCATGGAAATCTTGTGCACCCAAATCATGAAAAGCGGTGGCCCCTGCTGCACTCACCTGCTGCATGGCTGCTGCTGTATCCGTGGCTCGTCCTTGGCTGCGCTCTTGGCAGTGATGGGGCTGCAGGGGCCCCAAGGCTTTTGTACGCGGCCGGCGTGCGCGGCGCCAAGGCAGCGCCAAGGCAGCGCCGGGGCAGCGCCCCACCCCTCTGGCCGCCCAACCACTGCTCCCACCACCCCGTGCAGCCCGAGCACACATCACTGGATTTGCTTGGCTGCAGACAGATGACCGGATAGGCCCCACCCCGCACCATGCACCCCGCGCGGCACGCGGCACGCGGCGCCACGCCACTCGGCGAACCCCTTGCGGCAGCATGGCGGCAGGGCCGCGGCCACCGTCCCTGGCATTGACGTGTGTCCTGGTCCACCGAAGGCTGCCCGAAGCGAAGGACATGGAATGGGACGAGCTGACGTGACTGTCGCACCGACGGCCCAACAGTCAGGCTGCATTGCGTCACGGGGCACTTGTCGTGCGTGGGGAGGGCGGCCGGACTTCCGCGTACATTTCGGTGCTCGGTCGGTCCTTCATTCATTCTTATTCATTCAGCCATGCATTTGTTCATACAATGGTGCTTTCATTCGTGCATCGATTCATTCAATCTGTATTCAATCTATACTCAATCTATATTCAATCTATTTTCAATATTCATTCATTCATTCATTCATTCATTCATTCATTCATTCATTCATTCATTCATTCATTCATTCATTCATTCATTCATTCATTCATTCATTCATTCATTCATCATTCATTCATTCATTCATTCTTCATTCATTCGCATCATTCATTCATTCATTCATTCATTCATTCATTCATTCATTCATTCATTCATTCATTCATTCATTCATTCATTCGTCAATTTATTCGGCATTCATTCATTCATTCATTCATTCATTCGTCTATTTATTCGGCCATTCATTTGGCCACTTAACTATCAATGAATCCATTCGTGCCTTGATTCGCTCGTCAATCCGTTCATTGAACCTGGTCGTCGGAGAGTGCACGTGACAGCGCAAGAATTTTAATTCCTATCGTTAGTGTTTGTCTGGATAGCGCGCCTCGCCGGCCGGGCACGGCTCACGGCGGCGCGGGCACGAAAATGATGCTGTTTGTTAATAAATTCCTTGCGTGGTCGAGAGTCGTTGGCCGTGGTGTTGGCGGAAATGTTTTCAGATGGACCTGGATGGTTTCCAGGAAAGGGTTGTTCCGGCCGGCCGCGCGAGGCACGTATAGAGTGGCTGTGGATAAACACGTAGTGTTCTGATGCGAGTGGCGGATCCAGAGGCTCGGTCTTAGAGGGGCACGGGTGAATTGAGACTTTTTGGCTACTTTCAAGGGCAAAGAGTGTGCTTTTGCCTTCCTTTTAGGCGGCCATCTCCGGTTCGGTTAGTTTAGGTTAGAGGGGGGCTCGGGAAGGGGGGCACTATTGCGTCTCATCGCCTGATTCTGCCTCTATAGTTACGGGCCAAACTAGCCCTATTTTTTCAGCTTCGGGTGGAGGTGCTTGCAGCTTGCTGACGCTAGTGGCGCCTAGCCGGACGTTAGGTGTGCGCTAAGTACCCCCTCCCCTCCCTCCGATTAGGGCCTAGCGTCTCGGCCCGGGCCAAGGGGTTCCGCTCGGCGCACGCGCAAATACGGATTTCGCGGCGTGTGTGTGTGTGTGGCCGAGCCAGTGTCCGGGTGTGCGCCGTTCCAGCCTTTCGACACTCGCATTTCCTTTATTTCGAGCCCGGCTTGCCGGCAGGCCAATTACAGAACTACAGGACGCGTGGGCAAGGAGGAAGGCTTAATCTAGTCCAGCCGCCCCACGCCCCGCCCCGCCGCAGTCTGCAGACTCCGGACCCCTGCCATTTTACGTCACTTTGTGTTCAGCCAGCAATGAGAAACTGGCAACAGGAGCTGCGAATGCTGCGAATAAACGCGGGCAGCAGCCTCTCTCTCTCTTTCCCTCGCTGGCTGCGGGTTCCGGATGGCGCGGTGGATGGGCGCGCCTGCACTGCAAGCGGCCTGCTCTGCAAAGGCACGGCAAAGCTTGATGCGATTTCGCTGCATCAATTTACACCTTTTGTAGTGGCGTACCTCTGCAGTGTAGTGTCTGCACGTGCCACCGAGCGCACAGTGAGGCGCACAGTGCACTGCACTTAGCCTTGGCAGCAGCGAAAGCGGAAGGCTGCGCAGGGCTTCGCACTCTACCAACGCCACGGACGGACGGGCAGCAGACTCATTCCGCGAGTCGTCTTCGTCGCTCTGTCTCTCTCGCACTCCTCGGGCGTCCCGAATGGGTGCGAGAGAGACAGAGCGACGAAAAGGACTCTCGGAAGGAGTCTGCAGCCGCAGCAGGCCGCAGCAGGCTGGCCAACCGGCAGTGCTCGCTGGACTGCTGCTCGCCGTGCTCGCCCCCTCCACCGTCTAATTGGTGTGCGACTTACTTATGCATCTGCTGTGGCGTCGGGCATTGCACTGCAGCGCATCGCACTCACCACCAGCACTAATTAGTTATTGTGTAACTGCGAGGCCCCGCCCCACCCCGCCCCCGCCGTGCCCTAGGCCCATGACCCTCCCCAACAACGAGCCCTGCTGACGTCATCAAGTACTACCACGCAAAAACGCGCCCAAGATCCACCAATGCCCGGAGAATGCAGGGGGCGTGGGGGCGTGGCGGTGGGCGGTGGGGCGGAGCGAGGTGGAGAGGGGAGGGGGAGACTCTTCCGTTCACGAACTCATCGGAAGTGGTTTGGTTAAACAAATTAAAAAATATTCGACTCTTCCCCAATTTGGGTCCGTGGATCCGTGAGCAGAGGTTGATGGAGCAAGTTGTAGAGTTAGATGACTCTACCCCAAATATAAGGCACTAGGGTGAGCGTAGAGTCCTAAAGGCCTTTAGGACTCTAGGTGAGCGTTGCATCTGCACAGAAATTCTCATACTGACAGCGCAGCTGTTCCGTACTGCCAACCTGGCATGTCAAACATGTGACCGAACCCTTTCTTTACTGATGGTTTATCCGTGGTTTATCGGGTTTTGTAGGGAGAAAAAAGCCAAATTAAGTACAAAAATATATTATGTTTGTTTAAAGACAAGAGTATTGTAGTTTTCAAAATTGAAATCGAAACTTTTACCGGAATGTCAAGGTGGCAGGTTGCATGTTGAGAAGAGAAAGTTTCTCTTAAATTTGTAAACAAGATTTGGCTTGTTTGACAACATCCTTGTACTGTCAGTACCCGTGACAGCAGCCTGTTAATTTTCGCGACAGCGAATCACCCAATGGTAAGGATGTCCCTACATGCGTCCGTTTGCCTATACGTTCGTGTCAGCGAGCAGCGAGCACGGATCCCTAGGTTATACTGTCACTTTCTCGAGGAGAGCCTTCTCTTCTTTGCGAACGTTATCCAGTTTGCGAAATGCAGGACCCCTTCAGATGACGCTTGAGCCGTCAAACCGTTCATTCTTTGTTGCTCTGGCTCTTCCATATCCTATCAGAAATCCTGGGTCATTTAATTAAAAGGATTGCCGGTCACCCCTTCCACGTCATTCGTCATTTGGCTGGGAGAAAGTGCCGAAAGTAGGTTACTTTGAAGGGACCGGGCGATCGGATCGAACCTTGTGCTGTACCAGTGATGCTGCGCTGCGTCGGCTGCTATCCATTATTTCATTTTGGGGCCTTTGATTTCCTCAAGATACTCTCAACCACTCATTTAACATAGCAGTGTTGTGAGGCAAGGTTGTTCTGCGTTTAAAAGTACGGGTAAATACCTCATGTCGCCTACTCATGTCATTTACTAGTCCTTTCACTTTTCTCTTCGCTCAGGCCCCTGAAGCTGAGATATTTTGTAGAGCTCTCCGCTCAAGCTCTTGTTCCAGTTATCTGACCCTCATGCCGTTCTGTCTTATCTGAGACTTGTGATTGTTTGCTCTTATGGTGGCAGGCCAGTCCAGTGGTTTTGTGTGGCTAGAAGCGAGCAGTCTGTTATTTGTCATCTTTGGGGACATACTGGTGGACTGCCATCATTGTGAAAATTGACAAAATTAACCACCTTTTTCATTTGTTTTCTCTTTTAGTCAAGAGTACACTATGGTACAAACAAGATCCTCAAGCCGTGCGTCTTCCAATCCAACAGCCAATGGTGGGTATGCCAATGGTGCTTCCACTAACGGAGTGTCCACCTTCAAGAAATCAGCCTCTTCTTTGACTGCGACTTCAAAGATGAAAGCTGACAATCTTTCTAACGGAAATAATTTGACCAAGAGAACATTTTCGAAAGATCAGCACCTTACTGAAACTGTGAATGGGAAAGCAAATGGAACTGCAAAGAAAGCAGAGGATGAGACAGACTCCTGCCAGAATGAGAAAACCCATCCAATGGTTAGTAGTTCTTGGGCAGGTCTCATGTCTTTTCCCATACATACTGATGTGCTTTCCGTAAAGTATTATGTTTGTAAACTTTGGATTCTTTTTTATAGGTTTATGTGGTGTTTGTATCATTGTTATTGGATCTGTTGGCCTTCACAATGATCTTACCACTTTTCCCCTCATTGTTGGATCATTATCACAAAAACGATGGGCCAGATGGTTTGTACCAAAGGATTCTACAAATTGTCAAGTACTTCCAAAATTTTGTTGGTGCACCTGATCAGTTCAACTCAGTTCTCTTTGGTGGTATGTAATCTTCCTTACATTTTCATTTTTGCTGATGCTATTAGGAGAAGCCTTTAGATCTGAAATAAACTGAAAATGAAATCTAATGGCTTTGCTTTACCCCAGGTTTTCTGGGATCCATGTTCAGTTATTTGCAGTTTGTAGCATCACCTGTTGTTGGAGGCTTGTCAGATGTTTATGGACGCAAAGCTGTTCTTGTGACATGCCTGGTAAGTGATTAAGTTGTGAGATACTTGCGGTATTTCTTAGTTTGAGCTCTCATCCATGTGTTCTGTTTAGGTTGGAATCGCTTCCTCCTATGCATTGTGGGCAGTATCCCACAGCTTCCTTCTGTTTGTCCTGGCACGCTTTATTGGAGGGCTCAGCAAAGGAAACGTCTCTTTGTCAATGTCAATTATGGCTGATGTATCAAGCAACAAAGCAAGAGGGGTTGGAATGGTAAATTGTGTTAAAAAAATTATTTTAAGTCTTTTTGCTGAAACTTACTAATGACTAAATTTCATTGTCAGGCTCTAGTGGGTATAGCCTTTTCTGTAGGCTTCATTGTTGGGCCTGTGATTGGTGCAGTTTTCTCAAAGTGGGCTCAAGCTCAGACTGGCGCTTGGTTCGTGTGGCCTGCAATGTTTGCTCTCTCTTTGTCAGTTGCTGACATTCTTTTTGTTGCTGTTTGCTTCAAAGAGACACTTCCTAAGGTATGTCATCTGATTGCTTGGTATCCTTTATTTCTGTTCTTACCTTGCTTCAGATTTAATTCTCAACTGTTTATTTTTTACCTTTAGGAAAAAAGAGCCACATCAGTTGCAAGTAGCCTTTCACAGGCTGCATCTTATATTTTTATTTTAGACTTGTTCAGATTTTCTGCTGTGAAAAATCTTCCAACGAAAGGTAAGGTCCTGTCTATTCTGATTCTTGTTGTTAGACATTTTCTATGAACATTATTCTAATTATTCTTATTAGATTTGAAGGAACTTCAGCGACTGGGTGTTGTGTATTTCATCTACTTGTTCCTTTACTCTGGATTGGAGTTCACTCTAACTTTCCTGACTCACCACAAATTTGCCTACACAAGAATGCAGCAAGGATGGATGTTCTTTGCTATTGGATTAACAATGGCAGTACTTCAAGGATCGTTTGTACGACGTGTGCCTCCTTCTCGAACTAAATCTACTGCAGTTCTTGTAAGCACTTAAGTTTTTTATTATGCATAGGTAGTAATTTATTGGCACAAGTGTCTTGATTTTCTGACTTCTTTTCAGGGACTACTTTTGATCATACCCTCATTTGTGTGTGTTGGACTGGCTACCACAAGTTTCCTACTCTATGTTGGAGTATTTCTTTTTGCTGTTTGTAAGTTTATTTAATGTTGTGCATCTTTCAAACATAAGTCAGTTAATATATGTATTTCAATTTTTTAAAACTTTTGTGTTTCTCCATAGCTACATCCATGGTTGTTCCCTGTATGACGACTCTGGTGTCAAGACTGGGAGCAGACCACCAGAAAGGAACTGTCATGGGCATTTTCAGATCACTTGGCGCATTAGCTCGAGCAGCTGGACCCATTGTAGCTTCATGTGGTGAGTACTTGTTCCACAAGCTGTTCTCTTGACATCTTCAACTCAAAAGTAATTACTATTGTTTGCTTGTTTACATATTGCAGCTTATTGGAGTGTTGGATCATCGACAACCTATTTGGTTGGGGGAGCTTTGTTAACTGTGCCCTGGTTCATGCTTAAGAGAAGTCTCCTTGAGTGAAATGTTATGAACTTGTAATTATCAGTATTACTTATATGACAGTATCCCGTAGGTAAAATAGTAAATAGGCTGGGACAAAAATGTTCCAAAGATTAGGGCAAAGAAATACAATGAAACTTTTTGTTTAGACCAATATTTTGCTTATTTTGGTAAAAGACTTATTTTTATTTAAGGACATTCTGTTGTGACTTTTTTGTGAATTTATTTAAGCCCTTTGTCTTTAGTACCTGACTGGCATAATGTTCTTTTTTTTTTGTCAACGGTTGTGGTTACATCCATATTTTATGGTATCAATGACTAGATTTTAATGTATGCAGCGTTGTCTCTTAAAAAGGTGCAATCACCGAATTAAGATCCTCACAAATCAGTATCTTCTTCCTGCTTCTATCACTTATTTATTAAATGAGGCACTTGAAGTGCCTTTTCTTATATAGTGAGGAGCTTTCTGTAAACTGGTCATGAAGCTATCCAAAATGAGTCTATAGTTTGCAACTGCTTATAAATAATAATGTGAATGAGCTATGAGGAACTGCTATTATAGTACTGTGAGTATACTAAGTATGTGAGTGTCCGTCCATTAGATTATTATTTATTCTTTTTTTTTTGTGGGTGGCTTTGAGTCTTTGACAATGAAATAGGACATAGGTAACTGAAACAAACTATACTGTGATTTTTAAACTTCTTTCCTTGTAATCATGTACTGTCTTTTTCTATTTTTACAAGCAGCATTGTAAGCTGTGTCAAATAATTTCATAACATGAAGTTTTTCTTTTTTTTTACAAAATATTTCTTATTGTAGGTAACAGGCATGCTATTCAATCAAGTTTTTGACTTCTGCTTTTAATCAGTGTGGTACTTACGAATTCCTGTCACAAATCTTTTTCTTATGCTCATCCACTTCATTTCTTCAACTTTTGATTTTAAAAAAACTTTATGACAGTGCCATTTTTTTTTACATATTGACTCATCTAGAGTAAGTCTTTGTTTTTCTGAAAAAATTTACTTATATTATTTTTGTCAGAAAGCTAAAATAACATGTATGTCCTGGGTCTTGCATCTTGCATTACAGGTGCAGAGTTAAGTCAATAAATCATTATGAAAAACATAATTTTCTTAATGTTTTCACTCTTTGATTTAATTGCATTTTCTTTACTGTTCAATCTATCACAATTGTCACATTTTCTTCTGTATTACTTTCATTCTTATCCTCAGAGCTAGGGAGGTCATAGTGTAACACATGTATCTTCTCCTAAGTTGCAATACTTTGAAGACTTCTTAGTCGCGATTTCCAGATCTTTGGAAGGTGCACAGCCCTCTGTACAGAAAGTTTTTGACCTTGTGTTGCTTCCCACTCTAAGGCTCGAACTTGATCGGCCAGTCCAGTACAGTTTTCTGGATGCTGACAGAATTAAAGTGTTTCTTTTAATAATTTGATTGGAATTTGAACTTGTTAGTTCCCTAAAGATTAAAAGGTACTCACAGGTGTGGACAGTGTGCGAAACCTAACTTTCCGCAGCCCATCCTCTACTGCTCGAGCGCACCTACACATTTAAACCAAGTGTAAAGAAGCAGTTTTGTGTTTCCAATAACTCTTTTCCAAGGGTAGATGACTTACGGATTTCTGGTAGAATTAAAAACTCCTGGAGTTGATTTTGTTGAAACAAGATGATGCAGTTTGCGTAAAACTACTTGGGAGCATTTTTCAGCCTCGTACTCTGCCAGAGAGCGATCTTGTTTTTCGAGAAGTTCTCTTTGATCCTGTTGAGAAGGAATCAAGTTTAAGTCGACACGAAGTTTCTTTGCCGGTCTACAACTAGCCTGCAGCCAGAGCGTACCATCATCTCCTGCATGAGGTGGTGGCCCCGGAGCAGACAGCGCGCCCTCCACGCGACGTAGATGTGGTACGAAAACACCTTCTTCCTCGCCCAGTGTCCGCGCCATGCGGCCTGAATCGTCGTGGCGGCCCTCTGGTATATTTGGTGCAGTAGGCTCGCGATGTCGTCCTGCGGCACAGCGAGGGGTGTGTTACCGTGTCTACACTTTAAGGCGTCAGGCTTCACCACGCCGGTCGGCGTGTGCTGCGGGTCTGTCTGCGTCACAGGCGTCCGGCCTACATGAACTTGAACTTGAGAGGCACGCCACGCGTGGATATAGAAAGAGGGGGGGGGGAGAGAAAGGGGTTTTTGCCCCCACCGTCTCCATGGCACCTAGATACCGCTTGAAGGGCAGGCAAAAAGTGCTGCATTCCCCTTCCCCACAGGCCGGTGGCCCACTGGACTCTACTCCCACCATGCTCCCACCTGCAGGTCGGCTTTCACGGCCACCCTGCAGGCGTGCCCCCTCCAGAGTCGCTGGATGACGGTGGCCGCGGCGTGGCACTGCGCGAGGCGCCGCCGTGCCGCCAGCCCCCTCGCCGCGGCCTGGATGGTTACCGCTGCGTGCCTGCAGAGGCAATAGCAGGTCAAGACGGATTTGGCCGTGGCCGTGACTGAGGCACGCTCTCGGGCGTCGAATGACTCACATTGGGTCCATGGCGCTCTGCTCGTCGCTCTCCGGGTACACACAGCTAGCTACACCGCTACACTGCTCACTGCTCTGGACACTCTCCCGCGCAATAATGGGGCTCTGGACGCGGCTGCGTTTGAACGGGCGCGCCCTTCTTTTGTCGGCAGTGTTGCGGGTGGGCGCGGCCGCGCGGCAACACTGGAGCCGAGCCGGGCCGAGGCAATGACCTCCTTGTGACCGTGCCGCCGCGGTGCCGCCGGCCTCAGAAAGTGGGTTGCGGAACGCGCCCGCCTGCCAGACAGCCAGCAAGCAACGGCAGCCATTGCGGTGTCGTTGCCGTCAGCGAAAGCAAAGGGAAAGGACAGGACGCTCCGGAGCTGTGCTGGATTTCTGTCACCTAGTTATCCCCGTCATATTTGGACCTTTTGAACCGTTTTTCCACCTTGCGCCACCCGGCGTAGTGAATGAACTTACGCTCTTGGCACCAAGGCAAGTTTTGACTCTCTGTTTGACATTGTTAATAGCTTAGTGATGGCTGGGAATAAGGCGGACGAGGTTGAGGAGGTTGACGAGAAGAAGCAGCAGCAAGGCAAGGGAGACGATTTGTCCGGCGAAATGCTCATTAAGCACCCCCTGCACAATACGTGGACCCTGTGGTACTACGAGAACGACCGCAAGAAGACCTGGGAGGAGAACCAACGCGAAATCACTAGCTTCGCCACCGTGGAGGACTTCTGGAGCCTGTACAACCACATCAGGAACGCGAGCGAGCTGAGCACGGGCTGCGACTACTCGCTGTTCAAAAAGGGCGTGCGGCCCATGTGGGAGGACGACGCCAACAAGCACGGCGGCCGCTGGCTCCTGAGCGTGGACAAGAAGACCCAGGACTTGGACCGGTACTGGCTCGAGGTGCTGCTGTGCATGGTGGGCGAGGCCTTCGACGAGTACTCTGACGAGGTCTGTGGGGCCGTCGTGAACGTGCGCGCTCGTGGCGACAAGATCGGCATCTGGACCGCCGACGCAAACCACAGTAGCAGCATCATGGAAATCGGGCGCCGGCTCAAGGAGAGGCTGAGGATGCCCCCAAAGCTAACCATGAGCTTCCAGAGTCATAAGGACACGGCTTCCAAAGTGGGTGCTAACAGCAAGAGTATGTTTACGGTGTGAGGAGTTCCCTCGCCATCTAGCGAAATTGATGCACATTTTGTTTAATTCATTTTATTGGTTTGGTTTTGTGATTGGCGCCTTGTCATATTTATTTCTGTAATAACTGTTGACTCGTTTTAAGAGATCTCCTTGCAATTATTGGTATTTGCTGTATCGTTATGGAAATTGCAGGTAAGGTTTAGTTCAATTTGACAGGTGAATTCCTCGGATTATTTGATTTTGACATTGTTTTTACGTTACTAAATTATTTCCTCCCTATGTTATATTTTTCTCATTTCACCAAGTATGTTTTGAGTTCCTTCTCTTTACAGAAACTTGTGTTTAAAGTTTATAATTGTTTAAATCTGGATGAGGTGTGGATTCTGTGAGGACCTATGACTGATTCAGTTTATGAAGTAGTTTTCATATGTCACCCTGATCTGTTGACATTTGCAAAGATCTGATCATTTCTAGCCCTTGTTACATATGGTGAAACGTGGCTCAACATTGTCTTATTTAGAATGACTGTTGTGCTGTAAGCCATTCAGTATTAAAACGTGTTGTTTTTTTTCTTCTCCAGGATTTCAGTAAATCTGTAGTGTCATCCTCAAATCCTCATCTTTGCTTGACTGTTTAGTGTATATCGTTGTTTATGCTTAATATATATTATTAGTTTTTTTCCCTTGCCCCTCTTTCCTTCCTTTGTAAAGGATTTGAAATTTCTTATGAATTGCTGTCCATGACTTATATATCCCTCATTGCATTCGAGTCGATTTCATTCATGTCAATGTTAGTCTTTCTATTCTATAGTGTTCATTTTTATACTGCATAAGAATAGTTTAGAGCTTCAGCTACAGTTCTGTTCGATAGAGAGAACAAATTATTGAGCAGTGAGTCATTCATCTATCAGCTGTCTCCTATTCTTGCAGTTTACTGAACAAAGTACTTTTTCTTTCTTCCAAATGTATTACTATTAAAATGAGTAACTAGTAACCTTCATATGTACCATAATTTATTGTCTTTAGCTTTGTAAGGTGAATGCAAATTCCATTTTTATTTGCCGATTCTTGTTCTTGAATTTTGACATGACAGCACATTTCTAGTTTCCTCATCTGGTTTATTGTTAGCTTTAGTAATTTTGATGTGGGCACTTATCTTCCAGAAGTGTGTGTAACCAGGCTTTAAATTCTAATCTGCATTTTGCTGGGAAGTGTATTTTTGTATATCTATAATAAACTTTCTGTAATAAGAATAACTTTGGGTTTGTCTATTTTAACTTTTCTCATATTATTACCAAACATGAGCTCATGTGAGACTACTGCCTTTACTCAAATTCTATACTAAAGAAATATTGATTAGAACATGTGTTGATTTCATTGAACATATTGAAACATGTTGACTTTGGCTCATTCCTCTCTACCTGAATAATTCATAAGTAGGAATTTTCTTCCTTGTGGCTTAAATTCAAGTAACATTAACATTATGAGTCTGATATAAAAAAATAAATAATAATCAGAAACACTGACTCTAATTCTTCCTTAATCCATGGGCTCTTATTATTTTTAACATGTTGCGCACCAAAATGACCCTGCAGTCTTTTAAGTACTGCATCTTTTGTGAGGAAAGCCAAGTAAAAAATGATCATAGGAGTCCCTTATTTTTCTTGTACAAATGGATTTAATTTTCTTGGAGAGTAGATATGTTTTTTTTCTTCTGGGCGTTAGTTATCACTTAAGTAGCTCTTTTTTTCTGTGAGAACTTTGAACACAATATTAAAGAAGAGGAATAATTTTCTATTTCAAGGAATTTTGACTAACACAGCTAACTTTGTCAACAGAACTGGCTCCTAACCATGGGCAGCTCTGCACAACAGTACAGCCTTGGGTGGAGCGATTTTGATTCCTCTCTGAAACATGCAGTCAAAGGACTCCGAACAAGAGGCGATCTTGTGGACGTGACTTTATCTGCAGGAGGACGAACATTCCTTGCACACAAAGTTGTTCTTTCTGCGGCTAGCTCCTTATTTTTAGACCTGTTAAAGGTATGTAACACCATATACTTCCATTACTCTCTGTACCATCTTTGCTCTATCGAAGAACTAGCTATCTTAGCATTTTTGACGTACTCATGGCTTTAAAGAGACTCCGTAAAATAATCATTCAAATTGCTCATGTGTTTTGTCTTTTTTTTTTTGTTTCTCTAGGTGGCTCAATGTCAGCATCCCGTAATTTTATTAGCAGGCATTGGTGCAACTGAACTAGAACAAGTGCTGGATTTTGTGTACACCGGTGCGGTGAGTGTACACCCCTCTGAGTTGACCGCTCTTTTGCAAGCAGCTCATATTCTCTGTATACGTGGTCTCGTTGAAGGATCCATTACTGCCGATGTAAGTTAACATTTTAAAATTGCTCAACCTATTTTTTCTGTTAAATTCTTTTGTGTGCTTGTTGGTCAAAAGTTAAATATTGTGAAAAAATTATATTATCTTATCACTTTTGTAGGAACCAGAACTTCAGGGTGAGGCTGAGGCAGCCCTAGCCATCTCATCTGAGGCTGGTCAAAAAGTCAATGCAGCGTCACTTGCTGCAGCAACAAAGACAGACATTTTAGCTACAGTTAGTGCATCAGAATCATCCTGTCGCAAAAGGAAGCCAAAGACAGAGGACTGCGATAGCAGAGACAGACCTCACGAAAAGTGGGGAAAAGTTGATTCTGAAGATGATGTAAGTTCCTTTTTGTAAACTAAAAATTGAATATCAGTTGTTTGACTTGTAATATGAAATCATATTTTTTAAAATTTTTTTTGTCACATTTTAGGACTCTGATATTGAAAGTACCCCCAAAGAAAATCCCACAATCACAACAGGAACTCAAACAAAGCCAGCACAAACCCATGTGAGCCAAACCATAAAGAAAGTTGTTAGTAGCGTGACAGAAGATGCACCGAAGTGTCAGAAGCAAAATGCCAGCAATTCAGCATTATTACCTCCTGATATTCCGAGGACTGCCTCATCACTTGTCGATGATTCAAATTTAATTCCTGCTCATCATTTAGTCATGAATGATGAGGAAAACAAGGATGATTCATGTAAGTTTGTGGAAAAAAAGTTACCACCCCATTTTTTTATTACGTTTATTTTCTTGTTCGGCAGATTTTATTGTTTATAAAAGTCTCTGGTCACAGAGGTGTCTATATATGCTATATTTTTCACAGATGGAGATGTTGCAGCAGCTGCTGATGCTGCAGCCCTTGCAGCTTCAATATTGGCAGACAAAAAAGGTCTTTCGGATCAACCTGCTGCTTGTCCTCTTTGCCATGCTATCATTCGTCAATCAAGAAACCTGCGCCGCCACCTTGAATTAAAACACTTTGGAAGAAAGCCAAACAAAAACAAAAGTGGAAAGCGGAAAAAAAGCGCAAGTCAAGGTGATACAGATAATGAGTCAAATGCTGGCTCAGTGGCAGACACCTCAGTTATTGATCACGTTCAAGTAGAGATGAAGAGCCCCTCAGTTTGTGATACAGGTCTGCCTTCAGTTTCCACATCTTCCTCAAGCAGCCCAACCCATAATCATCCTTCCAAACTTCATACCTTGACTGAATTACAGCCAGCCCACCAACATCATAATGTTGAAGCCTATCTCCATCAGCAACAACTTCAGCAGCTCGACTCATTCCCTCCTCATGTTGGCATCAACCCGGCATCAACGAATGCCACTTATCAGATACCATACCCTCACCCCCATCCGCACCTATCTATGCTTCGAGGTGATCCTCATGCAATATTGGGGTCAGCGGAGAGCATTGCATTTCGCGCTCAACAGCAGTTCTCATTATACAGAGGAAACACAAGTTCCTCAAATCATGAATAGCATCAGCCAAATTTCTTATATTGGATGTTGATGTTGTGTCCTGCACCTGTCATGCACCAATTTGAGAAAAGGAAACAGGTGGATTTTATTTGTTTGTGTACATACGTTGTCATTAAATTATTTTTTATTGAATGTTGATCCTCATCCTCATGAATTTCGCTCATTGGCAGGCGCAACAGGAGTGCTTTCTTCATTTTGGAGATTTTTTTATTTCGGACCCTTTTTGAGATCCATTTTATCAGGAGTAAGTTTGTTTTCATTGCAGAAGTCATATGGTAAAACAAAATAAATGCGAGCTACAAGTACTGTTCCATTATTCTTACCTTTATTGCAATCAAGTATTTCCTGACCAGCAGGGAAATCCAATATGATCAAAACGCTGCTATCACACCACCAAACTTTAACACGGTGGAGTAAAGCATGTCAGGAGTGAGCAATTCAAATTTATAAATAATTGGCGCACAAATGGAAAACTCTTTTCATTTGTTCTCCAATGTGACAAAATATGTCAACAGCATAGTAGACAGGAAAAAATATTGCCACAGTCATAGGCCTAGCCATGCATAACTTTTCACATTACGTATTTCATGGGCACAATGTGTCACGCTGAAGAACAAAGATCATTGGTTCCATCGGTTTTCATTATTTGTCAACACTATTTAACACCTCCCTTTTTTTCCTTCTTAAGGACTGAGGTACAATTAAACCCAGAAAAAGAAAGGAAATTTACAAAATCATACCATAACAGTAACTCAAAGAACTATGATTTGACAAATTTACTAGCATTCTAGTATTGAACATTTTATGTGACCGTCACTATCCCACTGGTGAAGTACAAACAATATTTTGGTAACATGATGGAATTTACAATTAGAAGTAGAAGTCCACTTCAATTCAAGATATAATTATTCCACTACTATTGAGGCAGTTTTAATTAGAAACAATTATTGTCTCTAATCATTTGCATTTCTTTTTCTCCTTTAATATATTGTTGTATTGTAACACAGAAGCAAGAGTTACCATTATCACTGAGAAAGGACGATCTAATTCTGCTTGGCGCGCTTACATTCATTATTTACACATGTCACTTACGTACAAATTAAAACAGTTCAATAAGAAAACTAAAAAACACTTCAGGCTTTTCTAAATATTAAGTAAACCCTGATATTCTACAAAACAAAAACTGACCTGTATAAAAAGCACATACACCATGACTCAAGTAATAACTCTCTTACTTGACTCACCTGTACAACACAATGAGTCCACGCCATTCACATGGCATGTATCAGGACATCAACAGATGCTCCTTTTATGCACAAAAAAAAAAACACTCAATAGTTCCATCAAATTTCTTGCACTACATTTTCGCAAGTCCAAAGGCTTTTTTTTGGAATACAACTTTGTTCGCACTTCCCTGCACACCTTTCCTCCACCGAAACTCTTGAAAACGTGTATCACCACAATTCATTCCAAATTTGAACCATCTCTATAATGTCTATTCACAACAAGATCCGTTCAAAAATAATACTATGTAGGTTTGAAACTGAGCAGAAATTTATGAGCCCTCATTCAGGGATGTCTTTGGTACGAGACTTTTCTCACTCACTCACTCACCACACACGTGTCCTGCTCCAACACTTTTTACTAGGCACTTTCCGCTCCGCGACACACTGCAAGGGTTAGTGAGCCGGTGCAGGTTGCAGGTACCGTTCTCCCCTCGTCAACGTGTCACACCGTGTCTCCGTTGCGCGCGCCTGCTGGGTAGGCAGCCCCTCGGACACGGTCCGCGAGGGAATGATGCATGACGTCAGGGCGGGTCATAAGATCAAAACAGAACACAAACATATCCGATATGTAGGGCTCGACCATGCTTTCACCGTATCCCATCTCAAGCAAACAAAACCATAGAATCAAATAGCCCATTTCAATTAACTCTTTCACACATATCCTAACAGGCCCGACCCTTAAGGCCCGCCTGAGCTGGGAGGTTTCAGATTTCCGATGCACTCTGAGATTTGCGTGTGTCTGAACAAACGGACTGCACAGCAGCGCAAGCGTTGGCACTGTTGCCTGAGGGGTTGCCTACCGACCCAGGCGCTGGGCCAATCCCATGGCTCGCCCTCAGCACGTGAGGAGCCTGACGCTGCTGACGCTCTACTTGGCCTCGGGGCGGTCGCGGTCGCGGTCGCCGCCTGGCCGTCGTCACGCGGCGTCCAGCAGCCCGCTGGGCACGCTGCCGTTGGGGCGCGCGGAGCCGCACAGCGTGGTGGCGCGGTGGTGGTGATGGTGGTGCTGGTGCTGGTAGTGGCGGTGGTGGTACGAGTGCGTGAGATGGTGCGGCGGCACGATGCGGGGCGGCAGGCCCGTCAGGCTCGTGGCCGACAGGGTGCGCTCCAGCCCCGCCATGCCCTTCACCAGCTTGCCGCACTCCAGCGACTCCAGCGACTCGAGGTCCGGGTGCGAGGCCGAGGCCAGGGAGACGGCGAGGCCGGTGAGGGGCGGCGGCGCGGTGCGCGGCTGCAGGCGCGGCGGCGGCGGCACGGCCAGCCGCGCGATGCTGCTGTTGAGGCTGCCGCCGCCGCTGCTGCTGCCGTCGCTCAGGCTGGCGCCGCTGCCGTTCTCGTCGCTGGAGTCGTCGCGGAGGTCGTCGTCGCGGACGTTGTCGCGGTCCCGCTTGCGGTCCCGGCTCCAGTCCCGGTCAAGCACGTCCAGGTCCTGGCCCCGGTCGCGGTCCCTGTCCCGCAGGCTGTGGTGCAGACTCAAGTGGCTGTGGTGGCTGTGGTGGCTGTGGTGGCTGTGGTGGCTGTGGTGGCTGTGGTGGCTGTGGTGGCCGGCCCCACCCAAGCTCTGCTGACTGGAGCAGCAGTGCGGCTCCTTGGCCACGGAGGGCGGTTTGCGGCACAGGACCTGCGAAAACACGCCAGCGAAAACACTTGGTTAGGGACGAACAAACTCGAAAAAAGAAAGTAGAAGGAAAGCGCGACCCCCCGAGGGGAGCTGGCCCTGTCCCTGGAGGGCGAGAGCGGTACCTTTGTGTCGAAGATGTCCTTGCAGATCCTGCGGAACTGGCGGTTGAGCAGCCAATACAGGAACGGGTTCCAGAAGGAGTTGCTGAGCGCCAGCCACGTGAAGAAGAAGTCCAGGAACGGCGGCAGCTGCGGGGCAGACACGGAGAGCGTTAGGTGGAGGCGGAGGGGACGACGTGCATTGCGCACAATGGGGCCGCGATGGGGCGCTAGGCTGCGCTAGGCCGCGCTAGGCGTCACGGGTCCCCAGATGAAAGGAAAACAGAGGGGGGGGGGCATCCCGATCGCCTCAATCCCCACCTTGGAGCCGGTGCAGGCCGCCACCACCTCCTGGATGGTCCACGGGGTCACCATCACGATGAAGCCCAGCGACATCGCAGCCATGGTCCTGGAGGCCACGGTGCTGAGCCGCCGCTCGTGCGTCACCAGCTGCACAGGAAAAAAGACAGAGTCAAGTCGACGGCCATTCCCAGCGAAAACACACACACACAAACAAACACACGCCCTTTCACAAGGCGCGGAGGGAGATAGCGGGAAGTCGAACCAGCGAGGCAGGTTGACGGTGGGGCCACTGTCTTAGACGCTTTATGCCCGAAGCCGGAAAACAAGGAAGCAAGTGCCGGCCGGGCTACCGCAGCCCGCCCCGCCACTTTTGGGTTCTTTAGGGAACCCCACCCTATCCCACCCCCTTGCAGGCCCCAGCCTGGAGTAACGCCACCAGGCTGACAGTTGGCCATTTGTAACCGAGCTTCTTGGCACTGCCGGACCGTCAGGCCAACGGCGCAACCCCCACCACAACCAATCACCATGGCAACCACATTCTTTGCTCACTCTTCCTCACTCTCTTTCTCTCTCGCACACATACACGCGCGCATGCACGCGAGAAAACAGCGAAAAAGAAGAAGAGGTGAGAGGACGGGCAGTCCCCTGGCTGATTCCGAGCGAGCGGGGGTCCCATCGGTCTGTCTCTCTCACTCACATACGGGTTGCCCCACGCGTGTGTGAGAGAGACGCGGGGCTTTCGGCTCGGAGTCTGTCTGCAGTGCAGGGCGGCATCAACACATTCAACGGGCATCCATCATGATTCATGAGTCGCCCGTTATGCAGAGTGCGCTTTGTCGGCGAGGGCCCTCACCGAGCCGTGCCGCCGTGCCCGGCCAAAGTCCCAGTCCCAGCACAGGTACCATCGAGCCGGCGTACCGTAGCACCATGCCCACCAAGCCGAGCAAGCCCGTGGGTAGCCACACTCGCACCACCGCAGTGTGCCGATGGCGGTACTTGCAGCGGCTCGAACCATGGCGGGGCTCCTGGACAAGCACTCCTCCATGGAGATCACGGGAACAGCGTAGGAGGGGCGCGCGGCAGAAAAGCCGGGGGGGAGTGCACAGTGGGCCAGAAGACCGGTGGAGGTGGCCAAAACTCTAGACGCGTTTTGAGCTCCAGAGTCGCTAAACAGGCCTCGAAACGAACGTGTGACCCCACCAGGGGGGAGAGCAATCCATTGGTGGGGTCACACGTTCGGTTCGAGTCCCATTTAGCGACTCTGGAGCTCAAAACGCGTCGAGAGTTTTGGCCTCCTCCGCCGGCTTCTGGCCCACTGTGGGGTGTCTCACCGCGTGCCGCTCCAATATAAGCGGCTGCTGTCCATTGGCTGGAAGAGGTCCAGAGAGGCCGGGGGCACGCAGCGCACGCAGCGAGCAAGGGCGCCGGGACCAGAGCGCCGTGCAGGGTAGGCCGGCCCGCGCCGCTCACGTGTCCAGCGTGCCCGTGGGTTGCCTACCCGGCACACCGCGGGCGCCTGGGGCGACCAGTGGTCCACCACCCCGTGGCGGTGAAAATGGATCGGACGAAATTTTCGGCCTGCTCCTCTCCGCGGGGCGTTGCCGTTGGAAGGGAAGCAGTGGCGCGGCCGAGGGCGCGGCGTCGTCAAAAGAGCGGGCGCAGCCACACTGCAGCGCGAAAGAAAGCAGCGCACGGCGTGAGGGTTGAGGGTTGGTGGTGGGTTCTGGCATTGGTCGTAACCACGCGGGCACTAACTCACAACCTGACTGCCAAAGTTGCTGCACTCGCGACCGCGTGTTTGAGTGTGAGTGCGAGCGCGTCTGTGTGTGTGTGTGTGTGTGTGTGTGAGAGAGAGAGAGAGAGAGAGAGAGAGAGAGAGAGAGAGAGAGAGAGAGAGAGAGAGAGAGAGAGAGAGAGAGAGAGAGTGCCCGTGCGTGTATCTGTCGGTGCAGTTTCGCGGTGATGGCGCGGCATATAGTGCGGCGACGTGCAGCAAGCGATTCTACCGGAGTGCCGAGGCGGCCGAGGCCGGGGCGCCGAGGACTGCCGCGGGCGTCGTCATCATCTCGGCCTCGCTGCAGCTCAGTAGCTTCCGCACGTAAAAAGGGGCGTAAAAAAAAGATGAAGGAAAACAAGAAAAGAAAATGCGCTTCGGTCCATGGCGGGCAGATATTTTGTCAGCTGTTATGTGGCGATTAAATAATACTACGCGTACTCCTGGAGGCTAGCACCACACAAACGAGCTATCTCTTCTTCGGGATTTTGTTTTAGCTTTTCCGCATGCGCATACTGTGAATGCCCCCGGGTGCCACAAGTAGGCCATGAGCGGGTGCGATAAAAGTGGAGCCAGGCGGCGAAACATTTGCGGTGTCCAGAAAAAAGGCCGGCCATTTAAACGGACAGCGCGTCAGTTTCCGCTCGGGAACACGGGACGTTGATCTGATTTCATCTCTGAAAGGCGACGCCGCACACAGCCGCGCCTTGCCCGTGGCACCGCCATCGCGCTCATCGTGCTGAGCAAAGAATCGACGTTCTTCATCATCATTGAGACGTCCAGCTGCTGATCCAAAGCCCAGCGGGCCGCGAGGGCTCGACGGGGGCTTCCCGGAAGCCGCGCCCCGTGCTGCCCCGCCCCGCCCGCCCCACCCTGCCAACCGCCAAACGGCAACTTCTCTTTGTCCGTCAGCGGCGTGCCCCCTTCCAGCCCCCTTCCCCTCTTCCATGCCGTGCTCACTTTCGCAAAGGAGCGCAGGAGTGCCACTTTAAAAGAATTGTACAATTGAGGCAGAGAGCCCTCCATCTTCCTTCCTTCACTCCGTCGGGAATGACGGGTGAAGGAGAAAAAAAGTCCCCCCAGATACAGTGTTCTCCCGGCGGCGGCACGGCGCGCGTAGCCTGGCGCGGCGAGTCCCCCAACAGTGTGCTTCTACCTGGCTAAAAGCGCGCTGACGCCGCGGGCGGGACTCGAACCCGGACCTCAGCAACAACACGCTGGGGTCGGCACGGTCGGCACTTTAGGCTAGGCCCGCCACTCGACAGCGTTTGTAACAATAAAAGGGCGAGCGGGGTCCGCTGCGGGCTGCTGCGGGGAGGCACCCCCACCCTCCCTTTTTCCGTGTCCGGCCATAAGAACTGCAACGGCATGGCGGCGTCCCAGGCTGCTGGACTGAGGGGCTTCTCTCTATCTCACTCTTACTAGCCCCCTCTCTTTCTCTCTCTCTCTCTCTCTCTCTCTCTCTCTCTCTCTCTCTCTCTCTCTCTCTCTCTCTCTCACACACACACACACACACACTCCTCTCACCAAATTAGTGCACTGGCAGCGCGGCAGTGCCACAATCAGCGCGGAGTGTCCGCCTTATAACGGCACTGAGTAGCGCTAGAGCTTTGGGGCTGGCACGGCGTGAGCACGAAGTGGGAAGTGGACCAGTCTAGTCCCGGACAGGCTGTGATGGGTGCGTTCTGAGCTCCGCATTTTCAGAGTGATGGCTCCAATAGGTTGCTCTTCGAACGAGAAATCCACTGGTGCCCGAGTCTCGTTTGAGGCTGATTGGAGTCCACGAAACGAAACGCCACTCCGAAGAGGCCTTCCTGACCCCCCCTTTTCTCCCCCTCTCCCGGCTTGGGGACCACCGCGCAGTGGGCCAGAAGACCTGTGGAGGCGGCCAAAATTCTAGACGCGTTTTGAAATCAAGAGTCGCTACATAAGACTAGAAACGAACGCGTAACCCCGCACCAACGGATTGCTCTTCGAACGAGGAATCCATCGATGGGGTCACACGTTCGGTTCGAGTGCCATTTAGCGATTCTGGAGCTCAAACCACCGGTCTTCTGGCCCACTGTGGGACATTGCTCATTGTGCCCCGAGAGCGACGAGCAGCAAGGGGCAGCAAGGGGCAGCAACGGGCAGTCCGGAGAGACGAGGCCCATTTGAAGGGTGCCTGGCGGCCGCGTAAACCAAAGCCCGGCGAAGCCCGGCCGACACGCCTGGCGGCCTGGCCCCATTCTCATTCCGCCCCACTCTCTCCGCCGACTACCATTTCTTTGTCCGTCCCGCAAAATGAAAGTTAAGACGAATGCGCGCCGCAAACAAACAAACCGCAGTGCGGCGGCCAAACGGACGCAAACAAAACAAACGGACGGCAAGGAAGAGAAATGATTTTTTTTAAATAAACGGGGGTGCTGGGGGCGGCGGTGTGCCGGCCCGGCCGGCCCGGCCGCATGGCAGTTGCGAGGAAACGGTGGATAATCTGCCGTGCCACGCCGTGCCGTGCCGTGGTGCCGTCGGCCGGGATTAGACAGTGCGCGGCGGGGCACGGCGAGCGGCAAGCGGCGAGGCAGCGCAAAAGCAACAACGCCGAATTAAGTTTGGAGGCCGCCAAGCCGACTCGAACCAAACCGCAACTAGCGGAACGCCCGCCAAACCGCCAGGCTCTGCGTTTCGATGTTTCGATTCCCCCCTCCGCCGCCATGGCGCGCCACCCCATCGCTTCCGGGTGTTTTCAGAAGATTCGGAAGCTTCAGAAGCCACAGGCCCAGGGCGTTAAGCCTACTCGCTTAGCGGCGCGGGGGCGCGCGGCGAACCAGTCGAACACCGACCGAATCCCAAGTTGCCCCCCCCCCGGTGGGGCTTCCTCCTCGCCCCGCCCCCCACTGGTTTGACTCAAACCGGAGGTAATCGGTCGAGACTATCAGATTGTGGAGATCCAGCAGCTGCAGCAGAGCCCGCGGGATGGCGCGGCTCGGCGTGGGGTGGGGCCGCGGAGGACCATACACTCCACCGCGCTCAAGATTCTTCCACACCCAAACCAGGCAACTCTTGAACCAGTGTACACTAAGCGGGTGTATTTGAAGCTATTCAAGTACATTCATTTCTTCCAAGTGAATTATCTCGGCTGAAGAAGGGCTCTTTGCGGCGGCGGGCTGGCCCCCACAACGCCTGCCCCAAAGAGGGTGATTTCGCCAAACCGAGAGGTACAAAGAGACGCACGAACCTTGTTGAGCGTGGACGGTGTCTTGACGGCCTCGAGACCGCCCTGGTTGGCGCCCTGGCTCTGCGCGTGAGCGTGGCCCTGGGCGTGGCCCTGGGCGTGGCCCTGGGCGTGGTGGCTCTGGGACGGGGCGTGCGCGTGGCCCGGGGCGTGGCCCTGCACGGCGTGGCCCTGCACGGTGTGGCCCTGCACGGTGTGGCCCTGCACGGCGTGGCCCTGCTGTGCGTGGGGCTGTCCGCAGCCCGTCACGGCCCGCTTTAGCCGCAGCTTGTTGACGTGGAACGCCGAGCCGTAGCAGTACATGAGGATCATGGTGGTCGGGAAGTAGAAGCAGCACGAGGCCAGGATGCGCAGCGAGGCCCGCGAGTAGAACGGGTCGCAGGCCAGCAGCCCCGTGTGGTTGAAGTAGTAGCCGCCGCGCGGCAGCACCAGCAGCGCGAACAGCGACAGGCACAGCACCCACGTCATCGAGATGACCGCCACGCAGCCCTGGAAAAAGAAAAGAGAGCACAGCGGTAAAACGGGGGAACCGTCATCACGGGGCTGGCGTCGTCCGCCGGGCATGCGTCTGTGAGGTACACTTAAAGTATGGCAAGACCTCGTGACCCAGAACGCAGGCAGAAGCGCCACCCTACTGACAAAGCAGAGCAAAAAGATTCATTAAGAAACAAAATGTAATCCTTCCGTCTTCTACGACCGTCTGCGACGCACTCGACGCGACCCAGCTGCAGTGCGGAAATAAATGAATGGGTCTCGGAGGACGGCAGGCACGATCACTCACACTCCCTCATGCCGGCGGGCGAGGCGGCGCAGGGTCTAGCCTGCCCCTGCCACACACACGACGCTTTGTTTTTAGCAGTGCGTCTGAGGATCCGACGCGGGCTGGCCGCGTGAGCCGGGCCAAACCAAGCCGGCAGCGCGGCAGCACCCTGGGGGATCCGGGCCGACCCACGACTTGTACCGCCGCGTAACCATGCCCCAGCCCGGCCCGGCCCGGCCCACCACGCCCCGCCACGCCCCGGCCCGTCCCGCCCCGCCGCGCCCCGCCACGCCCCGCCGTGTGTTGTGTTATCACCCAGACGTGAGCGGGGCGACAATGGGAGAGAACTGTGGCGGATCGGCCTTACAGGGACTCACGGGGCCTTACAGGGACTTACTGGGCCTTGCAGGGCCTTGCAGGGACTTACAGGGACTTACAGGAGGGGAGGCGGCCAGAGGTAAGCCTTACCCAAGGGTCACCTCACGACTTAGCCTCCGCGCCTGCCGGCCGCACTGACCGCGCCACCCTGGACCCTGGAGGGAGGCTGGCCCTGCCGCCCCAGCCGCCGACTGGAATCATTGAAACGACGCGACCACAAGCAACGCCTCGCCCTCGCCTTCCGAATGCGATTGGCGGGAAGTCTGAAGCATCACGCTCATCTCGGACGGGGCTTTCTGTCTCCCTCCACTCATGGGCGTTCCGCGGGGGTGCGAGAGAGACAGAGCGTGCCCTTTGTTCCGCCACGACGACTTGAGTGGCCGCTGAATGGCCATTCAATCTGCACCGACGGCACCGACGGCAGGAATAAAGGAAAGAGAGGGAGAAATATGTGCGAGCGAGGGAGCCGCGGTCGCTCTCTTGTAGCAGTTTCGTGTTTGGACCGAGGGAGAAAGACAACTGGACACGGCGCCGCGCGGCGCTCCAGGGGAGACTCCAGGGGAGGCCGCCGGAAGCAGCCTGGAAGCCCCGAGGCCGGGAGGCGGGCCGAAGGCTTTGCGGCGCCGGAAGTGCGCGGGTAGTGGACGGGCCGACCGGAAGGCTGCAGGCTGGAGGCTGGAGGCTGGAGGCTGGAGGCTGGAGGCTGGAGGCGGGAGGCGGGAGGCGGGAGGCGGGAGGCGGGAGGCGGGAGGCGGGAGGCGGGAGGCGGGAGGCGGGAGGCGGGAGGCGGGAGGCGGGAGGCGGGAGGCGGGAGGCGGGAGGCGGAGGCGGAGGCGGGAGGCGGGAGGCGGAGGCGGGAGGCGGGGCGGAGGCGGGAGGCGGGCGGGAGGCGGCAGGCGGGAGGCTGGGCGGGAGGCTGGGAGCTGCCTGCTGGAGAAGGCTGGAGAAGGCTAGACGAGCTGACCCAGTAGTTATTTCGACTGACAAAGCTTGTCTGGATGGTCTAGCGCAGCTCGCCGGGGGGACGGGGGGGGTCGGTGCAAGCGGAGGCCGTCGGGGCTGGCGGGAGGGGAAGCCGAGCCCCCGGGCAAGTCTCGCCAGAATATGAGTGGGAACGGCCAACAAATTTCGCACGGCGTCTCCATTCCGGAAATTATTTGCTGCAAGCACCCCGTCGTCCCCGTCCCCCTCCTCCGGAGGGTCGCCCGTCCCCGGCCGCGCCGTCGGCCGAGTCGGCGGCCGGGGCCCCGGCAGCCCCGCTATCTGGCCGCCGATCAGCTCTTAATTGGCCAAGTATAGGTCGGGCCGCGCCGCCCCGCGCTCCTCGCACGACGACGACGACCTCGACGATCCCCACGGCCTCGACGGCCTCGACGGCCTTGATACAGTGCATCGAGCGCCGAGGCCGGCCGGCCGGCCGGGGCGGGGAACACCGTCGTCGTTATGCCTTGCAAGGGGTATCGCCAAGTGGGCAATCCAATCACTGCGGGCCGCGCGGCGGGGGAGGGCGGCAGGACCCCGTCGACACCGCTCGTTAGTCGTTAGCGCGGAGTATCGGCGCGGTGAATCGGGTGGGCTTGCCCTGCAACGCGCTGCACCGCGCACTCGGCGGGGCGGAGACGGAGGGACCCGGCCGCCGTCGGGCCGCCCTCGGGCTGCCTGGCCAATGGCGTGCTTCTCCCCTTTTCCGCTTGGGCTGGCTAGGCCGGGCCGGCGGGGCCGGTGAGGCCGGCGGGGCCTCGAGAACATAAAGACTCCTGTAAACACGGCCGTCTGCGCGGTCTGCGCCTAATGCCGCGCCGAGCCGCGCCGAGCCGCGCTGCCTGCCGGTGCGCCAGTCCAGCGGCGTGAGCGGCGTCCGCCAGACAAAAGCAGAGACCGAGGCCGGGCTGGGAGAATCAATAGGACGAGCAGCGAGGCTCGCCGGCCTCGCTAGTTTCCTCCTCGATCCGACACATCCGCCCTCGCACTGCACTGTCGGCGAGTGAAGTGAAGGGCGCCCCGGACGGCAGTGGCTGTGGCACGGGCAAAGCACTGGCGGAGCGTGACGCAGTCAACGCAGTGCAGGCCAGCCGCCAAGACAGCGCGTGCCAAGGCAGCAAGGCAGCAAGGCAGCCAGGCAGCCAGCCAGGCAGGCAGCCAAGGCGTCGGCCGCTGCTACCTTCAGCCTCCAGGGCCTCCGGGGGAGTGCAAGTGGTCCCAAAGGGGAGCTGATGGCTTTGTCGCCGGGACGCTGGGACGGCGTCGCCCCGTTCCCCCATCCCCCTACTTCCCGCTGCCCTACAACAAATTTCAATACTGCCGCCTGCTCGCCGGCCTGGCCGTCGACGCCGTGCTGCCGGTGCTGGGGCGCGGCTTGCGCCATCGACGGCGTCCTCGCTGCATTCATATCCACCTGGGTCGGCCGGGTCGGAAGGGGCCTTGGAAGGGGCCGTGCCGCGCGCCGGCTGGGCGCCGTATCACGCCGGGCTCCCCGAAGAGGGGCAAAGCGAAGTGGGGCGCAAAGGAGTCAAACTGGCGCGGCGGCGCTTCGTTTGCAGCTACACGTGAAAGTAACTGCCGGACGAAAAAAAAAACATAAACAAGAAGGCTCGGCAAAAATAAATACAAATGAGAGAAGCGCTGCGCGCTGCGGTGCGACCACGTGAATCAAAATGAAAGGCTGCGGTGCCGGCGGTGCCGTCTAGGCCCTCGGCGAGGCCGGGGCCCGGCGGGGCCGTCGTCAAGCAGCTGCCGCGCTACATGGTGGCGTGGCGGAGCGGCGTGGCGGAGCGGCGCGCCGAATCTCCCCCGAGCACAGATTTCCGGTCGGCTGCCCCTCCCCCTCCCCGGCGTGATCGGATTCCCACACAGCAGCGGGTAGGCACCGGAAACCTCAGGCCGTGTTTTATGATTGGGCCATGAAGGAATCGTGACAGTCGGAGAGCCAAGGGAAGGGCTGCGCTCCACAAGTGTACTTTCGACGCGGCCGTCGCCAGGCGAAGCAGAGCGAAGCCGAGCGCCACTCCGCGGCAGAGCACGGCGGAGGCGGAGGGGCTCGATGCTAATTCTGCGGAACAGAGGGAAAGCTGCCATGCTCGTCCTGTAAGCCGGCAAGCTGGCGGTCGGGCAGGCCAGGCAGCATCGTCCCTGTCGAGTGGAGAGCATAGTCCGGCGGCGCGCCCGCCCAAGCGCCCGCCCAAGCTTGCGCCAGCCTGCGGAGCCGAAGATAGGCAAGTCTACGTCAGGCCCGTGTGGCGGGATGGCCTACCCTCAGCTTCACAGGCGCTCCAGCCTCGCGGACGAGTCATTGAAACGCGGTGAGACTTGCAGGCAGCCCTTTCATCGGAATGCACACCGTACCTTTTTGCTGGAGTGCCGGTGGTATCGCACGGGGTGCAGCATGCACATGTAGCGGTCCATGGCCATGCAGATGAGGATGACGGCGCTCTGCTGCGTCAGCGCCCCCCGGAGCAGCGCCTGCGACAAGACGAGAGGAAACCAAAGACAGTCAGTCAGTCAGTCAGTCCGGCCAACTCGCTCACTGCTAAGAAACCAGCGGGCCGATTCCGCGGGCCCCCACGGGACGTCCCGTGAGAGCGAGAGAGACAGACGAATCGGCCGGCAGGGCGTCGATGAAGGGCAACAGGAGGAAAGTGGCCCGGTCGCCGTGGATGACGAGTGAAAAGGAAGAGACGGTGATAATTCAAGAATTGGGTCAACGGCCCTCAGCAGCGCTGCTCGGCGCTCCTGGGACCGGACGACCGGGCGCCGGGCTCCGGGGGCGTAGCGGGCGAAGCGGGGCCCGGTCACTTGGAAGGCCCTCGGAGAGTGCCAACCGGGATGCCCCGGCGGCCCCGACCCTCGCCGTTCCAGGGCGGCCCGGCCTCCAGCCCGGCCTCCAGCCTGGAGCAGGCCGGGGTTGTCGGCAAGATTGTCCCCGTTCCGGAGTGGAGTTCCGGTCCAAACAGGCGTCCGCCCGCCCGCCAGCCACCCTCGCCTGCCTGCCTGCCTGCTTGCCTGCCTGCTTGCCTGCCCGCCTGCCTGCCTGCCGCCTGGCCTACCCGCACCACCTGCCTGGGCTGGCTCGGCTGGCTCGGCCTCGCCAGCCCCGCCTGCTCGGCCTACCCCTCGGCCTACCCGCCCCCACGGTTCACTGGGACCAGTTACTCCGATGGCCGATCTCGAGATATGGACTTGGCCGCGACGCCTAATTGGACAAAAAGACAGAGTGGGGGGAATGAAGGGGACGGCGTTCTGATTTACGGTGGTCAATATTCACAGCCATCTCGATAAGGGCTTCCCTGCCAACGGCGGACGCTAGATTTCTGCATTTCAGCGCAGCGCGGCTCCAATTCAAAAATACAACGCGCGGAAAAGGAGGAGAAAAAGAGAGAAAGAAACGACTTCCTCTGGGGGAATGAGTTATGAAATTACACCACGCGGTCGGCCGTCATGATAACCGCGAGGGGAAGAGAGAGAGAGAGAGAGAGAGAGAGAGAGAGAGAGAGAGAGAGAGAGAGAGAGAGAGAGAGAGAGAGAGAGAGAGAGAGAGAGAGAGACATCCCGAATGGTCCACCCACAGCTGGAGCCCGTATAACCCCCTTCACATGCACGCCCCCCCCCTCCCCCCGCACACACGCACACCAGCACACACACGCTCACACGCACAGACCCACACAGGGCCCGGATGGCAATGGCGTCGTGTTCAAGCTGGCCACGTTGCCAGCTGCGCTTAGAGGGAAAGCCCTGACACACACGGGACCCGTGGCCGCGTGGCGCCGCTTGGCGTAGTCAGTGACTGTGCAGTGTGGCGGTGTCAGTGACTGCGCAGTGTGGCGGTGTCAGCCTGCGGCGGTGTCAACCGACTCAGCCAGCGGCAGCGTTTGGCTAGTTCGAAACCGCACATTCATGCGCGTCAGTCTCGGTTCAAATCAGTTCCGTCTGTGTGTGGTGTGTGTGAGTGTGTGTGTCTGTGTGTGTGTGTGGCGCGAGTGGGCGGGCTGGGCAAGGACGCGCCGATGCAGCATCGCCCCCTCCCCTTCCCCCCCGCCTCACTGCAGACGGCATTTTGCTATTGCCAAGCCTAGGTCAGGGCCACCGAGGGCTCTCTAGGCGCTCTGGGCGCTCCAACCGCTCCAGCCGCTCTAGGGCGGCTCGGCGGGGAAGCGAGGCGAAGCGAGGCGAAGCGCCCGAGTCATTTCCCTCCATGCTGGCGGACATCAATTCTCCGCGCCTCAGCGGCGGCAGCGCGCAGCGAGCGCCTAGCCTCGCGCGGCCTCGCACAGCCTCGCGCGGGGGGCACTGCTTGGCGTTGTCTCGAGCACAGAAACACATAATAGGTTGCCCCCAACCCTTTTCCAAAAGCTGTTTCGTAAAACTTCACCAGACTGACCTCCATAATAAATTCAATTATATCACACCAGATTTTGGTCCGGTCCAGTGATAAAATTTACCACAATACTTTGTGGTTGTTTTTGTTGTTGTCGTCGTTTTTGTTGTTGTTGTTGTTGTTGTTGTTGTTTTGGTGGATTTTTTTAAGGAGTAAAAAGTGTAGGTGGATGTGGCAGCGTGGAAGAGCGAACGAGTATGGTGTAGGCAAACACAGGGGGAGGGGGATATGGGGAGAGCGAGGACGAGGATGATGGATACGACGAGGAGAGAGACAGAGATACATATCCGCTGCGCCCCGCTTGCGCCTACACACACTCACACACCCCCACTCTCCCACCCACACACCGCCACACTCGCACTCGCTCACTCACTACTCCCGCGTGATCGAGTGAGGGGGAGGGAGGGAGGGGGAAAGAGAGAGGGAGAGAGGACCACGAGAGCTGGGCGCCGACTGCACCAAAGTTTGCAAGTAGTCGAGTTCTGGCGGGACATGATACGTCACGACGATTTGCAGTGCAGGCCCGGCCTGGCCCGGCCTGGCCGACGAGACCGTTTTTCGGCTCAAGCGCCGGAATATTGGCCACACTTTCACTGAGTGCCGGCCGCCCAATATGAATATGAATCAGGAGGGCGGCGCGCGATTTTTGTGGCGGAGGGGGAGGAAGTGAATCGGGTCAGGGGGAGATTCACTTTCACGTTTCATGGCCGTCGGCGTGCCGTCCCCGAGGCGGTGCGGCTGGCGTTTACACTGTCGCCCACAGGACCTCCAGGACCTTCAGGACATCCCAGACCTTCAGCCACCTTTGGGGGACTTTCGGAAGCCTTCGGAAACCTTCGGAAAAATTCGGGCATCTTTCGGGAACCTTCGGGACGCGGCGATTAGATATTCAGGCAAATGAGGATAAAGTTGGCGCCAAACGACTCCCGCGAATGTCGGAGATGGCGCCCGGCCGGCCCTGGCCGCCCTGGCCTGGCCCTGGGGCACCGCGCGACGCGCCGAGCCAGCAGCCAGCACCAGCAGCCAGCACGGAGCGTCGCGAAGCGCGGCCAAAACCGCCAAAACTTGCTCCCCGCGAAGCAGAGCGAAACCCTGGCCGGGCAGCGAGGCCGTGGTGGCCGCGCTGGGTAGGCGAGGCGACGGAGCACCGCGTCGGCATCCCTTCTCGCCCTCCTCCCCCTCCTGCTCATCTCCCCCCCCCCTCCTGCTCGCCCCTGGCCGTGCCCATCAGCGCCGATGACAAGGCGATCCATTCATCCATGCAAGTCCGTGTCCGACAGGGTATTAATTACAGTCTCGGCTTTCCGACCATTTTCGCGAGGGGGAAAGGAACAAGCATGGCACAAGGCACAGCGACCGGCCGGGCACAAACAACAAACAACAAGCAACACACCATCATTGCTTTTCTGACGCAGCGTTCTGGAATCTGAGAAATTTTGCGGCTCATTTGTCGCCGTGATGGCGTCGCGTCGCGGCATCTCGTGATTAAAGATTCCCGTATAATGGTGGGGCCGTGGCGGGGCGGGGCGGGCCGGGCCGGCGGCGCGACCGGCGACCCCATTCAAAACCGCGACGAATTCAGATGGCAGGCGACGAGCCCCTAGACGAGTCCCTAGACGAGCGGACGGACGGACGGACGGACAGACAGAGACAGATAGATAGACAAGCGAGCAGACAGACAGACGGAAGGACGAAGGGAAATGCGGACGGATGGGTGGACGTGCGCCGGGCCGGCCAGCCCGAGGGCCAGCCGCAGGCGGACGAGGAAAGGTGGAAAAGAGCGGCGCCCCTAACGCGAATCCTATCCTCATGCCACCACACGGCCCGAGGCCCAAGGCCCAAGGCCACAGCCCCACGGCGCAAGCCTTGGCGCGAGCCCCCACACACAGCAGGTGTTTCATCCGGAATCCCACCGCCGGCCCTCCGCACGGCCTTGCCTCGCCGCGGCGCCGCTGCGCTGATGGACGGGGAAGTGCCCCGTAAGTGGGAAAGACGCGGATCCCGTTGAGTCAGGACGTCAGGGCGCGCCGTCTGGGACCCTCTGCCATTTCCCGCCACGCGCTCACATGCTGGCGCGCACCCACCCACACACTCACTCACTCACACCCACGCACACACACACACACACACACACACACACACACACACACACACACACTTGAGGCCGCCCCGACGTGCCGTGCGCCATAACCCAATTCAGGTGGTTCCCATACACCGGCCTTTACCGTATCGCCGGCTCCGCCCCGCCCCGGCCCGCTTCGCCCCGCTCCGCCTTGCTTCGGCGCGCGTGCCTCCTGCCTGCCGGCACCCGGCGCTCCACGAGGCCACCGAGGCCGATTCGGTGAATAAGGACGGAAGGACGTGGACGGGGAGGGGAGAGGGCGGAGGGGGTGGGGGCGCTGTTTTACAGTGCGGCCATCACGTTTGCAGGCGCCCGCTCCCTTCCAAAACACTTCTCAACATCCCCCGGCACCGCCGCACCGCGGCCCCGGCCCACCTCCCTCCATCCCACGACTATCCCCCCCCCCTCTCTCTCTCTCTCTTTGCCCCCGCGGTGCGTGACAGCACTTGACGGCCAGCTTTTAAAACCACACACGCGCGCTGCGGCGAAAAGCAGGCAAAGGCCTTTCGAAACGCGAAAACATTCGACCTAACAATCCCTCACCCCCTCCCCTCTTTTTCTCCCTGGTCCTCCTCCTCCCTCTCTGTTCCTTTCTGCTCTTTTCTCAAAACCCTTTCACGCAGCTGCCCGCTCCACTCAGTACTTTCCGCACACGCACGCACGCACAAACGCGCAGCAGTCTCAGCCCGCACGGCGTTTCACAGTTTGATGACGCAGCATATCGTGAGCATGTTCGGAGCGTGGCAGGTTTTGTTTCGGTGTACCTTTTCTTTTCTTTTTCCAGAGATTATACGCGTGATCGATAAATTTTAAAAAGCATAATAAATTGAAAACATTGACGTTTTAGTCCAAGGTGCGGTCCGTCATTGCGTATTCCGAACTTTACTTCGTGTACTCCGCCGTCCGAGCGCCGACAGTCTGGCCTCGGAAAATAACGTAACGGTTGTTTTTTTTTGTGTTTTTATGCAAAACCAAGAACTTGCTGAGACAGAAGTCTGGGGTCGGTGCTGGCCCGCTTGCCCGCCAACTTGACGCGCTGCGATCGAGCAAGCGTTCCCCGGCAGGTCGCCCCTCCGGAAGTTCGACGAGCACGACGCGGAGGGGGACGGGGACGGGCATTGCGAGGGATGATGGCAGAAAAAGAATCTGCTAGATTTTTCTCGCCCCTTGATGAGGCTTACTTACAGAAGCTTATCTCCCACAAGCCCCCCCCCCCTCCTCCTCTTCCTTCTTCAGAAAGCCGCCCCACTGGAGCCCCTCCCCCCTCCCAACTAATCTGGCCTCCTTTCTCCGACCCTCGCGGCCTGGCCCGCCTCCACTCAATCCTTTTCGTGTTTCACAGTTGGCAACGATCGTGTTAACACGCTGGGCTGCGGAGTAAACGTTCCAAACATTCCCGCAGGCTTCGACGCCCCTTCTGGTCTCGAGGCTTCTGCAGCATCCTTCTAAGAGGTCCGTACCACTTAAAGAGAGCCTAAATTAGACCGACAAAAACTAGACCTATCTACTTTGATCGACCTGAATTAAAATATACAATTAAAAAATTCAGTAAAAATATTGGCATTTTTGACTGACAGGTAGGTCAAAATAATGGTCGGTGCACCGATGCGCCCCGCAATCATCTTCCAGACGACGTTTGACAGAAAATGGATGAAAAATACGGAACTCTACACCTCCTCCCCAGTCTTTTTAATTTCACGGGGTGGTTGTGTACCACATTAATACCCCCACTGTCCGGCGCTTCCGTACCGAACATACAGCAATCAAAGGCCAGTTTCAAAGATTGCCTCCCCGATGAATCAAGGAGGCGCCACCCGCCGTCGGGGATAAATCCATCGCGCTTGCGCAGTCACTCGGCTAATGTGACCTTGACCACTGCGCTGTCATGCTGTGCCTCTAGCCGTGTGTTCGGGGACGGGTTTGAGCTGCAGCGGGAGGAAGGCAGTCGAAAAATGTTCCGAAATGATGTGCGATTGCAGCGATTGCAGGATCTCACTGCCGGGATCGCACGGCCTTTTCGCTCTCGGAACCTTAAACCACCGAGGCTCCTGAAAAAGCTCCCCCAGGTAGTCAACCTTCCTTACACGCCGAGAAGAGACACAGCGAGATAGACTGACACAAAAAACAGACACACAATGCTCCTCCCTTATAAAAAGAGGGCAGTCGGCGGTACTCGAACCCGTACCTCCCCGCGCTCTGTCCGGGCGGGGGCTCGTGCCGTGTCGTTTAATAGAATGGAGATTGCTTCGGCAACTTCCTTCCCTCCACCGTGCGGTGGGGAAAAGGGGGGGGCAGCAAAACGACGACTGCAAATAAGTAATGAGGAAGAGTGAGTGAGGCCAAACGGGGCGCGGGGCGGCGGGCCGCGGCCGAAAGCGCCCGATCGTCGTGGGGTAGGCCAGCACGCCGCGCACGCCTGTTCCGCGGCACAGCCCGCCAGCCGGGCGCTACACGTCGAGATGCTGCTCACACTCACCTGGATCTGGCAGACGATCTCGCCGAAGGGCCAGCAGTGGTTGACGGAGGGCACCAGGGCGAAGGGCGTGACGAGCAGCCCGATGGCCAGGTCGTTGCTGGCCAGCGACGTGAGCAGGTAGCGCGGCTGCAACAGTGCAAAAGCCGCTCAGTTCTTGCGCTCGCCAGCATTCAGAACAGTGCTTCCGTCGCTCTGTCCCTCTCGCACCCGTGTGGCGCTCGATAGAGAGCGAGAGAGACAGAGCGCCGGAGCTGTTGGGAACTCGACGTCGGCGCCGCCGACGGGGCGCCCGATTTCTTCTCGTGACAGCGCCCCGGCGGCGGCGAGGCGGCCGTGTTTTTGTAGGCGATCGGCCGCCACGCCGACACACGAGGCGCTGCCTCTGCTCCGCGCTCCGCAAGGGAGTCTCGACCAGCCCGCCAATTTATTTAAATATGAAATGGGAATGGGCCCCTCCCTGCATCCAGCCGCCAGCCCTCGACCAAACGGGCTGGCAGCGGTCGGGGCGCGGGGCGGGCCGCGGGGCCACTGGGACGACACTGGGACACTGCCAGACACGACCAAGGACCCCGGGCGCCACCGGCCAAGGACACGTACGCCGCAGACAGCGCCTCGGCGACACGTCAGCAACCGGCAGTGACTCGTCAGTGACACGTGAGCGACCCAACAAAATGACATGCCAGTGACATGTCGGTGACGTGTCAGAGACACGCAAGGAACTCGACCACGGCTCGTCATTAACAATCAGCGATTCGTCAGGGACACGCCAGTGACACTTCAGCGATTCGAAAGTGACACATCGCACGCACCTGCTCGTGGATGTACTTGGAGTAGCGCCGGCTGTTGATGACCACGATCAGCATGAGGTTGGCGCCGACTACGCCCAGCGACAGGATCAGGACGATGGTGGCCTGGGCGACGTCCCCGAAGGACACACCCGAGGACACAGAGGTCAACCTGGAAAATACGAGTGAAAAGTCCGCGTTGAACTTGAAAGCTCTCGTGCCGCGTCGCGCGTCGCCGCGTCGCTGCGTCCGGCCGCGCGTCTGCCCCTCGGGCTGCCCTCTGTGAAGCGCACAGGTAATTTGCAGACTCCGTTGGCACCCCCGTCCTCGGAAAAAAGGGCAAAGTCCGACACAAACGATCATCCCCCTCCGCTCCCCCTCCCTCTCGGCCAAATCCCTGGCCGCCGGTCTGCGAGGCGCTCGGCGTGGCGCTCGGCGTGGCGCGCCGTGTCGGCGAGGAGGGCGGCGATGGCGGCGAGGCCCGCGGCTCCCCAAATCTCCTCGCCTCTCTTTTGGGACCTTTTCATTTGACTGGTGGCGGGGACCGGCGAGGACACCATCCTGACTGGCTTCAAGGAGAGAAAGAATCCGGGCTGGGCGCGCGCTGGTGGTGGCCCGGGGCCGCCGGGGCCGCCCGGGGCGGTGGCGGGGGTCGGCTCAGAGGGAGACCGTTCTTGGCCCGACCCGACAACGGCGTCCCCCCGCCCCGCCCCGCCCCATCCACCCCGTCCGAGACCCCGTCGGGTACACGAGGAAAACAGAGGGTGGGCACGGTGCGGCCAGCCGCAGCCGCGCAGAGAATCGTTTCAATTTATTGACACTCGCGGTGACGACGCGACGACGCGGCGACGCGGCACGCGAAGCACGCCGCCCGAGGATTTGGCCGCGATTGGTGGGATTGCCGACGGAGGCCCTCGCTGATTGGAAACGCGATAAAAATAATAATATTTCCGGAAGACGGCCGTGGCGAGGCCTGGATCTTCTCCACTCCGCCCGTCCTTCGGCGGGAATGGAGTCGAATAAGAAGAGAGGAAGATGCAGAAGACACGCGCCTAACGAGACGGGCTGAAGGACGCACGCGGCGGCGCCACGCAGCGTCACACTGCGTCACACAGCGTCACACAAACGGGCAAAGACAAACTAGCACTTGCCTATGCGAGTCACGCTGCGAGGCGCGGTGGAGGGGAAGGGGAGGGGGAAGTCAACTTCTGATCGCGTTGCGCCGCGTCTCCTGCCGGGGCCACGGCGGCGTGGCGGCGTGGCGGCGTGGAGGCGTCGCGCGGCGCGTCGGAGCTCCCCGTTGTTGCTTTTGAAACGCGCAAGAAAGTCGCCGTGCAAGTGTTAAGTTTTGTGCAAGCAGCCCGCTGCCACGCCGCCACGCTGCCGCGCCTCGCTGCCGCGCCGGGTGGCTCATCAAGACGTACTCGCCTCGTCACTTTAAAAACGCCAAGGACTTCCAGAGGGCCGTGGCTGGGGGCAGGGAACGACACAGTGGTACCCAGCGGTGCCTCCCTTGCATGGGGCGTGCCGCGAGGGGGTGAGAGAGACAGAGCGACGAAAGCCGCGTTCGGAAACAGCCTGCCGGGTGTGTCAGAATAGTAGACAGAGACAGACTCACCTGACGGCGCCGCACGTGCTGTTCGCCAGAGACGGGGGCACTAGCAGGGCCGAGCGCTGCTCCGCGCCGCGGTACAGCATGACGCGGTGGCCGCCCAGTCGCCGCCCAGTCGCCGCCCGCTCTGCTCTGCGTCCGCCAGCCGCGAGCTCCACAGCCAGCCACGCAGTCAGCCACGCAGTCACGGCCGTCAAACAAACTCTCTCGTTTTCAAGTACGAAAAAAAAAGCGCGGAAACAAAAAATTCTATCACAGATATCGCGTGGCAGTGAGTCAGTCGTGCTTAAAAGTGCTAGTTATTGAGCAATGTTGTGCGTGTGGTTCGTTCGTGCCGTCATCGTCCTCGCGCACGACCTCGACGGCCTCGGCGGCAAGCCGCCCGTCGGCGCGGACGGGCGTGCGGGCAGGGCGGGCGCGGCCCGGGACAGCCAGCCCCGGCCCAAGGATCACTGCAACAACAACAACAAGACAAGCCGCACTGTTAAACCTGCAGAGCAAGCACTTTTTGATTTGTCGTTGGAAACTGACAAAACATCCCCTGTCGTGTTATACTACCAAGTTTCCTCGGGTTGCCGACACTCCGCTGTCGCTATCAGTCAAAAGAAGGGAGATACTGCGTGACACTGCAAGATACGGTGGGGCGCCATGCAGAGGAGCCCAGACTGACAGACAGACCGGAGACACGCGGGCGGGCGGGCGGGCGGACGGACAGAGGAAGGAGGGCGTGGGTCGGGTCGGTAGGGCCGTGCTCGTGTGCTGAGTGCTTGTTACTGACTTTCCAGTTTCCTCATCGTCGGGTCGGAGGCTGGGAGGCTCGGAGGCTCGGAGGAGGCAGGCCGACGCCAGGCCACCCAACTCGCCCCGCCAACATTTCCCCAGCAGATACTCCAGCGTGTGTGCCCCGGCCCCTTTGTGAGGAGGGAGACATCAGAGACAACGGCGTACGAGGCGTGCGTGGTTCAAAAAGGCTAGGAATGCCGCGACGGCCCCCTTAAAATGCTTCAGGCCCGCGCCGTGCCTTGCCGTACCTCGCCGCACCGCGCCGCCCCGCCCCGCACTGCGGCGACGACGACGTCGTAGAGTTGCGTCCTTAATTTTTAATCCGCGGAGTGGAGTGCGGCCCAAGGCTCTGATCGCCACACTGCAAGTCGGCGATGCTGCGCGGTGCCGTTTGTTTGCCAAGTTACCTGGTGGCCAGGCTGGCCAGGCTGGCCAGGTGCTGGAAGGTGGTGGCCTCTGCGACGGCGAGGGGGCGCGCGCTGGAACCTCCACGTCGTGCTCCATGACGCCCTCCGCCCATCGCCCGGCCCCGTCAGCCCTGGACGCGCCTGGCAAAAAAATCACAAAACAGAGAAAAAGTTGTAAAAAAAAAGTTAACGCGTGAGCGGGCGCTGGGTGCGGGGCGGCGGGGCGCGGAACCGAGCCGGTCCACACTTTTCTATCCGGGGCGACAGGAAGTGGTCCCCACGCGACCAGGCAGCCCAGCGACGTGTCCGGGCAGAAAAAGCGTAACTGTATGGGAAATCCTATACAGTTACGCCTTTTCTGCCCGGACACGTCGCCAGGCAGCCGGGGATGAAGGAGCTGCTCGCTCGGCCAAGGCCGCGGACGGAGCGGTGCGGAGCGGTTTCGCCGAGTTTGTGAACAATTACAATTTTCAGGTCGTTTCCGACGTCTGGGGGTTGGACTGGTTGGACTGGCGTCTCCGCCGTTTCCCTGCCGCGCCTGGGCTGCTCGCTGCGGTTGCCCCTCCCCTCCCCTCCCGCTCCCCCTTCCCCCCGACTAGCGCGTCCTCTTTAACGGCCACCCACCCGGGCAGCATTTCAAGCAGGAGAGGAGCGGGCCGGGACGGGAGCCAGGACGGGAGCGGGAGCGGAGTGGATCAAAGGGACCAAGTCAGGACTCCCCGCGCTCCGTCGGACGCGCAGCCAGGCCGCCGCGCGGTGTAGGATGTAGGCTAGAGTGATGTGTCCAGATGAGGTAATTTGCATGGTGATGCCCGCGAATGTGTCACCCGGAACCCCGACCCGGCCCGGCCCGCCCCGGCCCACCCCGCACGGCACGTCGCTAGGCCGGCAGGGGGGGAGGGGCAGCGGCAGGGCGGGCTCAGGTTCTCCGTCCGGGAGTCCCTGGGGGAGGAAAAGGAGGGGGGGCAGCTGTGTTCACAGATTCTTGATCTCAGTCATTACACGCCGCCTCTCGGGCCGTGGCGGTCGAGGCCGTGGCGCAGGGCTGCGCAGGGCGCGTGCTGGCCTCGGCCTCGGTGTTTCTGGGGTAAGACCGAGATCGGGGCGCCGATTGCGCCCACCGACAGGGAGCTGCGGCGCTGCCGCGCTGCCGCGGTGCTCCCGCTCTTCGCTCCGCTGCAGACTGATTCCGAGGGTTGTTCCCTGTCTCTCTCGCACTCATGCGTCGTCGTCAAGTGCGAGAGAGACAGGGCGACGAAACCCACTTTCGGAATCGGGCTGCTGCCTCACTTTACAAAGGCGATGCATCTCTGGCAGGACCCAGCGAAGCACGCGGCGTTTAGACGCTGTCTAGTCGTTGGCGTTCAGGGCAGGGTGATGGTGAACGCTGCCGGCCGGGCCCTGCTCGCCATGGAGCGGCACTGCGAGCGAAACTTACCGAACGGAAAGAAAAGAAAGCCGGAGCGGGATAAAGACATCCATCCCTAAAGCCCCCTCGCCGGCCGTTCGAGCCGCCCCCGCCGCGCTGGTCCACCTGTGTGTAAACACAGCCAGGCATCATGGAGGCGCGTGGCACCGTGGCGGCACTGCGAGGCCCGGGGAGGGGCGGCACGGGGCGGCACGGGGCGGACCGTGCCAGCACGTCGTTTACGCTAAAGTCCCGCGTCTTGGAGGCCGACACGCTCGGCATGGCTCGGCATGGCTCGGCACCTCATTTGGACCCCTCACTCCCCCCCTCCCCACGCCAGCGCCAGTCCTATTACCTTTTCACCGCCGGCTGCCTGCTTCCATTCCCAGTGTGCGTTGCAGACAAGCGCGGAGGGCGCGGCTCGCCGTGCAGCGCGGCTTAAACTGCAGCGCTCGCTTGTAAAGCGCGCTTGTAAAGCACCGCACAACGACCCATTCAGCCCGTTTGCAATCCTTTTAACTCGCGCTCCGAGCGCTCCCGGCGCCCCCGACCAGCCCCCGACGCTGCCGTCCGCAGCCAGCGGGCAAGGCGGGCAAGGCGACGCCGTGCCGCCGCACTGCCGCCACGCGTGTCCGTCACGCGAAACGCAATGCGTGCGCGACATCGGAATTGCAATGTGTCGCCGAGGCGGACGGGACGGACTGATGGGCGGACGGACGGGAAAGTGAAAGCGAATCCGACGTTTTGCCGTGCCGGCCGGAGGGGGAGGCGGGGGAGGGGGAGGGGGAGGGCCAGCGCAGCAACGCGTCGCTCAAATCGGGTCGGGATGTCAGACGCAAGGAAACGGCGGGGAATTTCCGAGGAAAAGGCGAAGAAAGGAGGTGTGGGTGCAGACATCGCAGACATCGCAGACATTGCAGACGACTGTGTGATTTATTGCAGGGGCGATCGGGAGCGAGGTAGTGGCGCGGCCTGTCCGCGCAGCTCAGCTGGATGATTGACTTGACACTCTTTCCCCTCTCCCTTTCCTAACATTTCCCTTTCCTCGTCGCCCTGCTCGAGAGGGAGAGAGCGCGCGCGGACGGGCGGACGACGAGCCCTTACCCTGTTTTCTGCAAAATGACTTGTCGCGGGAGCGGTAAAAGGATTTGCCCTGTCTGTTTGCGATATTGCTTTGCAGTGTAGGACTCGGCACGGCCCCGTCCCCTTCCCTCCCCTCATTGGTAATTCGATATACCTCTGATGGGGGCTGCCGCGGGTCTGCGCCCGCCCGCGCCGCCTGCCGCGCCCTCGCGCGGGCGCCCTGCCCTGCCGCGCCCTGCCCTGCCGCGCCCTGCCCTGCCGCGCCCTGCCCTGCCGCGCCCTGCCCTGCCGCGCCCTGCCCCGCGCTGCCCTGCCATACCCTGCCCTGCCGGGGCCCTTCTTGGCAGCCTCGCACGGGGCCGCGGGGCCTCCTGGGGGTTCTCCCGGAGAAGGACCCGAGACCGGGGCACCTTGGGGCTCAAGGCTGGAGGGGGCGCAAGAAACGGGCAGGAGAGAGCGAGAGCGAGAGAGAGAGAGAAGTGTGTCGAGTAGTGTGGGAAGGCGGACGCTAGCTGGCTTAGCGGTATGATTCAGTAGGATACTAGTGTCAGCCTGGGTACCTGCTGCCTCCTAAAAACAGACCCTGGAGATTGTCCCGACCTCCCTTTAGTGGTGTCGCGTCCTCGAAACGGCCAGAGCATTTCCTCACATTTTCCAAATGGCTTCTGATTTCTCTTTTGTCTCTGTCCTTAGAGGCGCAGGCAGAGGCGTGGTTCGGATGCAGGCCACATGACGCAGTCACCTTGGGGTGGTTAAGCTACCCCTGCTTAAGGCCCTTAAAGCACTCCATTAAGGACAAGCAGGACCAGCAGACCCTCGCGGTGGCTGGGGGCGGTTTGGGGCGTTTACGCGTGCGTTCGGTACGTGTAGGAGGGGGCCGACCGACCGCTGCGGGCCCTTCGTGTGTCCACCGACGACGTCAACGAGACGAGTACCTTCCACTTTGATTCGCTTCACCGTCACCAAGCAAGCCACCGCATCACCTCATCCCCCCCAGCGACGAGCACGGCAAACCAGTCCGGTCAAAACTGTTGTGAAGAAACTACCGCCGTCCCGCCGCTGTAGAAGAAGTTTGCAGTGTAGTGGCCGGCGGGCTGGGACAGCGGCGGGACGGCGAACCACCCCCGTTCATTCTGAGCACCTCAAACGCAGCATTGTTGTCGAGGTTCGAAGTTGCCGGCGCCGCCGCGTTCGCCGCGTTCGCCGCCCGGCCGAACGACGTCCCTGCCTGCCTGCCTGCCTTATCTCACCGCCCCTCCCCTCCCCCCCCCCCCTCCTCACGCCGGGCCCTCGTACCTTCTTATCTCCGGCCCGGCCTCTCTCCGTCTCTCTCGCACACACGGCGTGATAAGGACTGGCAGACCCCCTGTTCCAATCCCCTCCGCCCTGTAACGAGTACGACATGTGCACCCCTTCCCCCTCTCACTCTCACTTTCCCGCCTCTCCCCCCCCCCTCTCTCTGCCTCTCCTTGTCTTGTCTCGCGAGATTGGAGCAGCCGAGGATGAATATTTGACGCGGCGCGCGAGAGGGCGTCGCGAAAAGGAATAAACGCTGGAATTGCACCGCGCCACACGGCCGGATGGACGCAGACAGACAGACGGACAGACAGACAGACAGACAGACAGACAGACAGACAGACAGACATACAGACAGAGAGACAGGCAGGCCGAGTGGAAAACACGCACGGCGAGTGCACGCGGCTCGGCGCAGCGCGGCGCGGTGCATCCCGGCCGTAATGTCCTTTTTTTCGCCATTTCTCCATTTCGCTGATAATGGCGAGCCACTTTATCGGGCGCAGCGCCCCTCGGCGCCGCCACACTGGAAAAGAGGGAGGGGGGAGGGGGGCTGCCGGAGCGGTGCGTGGGACAGATGCGTTCCGGAAGGCGCGCGCGGGGTTGCTGCTGCATATCTGGGCTTCGAACCCCCAGCCACCAGCCTGCCACCAGCCCCAGCCGATGACGGCTTGCCGCGGGCCAGAGAGGAACAAAGCGCGCTTCGTCTTCGTTGGGCGCCGGAAGATACCAGTTCCCGGGCGAAACAAGAAAATTCTTGCCCGGGGATGTGGTTTCTCGGCGTTGTGGAAAATAGCATCATTTCGCGCTCATCGATTAGTCGATTATTCGTGCAGTCAGACCCTCGGCGGCAGTGGAGGTGCATGTGTGCACAGTGTAGGAGGTGCCGATCAGGAGGGACATCATCTCCTCCATGTAGGGAGGAGTGTTTGCTGGCGGCCGCAGGCACCACGGTACGGATCAGGCCGCGCGGCCGCGGGCCTGGATGCGGCTAGCGAGGCCGGCGAGGCCGGCGAGGCCGTCGACATGGGTTCGACGGCGTCGCCGCGACAGGCAGCGACTTGGCAACCACGGCCGGCGCGCTGAATGGAAAGGATTTTATTGAAATGGCGCATGGCAGGCCCGAGTCATATATTAATCGGATTGTGGGGCCGTTGTGGGCACGGCCCGGCGCGGCCCCTCACCGACGTCTTCGTGGGGCGTGGCGGGGCGTGGCGGGGCGTGGCGGGAGCCGAGGGGACGCCCCACCGCAAATCCGACTTTGGCCCCGACGACGCCGGTCCAGAGATGCGACGCTGCCCCCTCCCCCCGCCCTCTTTTTTTCTACATCCAACGACTCCCGGTCCTGATACACCCCTCTCGCGGTCCCCTACCCCCATCATCAGGCACATGGCCCCACGTATAACACGTCCCACACAAGCTGGGCCTATCATCGCCGCAGACAGCCCCCTCCCCCTGCCTCCGCCCCCACGCCCTTTTCTCTGAACCTTAAAAATAAAACTGGCGGCCCTGGTTCGATGCCGTGCTAGGGAACGTCAGTCCTCGACGAACAGTGTAGTGCAGTGCAGTGTACCGCGTGCGTGTCGCCGTATCACTAAATGTACACGATTCCTGAACACGACGCCAGAAGTATATCTACGATCCACGATTCCCCGATCCACGATGAAAGAAAGCACGCCGGTCTGTTTGTCTGCACTGGGAATGAGAGAGTCAATTTTGGGCGAGAATTCCTTCACCGCCCAAATTTTGGCGAGGATCGCTCCATCGCCCAATTTTCGCAAATTCAGTCCGCGTCACCACGGCCTGCTGCGGCTCACCGTGTGCGTGTCCCGATCCTCAGATGCCACACGATCCGGGAACACAAACGCCAAAAGTAACACGCCCAGTTCATCCACGGTTGCAGAGAAAGCAGACGGCTGTTTGCCCTTCAGGATGATTCAGTCTCATTTATTCCAAAATTCCCACATCCCAATTTGGGTCGAGGATCGCTCCATCGCCCCAATTTTCGCAAATTCGTCCGCGTACACCACGACTGCTGCGCTACCTGTGTGGCTGATTCCCTAGCCTCGCAGTCCCCACCAGCGGAACTGGAGCGAAGAGGGGCGGTCAGAGCAACACGTCAGTCATCCACGGGGTTTGCAAGACCGATAAGCAGACAGCATTCATCAGTCCTTCAGGCCTTATTCACTCTCATTTATTCCACATGGGTCACCGACATCCCACATCCCTGTCTATATCAAAGACTAGTTAGTTCTTTAACGCTATCTCATCCGTCAAAGCTATGTTCCTTGTAACTCTTAACCTCTTGAAGCTTTGGGAAATTTGTTCGAAAAGTGCACAAGGGACTTAATTGTTACAAAGCATAACTTTATTTTTCACTTTTTTTCCCTCTGTCACTTTATTTAAGTAACGATTTGTTTTGGGTTAAGCTTAGTTTTGGAGCCCTGCAGCATACATCAAAACATTCTCTCAGAAAAAAAGAAAAACAAGAAACAGAAATGGGATTAATGCTGTGACGCTGGGGGTAGCTGGGGGTGGCTGGAGGGGGAAGGGGGGGGGGGCGTCCGGAGAGCGCGTCAGCGACGCTAGCCGACGCAGGCGGCGAAGTGACTGGTGGCGCGGGCGGCCGACATGATGCCCTTGCCCGCCACGCACGAGCCGAAGGCGGGCGGCCCCATGGTGACGGTGGGCACGCACACGCCCAGCACCTTGGCCGCGCCGCCCGGGAACGCCTTGAGCTGCGACGTCAGGCAGTTCTTGATCTTCTGCAGCTTGGCGTGCGCCGCCGGGGACAGGTGCGGGTGTGGCACGTGCCAGTTCTTGGGCAGGTGCGGGTGCGGCATGTGCCAGTGGTGCCCCGCCTTCGGGGGCGGCGGCTTGTGGGGCGGCGGTGGCCCCGCGTCCACCTGTCGGTCGAAATCGGTACTCGTTTACAGTGGACGTCGCAGGTGCCGGGAGTAGAACCCGATTTCGGCCGCACGCGCGCAGCCTGCCGCCGCGTTAAACAAAGTCTGGCGCAGCGACGGCGAGCGCGCGGCCTCACGTACCAGCAGGGTGGACGCCAGCACGGCGAGCACGGCGAGCAGGGCGCCGCACATGAGCAGACGGCCGGCCATTGGCGGAAGGGAAGAGGAGGAGCTTTGCTGTTTGTTGCACCTCGGGGGCGGGCGGTTTCTCAAGTGGCGTCGATACGCCGCGCGGCGTGACTTATACTCGCCCCGCGGGCTGCTTGCGAGACGCCGCCGCGCCGCTCCGTCTCTCTCGCACTCGCGGGGCGTCCCGAACGTCCCGTAGGGCAGCGAGTGAGGCAGGGCGCCGTCGCGGAGTCAGCCCGCAGACAGCCGGCCGGCCCCGCCAGAGAGCCGAGCCCCAAACGGCCGCCGCGCACGCCCTGAACGACGGCCAGCACCGGCCTGCGTGCCCCATGGTGCCCCATGGTGCCCCGCGACGCCAACGTTACTTGTTAATCGGGCCGAGGAGCTCTACGACGGACGCACGCACACGCACACACGCGCACACACGCGCGACCAGAGGGTGGACCAAGGCCGATGGATTTGTTTTGCCCGCTACTCAGTCTGCTAGGTTGGTACGCTTTCATAATCTGTTCAACTGTACTGAGGTCGTGAGCGCCGTCTGGGTTTGACGACGTGACGTAATGAACTCGTGTTTCGGACTCACGATTAGACTCAGTTAGTTGTATTTATTGAGTTTTTCATATTTTTCGTTTTTATTTTGTTTTGCATTTTGCTTTGGTTTGGAGGTAGCCTAGGGTGGTTTGGGTAGTTTGGGTACTTTAGCCTCATCATCATCAGCCCTGTTTAGGCCTCGGCAGACCTCTAGCGTTCGAGTAAGCAACTGCAATAAACTTATTAGGACTCGCAGTCTGAAACCTCAAAAACAGGTGTCGGCGAAGTAAATCCACGACACGGACTGCTACTCGAGCCAAATCACGACCAGTGTATTTCGTGTTTACTCCATGCAGACGGCGAGGTGCATGTGCAGGTTGATGCGCGACTTGGCCGGGAAGACGCCCTTGCCGTTCACGCAGGCCGCGATGGCGCCCACGTTGAGGCCGGCGTCGGCGCAGTCCTTGGCCGCGCCGCGCAGGGCGTGGGTCAGGCCCGGCGTGGTGTCCAGGCAGTGCTTCAGCTTGGTGACGGCGGGGTCCTCTCTGGCATGGGCGTCGCCCTGCAAGGATGAAGTACTACACTGGCACTCTCCGACCCACGAGCCTTACCTCACTGAAAACTTAAGTGTAGTAGGGACACACATGGCCATGGAGCACTGAAGCGTGCGTACTGCGTGCACACTTGGAGCACCTGAGTGGTCACTCAAGTTCTGAGAGCGGGCACTTCACCCAAAGCCATTACCCCACTACTCTTTTAAAACATTTTTGTGGCTGAAACTCGATTGAAGTGACTGGGAGCGTTGTTGTCGGCTGACTTACGGCGCGCGAGGCGACGGCGACGGCGAGGATCAGGATGAGCAGAGCGTTGCCGTCCATGGCGGTCGTCGGAGTGCGTTTGAGCGGTGCGCACGCTTCGGGCCCGCCGTCGTCCGCCTCGGCGCAGTTCGTGACCGGCCGAGGCGGCCAGCACGTCGGCGAATCAAAAATCGGACACGCGTTGTTATCGTAACGAAAATGTCTCGTTCCAACGGGCTGAGGCTTTAAATATGTATGTCACAGCACGTACGTTACGTGGCCAAGGCAGTGCACGTGGCCCACATGGGGCGCTCCCCCGAAACGGGTCAAAGTTATGAGAATTTGCGGGGAAAACAGAGCAATTCGCTGCAGCCATTACTTCTTACATCAAACCGTGGTTGGGGCAAACAACGTCAACCAACTTAACGAAACAGGAAAAAATGTGGCTTCGAGGCAGAGCTCCCTCCCGAGTTCCCCTTCCGCCAGGCTCGCCGCCAGCCAGCCACCCCGCCTGGGGCCTGGCCTTCCGGGCCGCAATGCAGGCCGTGCCGCAGGCCATGCCGTCGACGGCGACCTCGGCGGTCGGGGCGGTCGCCCTCCTTACATCAAGCGGCGGAAGCACGCCTCACCGGAAACATCCCGAACGACGCATGCACCGCCTGGCCTAGGCCTTGCGCGGCTTGCGGTTCGAGGGGAGAAGAAAACGGGCATGAAAAAAGGGGAGGGTCTTTGTCTGCGTCAGCGGCAGGCAGGGGGCGAATCACTTGACGTCCCTCTCCGCCTTCGCCGCCCCCCCCGCCGCCCCCGGAGCGACCCGATATCGCCACGCCAGTTTAGCTCGCCGCCGTTTTATGAGTCACGCGTCCAAGTTTGTTTCATGGCAAACTGCAACTGCTGGCCTGACCCTCTTGCCTCCCAGCCCCTCCCCGCCGGCGGCCGTCCCCCGGCAGGCTGGCCGGGCTGGCCCCAAGCAGTGCGAGGCGAGCGGCGCGGCCAGTCCGGCCCCCAGCTGTTTTATAGGCTCTCGAGCATTGCGTCGGACTGTATTTAGCGCCCCCAGCAGTGAACCCAGCCTGGCGGCCCCGCTGGCCCTGCAGACCCCGCTGGCCCGACGGCCTGCCGACGGCCGGCACCCTCTCGATGGCTTGTCGCCGTGGTTTGTGGTGCGGCGTCGGCCTGGTCGCCTCGGGGTGGGAATCGCACTGTCGAAGTAAGCAGAAACGAGGTCCCCACTCTTTCAGGCGTGGATATGCATACGCGCCACTCGTGCCTGCGCCCTGCGCTCGCTGGCTCGCTGTTGTCTTCCGGAATCTAGGCACTGTCACAAAAATAAAGCTGGATCGACTTAAATTTAGGACATGTCGTTCTACGGCTCTTGTTTATGTTTCCTATACTGTTTCTTAATGTTTTTTCTTTCGTTTCAGCGTGGCTTTTCTCAAATTACGTCAAAGTCTTCATGATGTATTCGACTGCGATGCCTTCTATCTCCCGAGACGCGGTCACCTTTGAAAACTCTACACTAAAATCGACCAAATTTTGTTTTGAGTCGAGTAATAATTTTATCAGGGGTCTGAATGATCAAAACATAGTCGATTCTCCCTTTTTTTCCTCTTTTTGACAGTGACAGCACTGCTCTCCGACTGAGTTCTGCAGGGGACTTCCCCAGAGGCTTGTCGCGGCGGGGAGCAGGGGAGTAGCGAGCAGCCCCTCAAGGTTGGTTTCGACGCAGTTTGATAGCGATCGTCGCAACCCGCCCCTCCCCCCGCCCGCCCCCTTTGCACCTCATCAAGTAACACTTGGGGTCCCACAGGACACGACGAGAAGTTCCGACGCAAGAGTTTGTCCCTCCCATTGTTTACCACTCAAACCGCGCCGGCGGCAGACCGCCGTGTCATGAATATGACATTCAGACGTAAGAAGAGGAGCACAAAAAAAAATTCCAACGTATTGCGCAGTGACTCGGGATCGGAATAACTACTTGAATTCAGCACTGTAAAGGATTATACGGTTTCGGGATGTTAAGCTGTCAGCAAAAAGGAAGCAGCCATTGCATGTTTCGGTTGGCAACAATTATCATGCTCTGCGCCTGCTCTCTTAAGAAAACCGTGAGGTGGAAGAAGCGAACAGTCGCTCATTCAAACAGCCCCTCTATTTTTGGTTAGGGGAACTGTTTTACGAGCTTTTAGATACTGCGGTTCTCTCAAGTCATGGTTTGCTCAATTCTTTTAAATAGGTTTTACTCACAACGTGACTACAGTACGGTGGTCGGGTTTGACAAATTTTATAAACTCGCAGGAGGGATATTGTCATTGTACAGGAGTTTACTTCTGTTCGGGGAAATTGCCATACAATGAAAGTGAAACCTATTGTTTGCAGCCCCACGCTTTTGTTGTTTGTTAGCTGCTCCTTTTTTGGCGCGACGGTACGGTCAGGGGAGACACGGCGCGTGCATAACCAGCGGGTGGAAACTCTGTTGCCAAAAACGGCATGCAAAGGTTTTTGTGCAGCTTAGATCTCGGAACCCAGAGGTGGTAGGTGAAATCCGAGGTCATATTTGGAATCCTCATAAAATTTCACTCGGCGTAGGACATGTTTAGTGCCAGGGCCAAAGGAAATGGTCAGTCATTTTTCCATGAGAAAGTAAAAAAACAGGTGAAAAACGCTCTGGGACCAGGATAGAAATTTACGCTTTATCCCGAAAATTGCTATTTGGTCATGCTTAATGTGAGACAACGGTAAGGCCAATTCAAATTCTGAGTACAGATATGAATTCAGCGTGCTTTCGTGTGTGCATTCCACCTATAGGTTTCAAAGAAGGAGGGCCTGTACCCTTTAGAACACGCAGTCAACGGCAGACTGTTTTGTAATTTTATGCAATACAATCGCTGCATACCCTCTCTCAGTTTCACGGCAACGGTTCTCTGTTATTTTGGTGTGTTGACGACTCCCAGGCAGCGTAATGCACAGGAAATTTCCTCAGGATTCAGAATATGACCTCAGAATTCACCTACAAGGTCCCGTTCTCTTGCATTAAGTGTTACCACAAAACAATGCAACGTTTCGATCATGGTCCCACAGCGTTTTTTCTCCTTTTTTTCTTTTTCTCATTGCAAAATGACCGACCATTTCCTTGACCTCCCACTCCAAACATACCCTACGCCGAGTGAAATTTTATGAGGATTCCAAATATGACCTCGGATTTTACCTACCACCTCTGGGTTCCGAGATCTAAGGTGCACAAAAAACCTTTGCATGTCTTTTTCGGCAATAGAGTTTCCACCCGCTGGCATAACCGAGCTCTACACATCCACACGCGCAAAACGATGAAATAAATGAAAGTCGGGACGGCTTTAATTCGGACAACTGCAGATCAATTCCCAGGCGACGGCGGCGGGGGTTCCGGCGGGACAGTGCAGCCCCCTTCCACCCCCCCCCCTTTCCACCCCCTTCCACCCCACCCCGTCACCGTCACTTGGCCGCGGGGCACAATAAAACACGAGCCGGGGGAAGAAACACACAAGGGGTGGGGGCGCCTCAGCCGAGTGACTGAACCCCAGGCCCCGGGGTGGCCCCGCGAGCCCGCCGCACTGCTCCGGTCCGGACAGTGCTCGCCCCGCGCTTGCCGCCATCCGGACCGAGAGTGTGGACGGACCGGCACGGCACGGCCACCCCACCGGTCCGCATCCGAGTGCTGGCTGCAGTGGTGGCGGCAATGGTGGCTGCACCGACGGTCGGCCGGTCGGCCCGCGCAATCCTATTTGCTAATAAGCCGGCCAGCTTCGGCAGCGTGGGCAGGCTCGCCGAGCGTCGATTCTGTTTACTGACGCCGCATATTTCGTTACCTTGTTTCATGTTTTCATCGTGTGATAGCCTCTGAATTTAAACGATGGTGCCTCGACGACAGGAACAAGGGAAAACAGAGGGTGAAATAAAACACACACTGCAGAGCGTCTTGATCGATCACGTGCTTGTACGCGATTACTCTTCGCGCCCTGCATGTTTTACCAGTCTCCCCACTCTTCTGCACGCCATGACGACACACCGACACAGGCAGGCTCTCTCACACACTCACCCACACGGCCACACAGATCTCTCTCTCTCTCTCTCTCTCTCTCTCTCTCTCTCTCTCTCTCTCTCTCTCTCTCTCTCTCTCTCTCTCTCTCTCTCCCTCTCTCACACACACACACACAGCACGCCCTCACCTCCTCCCAATCTTTACTCCCTTCCGCAGTGCCTCTTTAGTCGGGTCGACCCATTGACAGAGTCATAATGGCCCTAGAGTCCTCGCGGCGGCCGGGGACCTCATATAGAAGGGGAAATCGGGCCGAGTAAGAGGGCCTCCGCCAGGAAATGATGATGGGGTCCTGCAAGACGGCCTGCGACAAGGCCTGTGAGACGGCCTGGCCTGTGAGACGGCCTGGCCTGTGAGACGGCCTGGCCTGTGAGACGGCCTGGCCTGTGAGACGGCCTGGCCTGTGAGACGGCCTGGCCTGTGAGACGGCCTGGCCTGTGAGACGGCCTGGCCTGTGAGACGGCCTGGCCTGTGAGACGGCCTGGCCTGTGAGACGGCCTGCGAGACGGCCTGCGATGGCCCTTTGGCGAGTGTGCGGCGTGCGCGGTGTCTTGGTGTGTCGGCGGAAGAGGGCAATTAGGAGGGGGTCACCTGCCGAGCCCACCCAGCCCATCGCGCCGATACGAGGAGCGGCCGAGCGTAACAGGAGTATCGACATCGGCCCGGGAGGAGAAGAGGTTGCGGTCGAGGAGGCGGCGGAGTGCCCTGCCTACTGCCTGAGGTGGCAACACTAGCACGGCGGCCATCACCAGAGTGGCAACACTAGGTCGGCGGCAACACCAGGGCGACGCAAATGCGGCCGTTCTGGCTTTTCAACGTCACGCCGCCCCGTTCCAGCGGTTCCAGCGCGCGGCACGCGGTTATATCTGGCGTGATTTACCGTCCAAACAAGCAGCGGGGCCGCGTCCGCCGCGTCCGCGCCGTGCGGACCGTGCGGGGTCGCGTCCGCGTCGGAGGGGATGTGGCGTGTGGCGCCGCTCTCGGACGCAGCCTCGCCACCCCATTTTTCCCGCAAAATAAAAGCGGAAGCGGCGGGGAAAGAGCACCGCGGGGAAAAAATAACGGACAAGAAAAAACGGCAGCACGATGAGGTTTGTGGCTGGTCACTGAGGCGCAGGCCGGCCGCCGGGTGGCGCGGCCGGGCAGCCGGGCACGGCGACATGGCCGCATGCAAGCCCGGTCCGGGCTAACCGGGGTAACTGGGTTCGGTGCGGCCCGAGGTTACCCGCGTGCTACACGCCGACAGAAGCTGGAAGCTGGTGACAGCGGCCTGCTAGCCGCCGCCTGGTTACCCGGTTCGGTTACCCCGCCGCCCTCGCTCGCTTGCCTGGTCCATTGGCGGCGGCCGCCTCGCCTCCCCCGGGCCTTTTTCCGCCAGCCAGCCCGGCCCCGGCCAGCCCAGCCAGCCTCGGGGCGACATAGCGGCGCTTCGGATTAAAAATGAAACAATGCGGTTAAGTCGGCCAGCCACTGGCCGCCACGAAATCACCTTCCTCAGTGCATGTGTGGAAGCACACACACACACGCGCGCGCGCGCACGCACGCGTTTACGGGCGTCGTGTTGACAAGAAAGAGCACCTCGGCAGACTTATCCACCTGGGGCTCCTGGTGCTGGGCCCAGGGCTGGCTGGGCTGCCGCGCTGCCACGCCTGGGCTTCGCGCTACGCGGTGCTACGCGGCGCTACGCTCCATCATGCCTTTTCTCCACGACCCTTCCGTCCCTACCTTCCCGACCTTCCCTTCGGGTCGAGTGGCCATCGGGAAACGTGCGCGTCGTCGCAAACATCACGAACGCCACCTCCGCCGCCGCGCTGCCTTCCTCGAGGAAAAAAACGAACAAATCTTTTTCTTTCTTTTTCGCTGCCAACACCCACACATTTTTTCCGGACCTATGTCACACCACACACGCCACAACATCGGAGTGGGCTTTTTTCCTCCTTGCCTTGTTTTTCTTTTCTGGTCGACCTGCTGGAATCAGATTTGGTCCGTTGGTTTCCGATGTGTCAGCGCCGCAAGACACCTTGGAAAGGATATCCCCGGGCCGCGCGACGCGGCAGGGACGCGGCAGGGACGCGGCAGGGACGCGGCAGGGACGCGGCAGGGACGCGGCAGGGACGCGGCAGGGACGCGGCAGGGACGCGGCAGGGACGCGGCAGGGACGCGGCAGGGACGCGGCAGGGACGCGGCAGGACGCCGCCCAACGAGCCTAGCCTCTCCACGCCATTGCCCGCGATAGAATTTGATTTAGTGAAGCCTGGAGGCTTAGAAGGGGGAGGGGGAGCCCCACCGCCGCACCAAGCCGTTCACGGACCGGTCCACACTGGGTCTGGCCATGGCCTCGGGGGAGGGTCTCACGCATCAGCCTCGGGGAAGCTGCCCCCTCCTCGTCCCCCCCCTCTTTCCTCCTGCCGTCGCCAAGGCCCCCTTCTCGCTTGCCGGGCCGTTCGGACACGCTGCTCCGTCCGCTATGGCCGTCTACCCGTGAACCAGCAGACTGATTTCGAGAGTCATTTTCGTCGCTCTGTCTCTCTCGCACGCCGCCCAACGGGTCAGTCCGCTGCAGCAGTGTGAGCGAGCGAGCGTGTTCTGAAGGCGGTGACGGACGCAGAGTGTGCGAGATGATCGGTGGAGGCGGCCAAAACTCTAGACGCGTTTTGAGTACCAGAGCAGCTAAACAGGACTAGAACCGAACGTGTGACCCCACCAATGGATTGCTCTCCGATCGAGGAATCCATTGGTGGGGTCACACGTTTGGTTCGATCCCCTTAGCGACTTTGGAGCTCAAAACGCGTCCGGGATTATGACCGCCCCCGACGGTCTTCTGCCCCCCTGTGGGACGGCCTCAATGAGCGGCCGGGTGATGTGTACACAGCCCACCGTTTATTCCTCCATTGCTCCCCGCCCAGCCCCGCTCAGCCCATGCAGACGACGAGGTGCGACGTGGCGCGCGCGGCGGGCACGGCCCCGGACACGGCGACGCACGCGGCCACGGCGGGGACGCCGCCGAACGCCGACAGCGCGCAGTTCTCCGCGATGTGCAGGGCGGTCCTGGGCAGCCCGGGCATCCGCCGCAGGCAGCCCTTGAGCTTGATCATGTTGCCGCCGAAGTGGCGCATCTTCCCCTTGGCCTCCTTGAAGAAGTGGCGGAGGCCGCGGCGCTCCACGGCGTGCACGTCACCGCCTTCTCGTGGTGGCGCGGGGTCCGCTGCCTGCAGTGGCCGAGAGCAAAGATTGTCTGTCAAGTGACTCCAGAGTCACCCAGCCAGGCCGGGTGCAATGCCAGGCGCAAGGCCAGGCGGCCGCACGCCGTGACTCATCAATGTACCGCGAGGGCGACCAGGGCGGCGACGGCGAGCAGGACGACGGGCAAGTGCTTGGCCATGGCGACGACGTGGCGACGTGGTGACCGAAGCGCCGTGGCGAGCCTTTATACTCGGCCTGCGGACTTTGATCTGAAATTGCCGCACGTCGACGAGCGCGACGCGAGTCACGAATGCGTAAGCCTCGCCAAAAGCAAAGAAACGCTCAGAAAAACAACAATCGCCAAAAAATTCGCATAACCATTTGCTCAGAACTCAGACGATTTCTTGTTACTTTGATGAGCCAGGAGGTTTAGTTTTGAGGAGTGGCACATTTTTTATTTGAACCATTTTTTCATATCATTAACGGTTGTCGTTTTCGAATGTTGCAAATTTATGTTTTTCTAGTTTACGGAAAATTTCCACGATGAATTTTCGAAAAAAAATTGGAATTTTCGTTTGTTCTATGGGGGATGGCTCAGTAAATACACGCACACCTGATCCAAATTATTCCCCCATTAATTGAATAAATTATGATTAATTGTGAATTATGTAAAATTATTACAAATTATTGGTAATTATTCCAAAAAAATTAAAATAATGAAAATAAAATTGAAATTGTCTGGAAGGACGATCATGCTCCGTAGCGACGCCCGAGCAGCGGCAAGCTTATGTTGATTTGAGTTGTGTCGAGCAGGACGATCACCGACGTGGATTTCAAGTCATCGACACGAGGCTAATCACCTGGTATGACAAATTAAGTGCTGCTCTGAAATCCACGGTATGAGAATTTACGCAACCGCAACATCTGTCGTCTGCTAGCGGACTTCACCGCTACAAACACCACGAACCATCACTATCTATTTGGAAAATTGACAAGCATCCAATATTTCCATAACGGTGCATTACACATTCAAAAGAACGTGACAGTACATGGGTGTCACATTCGTTTGGATGTGACACGACATGTGTACTTGGGTACCATGTGTCACATACGTTTTAATGTGACAGTTTGACAGCTAATTGCATGTTACACCCGAAGTAATGTGACAAAGCGGTGCAGTGTGTCACATTCGTTTGAATGTTGATTTTCACCGTTTGTCACGCTCAAACTAACATCGCCGTTTTCACGTGAAAACAAACGTGACGTCACATTCCTTGGCTACCAGTGCCGTTATGGAAATATTGAATGCTTATCAATTTTCCAAAGAGGAAGTGATGGTTTGTGGTGTTTGTAGCGGTGAAGTCCGCTAGCACACACTCAACATCTTATGATCGTTTTTATACGTATTACGATGGTTTTTCATCGTAAGGTACGCATAAATTTGAACATACATAATATGCTTAATTTTCCATCGTATTACGCATGAATTTCATCGTATTACGCATGTATATCATCGTATTACGCATGAATTTCATCGTATTATGCATGAATTTTATTGTAGTACGTATGTTCTCATTTCAACGTATGTTACGATGGCCTTTCATCATAAGAATCTGAGGGTGCAGACGACAGATGTTGTGGTTGCGTAAATTCTCAAATCGACTAACGTAGCCTCAACCGTGGATTTCAGAGCAGCACTTAATTTTGTCATACCAGGCCATTAGCCTCGTGTCAATGAGTTGAATAAATCCACGTCTGTGATCATCCAGCTTGACACAACCCAAAGCCACCTAAGCTTGCCGCAGCTCGGGCGTCGCTACGGAGCATGATCGTCCTTCCGGACAATTTCAATTTTATTTTCATTATTTTATTTTTTTTTGGAATAATTACCAATAATTTGTAATAATTTTACATAATTCACAATTAATCATAATTTATTCAATTAATGGGGAAATAATTTGGATCAGTTGTGCGTGTGTTTACTGAGGCCATCTCGTTCTATGGTTGAAATAGTTTAGCGTTGTTTATTTGAAAATCGGAGAGGGGGGGGGACCTCGGACAATAGGGGTTCTTGGGAACCCCTAAAAAAATTAATGGCTGCATTTTATTTTATTAGTTCCATGGGTGTCAATCGCGCAGGGCGCAATGCCTTTTGTTTTACCGCTGCATGTGTCCGACCGTTTCGTGCACAGTGTGGACTGTTTTCTCTGCACCTGTCCGAGGCCGATAACGATAACGTCACAAGGCAGCCTTGATTTGAGTTTTAACTGCCGATCCAAATAGAATCATGGTCCTCTGTCCGTCGGTTTACAAGCCGACAAGCCCGTGACGCCGGCGAGGCCCTCTAGGGCCACGACGGTGCGCGATGTGCGTCACGCGCGGTCACGCGGGCCGGCCGTCGTGACCGCGCCGACGGCTACGCCGGCCACGCTGCAACGTGCACACGTGTCACGTGTCCACGATTCTGAGAAGGACTGTGGTATAAAACCAACGCCTTGATCCGCCGAATGATGCGCTGCCCCCTCAGTTCCCAGCCCACTCCGCCATGGCTCGTCACGTCGCCGTCCTCCTGCTCGCTGTCGCCGCCCTCGCCGCCCTCGCTGTACGCACAGAGTCGCCTCGCCGCTCTGTCTCCCTCGCACGGTGCGAGTCGCACCCCAATGAGGACCACGAAGGCAGAGCGACGACGCGACATTAATGCGGTTGCAGCCCTCCAGCTCGCTGCCGGCAGGTGGCTGACGAACGCTCTCTATCCCTCTCTTTGCAGGCCGCGAGCCCCGAGGGAAAGGGCCGCCCCCACGACATCCAGCGCCGCAACATCAGGCATTTCTTCCACAACATTAAGATGAAGGTCAAGATCCACCTGGACATCAACAAGCTCAAGAACTGCCTCAAGAGCACGCCCGGCGTGTCGCAAGCCGTCAAGAACACCGTGCTGGGTTGCTCGGGGTCCGCCGCCGGCGGCATGGGCGCCATCGCCGGCTGCGCCGCCAGGAAGGCCGCTATCCCCGCCGCGCGCGCCACCGCCCACCTCGCCGTCTGCATGGGCTAGACCTGGCCCGCACCGACCGTGGAAAAATAAAGACTCCGCAGAACCACGGGATAGACTGCGTCGTTGAAACATTCCAACGGGCAAAACAAAGGCCCTACAGGGGCATGGACGATTACCGCCCCTGGAGCAGCGTCAACTCGGTTTGCGCCACTGCAAGGGCGTGGGACTTCTAGGCAAAATTTTGATATCCTTCAAAAGTTCGAGCAAAAGTTCAAGCCTGTTACACCGCGTTAAGGGCGTTAGATCTTATGCTTTTGTTTTACCAGTGTTCCTTTTTCTTGTCGGGCGAGCAGCAGTGGACCGTACCGCCGAGTGTGAGCTACCGTCAGTCGCGTCGCCCAGGACGGCAGCACCGGGAGCACACACAATACGGCTTGATTGTTAACACACAATGCCGGCCGGTAGCACAAACTCTTCACGTCCTGGGCATGGCGGCACGGCCCGGCGCGGCCAGCCTCATTGGACGGACCGGGACGGACGGTCAGCAAACACTATCCGGCGACGCGCTTCGGGGCGAGGCTGGACACGGAACACGAAGCGCGCACTGCCGTGCCGATGCCCCAAGCACGGCAAGCACGCGGCACAACCACAAGGGTAGCATTGGCAGTCCCTGGAGTCCCTGGAGCGCGCTGGCGAAATGTACCCTATTCCTTGCCACGCTTTTGTGAAGTGCGGGCGGTCGGCGGTCGGTGGCGGTCCGACTTTAGGTGTCACGGACACGCACCGTCAACAATGTAGGACATGAGCGAGACACGCTTTGCAAGTGCTGATTATGTGTGTGTGTGTTTGTGTGTGTGTGTGTGTGTGTGTGTGTGTGTGTGTGTGTGTGGTTTAGGAAGCGGGGGAGGGGGGGGTGAGACACCAGAGCAGACCGCTCGCCAGCGGCGTGGCAGAGTCGCGGCAAAAACAAAGCAATTAAGCGGCAAACGAATGTGTTGTGTTTTCGAGTCCGCGGGGCCGCGTGCCGCGCAGCAACTTTTCGCCCTCCCCGCCCCACCCCGCCCCAACCCGCGAGCTCTTCATCCAATTGTCTTGGCGAAATATTGACTGCCTCCGGTCTGGCTCTGGCCCTGCCTCTGGCTGTGGAGCGGAGCTGCGGAGAGTCAACAAATGCGTGCATATCGCTTTGGGGACCGACCGTGTTGACGCAATAAAGATGATGTCACGGGAAGTTCGAGCGGCCGGTGCATGGTGTGCGGAGCAGTTGCTTGCTTCGTTGCTCCGTCTCTCTCTCGCATGCGTCCTGCATGGTGAGTGCGAGGGAGGGAGACAGGTTGGCTTGGTTGGCGGGCTGCTGTAATGAACTGACGGCCGAGGCCGTACTTGGCCCTGATACGACCCACGCCCTGCCAAAGCCGGCCGAAGCGCCGCGAAGCGCGGACCTGGCGCACGCCATGCTCGCCATGCTCGCCATGCTCGCCATGCACCATTACTGGAGGAGCGCACCGCGGCGTCTATTTGGACTCGTCGTCGTGTTTGAACAACATCATCACGTTCGCTAGGCCCGGCCCGGCCCGGCCGCCCCACGTGCGGCTTCGTTATTCCAGAAGCTCCGGAATATTACCGCGCCCAGAGGGGCGGAAGGGATTTTTCGCCCCCACTCCCGTATACATGCGAAACTCGAGCAGGCCGGGTGCTGAATACGTTTAGCGCCCCGCCGAGGGGTGGCTGGGGAGGAAAGAGGGGGTAGGGGGGTAAACGAAACGGGGGACAATACTGCTTGGCAATACGTTTGATAGAAAGACAGACCGGACGAGGCGCGGGGCTTGGAGGGGGAGGAGGCGCGTAACCATCGTGGCGAGGAAGGAAAAGAGTGATTCAGGCGAGGCGGCAAAGGGAGTGGATGCATACAGGCTGCCACCCTCTTATTGGGTTCGATTCCACTCACCGACCGCACGGCGCCGCGCGCCCTGCTGGGGCTGGCGGGGCTGGCGGGGCTGGCAGGCATGGCCTTTCGGTTTGAATGGCAGAGACGCCTCGGGGAGGGAGAGGGAGATCAAACGCGCCGCGGAGCCCCGCCGTCGTGGCGGCCGAGGCCTTGGCTGCCTTGGCGCGCGATCCCGAAGAGTCGATCCGTGGCTCTGCCCCCCTCGCACCCCTACGGGACGCCTCGTGCGTGCAACAGAGGCAGAGCGACGAAGGGCCTCTTCGGAACGAGGCTGCTGGCCACCCCGGCCCTCCAAACGGCCGGCGGGGCGGGGTGGGGCGCGCGGCAGGACAGGAAGGACAACGACGCGCTGCCCGGAGGGGCCAGTGGCCAGTGTATGCGCAGCGTGCGTGTGTGTGCGTGCCGTGTGTGGGTGTGTGAGTGTGTGTGTGTTTCATTAAGAATGCCCTGTGTGCATTGGGTGCTGCAGCAGCCTGCAGCGTCGCACACGGCATTGCGGCGGGGTGGCGGGGTCGGTCGTCGAGGTCCATCCGTGCGACGCCGTGCGACGCTTTGCGGCCCGGCTGCCTCCCCGTCGTCAAAGACACCGAATCGCATCGTCACCTCGTCGATGACGCTGACTGCCGACTTCACGTCCCGTTTACGGCGCGGGGCTCAGGGCCGCCGTCGCACGCCAGCCAACAGCAGCGCGGCGGGATGATGATGAAGTGGCGGAACATGGGCGATGTGGCGAAACAGCCCGGAGCTCGCGGAGCGCCGTAACAGCTGATCGTGGAGCGAGCGAGCGAGCGAGCGGGGAACAAGCGACGAGCCCTTTGGCCCTTTAGCGCCGAGTGCGGCAGTGCGGCAGTGCGGCCCGCTTGGCCTGGCAGCCACGCCAGGGCAGCCAGGGCCGCGCGTTCTCTTGACTTCCCTGAGAGCTCGGCGCTCCGCTCCGCCCCGCGCCGCCCCGCGCCGCGCCGCTCCAAGGCCGGCCGGGCCCTTGGCGAATACCAATTCCCCGGCACGGAACGGGTTCGCCGTTTCGGTCTAATCCCGCAGGGCAGCGGGGCGGCAGGGCCGTGGCGGCGCCCGGGGCGGGCCGACGCGCTGCCAGGGACATCCGTGGATACCGGCCTGGCACTCGTTTCTAGCGGCAGGACAGGCGCCGCGAGAGGTTCAACATGTGTGTGTGTGTGTGTGTGTGTGTGTCTGTGTGCGTGCGCGCGCGCGTGCGTGCGTGTGTGTGCCTACGTGCGCGTGTCTGCCAGACAGACAGACTGACAAACAGACGGCACGGGCGCCAAGATAAAATTAACGTCCTTTTCCATTCTGTCCCTCAATTATAAATTTCCAGTGTGTTTGCTGGAGGGTGGCAGCGCGGTTTCCCCTCCCCCTCCCCACTCCGCCCGGCACCACTACGCTGCTCCAGACATAAGCACGGTCGTTTGTTCCAAATCCAGGATGCTTGTTTTTGCGGCTGCGTGGGGGCCGAGGCCGGGCGAGGCCGGGCGAGGAGGCAGGCTGCAGCACCACATCACATGAAGAAGGCCAGCAAAATGCAACACACTGAGGCGGGGTGCGGGGCGGAGCGGGGCCATGGCAAAGAGTCGAAGAAAGCCGCGGGGGAAGGGGAAAAAATAAAGGGGTGGCCACCCTTAAATAAATAAAGCTGAGCCACGGGACGCGTTTTTGAGCGCTGAGTAGTGGTGGTGGTCCGCTTGCACCCGCCTGACCCCATTCTTCCGTCCGGGAGCGGTCAGGCATGGGGCAGGCATGGGCATGGGGCAGGCATGGGGCAGGCATGGGGCAGGCGTCGTCGCGTCGGGCAGGCACGGCCGCAGTCCACTGCGCTTCGTTCTCCGTTCAGATAAATCACGTCGCCACTGGTTTGTCTTCATTTTTTATTACCTTTCCTCCCTACCGAGGAATATTATTTTAGCCGCCAGATTACATTTCGTTTCTGTCGACGTCGGCACGCTCCGCGGCCAGTGCTGGCGCCGCGCCTGCCCGCCTGCGTCCCGGAGTCCCGGAGGGCCCGGCCCTGGCCCGGCCGGCACACTGATTCCGAGAGTCGTTTTCATCGCTCTGTCTCTCTCGCACTCGTGAGGCGTTCCGTATGGGTGCGAGAGAGACGAAGTCGACTCTCGGAATGAGTCGGCAAGCCACGGGAGCAAAGTGACCGAGGTGGCGGCGCAACCTGCTCCACCATGGCTCCACCTGCTCGCAGCCAAGCTCGCCGTCTCCGCAGCGAGCGTCGTTCGAAAAATAGGCGGGCAGGCGTTTCTAGCAGTGCTCGTCAGCTGTCGCCCACTAACGGGAATCCGATTTTCCCCGCAACTTGGCGAAGCGGCCGAAGCGGGCGGAGCCACTTGAAAGTGGAAGGAGGCGGCGGGCCCTCGGTGGGGCCGGTGTGGGCCGCCATGAGGCTGGCCGTGCCATCCATCAACCGGGCGATACATCGGATGCCTTTAATGGCGTGGGCCGGGACGGGCCGGGCCGGGCCGGGCTGCGCTGGGCCAGGTACGACACGGACTGTCCGCCGCGAGTAGGGTGGTATAGGGCGCAATGTTGGCCGAAAACTGGGGAAAAGACGCTTCGGTTTTCCAGCTTGGGCATGCCGAGTCGAATACCGCGCTGTATCGGCGGCGCGCCGGGCCTTTGGCCGGGCCTCTGGCCGGTCCCGGGTTCGGCCCCTTGAGGGAGGGCGGATCGCCTCGAAGCCTCCATCGAGGCGCTGGCATTCAGAGCCCGGCGCGCCATGCGCAGCCTTGCGGTGCTGTGGTTCGGCCGTTCGGCCCCGAGATGCACTACTTGAGCAGCAGCACGGCAGCAGCGCGCCGAGTTTCGCCGGAACCTATTAGTCGAAATTCCTCCTGGAAGGGCGAGAACGAGACGGGGGCTGGGCTCGCCGAGCGCAGCCCAGCAGCAGCCAGAGCCATGGCCCAGCCAGAGCCACTACAATGACTTTACCAGCATGGCAAAAATTTGTGCGAAACTCCAGTGCCTCATTTATCTCCGGACTGCCTTCGCCCCGCCCCGCCCCGTCTCGTCCCACAGGCCAGCATGTTTTCTTCCGCCGCCGCCCACAGGGGAGGAAACCCACGGGTGGCCACGGGTATGCCCACAACGCATTGTCGGTCGCATTATAAAAAAGAAGTGGCCTCCTCCACATTCTTATTCACATTCGCATTGCAGGCCGCTGGAACAAGGTCGCATCACGGAGGGGGGAAGAGTGAAGCACTGAGCAGACGCCGCGCCGCCGCCGCCGCGCCCTCTCCGCCCTGACGGTGGAAACCCGACCTTAATGCGGGCATAAAAACGAAACGGGATGGAGGCCAGGCGGCCAGGCGCCAATCATCGCGGCGGACGGCGGGGCACGGCGGGGCGGGGCGCGGCGGGGCGGCGGCGGCGGGGGGCGCGGCGGCGGGGCGGGGGCGGGGCGCGGCGGCGGGGCGCGGCGGGGCGCGGCGGGGCGCGGCGCGGGGCGCGGCGGGCGCGGCGCGGCGGGGCGCGCGGGTGCGTCGGGGAGGCGGGTGCGCGCGCGCTGCCGTCCCACCCGTTGCCGCCCGACGCCGTGCGGGGCGCGGAGGCCTTTCTAATTTGATTGGTCGAGTAGGTCGCGTACCCAACGCAGGAATCCCCCTTTTTTGGCTCAACTCGCATTACCGAAGCAGTACGGCCCGAGTCGATTAGGGTGACAAAGCGTTATTTTATGTATGAGCCCCGCCCCGCCCCGCTTCGTAATCTTTCTACGTATCTGCTCCCGTGTCGCGGGACGCCTTCTTGTCTGCAGCGCTCCTTGCTGCAACTTGTATCAGTGACCCTGGACCGACGCTCCGCATTTGGGATTCATACGCTTCCCGCCCCGCACACACTGCATCAAAAAAATGTAGGCCACGAGGTTGGCGTCGTCGTCCGTGTGGTCTGGTGGCCGTCATTCAAACGGCCAGCTTAATCTTGCTTCCTTTTTTGTCGCTTTCCTAAACTCTTACTTTCGGGGCAACCGCCGCAGCACCTCGCGCCTCGAACTCAGGTCGCAAAATAACTCTTCTTCAATTAAACTTTGGTCATAATTAATGATCTTGCCACTTGTGCCGTCTCTGCGTGGAGCTTGGCGTGGAGAGCGGCGTCGACTTCAGTGCCGCCAACTCGCCTCGCCAAGTGGGAATGTCTCTGATGGGGCACTGGGTCGCACGGCGCGGCGCGGCGCGGTTCTGCCAACCCAGCGGGGACGAATTTCCCCCACTTTATTGCTGCTCAGGGGGAATCCACCTCCACTGGCGGACTGGCGCGGGGAAAGCCCGCTCAGTCCCCATCATCACACGCGGGATGGAAAAAAAATAAGCCGATTCTTGGCAAACGGATGTGAGAGGCGCGTGGGGCCCCGTTGCTCGGCTAGCTGCGCTGGCTGCTTACCGTGTGGGCGCGTGCATATCCCGAGGCGCGGTGGCGGAACGGCCGTCAAAGGCCCGCCTGGAACAAAGCAAACCCGCTGCGTCAACACGGCGATTGGGGGGCCGAGGCGGCCAAGGCGGCCGCGGGGCGCTAGAGCGCAGTCCGACGACACCAAAAAAGAAAAAAGTTTCACAAGTTTTTCGGGGCAGCGACGCCCCTCCCCGAAGACTCTTCTTAAGAGTCTTCGCGCGTCCGCCGTCGTGATTCATCTATCCATCTATCTGTCCAACTGTTTATTTTATAATGAAACGTCCGAAGGAAAACAAACGTGAATCCTTGGTCAGACCGGCGCGTTGCCCCTGTGCACGGCTTCTGCACCCCGCTAGAGTCCTGCAAGCCCGGGCGGCCTACCTCGTCGGCACTGGTCGTGTATCCTGGGCCGGTGCTGGCGCAGAGCGGCAGAGAGACGCCCTCGGCGGCCACGAGGCACCGCCACCACACTGTCACCACACTGTCACCACACTGTCACCACACTGCACACCGCGCGCCGCACTTGTCACGTCGAGTCACGCACGCGACCAGCACGTGCCACGCACGCACGCCGTCGCCACGCTCGTGCCGGCGAGTGGCAGCGCGTCGGCGCGTCGGCGCGTCACAGGACCCAGCGCGGTCGCGTCCCAGCGCCCACTGAAGCCAGCGCGCCGAGCAGCGCGCCAGCGCGGCCAGCGCCGGGGCGGCCAGGCAACCAGGGGCGGTTGCTGCAGCCGAGCCGACGCCGTGCCGACGCCGTGCCGACGCCGTGCCGACGCCGCTGGCCGCCGGGGAGGGGAGGGGCGGTGCGGGTGGTGGGGCGCCACGGACCACGGGCGCCACCCCATCCTACCCTGCCAAGCACGGCCAAGCACTGCAAAGAGCCAGCCTGGGAGGTAGGCCGGCCCGCGACGCAGGCGTGTCGCGCGGATGCCTACCCCGGCCTGAGCGGGCGCTAGCGCCGCTCTGGCACAGTTGGAGGAGCGGAGCCCCTGCAGCATAGGCAGGCCCGCAGCGCGCCGAGGTCGTCCGGTTGCCTATCACGCGCACTGCAGGCGCCGTGGCGGCAGCCTCCGCCAAGAAGGCCACCGAAAAGGCCGCCGAGAAGGCCGCCGAGAAGGCCGCCGAGAAGGCCGCCGAGAAGGCCGCCGAGAAGGCCGCCGAGAAGGCCGCCGAGAAGGCCGCCGAGAAGGCCGCCGAGAAGGCCGCCGAGAAGGCCGCCGAGAAGGCCGCCGAGAAGGCCGCCGAGAAGGCCGCCGTCTTGGTAGAAGTACGCCGACAGGGCAAGCCGGCCCGGCGACCGAGACGCCGAACGCAGGCTGCTCGCGAGCACGCACCGGCCGGGGAAAACTTTGGCGGCTGGCCGTTGGCCGGCCATGAGATACGACGCCTTCCCCTGCGGCTGGAATTCATCCGTCATTTCCTGGTTAGGAGGATCGATTCTCGGATCTCCCACCTCTCTCTCTTTCTCTCTCTCCCGCGCACACGCGCACAAGCGCACGCGTGCGCAAACACATTCGCTATATTTACCGACTGGTCGCCGCCCGGAGCTATGCCAACTCAAATCTCCCAGAATGACCCCCTTCCCCTGCCACCCTTCTCTCTCTGGTCGCGGCAACATGCCACAGTGGTTTAGTCGCGAAATAAAACGCAGCGCGCACTCGAGTTTGAAATTGAACGCGCGTACCGAGCGCGGCGCGCGGCGGACACGCAGGTGGCCGACGTGCTGGCGGTGCGGGACGCGGAGCGGGACGGTGTAGCGAATGAAAAACGCGCAGTCTTTGTTGGCGAGCTCTTTTATTTGGTGGCACGTGTGGGGGCGGGGCGGGGAGGGGGAGGGGAGGGGGAAGGTGTGGGAGGGGATTCCGCGCTGACAATACCGCTGCACCTGCTTTTCCCAGCCACTTGCCAGGCCTGTGTCGTGGGACGGTCGAGCCGGGCCGGAGAGGCGAAGGGAGGGGAGGAGGGGAGGGCGACACGTCTGGGCGTCAGCATGAAAGGGAGAAGAGGCGTGTGGAGCACGGCAGGGCGCGGCTCAGCACGGCTCGGCAGGGCGCGGCTCAGCACGGCTCGGCACGGCATGGCGGCGCAGAAAGAAGCAGGGCTTTGTCTCTGGTGGGGGACGGGACGATCAAGGGGTGCCGGAAGGAACCAGAACGAGTTTACTGACTTTACTGAGTAGGAATTTTTCTCCCTCGGAAACGGGGCGCAACTGACTTGTTTTTCTCCACCGGTTCGCGTGCGTCGGAAGACCGGGTCGCACCAGGTTCCTGGCGCGTCTCGCAGGAGTTCGTCTCGGTCGTCTCCGTCTCCAGGTCAGGTTGTCTCCAGGCGGCCGGGCCAGGCCGGGCCAGGCCGGCGCGGCGCGCTTTTGCGTAATAATATGCAGAAACGGCTCCAGACTTGTTGTTCGCGCTTCCTGCGTGCTCTCGCCTAATTCCCCGCGGGCCGTCCGCCTGCCCGTCTGTCTGCCTGCCCGTCTGTCCGCCTGTCCGTTCGTCTCCGCGCGTGCGAAGCGCCAAGCGCGAAGCCTTACCACACGCTGGCGTACTTAGTTAATTAGAACCCTCACGGCCACAGCCCCACGGGGTCGCCGCGTCGCCGCGCAGACCCAGTGGGTCTGTCGGCTGGGGAAGTTTCACTAGTGTAAGTGTAAGGCAATACAAATTGGGGGGGAGACCAAAACGCGAAAACAAAAAACATTGCCTGCGTGCGGGGCGGGGTGCAGAGGCCGAAACAGAGGCGGCATTTGGAGGAGCAAATTATGACGTTCTACCTAGTTACAGAGGGAAAGTATGTGTTTTTGTTTAGATTGACAAACCCCCTCCCCTTTCCTGTATCCCCCCTCCCCTTTCCTGTATCCGCGGCTGGCGGGGCGAGGCGAGGAGTGGCTCTGGGGGACGCAAAGCGCGAAGCGAGCGCGAAGCGTGGCCGCCAGACGAGCGTCCGCCCCGCCAGTGCCCTCGCAGACCGGCGGCACCGGCGGCACCAGGACGTGCCTGCTTATTTTTCATATTTACGCGGCGCCCGAGGCAGCGCCGGCTTCCTGTCGTTTTCCCTCTCCGTTTTTTGAGGACCTCGCGCACTTCGTTAACCCTCGCATTGCCGCCGCGTCCGCCGCGTCCGCCATTACAGACGCGAGCTTGTTGCATCCCGCTGCTTAATGAAGGGAGGGGGTCACCGGGCGGTCACCGTTTGTGCGTTTCTGAGCAGGTCTGTCTCGTCCAGTGGACTACGCCCCGCCCCGCCGAGCCGCGGTCCACGCCGCGCTGGCCGCGCTAATGGCCACCTAGACGCCCATTGAGGTCGGCAGCCCGCGCGGGCGCGCTCGGGAAGAAAGAAACCCCAGGCCACCGCCAGCAGGCTCGCTCCGAACAGTGTGCCCTCGTCGCGGTGCGTCTCGCTCGGACCGCGGCCATGCCGCTTAGGGGTGCGAGAGAGAGAGAGAGAGAGAGAGAGAGGCTCTGCTCGGAATCAGCCCGCAGCCTGCAGCGGCGAGCACGCTGCCCGCATTCCCCGAATGCCGCGTCCATCTCGGAATTCCGTGACCGACGGCAATCGGGTGCAGCTCCTCTCGCCCGCCCGCCTGCCACTGCCTGCTACTGCCTGCATGACCCGCTGGCCCTACCCGCTGGCACTGGCCGCATGAGGCCGCACGGCCGCATCCAGATACGGTTGGCAGCCCGGCAGCCCTGGCAGCCCTAGCAGCCCTGGCAGCCCTAGCAGCCCTGCGACGCGCGAGCGGCGGCGAGCCCTCCGGCCGGCATGCCGCCTAGCGGACGCGGGTCCCCAGTCCTCGCCCTCCGGCCCTCCGGCCCTCCGGCCCTTGGGTCCAAGGTTGCGAACCGCGCCAACGCCAATCCCGGCCCATCCAATCACTCGCTGGAAAATGCATCTGCTGCGCGGCGGCGTGGCGTGACGGCATGGCAACGCGGCCCGGCGGACCAGCGGGCTGAGTCCTCTCCGTCGCTCCGTCTCTCTCGCACTGACGACGCGGCCCCATGAGTGCGAGAGGGGCAGAGCGACAAAACGCGCCTTCGGAATCAGGCGGCAGCAGCCGGGAAAAAGGGGATCGCTTTTCATCCCTCGGACGAGTATCGGAATGAAGCGATGAGGGAGGGGAGGGGGAGGGGGAGGTCAAGGGCACAGGGGAGGGGGAGATATAAGCGGGTCGCTTCATGAATGGGCCTGGCTGAGTCTGTTTGTCCAAGATAAAGCGGAGGGGGAGGGGGAGAAGGGCGGAGCGGAACGGGGGGCAGTGCTCTGCGGCCACCTCGGAATCAAAGGGCCACGCAGCGAACTGGACCGCACACTACCCCGCCCGACGTGGCGTGGCGTGGCGTGACGTGGCGTGCCGTGCCGTGGCGTGACGTGGCGTGGCCCTGCTCCCCGATACGCCCGGCGAACACCAAAAGACCTTTCCTTTCCTGCCCCAACAACACCACACGCTCCGAGTCTCGCGCCGCTTTCTGTATTTATTTTCCAAAAAAAAGGGAGAAAGACGGGGAGAAAAAAACGTGAGAGAAAAAGGGAAATAAATTGCGTGCGTGCGGCGGGGTGGATTGTGGTAATGAGTGAGGCGCCACTTGTGGCAATGTCGCTAGCTCGGCTAGCTCGCGACTACTTCTTGATGACATCCACCCCTGCGGCGGGCCGGGCCGGGCCGGGCCGCCCCCTACTAGTGTCGAGCCCCTCTAATTCGCAGTGGGATGTTTGTCTCGGCAAACATGTAATAAGCCATACCACGTCAGCCGACCTGGAATTCCGTGCCTGCCCTCCCCACCCCCTGGTTGCGCGTCTGCCCTAATAAAGCTCTCGGAGGTACGAAATGGTACTGGTGTGCCACCGTGTGCCACGGCGTCGGGGCGGGACGTCGGGACGCCGGGTCGCCGGGCAGGACGTCGAGTGGCCGTGAGTGGCTCGTTAGAGCGGCGCGGCGCCCTCCAGCCCCCAGCGCCTCCAGTGCCGCCCGGAGCACTCCAGCATCCAGCAGCCAAACGCAGAGTGGTCGAGAATCACTCAAGGAGTGTTTGACGACGCGCTTCGGGACGCGACAACAATCGGGCTTGTTTATTTCGATGGAGCCATCCCATCCAGTCCCATCCCGTCCCATTCCATCCCGTCCCATCCCATCCCGTCCCCGGCGGCAGCCAGGCGAGCCACCGAGCGCCGCGAACCTTCGTTGTGCCACCAGCAGCACGCGCCCGCGCACCACGCCGACGAAGGCCAAGAAGACAGAGGACACCGGTGGAAGTCGTCTCCCTCTCCAGCCGCGCATCACCGTCAGGCTCCAGCGTCCGAGGGTTCTCTCCCTCTCCTCCGCCTCGCTCCTAAGCCGCCCTTTACGGCATTGCCGAGACTGCCGTCTCTCTTCTCGTCTCTCTCTCTCTGTCTCTCTCGCCGAAACGAAGACTGTTAAACGCGAGTGAGAAGGGCATTCAAAACGAAGGGTATTTCGCGTTTCACGTTTCAACTTTGGCCGCTCCGCGATAGAGCGGGGCGGGGCGGGGCGGGGCTGCAGTGAGGCTGCCGGGTGTTTCCGCGCGGCACCACGCAGCTGTCGTCGAGTCCAATCCGATCGTGCCCCGAAAAAGTAACTCCACAATCATTGCTTTACGTGATTTTCTTTCCTCTCTTCTGGGCGGGCTGCGGTAAACGGCCGTAACGGACTCAGCGGCACAAACACAGCCAACACTAAATGGCTAAATGCGGGCCGCCTTGTCGCCGTGCCTTGTCGCCGTGCCGCCGTGTGTGGCGGTGCACTGGTGCGCTGCGCAGGCGCCCCGGGCCCCGCGAGTCGGCCCGGCTGGCCCCGTGACGCGAAGCCCCTCAAGTCGTCGGCGTCGGCGTCGCCGGCCGGCAGGGAGGGGCGGCCGGGTGGACCGGCGATACGCCCCTCGGGCCTCCGGCCGGCAGGTTGCGTCGGCGGTCCGCGGCGGTCGGCACGACGGTCGCCAACGACGGCAGCGCGCCGTGCAGCCCTCCTGCGCCCGCCATGCACCAGAGCGAGCGCCCGCCGCGCCGTCGCGCTGAAGCAAGCTGAAGAACGCCGAAGTCGGCCATGCCTGCAGCGGCGCGCTGGAGGACGTCATGAAGGTCGCGCTCTGCTTGCTGCTGCTGGCGGCCGCCTCGCGAGGCGCGCTGGTGCCGGCCGAGCCCGCCGCCGCCGCCGACATCGAGGAGACCGTCCCCCAGAGTGGCCGGGGGCCGGCGGCGGCGACGTCCGGCCTGCCGATGGCCTCGGCGCCCTGGCCTCGGAGCGCACCGCGCCCCCCCGCAAGGACGCGCCCGGGGCTGTACGCCGCGGCGGTGCCGTTGACGACGTCCGGGCGCGCGATGGCGCGGCCGAGGCCATGCGACAGGACGACAACAACAACAACGCCGTCGTCGACGACAGCAAGGCCGCCGGCGCGGCCGACAAGAATCGAAGCGGGGACGCGACGCCTGCAGCGCTGTTGGCGGTGAGTGAGTGTTCCATTCGCGCACTTCCGGACTTGACTTCGGGACGCCGGAGCCGCAGCGAGCCGGAGCGCAGCGCTCTGGCCTAGATAGCCGCGCTCCTGCCAGTCTCCCTTGTCGCTGTTTTTCTCTCGCCGCCTGCGCTGCGGGAGAAGTAAGCACGCAAAAAAAAACAAGAGTGATTTTGTTAGCAGATGATACATTTCGCAGGAAAAGATAGGAATGAATAAGATAGTTCAAGGACGTGTCGGCTAGCTTGTACTCTCCGAGGCGCCAAGCGGTCCAGGCAGAATATTTATTTTTACAGACAGCGAGCAAAAGCGGACTTTGCTCTCAGATTAGAATCGCCAGTGAGGGAGGAGGACACTGTGTTTCCGACTGCACAAAAAAATGCGGATAAAATAACTGTCGGCGACTTTATTGCTGGCGTTGGGGCTGGTCTGCCACGCTGCCATATTGTGCCACCCCGACACGCGTGCGTGTGTGCGGAGCGGGAAGGGTGGACAGGGCGGTGCGGGGCGGGGCGGGCCAGGAAGTGTGGGAAAAGTCGATATAAGCGCGGCGTGAGGCAGCGCGCGGAACGGATATGAGAGGTATGAGAAGTGGGAAGTGGCCGCGCCAATGATGCGATTACGGCGAGGACCGCCATAGGACCGCCAGGACCGCCAGAAGGCGTGTCCGTCCGCCCGCCCGCGCATGTCTGTCTGCCTGTCCGCGGGGCTGTCGAGGCGTTCACTTTTTTGCGCGCCATCCAGGCATATCAGTCTGGTGCTGGAACGGCGCTGGAAGTCGCCAGGGCCCTTCCAGCCTTTTAGGGTCACCCGGTCGAATAATTGACTCCGGTAGTGCAGGCCATGCAGCACCCGAGCCGAGTCGAGACGAGTCGAGCCGAGTCGAGTCGAGACGAGCCGAGCCGAGCCGATTTGCCTTCGTCCAATTAGCAGCCGCTTTGTCGCCACCACTCTCGTCAAACCCGAGAGCAAAGTCTCGTGCGAAGTGGGAAAGTGGACCAGTTTTCTAATCTAAATGTTTCCTGAGGCCGTAGGGGACCGTTTCGACAAACCGCGCCGCAGGTGCAACTGAATGCATTTGACCCAGTTCCGCGCTCAAGGAATGGAAGGAAGAGCCTCTTGCCGATTTTTGCAGTGCGGACTGCGTGCACTGCGTGGCCGTGGCGGCCGGCGTAGCCCCCTTTGGCGTTTCGCCTTTCCGCTCGGCACCCCGATGGAAACTCGACAAGAGCGGCGCAGACGCGATTACAAAATAAAACGTGCACGTGCATCGGTCTTCCTGGTCTCGTGTTACAGGCGCGGGGCGCGCGGGGCTCGTTGACCCCGCCTAATGCGTCCGCCTTATTCCCTCCGGCCCCGCCACCGCCACCGCCCCCTCCCCCGACCGGGCCGGCGACATCCACGGCATCCCCGGACGCCGAGGCTAGCGAAGCTAGCGAAGCCGCACCAGTGCCCTCCAACAAGTTGATCCAGGCCACGGGGCTGCCCAGCGGCGACGGCGGCGACGCCCCCACCACGCCGCCGACCAGCAGGTTCAGCACCAGGGCCTTCATCTTCACGTCGCGCAAGGGCCGCATCCTGCGCACCATCCGCGCCACGAGGGCGCCGCCATGGCAGCGCGCGCAGCACGCGCAGCACGCCGTCAACCAGACCGGGGCCGTCATAAGCGACGCACTGGGTGACGCGTATGACGTCATCCGGTGGCCCACCGAGCCGGCGCCACCCGCGTCCTCCGCCAGCACGGAGGATGACGCCGCCGACGGATCACGGCGGCGAGCGCCCGCAGGCGTTCCAGGTAGGCAAAGGCTGGTCCGCAGCGCTCCGCTGCCGCTCGCGTTGCCTACCCCGCGCTCGAGCGGCGGGGCGGCGGGGCGGCGGGCCGGCGGGCCGCGGGGCGGCGGGGCGGCGGGGCGGCGGGCGGGGCGGCGGGGTGAAGTTCAAAGCGGGAGGCTAATCTCATTTACGTGGCTCAGCCGCAACGCGGGGGCCGGGCCGGGCCGGGGAAAGGCCGACATGTGGGAAGCGGCCTCAATAAGCCGCCGAGCACTTTCGTTTATACACGAGCCGAATACGCGTATGCTCGGCCCGGCCGGCCGGTCCGAGAGTGGCGTGTCCTCGGTCTATTTGTCTTCCGCAGGAGCTGGACCAGCCGCGCGCGGTGGCACCCGTGGCGGGGCTGGCCGAGCCGCCGCCCGAGCTGGCCGTCATCAAGTTCCGCGAGGTGCCGGGCGGCGACGCCTACCAGCTCGGCCACCTCGACATCGGCGAGGGCAGCGACGTCTTCGGCTACCTGGCGGCCTTCCTGTCCTACGTGCAGCCCAACGACTTCCCCCTGGGTGAGTGGCCACCCACACTGTAGGCGCGGCGTTACGTGTTTCGTGGACGGATGACTTTGCCGAGCCGTGCAGAGCCCGGTTGAGGTTGTCAGCACTTTTGCGGGTTCGCCCTCCGCCCGCCTGCGTCGACTTGCTGCGGGAAGGGACCGCGAAGGGAAGGGACTGAGACGACGCTCCCCCTCCCCCCGCCGCCCTAAATCAGGCCAGACCGGTACTCACCGAGGTCGTTACGCCCCTGGGGCCGAGCCTAGGGCCGGGCCTAGGGCAGTCTAGGGCTGCAGCTTGCCTGCCCTTTGCTGGAAGCTGGCTAAATGGGGGGCCGAAGGGCAAGGGCCGCCGGCCGCAGGGCCGATAGGGGCAGGGCACAGCGAGCACGGCCCGGCACGGCCCGGCACAGCCAGCCATGCGGCGCGAACTGGCCAAAGCAAGCCAAAGCGAGCCAAAGCGAGAAACTGCACGGAGGGCTTCACTGCGCTAAGTGGATTCCCCGACGGCCGTTTACCGAATTTCCTTTTTTCTTACGCAAACTCGTGGAAGCGTCAAAAAAATATCTGACTCGAGAGACCTCGAGAGATAGAAAGCCCACCCACCCGCCGCCCCCGACGACGGCGCGGCGCTACAAACTTGTAAAATATATCTTTTTTCCGTCCAGTGTAAATGTCTGCATGAGGAGGGCAGAGATTCGGAAGACGAAGGGGGTCGTGGTTGCACTGCGCACTGGGGGGAAGGGGGAGGGGAGCGAGGGCGTGTGGGCAAGCAGCCAAGCACAGTGAGTATTCCGGGCCACCACTACCGAACGCAGCGGCCCTCCTCGCCTCCGCTCCAGTTCGCCCAACGCGCCTTCTCCCCCCCCCCCCCCCCCCTCCCCCTCCCCTACCCCCCGCCACGCAGTCGCCCCAGGCCGATCTGCCCGGCCGGGCGGTGCCCGGGCCGCCACCTCCATTCCGCCATTTAGACGCATTCCTGGGTAATACAGCGCAGCGTCGAATCAACTCACTCCCCAGCCGCGGGGCAGGCGGGGCAGGCCCCTGGCCGCCACGGGCCGCTTTGGCGCCTGCTGCGGCAGCGCTGCCACCGGGGCCTGCTGCGCGAGTGGGGAATGCCTCGCACGTTTGCGAATGGCGAAGAGGGTGGTTGCCGAACGGCCGAGTCGCGGGGGCGAGGTTCGGCGAGGTTGTGCACGGCGCGGCTCGCAAAACAGGATGCCTAAATCACCGCCAGACTCGGAACACATTGAATGAACGCGGGCCGCGGCGGGCTCCGGGTCGTCCAGGACTCCAGAACCGCTTCCTGTTGCAGTCGCTCATGCCGCTGCCGCGCTGCCGCCGATGGCTGGTGGGGCTGAAGGCTGGAGGGGCTGGTGTGCCGGCGGCAGCGCGCCCATTCTTTACCTTTCCCATTTCTCTCTTTCCTAACTTTGTTTCTTGGCGGCCCCGCCCCGCCCCGCCCCGCCCGGCCGCGTTGGCGCGCTGCCCGAGGAACGCGCGGAGGTGGCGGCGAGGTCCGACTCAAGGCGCGGCTAAAGGCGCCGGCCGATACACCTACCTGTCCCGACGGCGGCACTCGACGCGCTCAGTCTTCCTCCCCGTCGCCGAGGGTGCGAACGCCGTGTCTCATAATGGCAGCAGAATGGCAAAATGAAACTCGCAAAGTGGCGCGAAAGTCAGGGAGCAGCGAGCGACTCACGCTGCAAGTAGGGCAATGAACGACTTTCATTCTAATCCTTTCATCTCGAGAGCCGAGCGCCAAGCGAGTGGAGCTGCGAGGCAATCCAACAAAAAGCCGTAAAGAAGACCCTGAGCCTCGCTGCCGCGCTGCCCGGCTGCCTCGCTCCGGCGTCGTCTCGGCCATCGTTACCAACACGCTTCATTTCTCCTGTGCGGCTTCTGAGAAAATGGTTGTGGGTTGCAGACTTGCTGAGCGACGTGCTGCGCAATCGGGTGCCCTTGGAGTCCGTCGTCCTGCAGGTGAGTATACGCTCGGGTGCGTCTCGGTGGCCAGCCCTCCGCTCCGGGCCAGTCGAGGGTGTCCTCCAGGACAGCCTCCAGTCAGCACACTGGTATGCCGATGCACTGCACTGCCAGGTGAGAACGCCAGCCTCCGGCCGCGTCCTCGGCGTGATGTCCTCAGTGACTCGACCGGCGCGACAGGGAAGCCCGTCCGTCTCTCTCGCACTCAAGGCAGCGCCGCGGGGATGCATGCCATTCCACGCCATTCCCCCTGGCCGTGCGAGGGAGACATTCGTAACCCCCTCCCCTCCCCTCCGGCCCTCCGGCCCCCGGCCATGGCGCACTCACACACGCGTACGCCCGGCACAGCAGAAAGAAAGGGGAGATTAGGAGCAGTAGAGAAGAAAGCGGGGAAAACATCAACACAAAAACGGGGCCATAAAGTGCGGGAGGACGACGTTAATTGCGTGCGGCCCGTTCGTCGCCCAGAAGTGCAACTTGCACTCGGCATGGTGGCGGCGGAATAGCAGCGGTGACTTGATTTGTCCGCCATCGGCGGCCTCGCCTGTGTCTCCCCGGAGCCAAGGCTTCCGGCACACAGGCGCGTCTTTTTCTCTCTCTGTCTCCCTTGGCCCGAAAATCGGTCCGAGATTGTCGCCGAGGCTCGCGCCCACTCGGCCGTTCCGTTTCGGTGAGGCGGATCCCCAACTTTGGCCTCGGAATCAGGTTAGCAAGACGCGAACGAGCGGAAATGGGTGGGGGACCGGCCGGCCCGGCCCGGCCCGCGGAGGGAGGGTGGCAAACAGCGCTGCAGGCGCGGCCCCGCGTGCCCCGACCCCTTTCACCTTTTTCTCCTCTTCTTTTCCTCACCTGCCTTCCGGTCTGTCTGCTGGTGTGGCGTCGGTAACGAAATCACCCTCCTTTCTACTCGCCGGCCCCGGACGGACGGGCCGCCACCGCGTGGGCGGTCTCTCTCACACTCACGGGACGTCCCGCGAGGGTGCGAGAGAGACAGGCCGACGAGCGCGCCGTTCGGGATCACTCTGCAGGCCGGCCGGGGTTTCGGCTTGCTTGCCCCGCTTGCCCCGCATCCCGCGTGGTGGTCCCCCTGCCGCCACCGCCGCCGCCGCCACCGCCTCAGCAGAACCGAACTCGACATTTCACTCCAAGTGGAGAGAGCCCAGCCCGACCCAACCCCGTCCCCGCAAATGAGTCGGCAACACGGCAGGCCGTCGCCATCACGGCGAGCCGCCCTCGTCGACACGAGTGGAGGGGGGGCCGCGCGGAGGGCGATGATGACGCGGAATGAGGAGTAAAACGAGTAAAACAGTAAAACGAGTAAAGCGGGGGAACGGGGGGAGCGAGCAGAGCGCGGAGGCGGACTGCATGACTCGCGGTGAAAGTAAAGCAAGGGTCGCGGCGAGGGCGGCGAGGACGCGTCGACTGATATCGCCCCGAACGCGGCAATACTCGTTAATGAAGGCCTGCAGCTCGATTCCAAACGATGCCCCGTCTCGGCCGTCCCTGTCGCACCTCTCCGGAACGTCTCGGGGGTGCGAGAGAGACAGCGCGATGGAACAGCACCGTTCGGACTTGGCGGCCTCGGCCCACAGCGGCGTAGGCAGGGCGGCCGGCAGCGCCGCCGGGGCCGCTCCCCCACCCCCGACAGGATGTTTCGTTTGTTTACCGCGCGCCTTTTTAGGCGAGCCGATTAATTTTTGATTGATATTCGCGAGGAACATCAACAAGAAAGGAGAATAATTAATGGACCGTGATGATTAATTTAAAGCACGGCACAGTTTGTTCTGCAATAATAGTTGGCAAGTGGGGGCGCGGCGCCTTGCTGGTGCGGGCCCGGGGGCGCGGGCGGGACCAGGGCGAGGGCGACCGGGACGGGGCGGCGCTTAAAACTAGCGCTCTTAGGCGCACTGCGGGGGCGGGCCACGGCGGCAGGGCGGCAGGGCGGCAGGGCGGCCACAGCCCCTGACTCGGTTTATAAATAACCGAGTCCGTCCAAGTTGTCGCCACGGCCAGGCCACGGCACGGCCTACCCCGGCGGGCTCGGGCGGGCGGCTCCCTCCTTCAGCGCCTTCAGCCCAGTGGACGGGTGGCCGAGCGTGAGCCTCCAAGCCGCGTCGCCGCGTCGCCGAGGAGCCTTGCCGCAGCGTCCCGCAGCGTCCCCGCCAAGGTCACGCGTCTCCGGCGACGGGCCGGGTCACCGGACACACTGTGTGCGGCCACACTGTGCGCGGCTACACTGTGAGCGGCCTCGCCGCTTTAGTGTTCCTCGTTGATGACGAAGATAATCCCCGTGCTTCCTGCATCCCCTCCTGGGCGCGCCGGCCGCGCTGGCCGCTCTGCACAAAGCAAGTGTCTTCCGATGAAAGGGCGGCCCGGGCCGTGGTGAGCCGTGAGCCGCGCCGTGCCGCGCCGTGCCGGGCGCCGGACAAAAGGCAGCCTCAGTGGAGAAAGACGGAGACGGACGCCCCAAAGCCCCGCAGGCCGCAGAGCACAGGGAAATGGCTGCCCACTAGTTCCACCCGTCATGCCGAACAATTTCCTCTAAGCCGTGTGTGAGGCGGGAAACAAAAAGAAATGCGGATGCGAGACGCCGGTGGTATTCGAACCCGGGCCCTCACCGGAATGCAGCGAAATGCGACCGCGTTCGGCGACCGCAGAGGCATTATCATTTCTGGCTTTTCGGCTCGTCGCCTCATTTCCTTGCTCGCCTTGCGGCGCGGCGCGGCCCGGCACGACCGCGGCCGCCCTCTGCATATAAATTTAACGGGACCAGATCTTCCGAGGCGATTCCACAATTACGCGTCAAACAGGCCTCGCCCTGCTCCGCCTTGCTCCGCCCAGCTCGCGTTGCGTCGCACCGTGCTGTGGCGGCTGCCGCACTCCCCCGCGCCACTCTGAACCCCGCCGCACCCTCCCGTCCGTCCGCCCCACCCTCGCGCCTCGCACCAGGCCAGCGCCAGCCAGCGCCAGCTAGCGCAGTACACTGTTGGACTGTCGGCAGATGAACCCCCGCCGTGGGTGCTGCCAACCCGACCCTTTTGCTGAAATCCTTTTTCGTGGCGGCGTGACAGAGCCCGCTCCTCATCCATCTACCTGCAGCTTGGGCTTGGGCCGGGTCACTTCGTTGAGCTGGAAGGAAGACCCTGCCGGACAAAAAACTTTTTTGGCCGTTCGGTCCGCGGACTACGACGGAGGAGAAAGATAGCGGTATGCAAAGTCACTGGGTGGGGGTGCCGGGTACCGAACTGATGATGTTCGGGGAGGTACTCAGTGGGGTGGGAGGGGCGTGGTTGGCCGAAGGGTGAGGTTGGGACCGAGGGGGATGTCCTCTGACACTAAGTGAATTGACAATCGCGAGGGCCGTGCAGTGCCTGGCAGTGCCTGGCAGTGCCTCCAAGCCAGAAAGCGAGCACTCAATTCATCAAGCTCCCAGCGGCATAGTCCCGGCCGCAGGCGGCAGGCAGTGGAGTCTCCTGGGTTCAAATACCCGAAGGAGAAACTACTTTGTCTGAGAGAGGTGGCCGCGTGGCCGCCGGCGAAGCGAAGCGTAGTCACAGGCGAACTGGAGCCAGCCTCTCTCGGACAGGGACGCGGCCGGGCGCAGAAAGGGTTGCGGGGGGGGGGCACGGGGTGCGGCGCCACAGAAGCCGCCCCGCCCCGCCTCGCTCCCCCGACAGTTAAAGGGATGTACCGACGCCCGGACGCCCCCACAGCTCAACGGGGTAGCGCTCCGCCGCGTCGTATGGCCACCAACTTCCGCCAAAGTTTGCTGCCTTTTCCCTGCGCGGCCCCACGCTGCGCCACACTGTGCCACGCCACGCCACGCCACGCCCGCGCCCCCGCGACCGGCGCGGCTAGCGCGGCCCGCCGGCACTCCGTCCTGGCAGTTCTTCTCCGGAATGGGACGTTTGGATCGCCGGGCCGCGCCGCGCCGCGCCGCCCACGCCCAGCCCACGGCGTTGACGCTCCCGCGCTCCCCACAGGCCCTGCAGCTGGAGGCGGGCTTTGTCAGCCTGTCCGCGCTCTACGTGCTGCTGGCCCTCGTCAGCCCCTGCGTGTGCCTGTGCTACGCCTGCGCCCGGATCTGCGCCAGCGCCGACGGTGGTCATGACATCCCTCATCCGGCCCGCGGTCGCCGCGCGACGGCGACGGCCAGCGGCGGCAGCCAGCAGGGCGGCAAGCAGCGGAGGGCCGCCGCCTCCCGCGAGTCGCCCCCCGAGACGCCGCCCGCCACGCCGCCGCCGCCCGTGGGGCCGCCGCCCACCTTGCCGAACATGCCGCAGCTCGACATGTGGGACCCGCGCGTCGTGTGCGGCGGCGGCGACCCGTGTCAGCAGCGGTCGCTCCTCGCGCTGCTCACCGCCGTCCTGTTCGCGCTCATGTGCGTGCGGTACACCACAAGTACTCATCTTCGGATGCCTTTCATATCGACTTGACTTGTTGATGATCCTGAACTGGTTCTGCGCGCAGTCTGTCGGTGTGCGCGCAGCTCGCCACCAACCAGCAGGTGTCCATGGCGGTGTCCAGCGCGCCCGTGGTGGTGCAGGCCGCGCTGGGCGACGTGGACGTGTTCGTGCGCAACGCCCGCCTGCAGATCGACTCGCTGATCGCGGGGACCTTCCGCCAGGCCGTGCTCGCCTGCCGCCAGGACCTCAACAGTGAGTGCGGCGACGCTTCGGGCTCGCTGGCTTGCCTTGGGCTTGCCGTCGGCTTGCCGGCCAAGGGTGCCTTTGCTTTGGCTGACCCTCTTCTCTGCCCGCAGACGTGGACCAGCTGCTGGGGCGGCCCTTGCAGCGGGAGCTGGCCGCCGAGACGGGGCTGGACGTGGCCCTGGACGCCCTCATCGACGTGGCAAGCGGTGCGTCCCCTCCCCTTCCGCGTCGTCACGACGCTCCACTCCCAGCACGTGACCCCCACTAACTTGCCCACGCACTGCAGCCTCGCAGGCCGTGACCGCCAAGGTGCAGCAGCTGCTGGACACGGCGTCCGAGGCCAGGGAGGCCGCCGCGCAGGTGCACGACCGCCTGCAGGAGCTGCGCGGCCACGTGGACGCGCTCAAGCGGACGTGCCCGCGCCAGGAGAAGCCGCTGTGCGACACACTGCACACCGCGGGGCTGCACGTCACGCTGGGACTCGAGGCGGTAAGGGACGCGGGTTCGAATACCCAGTGGCGGGTCCAGAGGCAGCCCCAGAGCGGGGGGGGGGGAAGCAGCACTTTTTGCCTACTTACGGGAGCAACGTGGTGCTTTTTGCCTACCTCTCAGGCGGCTATCAAGGGGCCAGTGGAAGGGGTGGAGAGCAATTGTCCTTTTGCCCCTCTGGATCCACGCTTGCAAACACCACCCCTAAAATAAGTCAAGATGCGGATCAAACTTTGGACGGTGACACTGTTACTCAAGGAGACGCCACTTTTAAAAGAGTATATATTCCGAGGCAAGTCCAATGAGCACGCCGCGACTCGCCCTTCGAAAGGCGTGGCCCTCTCGATGGGAATTGGAACGGGGAGTGCGTTGGCCACTGCCGCGGCGGCGAGGCGGGCAAGGTCAGGACGACTCCATTCTCAGCCTCTTAGCGGGTCGAACCCTTTCCCCCACCGCGGAGCCCGGCCAGGCCAGGCCGGCCCAGCCCCATTGACCTGCTCATGTCCTCTGTTTTAATTAAACTAGCCTTAATTAGCCCATCTTTCCTTTCCGCCGCCACGCCGCTGCCGCGCGGCCGACCGAAGCCACCGCACGGAGTGGCGCTGGCACGGCGAGGGGCGGGAGGGGAGGAGGGGACGGAGGCGAGACCTTTTGAACGCAGTCCAGCGCGGGCTGGGGGAGGGGGAGGGGAGGGTCGAAATGAGAGATGGCGGTGCGCGCGGTGCGGTGCTTAGGTCCGAAGCCAAGCCCTTTGGCTGGCGATCGTCGACGCCAACGCCGCGGGTCGTGGCGTGGGTTCGAATACGCGTGGGGGCGCGGGGGGTGGGACGGGCTTTCTCCAGCCACTCTTTCATTATTAGGGTATTACAGGTTTTACAAGGCTGCATGATGGCGGGCTGTACTCCCGGCCGGGTACGGTAGTTACACCCGCTCGAGCCAGCGAGCACTCTTGGCACGGCGGGCCAGGGCGGCCGGGGCGGGGCGGTCAGGGCGCAGCCTCGGACTCGCAGGCGGAAGTCGCGATGACGTCCATTTAATGAATATTAATGGGCGGCGCACATTGGCTGAGTCACCTGGCGTGGCGCCGTGGCACGCCGTGGCACGCCGTGGCACGCCGTGGCCGGAGCGAACCCCGTTTGGAGTCGGCTGGAGTCAGACTGCTGGCCGCGGACCCCGACGGAGTCTCGGGACCCAGCGCCGCCAGGAAAAGTAAAGCATTGTCGTCACATTACCTTCCACACACACGCACACATTCGCGCGCTCGGCGAAATCCATCATGTCGACGCGAACCAAAAACGAAAACGGATGGCTGCACGAGAACGAGCCCGCCACGCTGGGGACATTCTCATCCGCGGGGTCGACGCTCTGGCCAGACAGAACCAACAGCAAAACCCCAGACGGCTCTGACCATCCTGACGCAGGTGCTGTCCGACGCGCGCCTGGCCGCGCTGCAGTCGCTGGGGTCGCGAAACCTGTCCTGGGTGGCGGAGCGCGCGCGCGCCGAGTTCCAGACCGTCCCGGAGCTGGTGGCCGAGCGCACGGCCTCAGCCAGGCAGGGTAAGTAGCGTCAGGGTGGCGTGGAGCAGGCCAAAGGCCGGAAGGGCTGGAGAGAACGCAATGGAGTGCTGCACTGTGCACCCTGACGTCGACGTCGACGTGCCCCTAGGCGTGGTGGACGCCCTGGACAGCCGCCTGGAGAGCATGACGACGCTGCTGCAGCCGCTGGACGGCATCTCGGACCGCCTGAGCCTGGACTTGGCCACGGCCAGGGCGCGGGCTCTGGAGCTCACAGACATGGCCAACCAGTACGACACGTGGAGGTGGACGGCCAGCGTGGGTGAGTAGGCACACTGTAGGCACGCCAGCCTGGACGGCAGCGGTTGACACCGAGGCTGACGCGCGCCATGGCGCCGTGCTTCCAGGTGCGTCCATGCTCGTCATGCTGCCCACCATCCTGCTGCTGGGTAGCGCCGTGTGCCTGTGCTGCGGCCCCAGCGAGCGCGCTGGCGCCCCGCTGTTGTCGTGAGTACTTGCCACCGAGTCCCCTCCACCTGCAGCGGGCAGTGCCTAATCGGCGTGTTGCCAGGTCCGTGGTGCTGGTGGGGCTGGTGTCCGCGCCGCTGTGGCTGGCCTCGCTGGCCGTGCTGCTGGTGGCGGGCCACGCCGAGGTCTTCGTGTGCAGGCCCCTCAAGTCCGGGCCCGACTACGCCGCGCTCTCCCGCGCCCTCGACCCCTACACGCTGTCGCAGCTGCTGTACCCCAACAAGACTGTCTCCCTGCCCATCAAGGACGTCCTCAGGTACGGGCTGTAGTGCACAGTGAGCCAGTAGACTGGTGGAGGCGGCCGAAATTCTAGACGCGTTTTTAGCCCCAGAGTCGCTGAGTGGGACTAGAAACGAACGTGTGACCCTACCAATGGATTGCTCTTCGAAGGAGGAATCTATTGGTGGGGTCACACGTTCGGTTCGAGTCCTGTCGCTGCAGTGGCGAAACCAGAGCTCTCAAGTCACCTTCGACCGACCGCCCAGGCCACGGCGAGGGCGGCGCCACCTCGCTGGGTTGTCTCCGGCGGCTCCGATGATGTTCGCAAATCGGAATGGCTAACTGGCAGGTGGCCTTCGACCTGCCTGCAGGGGTTGCCGCTACGACGGCGGCGCGTACTCGGTGCTGGGGCTGCGCTGGGCGACGGACTTGGAGGACGCCACGGACCCCACCAGCTGGCCCGAGGTGGAGCGCCAGCTGGCGCAGCTGCGGCCGGACCTGCAGCACCTGCAGCTGCTCACGCCCGAGCTGCAGGCCGACCTGAAGGCGCTGCTGGACGCCTCCATGGCCAACCTCACGGCGCACCGGCTGCAGGTGGCCGGCGGCGTCACGGGCAGCGACCTCTCGGCGCTGGCCGACCAGATGGAGAGCGTGGCCAACCAGATCGGGGACGTGGCCACGGCCTCGCGGGTCGAGACTCTCGCCACCAGGACGAGGAGGGTGCTGGCCACGCAAGTGCAGCCCCTGGCTGCTAGGAAGGTGAACAGTCAACGTAGTTGCACAATGTCGTGGCCGCTCGCTCACACAATTTTGTGCATGAGAAGTTTTTCGAACAAACCTGTGCACAAAGCGCATTCATTCATTCATTCATTCATTCATTCATTCATTCATTCATTCATTCATTCATTCATTCATTCATTCATTCATTCATTCATTCATTCATTCATTCATTCATTCATTCATTCATTCATTCATTCGCCACTGCAGGAGAACCTGGTGTACCAGCTCACGACACTGGAGGTGGAGCTGGCGCCGCTGCAGCGCCACGTGAACCAGAGCCTGTCGCACCTCAAGACGATCCAGTACTTCGTGGACAAGCAGGGCGCCACCATGGCCGACCAGAAGGCGAACCAGTTCCGGGCGCGCGTGCGGGGCTACCTGCAGCAGGCGCGTGACCACGTGGTCACGGGGCTGCGAGCACGGTGAGTCCGCAGAGTCCACCGAGTCCGCCTGCGGAGTAGGCAACCCAACGCACAGTGGGCTGGCGCGCGCAGCGGGCCCTCGTCAGCGGACCGATTCCGAGAGGCGTTTTCGTCGCTCTGCCGTCTGATTCCGAACACTGCTTCGTCACTCTGTCTCTCTCGCACCCCTACGGACCGCCCCATGAGTGCGAGAGAGACAGAGCGACGAGGACGAAGGTCGGAGTGAGCCTGCGGGACGATGCCCGGCTTGATCGCCGTCCCCGTGATTTGATTTGCCGCAGCGTGGCGCGGTGCGGCCCGCTGTGGTCCTCGTTCGACGCACTCAGCACGCTGCTGTGTCGGCACGCCATGGACCCGTTGGTAAGTCGCCAAGGGACTCGCCCAATCCGGGATGAAAACGACCAACGCGCGTCTGGCTTTGCATGCTTTGCAGAACGGGCTGTGGGCCAGCCTGACGCTGTCGCTGGTGCTGCTGATGGCCGCCACGGCGCCGGCGCTGCGTCTCGTCCGGGCGCAGGGGAGCAGCCGGTACCGCATGCCGGCCGTCAGGTAGGAGAGCGCGGCGCACACCACACCGCGACTCCGCGCGCGGGGCACCGCCCGCCCGGCAGGCGGCAGGGGCAGGCCTCGGGGCAAGCCTCCCAACCGACGGCCACCTGACCTGGGCACTCCGCTGTGACCAGGCGTGGCCTGCGACTTACTATGCCGAACCCACAGCGCTTTTCGTTGTCACTTTACCGTTTTGCCTTGGTTTTGTTTTTTGACTCGGCGCATCTACCAGCCTGGGCTGGGAGTCGGGTCTCCCGGGGCCCCCCGAGTACGACGCCGCGCCCCCGCCCCCGCTCCCCCCGCCCCTCCGTGGCTTCCTGGCGACCCACGGGCCCCTGTAGGGCGCAGGGCGCGAGGCTCAGGGCGCGAGGCGCCGGCCCCGCACTCGAAGGGTGCCGACTGTCGACTGCCGACTGCCGACGGAGGGTATCGTGCTTCACTCGCCTCTCTAGCCTCGCTGCCGTACTGCCGTCGCGCAGCTTCGCGCTTCGCGTCGCGCTCGGGCGGCGCTTCCTGAACTGTTTCCGTTTGCTTGGCAGGGACGTCGCGCCCAACAGGTCGTCTAGCAGAGGCGGCTGGCTCACTCCGGGGTACGAATACTGACTACCCCTAAGTGAAGACGTTCCACCAGGAGCGAACAAGCTTTTAACATGTGTTCGGCGCGATTCTTTCCAGCACGTCGGCGCCTGACGGCTGGTGAACTGGGCATCGGGGTGTCGCCAACCTTCCAGCTAGAGTTACGTTTTTATTACAACATTAGCATGTACATTAATTTTACACAGGAGGCTTAAGGTAAATAAATCATGTTTAGTGTGAGAGTATACTATCAAGAGCAATAACTGTTAGTTCTACATTAAAAAATAAAGTTTTCTACAATTATGTCCACGTTTACATACCCAAAGCAGACGTTGCTCTCTATCACAGAAAAGTAAAATAAATAAGTCATCAATTCGGCCAAACGGCGTGCATAAGTCCGCGTCGTGCTAAGAGACAGGAGCCGGTCTGGGGCTTCCCTAGGGCTTCCCTCCCGCAGCAGGTCAACAGACCCCCGCAAGATCAACTCTCCTCTTTTCCAGTCAGCATCTCAAGGAAAACAGAATCGTCACGAATAGCTCATCGTATGCTTTTTCAAGTCGCGTGTGACCTCATGCGCTCAAACCCGTGATGGAAATCCGTCACCTGCCGCTCGCTCACGGTGCATCGGCCACCTCTCCGTGACGATTCCACTTCTCCTCGAGAGTGATGTTCACGCCGAGGACGACGCGTCAAGGGCCTAACTAGTGAAGCACGTCGCGGGCGGACGCCGAAACCTAAATGCTATTTGTACGTTTGTTATCAACACGAAGCTCTGGCATCAAAGTCAGGTGTCGGCGGCCTAGGGGCGCACGACGTCCTCCTCGGCGGCGATGGCGACGTTGGTGCCGACCCTGGCGACGCCCTCGCTGTTGGTGGCCACGCAGATGTAGGTGCCGACGTCGGCCTCGCGCAGCGTCATGATCTGCAGCCAGGTCGTGGCCATGAAGGGCTCGGGGCCGCCGCGCAGCATCACCACGAGGGAGGCGTCGTCGCCTGCGACAGGGGCGACAGGGTGGCCGTCAGCGCGCCGTCGCGTCAGGGCACTCACTTACCGAACTTGAGAACAGCGGCCGCGACGATACCCCGTGCGCGGCGTGCGCCCCTGCGCGCGGGGTACCGCCGCGTCGAGCTGGCCGTGGTACTGACGCCATCACTGACCGGGTAGCGGGGTGGCGATGCCGTCCTTGATGCGCTCCCAGGAGGCCGTGGGGCCCGGATAGCCTTTCACCTCGCACTCCAGGGACACGGGGGAGCCGGCGACGTAGCTCACTGACGTCGGCGCCGTCACGATCCACGGCGCTGCCATCGCGATCCCAGCGAACACCGACATTTCATCAATTTGTTTTAGTAGTCCTCAAGGGGGACGGCCTGTGCCTGCTTACCTGACCGGCAGGGGCCTCGGTGCTTGAGCCACACCTTGACGGGCGCCTCGTCCGCGCTGGCCGGCCGCGCCGACTTCATGAGGCACGTGGAGGCGTAGGTCGTGTTGTCGGAGCCGCAGACCTGGCCGGGGTCGCGGCACACGCACAGCGCCTCGGGCTTGTCCTGGCATGGGCACGAACAGCACCAACACGTTGGCGTTAGGGAGAGAAAAAGGGGGGACCGCGACCGCGCCTCTCGGCGTGGTGCTTCCAGCTCGATGCGAGGGCGAGACGACGCCCCGCGTCTGGCCTTCCCCCTTGCCAGCCTGGTTGCAGACTGATTCCGAGAGTCGTTTTCGTCGCTGTCTCTCTCGCACCTAAACGGGACACCCCACGAGTGTGAGAGAGACAGAGCGACGAAAGCGACTCGCGGAATCAGTCTGCTAGCCTTGTCGCGTAACGACGTCACTTTGCGATGCATGGGCCCTGGGCCCCGGCCGGGACGCGCCGCGGGCAAGAGCCGCGTATCTGCTCAAGAAGGACGTCAGCTCGAGCAGACCCCGCCCGGGGCATGCTGGGGCACCGCCAGCTACGCCAGCTGTGGCTCAAGGAGCGGGGAGGGGAGATGCTGATAACTGCACAGCATAATGCAACCTAGTGTTTCCCGGCGGGAAAAGGGAGGCGATGGTCCAGACTCAAATCCATTCCGTCCTCGGCGTCGTGGCCCGGTTGTGGGGTGGGGCACGTGGGGTGGGGTGCAGTCGGGACTTCGCGAAACACCTAGCTAGAAACATTGGGCCTGCCTCAGCGGGGCCTCTAGTTCTAGCTTCGCTTGCTTTGCTGTTCACCTCTTCGCGGAGGTCGGTGCGCTTGATGCAGTCCATGTTGTCGCCGCACACGCCCAGGGCCCGGAGGGCCAGGTCGTCGACGGCGTCGCTGGAGGCGTTGTAGCAGCGACTGCCCTCCGGCAGCCCGCAGACGCCGTCCGCGCAGCAGCCGCACGGGTCCGGCGCGAGCCCCACGCCCGCGGCGCACTCCATGGCGGTGCGCGGGCACCTGCCGAGCAGAGCAGCCAGAGCAGGCCGAGCAGGCCGTCAGCTCCGCGAACACTGCGGACACTGAGGACAGCCCGCTGCCTCCAGACGCCGGGCATCGCGCTTCCCGCAGCCACCCGATTCCACAGGGTCGTTTCGTCGCTCTGTCTCAGTCGCACCTCAACGGAACGCTCCGTGAGTGCGAGAAAGACAGAGCGACGAACCGGTCCTTCGGCATCGAGCGGCAGGTCGCGGCTTCGCGGTGTACCAGCGCTTACCTGGCCGGCCTACACGGCGCGCAGCCTGGCTCCGGGGCCTCCGTGGACGGCTCGGGCGGCGTGGGCGGCAGGTCGGTGAACTGTTCGGCGAGGGGGTCCGAGGGGGGCGCGTCGACGGGGGGCTCCGAGGCCGCGACCGCGTCGGAGGGGGCGGCCGCCACGAGCGAAGCGCAGCACAGCGCCGTCAGCAGCACTGACATTCTGTACAGCATCCTGGCACTGCAGCCTGCACTGCGGCCTGCACCAAGTCGCACCGGGACAGCGCTCGCCGTCGCGGACGTTGGCTGCGTGCCCCGAGTCTGGCGGACTGGCGGACTGGATCTGGACCGAGCAGGCTTGTTGCCAGTGCAGGAGTTCCGCACTGTTATCGAGAACGTCGGCGTCTGACTTGGGCCCCGGCTTTCAGGCCCACGCCGCCGCCGCGCCGCGTCCGCTACGCCCAAAGTACCCCCACCCAACCGAACCCAGCCCCGCCGCCCCCCGCCCCCCGCCTCCAGCTGCAGGAGGGACTGGACCGGGGTGTTTTCATGTGAGAGAAACAGCCGGCCGGTCGTAACCGGTCAGAGTGTCCATGCCGTCCATGTGGTGGTGGCGCGGGCGCGCGCCGTGAAGGGCGCCAAGGCCGCCAAGGTCACGGGCGCCGAGGTCCGCGCTGGCGGTGTTTCCCATTTCGCCGCCGATTAGGAATCGGCGAACGCGGCTCAGCGACCAGCTGGACCAGCGCGCCTCGCTGCTCTCAGACGCTTCAGCTGTGGGAGGCTCAGGCTGCCTCGCACTGTATGACTTGCGTCCTACACTGTATGACTTGCGTCCTACACTGTATGACTTGCGTCCTACACTGTATGACTTGCGTCCTACACTGTATGACTTGCGTCCTACACTGTATGACTTGCGTCCTACACTGTATGACTTGCGTCCTACACTGTATGACTTGCGTCCTACACTGTATGACTTGCGTCCTACACTGTATGACTGCAGGATCTGCTTGCGCTGGCTGCTGGGACTTCCGGCCGACGGATAGAGGCATAGAATGGAAGCGTTGCAGCGGGATAGAAGATAGTGCGTGCGGAAGTAAGCAGCGTGCACCGCGACCTCGCGGAGACAGACTTGTACAACCGCAAGTCCCCAAGGATGCCCTTTATTAGGCACGAAGTAGCCTTATAGTATACCCAGGATTCAGCCGGCCCGAGATTCAATTTGTGTGGCCCTTTATGCATTTCGGAAATTTTCTATACGATTTTAATGAGATTTTGCAGACTTGTATAACTTTGAACGCTGATTCTCATGCTGAAATCTGGTTAAAAAGTTAACGGCCAATTTTGAGAAATTTGCTGTCAAAATCGCCGTTTCCATGGCAAAACTCGACTCGTCAAAGGGAGTGGGGGGAGCCGAGCCGGGGCGGACCAATAGCCGAGCTTCATTTTGGGTCTGTACAGCTTACTCCAAAAGCTGAAATGGCGCGTTCGAAATGAAAAATTTCTTTGACTGCAGGTAGACAAGATGCAACAATAGAATTGGTGTCGGTTCGAACGCAGTTTTTCGGGTAGAACTATCCAATAATACTTCTTGATCGGAGTGTGTTTGGGCATGCGCAGTAGGTTTGTAACCTGTTTAACAGTTTAACCAACTGTAGCATTTGAAATCTGTATTAATTTTGCTCTCTTTTTGTTTTTCTTTGTTTCCTGCTTATGAAATTCATATAAAACAAATTTTCAATTTTATGTGATAATTTTCTAAAAAAATATTCACAAAAAATTAGCAAAACAAAAGTTCTTTTTTTTTGACATAAAGTTTCCCAAATATTACCTTTTTTTCTGTCAATAAAACAATTTTGTTGTTGTTGTGATTCAGTTAGCACTAGGACCACTTCGCTCCACCTCGCGACTTGCAGTGCTCATGTTCCTCGAACAAGACTCACCCGCGTTTCGAAACCTTCCCTCCCGAGTTTATGAAGTTTGTCAAACCAACCGTCGTGGTGTTGATTCGTTGTGAGTGAGAACTATTACAAAGAATTGAAGAAAACATGACTAGAGAACCATAGCCTTTTGAAACAAGCCAAACAATTCAACGTCAGCAACAATGGAGGGGCAGTTTTAATGCCCGACTGCTGGTGCTTTCAGCTTCGCGATTTTCGCAAGGGCGTAGACGCCGAGAAGATTGTTGCCAACCCTTGAAAATTAATTTACTGCCTTCTTTCTGCTAAGAACATTTTAATAATGATGGACTTTAAAGATGTTCCATTGTCAGAACACTGCGGAATACATTAGCATTGGAATTTTTTGAATTTACCAGCATTTTGATTTCTATTTATTGTCAAGTTTAAATTTCGACGGGTGGCACATCGACCACATTGGTACCACTGCCATTGGTAGTCCCCTGAGCCACAACTTCACAACACCACCACTTCTTTTCTTTCTCCACTCTCTTAATCAAATTGACTTCGTGACTCCTAGGATTTCTTGAAATCGTATTTTTTTACTTTGCGTCTGCACATTGAAAACGATTCAAAAACCAATCGGGTCGCATGCAGCGTATACAGGCTGTGGCTGCCTGCGGCCGGTCTGAATGTCCTAGTAGAGGATCGGGTAGGGGCTGGGGTAGTGGTGCGGGTCGTCGTAGGGCGACGGGAAGAAGGAGGGTGGCGGCGGCGGCGCGTAGCCCCCGGACCGCGGCTCCCCCTCCAGGCTGACCAGCTGCAGCTGCACGGTGCCCTCCACGATGACGCTCCTCACGTGCTGGTACGGGTGGCGGTGCGGCCACTCGGCGAAGTGCACGCCGTTGAACGCGATCTGCAACATGTGTGGTACAGTAGTTTCTCTCTTTTTTCGGGAATTGGCAACTCAACTACGGCGGCACGCCGGCCTCTCTTCGTGCGGCGCGCCTCCAATTACGTCCAGCGCTCCGTCGCTCTGTCTCTCTCGCACCCGTCCGGGCCGCCCCTTGAGCCCCATGAGTGCGAGAGAGACGGCCGAAGAATTGTCCTATGAATCAGTCCGCTGATGTCGTGCGAACCGTTCAGGCCGACTGTCTCCCGGGAACTTCAATTCCTGGTGTAGTGAGCAGTATGCCGGGATCCGGCTTACCCTGTAGTTGTAGTCCTCCACCATGACAATCATCTCGAAGTGCTGGCCGGCGCGCACGGGGCAGGGCCGGTGCTGCTGGCCGTTCTCCCAGCCGCCGCGCCGACAGGTGTTGATCTCCACGATGCCCTCGGAGGGCCGCGTGGACACGTGCAAGGCGATGTCGTCCCCGGTCATGGACGGCCCCGTCGCCAGGTTCACGCTGAACCTGCAGAGAGGGCAGTCAAGGATCGGCGTTGTGATGCTGCGCTCTCCGTTTTGGTCTGCAGATTGATTCCGAGAGTCGTTTCCGTCGCTCCGTCTCTCTCGCACCTACACGGGTGCCAGAGAGACAGAGCGCCGGAACAGCTGCTGGAGTGTACCTGTAGGCGTTATGGGGAATGAAGCCCCTGACGCGGAGGCAGCGCCCAGGGTAGATGGAGCCGATCATCTGGGTGTGGGGCACGCCCTGGAACACGGAAGGCGTTGCGTCACAGTCTGGGCAGTTTGGAAGCGCGTCGCAGAGGGCGCTGAGTGAACTTTCCACTCACCGGGTTGTGCGTCTGCTGCGTGGAGCTGGAGCAGGGCCCCAGCACCCCGGACACGCTGTACATCTGGATGTTGCCGTCCGCGCTCACGTGCGTCACTCGCTGGTAGGGCAGGCGGTGGCGGTAGTCCCGGAAGTGCTGGCCGTTGAAGGCGATCTGCGTCCAGACGGCGAGACGGCCGGTTCAAACACAGTCAAGCGCGGATCCAGCCCGCAGTACTGCCCACCCCCAGGCAGGCTCCGGATCTGCCAGTTCGGCTAAGGTGGGGCATCGGCGTGGGGCTCACCTTGAAGGCGTGGGGCTCGCAGCGCACCAGCATCTGGAAGGCGGCGCCGGGGCGCACGGTGCCGGGGATGCCGCCGTCACGCTCCTCGTGCTGCCAGCCGCCCTGCTTGGTGTTGCGCACCACGCAGTACTGGTCGAAGCGCACCGACACGTGCAGCGCGATGTCCGACATGCTGGGCTCCGCGCCGCCGCACTGCAGGTTCAGCTCGAACCTGCCAAAAAGTACTGTCACTGAGAGTGGATGGGCAGCGGCGGCGGTACCCCGAGCTCCAACTCGCAGTTCCGACACTCTGGAGCCCGAACCGCCACGTTGATAACACGGTAACCCCGGCTACCCAGGCTCGCAGGACAAACGGACTGGGCGCCTCGCGGTTAGGCAGTCCCGGTTGCATACTCTCCTGCTTTCCTCCTTCCTCATGGCTCATTTCCCGTCAGTTTGACGACTGGCCATGGCCTGGCCAGTGCAGTCCGGGGGGGGCTTTGCTTTGCCACGCTTTGCACCAGCGAATCCCAGCCTGCCCGGCCTGCCCGGCCTGCCCCCATAAACACAAAAACGCATTTTATTTGCTTGCCTGGAGGCATGGTGCGGGATGGTGCCGCTGAAGGCGATGACGCGGCCGGGGTGAAAGGGTCCGTCCAGCTGGCGCACGAACGGCACATTCTGCGGGGAAGACGGAGAGACACATTTGACTTGACGACTTGCTTTCGCATTCGCAGCAAACAGCAGGCACTCTGGTTCACCGCACTTACGAAGCCGCCGCTTGACGGGTACATGGTGTCCGGTGAGAGGAGCCTGCAGAACAAATTCGTTTAAAATTCAAATCCCAGATGTCGCTAGATGACGCCTCGGCAGTGTTTTCCTGGCACGCCACTTCAGGCGGCGGATGTGACTACGAACCACTACCGGCTCGGCTATCTGATACCTAGATTATTCCCTGGCGTTGGGCGGGCATCATGCGGAGTGGGAGTGCCCAAAGGACGCGTTGATCGCGATCAATCGCCGGACGAGTCGGTCTTATCGGGATCGGAACGGCCGAACAACCGAACAAATGGAGTGAACTGCCCCATTGTAAAATGGCCCGCACTCAGTGGAGGGAGCGAGGGACACGCGGCGAGGAGAGACTCTCCAGTCGGGAGAACTACTGGTGTACTGGGTGAAGCGCCTGCCAACGGAGAGTAGGCAGCCCGCCACGCAGGCGCGCATCGCCCTCACTTGGTGGCCTACCTGCTGAATTTTCTCACCCCCCTCCGCACGCAAGAGAAATGCCTGTTCAAAAATAGCGCTTTTGGAGATAAACTCACTCGAACAGATCCCAGGAAACGACGCAGAGCCACGTCGAGCCACGATACGCAGAACACTGGCGGACGCAAGGCAATAGCGCGAGGCCCGGTCGGTGCAGGCACCGGTTGTTCCAATCTTTCGTGTCTTATCTGCAGGCGGTGCGTCGCGTCATGCGTCACCCTACGCCGGTGTCAGTGAGTCGGATGGGGCGGTGAGTGACTGCGAGTGAGTGCTGCATGTGCGTGAGATTGAGAGAGGGAAACAGGGGGAAAGGGTTGCGAGAAACAAAACAGTATACAGTAAAATACCTTCATTCTGCAAAGTCAAACAAACATGGCTTTCAGAACATTGTGTTTGTCTGTTGGTTATACACCTAAAATTCTGCTAGTACAGTTATGATGAGACTCGAAAATCATTGCCTTCAAAATATAAAGCACAAGTTGCAAATCAAATCTAATACAAGTCCTACTACATCTTTGGATTTCTATCAAAGGAAAGTTCTGATAAATTCCTCTTGAAGTCAAAAATTGTTCACAGGAAAACACATATTTAAATGTAAAATTGAAACACACTTATAAAATCTTTACAAACAAGAACATTACCAACTTACATCTACAGTACAACTCTCCAGAGGCACTCGGTCAACTAAAATATTTTGTAGTGCAACACATAATCAAAATCAATTTCCTGTTAATTTGAAAACAACAGGCAAGCTGATAAATGCTTGGCCCACTATGTGTCTACTTAGACCATACTATTATTAATGTGATGTAAGAATGAAATTGACAAGAAATTAATTGACTTTTAGTAAATGCACCAGTTAACATTCATATTTTCAGAAGCATAGTTAGTGACCAATAAAATGTACTTTAAAAAAAACATCTTTAAAATATAACCACAGCATAATAGAAGTGAGCTGCCTCAAACTAGGAACCGCATGAACACATAATGGATGTTAACTAAAAAGCACAATCTATGAAGTTAGGTAAGACCATTTCAAACATAGTCCTGCACTGAAAAATCACAAAAGTTTTGAACTTAAAAGTAAAATAGAAGACAAAAGTCTTACATTATCTTGACAGGAATACAACATTTCTTCTCACCTTCTCACACTTGCTTATAAACTAAATATAGTTTGAATAAAATGAATGCATGCTAAAACAAACAGAGGACATACAGGCAACTGTCTTAACAAAGATGTTCATTATTCTACATTACTTTCAGAACTTGGTCAAGAATCACAGAACGTGACTAATATGGATACAGGATACTATTCAGTTCTGGACCATTAAATGAAACCTTCAAATAGGCCCAATTGGGGTTACATTCAAATTGATTTAAAGTCAGTATTTCCAGTCTCCGAGTATTGATTCAAAAGAGGGTTTTAAAATAATGTGATGACTTTCATACTGAATAATGATGTTTCAAATCACAGCCAGATTTTGGAAAAGAGGAGATGGGTCAAATTCTGTGATTTACACCAGAAAATTAGCAAAGCAACTCTATGATTTTTAAAACAGGAAAAAAGAATAGAGAAAATTTAATATTAAATCTAACAGGCATGCTGAGATTATTTTGCTCCTTGTTACATAAGTCATAAAATCCAATTAATGGACAAATTTAGCAATTAAGCATTTCTAGCATGGCGTCAAGAAGAGAGGGAAGCCCATCCACTCGAATGCCACGAAGCTTCAAATCTTCCAGTCTGTTTGTTATAGGTTGTTTGTCCTTTCCCAACGACCACCACAAATGCACACACAACTGAAGCAAAGGGATATAGAATCGAAGAAGATCTGCATCACTAACAGCTTCAAATCTTCGCAAAGCCAGCTCAGCAAACTTTTCAGCTCGTCCTCCCGAGCGAGATTCATTTGAGTCTGCAGCACAACAAGCAACTAAACGACATAGAGCAATGATGACATAGGGATGGCGATCAGTGTACAGTTTATTCAGAAGCCTGAAAGCATTCTCCAACAGAGGGGCAGCCTGGAAAAATAAAAACCAACTTAGAAATAGATTTTTTAAAAAAGACAACATGTCTGATCTCCTGCTTTAAGAATGCAAACAGACCAAGTCATAACGTTTCTGCATCATCCAGGATTGCGCTTCACGCTGTTCTGCATTCTGTAGGAAAGCTGCTAAGCTGGATGACTGATTCAACTTTTCATCTTTGGCAGCATGTCCAAGAAGCAATTCAAATCCTTTCTGGCGAGATTCAATGACAACTGGTCCAAAGTTTCCAATTAAAACCTGTAGCAATAAGACATAATATTTCAACATATAAAGTTCAATACAGTTTGATAACTTCAATGAATGGATGCTCTGACTTACCTTTCTTGGGAAGGAAACACCAGCCATGAGAGATGGAAATTCTTTACGCAGGGCAAGGAAGAGATCTAAGAAATCTGAATAGCGACGTTCAATCACTGCTGGATGTGGGTCAACATTTAAACCTTCCTTTCTCACACAAATAGTATACGCCTAAAATTGAGAGGGCAAGATAATATTATTAGTGTTCTGTATCATAAAGCCGAGCATAAAACACAACCAGGAGTACTTGGTTCCACTTACCACATGTTTTTTCTGTCCTGCCTCTTCCACAATACGGACAGACATAACTTGAAATTTTACAGCCCCATTAAAGAATAGATTGTCTCCATTCGAATCAGGGGTCCCATTCATTGTGCCACTCATGTTTTTTTCAGGAAGTGGAACCTTTTTCCAGGATTCTACATGTAAAAATCAACAAAATAGCCAATTGTTAAAATCCAAAGAGAAGGGCTTTCAGTTTCACATCAGTATTTAGGAAAGAAACACAGTCATTTTTCATAAGTAAGCAGGTCTATAGAATATTGTTGCTTGCACGTCAGATGGTCAAAGGCGTATATTGAGGCACTTCAAGACTGCATACTTATGGAAAATAAGTGTTTTGTGTTTCTAGTACATACTTGAAACTAAATATAGGATACGAGAAGCAAGAAAATCTAGCAACCAAGCACCTACCCAGAAACTTTAGTGTAAAAAGACATTAATGAAAGACTAACTAAAAAATTAAGGAGAGAAATTGAAGACAATTAAAGTTTAAAAGAAAACAGAAAGACCTACGGATGTGTTCACTGGTGTGGCTCCGTTCTTCAGGTAACTTTGTGAAGCTCAGAGTTCCACGAGGCCACTGGTCTGGTTCATCACAGAGCAGCTCAGAATCTTGACTCATTGTGTGATCGTTACAAAATGTTTGAAATCAGAGCCAAGAAAAGCCCCAAATCTCCTAACAAAAAAGAAGCTGATTAGACAAATTGAAACTAATGTTGTTCTGTGTGGGAAAATGGCAGCGGGACAAGAAAAAAGGATAAAGAGGAGAGAAGAAGGAACAAAAAGGTTGCCTCAACAAAGAAGATGAGTAATGTTAAGAGCAACATGGGACCATCGTTTCTCCCAAAATGCAAAATAGAGACAAGACTTAAATTAAAGGTGTGGGGGACATAAACCTACCTACGACTGGTTTGTTGTAAACAAAGAGACAGACATACAAGGAAATGCAAGGTTCCATGACAATGGACATTAGACGGCTGAAAAAAGACTTTACTCACCTAAGTCACGAAAGTGTCGTTAACACCTTTTTGAAATACTCTAACTTTTCCAGAGAACGTTAGGAGATCATTGTCAATTTTTGTTTTGGTTGGTTTGACTTTGACAGGTACCACGAAATGCATTCAGTGCTGCGAATAAGCAAAGCAGTCTTGCAGCGTGCGTGCAGTGCAATTTCTTTCTGTGAATAAGCCATTAGCCATTAGCCCGGCGACAACAAGAAACAAGCTCTGCCGGTCTTCATTTCATCCTCAGATTCTTCTCACATATTTCCCACGGGTAATTCATTTTCAAATCGGTTTCACCTTGATCACAATCGCATGACCATCACGCACACATCTTTCATTCATTCCAGCTTGTGAAGAATTTATGTTTCCAGTTTTGGGATAGGGAACCTAACCTCTCGTACATTAGGTACTTTTGATAATTAACCTTGTTGTCTGTCTAGTATCGTCTAAATTCGTTTTTGAATGATTGTAGGTTTCCTACCCATATGTTTCATTAAATTTTGTTTCATTAAATTTTTTGAAACCCTACGTAATGAATTTTACCTTTCCAATGTTTTGACAGTTTTCAATTTACTCGTGACAAAGTAATTATTATAGCTTAGTATATTTATCTGTATGGGACATGTTTGCAGGAAAGAAGATGACTGGGGAAACACGGACAGAATTTAAGCTTCAAAACACGCCAGATGACAGCATTTCATCTGTAAAGTTTGGACCCAACTCAGTCCAATTCCTTTTGGTGTCAGCATGGGATGGAACTGTTCGCCTTTATGATGTCACGAGTAACACCTTGCGCCTCAAATATTCCCATGACCACCCAGTTTTGGACTGTTGCTTTCAGGTAAAATCTAAACTTATGCATTGTCAATTTGTGTTTACTAAAAGTCCCACCTCCCGTGTTGGTTCTTCTTATGTGACACTAGCACTGAAAACTGATTTTTTGCTTACTTCAGGATGCAGTTCATTCATACAGTGGTGGACTTGATAACACTCTAAAAATGTTTGATTTCAATAGTAATACAGGTAAGTTATAGTTACTGTTTTATTCATTGTATTTCTTTTTGAGGATTTTTTCACAATTGGTTTATATACTAGTTAGTTATTCAATTGTATATTTATTGCAGAAACTGTGGTTGGCACTCATGACAGTGCCATTCGTGCAATCGAGTATGCTTCAGAAGTGCAAGGTATTCTCACAGGAAGTTGGGATTCTACAGTTAAAATGTGGGACCCAAGACAACCAAGATGTGTTGGCACTTACAATCAACCAGATAAGGTATCCAACTCTCATAATGCCACCCCTCCTTCTCCACCCTAAAATATTGTTTTATACTGCATATTGTAATGCTTTACACATTAACTATGTTTCTGTTCTAGGTTTACACAATGAGTGTGTGTGGAGAGACATTTGTTGTTGGTACAGCAGGAAGAAAAGTAATTGTGTGGGACCTGCGTAATATGTGTTTCATTCAGCAGCGAAGAGATTCAAGCTTAAAATATCAAACACGCTGTATCCGATGCTTTCCAAACAAACAGGTATGCATTACATCTGCACACACGTATTTGGTTAAAAAGAAGTTTTAAAAATGATATTACAATTGTTTCTTCCATCTAGGCTTATGTTTTGAGCAGCATAGAAGGCCGTGTTGCTGTGGAATATCTTGATGTAAACCCAGAAATACAAAAAAAGAAATATGCGTTCAAATGTCATCGTATTAAGGAGGGTGCTATTGAAAACATTTACCCTGTCAATGCAATAAGGTAAGGCATGCAAAACTTTTCCACTGGCCTATCTTTTCTTTGTTCTTTCTTGATCAATTTAACATTAAAAATATTTTCAATGTAGCTTTCATCAAACCTACAACACATTTGCAACTGGAGGATCAGATGGATTCGTGAATATATGGGATGGATTTAACAAGAAGAGGCTGTGTCAGTTCCATCGATACCCTACTTCCATATCCTCTCTTTGCTTTAGCCATGATGGTAGGTTTTGTTTTAACAAAAAATATATCTATCTATCTATTTGTAATACCTATAATCTAAGCTAATGATTTTTAACAATTTTCATTTGCAGGCACAGTTCTAGCTATTGCCTCCTCTTACCAGCATGAGCTGGAGACTCCCCCAGACCCTATTCCAGAAAACAATGTGTTCATCAGATATGTTACTGATCAAGAAACTAAGCCAAAGTAAGTTTCTGAAGAAGACAAATTAAATTTGTATAAAGTTTCCTCAATTTTTGTTTAACTGTTAAGTGTTCAGTAATAGTGTTTTAATGATCTATAAAGAGTGTGCCTCTGCATCAAATTAGTCACTTAATGCAGTAGGTGCACTGCGTACTTACTGTTTTAATTTGATCAATTTAGAGCAGTATCTGTAAATTGATTATACATATTTAGTTATACTGTTGAGGCTTTTTTTAAGTTGAAAAGGAGGTATTTTGTGTCTTGTACAGGAATTGTATGGCATGTCAAAAATAAAACAAGAAAGTTCTTTTAAATGTTTACTTCATGAGACAAAGTACATCATGGAAAGACTTAGCAGCAGAATATCATACATTTCCATACGAGGAGGGACTAGACTATTATTGTCTCCATATGTCTCAAAAGGTGCAAATTCGTTTGCTAGAATTACACAGTAATTAGTCATCGGTAAAGTAACGATTCATTGCTATGTTACACACAAGTTTTATCACAGGATAACTGCCTCAAAGGCAAAAGCGACTACACACTAACTCAAAAACGAACATGGATGTTCTACTTAAAATCTGATACACTTCACAAGGAGGTGGTCAAAGCTCTAACATAACTGATGCTAAATGCACAACCTCTTAATATGACTAACTCAAGGGTCATGATAATAATGAAAGCTTTAAGTCAAAGAACACAGTTCCTGGACATAAATATAATACATGCCTCTGTGAAAGTAAAAAAATAATTCATTAGAGAAACATGAAACCAATAACTGCACGACTCATGATCACTAACCACTCTTGTTATCAATACGCTTGGACTAAAATCACATTTCGATCCCTGGTAGGTTATGCACTCCCTTAAAGGCATTATTTAAATGCTTTCAGATTGTTACAAAGAAAGCAAGATCAGAACACTTGTAATACAGTCTCTGGCATGAAAGCTTGAAACTGGAAAATAGGAAGAAAAGAATTCCTTAATCTTCAGAGTACAGTAGTTACACCATCATGAATGCAAAACAGACGATAGAGGAAGAAAACTATGGATACTTTAAGTGTAGGAAATTAAGGAAATTCTCCGAACTTGGAAGACCATTTTCATGGATGTAACTTCATGTAACGTACATGCGTTATAACCCAGAAGAATTCAAGGCTGGGTTCAAAATGGACCAAACCACTTAGTTTCAAAAGACTGGTTTCGTATATAAAATTAACAAATACTTCATTGAAAGGAAAAAGAAAGCAGTACAGAAAATGTTGCTTTAGCTTCCTGAACACAGACTCAGGTCAATAAAAACATCCACAGTAGGTATGACAAAAGAAGTGAAGACATAAAATGACTGTAAAAGACACTTACTAACAATTTATGAAGAAAAGGGTAACAACTTAAAGCTGATACTACTGTAAGTTAAAAATGTCAATGACTGCTGCAACCATTCTGTGGGCAAGGAACATTCATAACATGCACCCTTTTCTCAATGCAGGGTGCTACAAGTCACCTGCACATTCAAGACTTAAATAATAACAAATCAAAGTGTCCCATCTAAAGTTAATTGATCTAATGTGATGTTGCTACCCTTACTCTTTTTTACTCTTGGTACATATTGTGCAAATAAAATTACAAATCTTGAGTTCTTATTATTAGTTTGTTGTTTTGTTTTTGTTTTTTTCTAAAAGAATTGATTGGCAAAGTTAACAAGATACATACCTCATGCATGGCAATTTGGTATATAACGCAGAAATCCATAATAATAGGTTGGCCATAAAGAAATAATCAATTCAGTCATTGGCAGAGAGAAAACTGCCGAAAGAAAAATAGCATTTGCAACCAAATGCTTCACAAGTATACAATATGTGGAGTATTGTGAGTGTTCGTTACAAGCAATCCTCCATATAGAAGCACACAATGACTACTTCGTTTCAGGGCAACATGAAGGGGTTTCAATGGTAAAACTACAAAAGATGCTTCCTCAACGCAAAGATGATGTGACACTTTGAGCAAGATCCCTGCAGAAGACATTGATATATGGGTATCTCACACCTATAGCTAATACAGAGAATTAATGCTAACAATACTATGACAGCAAAATTCATGTGTGACAAGTGTTTCAGTTACGCACCACTTCATCAATTAAAAAATAAATTACATTCATTCACAAACACACATTCTAAGTTACAATTTAACAATGAAAAAGAAGAAGGACCTCAGTCTTAATAGCCTGCTAATTATGCATTTAATTTAAATCTTCTGGTGGTAATCGCCAGTCCTCTTAAGTGCAGTGAATAACCCAAGATACCAAGGCCTACAACTTGTAAGCAGATGCCATAAAAGCAGTAATTTAATGATATGATTTAATTATCCCGTCATAACTTAGGATGAATATATCAACAATATTTGTACACAACTGATAAGCAATCTGGGGTAAGGAATAATGCAACTATTGCAAACACTTAACAACTTTGATCATGACTTATGTAAGATTTTGTCCTTACAATATCTAAAAGAAATCAAAATTTTGATATGATCCTAAAGAGTTCTCAAGAAGAGTTTGCCCTTGTACACACACATTCTGTCTCTCTACCTCCCACACACTCAATTTCGTATGTACACCCCCCCCCCTCCCCCCACACACACAGTCATACGCACACACAATTACTCACAGACACACACATTCACACACATATCAAAATTATCACAAATTGAAAAGGCCAAAAGGTCACATTTTCAGGTTGGAGGTATGATGTTACAGTCCAAAATTAACAAATTTACTCAACCTTCAGTCGTTTGCTGAACTCTTCCTGCTGCCTTTCTTTCCACTCTGGTTTGGGTTTTGATCTCTTCAGTTGACCATCCCTGTTGTAGAATATTAAGGGTCAATGAAATATCAAAAATTTATGTAAGACATTGAGATGTAATAAAAATAGAAGCTCACCACATCAGGTCAACAAGACCACCTTGCTTTGCGATTTCTCTTTTCACTCTGCTAGCAAAGGAAACCGCAGACTCTCCTTCTTCCCTAATTACAGGAGGTAAATACCAGACGTCGCAAACTATTGCCCAACTAGTCATCATCATGTAAAGATATTGCATCATTGAATATCGGCTACTGTTCCAAAAAGCATCACCAAATCTAGGATCATACTGTAAGAAAAAATTAAGATTAGAAGCTACCAAAAAAGAACATAAAATGTCATTCCAAATTATCAAATAGCAAACCTTAATAGCAACTGGGTAGATGGCTCCTTTTACTTCAAAGCTGCCTTTCTTAAATTGCATTACAGAAGTATTGTTGATGCAAGTACCTTCGGGGAAAATAAGAATTGGAGGATTGTTGGGATCCGAAACATGTTTCTTCAATCTGAAAAAGTAAACAATCATGAATGAATATGAGACATCATCATCATAATCAGCACATCTCATGAAGGTCAATAATTTCACCAATTTCATTTAAAGCGAATTCCAGGGTTCAAGTTGATAAGTATACAAGACAAAACAACAAACCTCTGGGTTACAGCTGTGCGATCTTTCACTTCACCTCTCTCAAACCATATGTGTGGGGAAGCTCTGGCAAGAGCTCTTTGCAAAATGCCCAAAAACCCTCCATGTCGTTGACCAATCTGAAAAAGCGATGAACAGCATTCAGACCAGTACCTTACCCTCGACAAAATAGATAGCTTTATTGAAAGAAGAACTTTACTACAGTAGAAGCACAAGCATTTAAGTGATTAGTTCCTATTCTTACCAAGGAGTAGCAGTTGTCACAGGCAAGAACAAGGACATCAATGGGAGAGGTATGGTTTGCAACACAAATGCCATACTGGGGGCGGTTATCTACATTGTGATACGTAATGACAGCCGACAATGCATTTGACAAGACACCAAAGCACATAATAGACACACGCCTGTTCAACCACCTCTTGAACTTCCCTTCAGGGACATACCCAACAATACTTGTACATATGGTGAGCCACATGACCTGCAGACAATAAGTACAGATGCCATGAAGCAAACAGGTTTGACATCACACTCAAGCACAGATGATGTACAAAAAGAAACAAAAGAAAAACAAAGACTTCACAATGACAAACAATAATCCACTATGTCATAGCAGTTATCACCTATGACCTAATGAATAAATGTCACATGGGCATGGGACAGGATATTTTTCAAATTGAGAAACAACATAATCTTGTATTATTATTATCATTACTCAGGCAGACATCTTGGGAACAAAACTTTTTGCTGAACAGACAAAACACCACACCACACTGAGTTCAGATGACCTGATGACTCACCAACGCAAATGTGGTCATGGTGCCCAAAATAACTACATCAATGGGACTGGTGTGATTAGCAACACACACTCCGCCCGATTTGGGCATTAACTCAAGGTTGTGGTATGTTAGACTCGAAGATAGTGATCGTGCCAAAATCCGGAAACATGTTAGCATCACCCAATTATTCAATATTCGTTTTAATGCACAGTCAGGTATTAAACCCACCAAACCAGTACCAATCAAAGTCCACAATAACTGAAATTTAAAAAAAATTTGAAAACTGTGTAAATTGTCACTACTGTATCAAAGATATCAGACCTTGTCATCTAGATGAGATTCACAAAATGTGGAACTCGGGGATTGAAAAAAAAGTACTTTCCAACTGTCCTTTAAATACATAACTTAAAATATTTTAACATTAAAAAAAGGAAACTTACCCCAAAGAAGCAAATTAAAACTCGCAATGGGAAGAGGAAAAAGTATCTCATCACAAATCCAGACATCCAAATAACGGTCAATCTCCAACTAATAAATTCATATCTTCTGTTAGTACGAGTTAACAAGTTCCAGGACTGCAAATTAGAGACAAAGGTTACAATGGTTGAAACAAGAAATTTTCAAAACATTACCTCGAGTGAAATGTACCCTCAGTTCTTCTGCCTCAAATCTTGATGTAACTTGATCTTCAATAATAGCCTCCACGCCTGCCTTGACAAACTCAAAACAATCTGATAATTCAAAGTCTCGCTTCAATTTGTCCTCGGAGCTTCTTCTTGGCAACTCCACCTCATCCTTATCCTTGTCCTGGAAGACAGGCAAAATGTACAGATAAAATGAAAACAAATGATATTAATGCAATCCAGGTCTGCATCGGCTCTCCAAGACGGCATTTCAAGAAGTCGAAGTATACTCACTGAGTCACTCTGAACTCCATTGTAGTTGAGCTCTGGGTCAGGCTGCAGTATGAGATCGTGACTGATGACGTGCGAGCTGTTGACAAGGACCCCGTCCTGCTTGTGGCCGTTGTCGCCATGCGGTGAGGGGTCTTGGGGCGAAGGCGAATCCGAGACCGGCGTGGCGTTGCCGTTGAGAAGCGCCTTGCGCCCCTCGGCAGCCTCGGCAGCCTTCCGCTCCTCGTTCGTCTGGCTCTGCCTCTTGGCGATTTCGATGCTCTCTCGCCCGTACTGCAACCACAGGGAAAACAAGGCGCGTTAATGACTGTCTGGGCGGTGAGCATGTGCGGCGAGTCGCGGGCAAGTGTCAGGACGCTGGCAACGGCACCGGATTACGGCACCTGCCGCCCCATCACGAAGGATCGCTTCGTCGCTGTCTCTCTCGCACTCATGGAGCCTCCGGTGTGGGTGCGAGAGAGACAGCGCGACGAAACCGACTCTCGGAGTCTGCTGCACCAACAGCCCAAGCCGCCAAGGCGGGACTTGGGACTTCCACGCGGAGGCGCGAGCAGGGGATGAGGCCGCTGCCGCCCCACTCTACCACTCGCGGCGTGGAGGTGTAGGGCGGTGTGTGCGCACATTTCGAGTTCCACTTCTGGAATCTGTCATCTGCCTCCGTTTCCGTGCACGGCCGGCTGGGTGGGTGAGCATGGAGCGGTGTAATCTGCCGTCCCGTCGCGTCCCGTGGTTCACGTGGTTCACGTGGTCGAGCAGGACGTGACACAGCCAACAGGCTAACATGCAAATGGCACGGCGGCACGGCCACCTTTGTTCGCGTCTCCGCGACCCGGCTCGCTATGCCTAGCCATGCCCAGCCCGCCCGGCCCGGCGCAGCGAGCTGCAAGTGAGTGAATCATGGACGGAACCCCCTTTGCTTCCTTCCAAAAGGCGCACAACACGGTTCCACAGTGAGAAAACTAGAGTTCTGCTTTGGCGGCAGTAGAGTCTTAGACGGTCTAGTCAGTCACCTGTGTACGGATACTGCATGTATCCGGCCACTCTGCCTGCAGCCTCTTTGCCGCAGACTGCAGCCAGCCTCGATGCAGCGCGCAGCCCGTCAGCCAGACCCCCAAATTAGCAGCCAGCCAATAATGGACAAGCGGCGGCACCGCGGCAGGACAGCTTCCGCAACCAAAACAAACCCGTTTGCCACTTCCTTCCACCTCCACCTGCGCGGCCTGGGCGGCCCGCGCTCAGCTGGTCGAGGTTCTCCACCGACCGAGGCCCGCCTCTAGGACGCTAGCAGACGCTAGTGGACTCTCGCCCCGCCGAGGGGGGCGGCGCGGTGGCGGCGGCGCGGCGGAGTGGTGGAATGTGGCGACAGCAGCCCGCCGAGTCTTGAGGACCTGAAGGCCCCTGGAGGCTGGAGGACCGGACCGGCTGCCTTTGGAAGACTATTCCACTACACCGTAAAGGCCAGGCCGCCCGGCTCCGCCCGCGGCTCCGCGACGCACTTCGACGGGCCGCCGCGTCCGGCCGATCGGAAGAAGAGACGCTCGAAGAGACGAGTCGGACGACCTTGAGCGTCCCGCGGCGCCAAGGCCACCAAGGCCGCGCCGAGGACACGCGCTGGGCGGGATTCGGACTAGAGTCCTGGGCAGGGGAGTCCCCGCCGTAGGGCCACACTAGAGTCCTACACCGAGATGCACGGCGAAGGGAAGTCCCCGTGGTAGGGCCACACTAGAGTCCTAAAGTCTGCGGTCAGACTCACGTCAGTTCGTCGGCGATTGGTTTGACCAGTTTGACGTCAACGCGAGACGACAACGCCATCACGCTCGAAACACCGAGCGGACGCTGTACGTGACAATCATGTAGGCTATGGGGAGAAGAGAAGTCCCTTCAGATGGGAAAGGTAAGTTCCTGCAGGCACACTCCCAGTCCCAGCACACTGGAAAGGAAAGTCTCTACTGAAAAGGGCAATCCCTGCACCCTGGAAAGGGAAGTCCCTGAAGACTGGAAAGGGGAGTCCCTGCACACTGGAGAGGGAAGTCCCTGCACACTGGAGAGGGAAGTCCCTGCAGAATGAAAAGTGAAGTGCAGACTCGAAAGAGGGACGTCCCTGCGCTGCACAGGAAAAATAGTCCAACGAGAATATGCAAATTGAAAGAGAAACGGGGGCCCGCCTGTTGAAAACAAAGGATGAATCCTGTATTTATGAAACATGTAGTACAACCGGGAACATCATCTCAAAATCTGGTGACCCGACCGGTGGGATACATAAAAGTACACCCGACATGCTGAAAATAATACAAGACTTGGCTGTTGACGTCATAGAGACAGATTACTGTGAGAACCGAAGCGGCGCGGTGACGCCTGTTGGACCGTCTCGGCAAACCAACGACCAAACGCCCAACGCCCCGGAGAGCTCGGCGAGCCCCGCCCCGAAGACGCACACGAGTGGCGCGAGCATGCGCGAGCAGCACACTGATTCAGAGAGTCGTTTCCGTCGCTCTGTCTCTCTCGCACCCAAAGGGGGGGCCCCGCGAGTGCGAGAGAGACTGGCGCGAGCGTCCGACGCCCAAAAGGTGTTTCCGACGGAGGAACGCGCCGACGCGCCGCAGTGTAGATGAGGCCACAACGACGGCAACCTTTGCATCCAATTCACAGAGGGGCTCTGGTGATCGTAAACGCCAACAGCCCGGGCGGCCACGGCGGCCGTGTTGACTTTCCTTCCTCGCGGGGATACGCCGGGATACACCGCGACCGGGCCAGCCTAGGCCAGCCCGCCAGCCACGACGTCGCGAATTAACGCCCGGAGTCCCGGACGCGGCGACGCGGCCGGGCTGGCTTGCCGGCTTGGCAGTGTAGCACCATGTCGGCCATCCTGTAACGTCCGCCCGGGAAGAGGTTGACCTCACCGAATCTGTTCAGTAGTGGCCAATCGGAGGTTTTGTAGCCAAACGAGTGCCAGGCGAGGTATCAACCGGCACGGCCCGGCTCCGCCAAGGTCGGCTGGACCAGGCTGGAGTCGGCTGGCTGGCGGAAGCTGCGTTGTATCAGCCGTTCAAAAACAAAACCAGACTGGCCGAAACGGCCAATCGCCAACGCCGAGAACGCGCCATTGTCCTCCGCAGCCAGCAGTGTACACTCCGGTGCGCCAAGCATCCGCACGTAAACAGCCCACGCCTATTTTTTACTTTATCAGACGCGGCAGTGCAATTACCATTCGGAGTGGCAAGAAGCACGGGCAGCCTGGGCCGCAGCTACTCAGGGCTTTCGCGGATGGCGGTGTCTTTGGCGTACTCCGCGCCGCTCCGCGCCTCGCGCACCTCACACACACCTCGCCTCGCGCGGCCAGACTCGAGTGGCTTGGCTGCCATTACAGTGTCGAGGGTCACTGTCGCGGAGCAAACACCACCACGTCACTCTGCGTGCGTGTCAAGCACCATTTCGGCCGAGCGTTACGTCGGTCCGCGGGCGGTTCGGCGGTTCCACAGAATCAGCCGGTCGTTCTGTCCCTGTCGCACTCGCAGAGCGTCCAGTGTAGGGAGTGTAGGGGCGAGGCGAGAGGGACACTAGCCAGCCGTGCTGTGCGACCTGCGCCCCGTGCCCTCGCCCGTGCCCTCCATCGACTGCAACCCACTGCAAGCTGATTCCGAACCGTTCCGAACAGTGCTGTCGTCGCTTTCTCTCTCTCTCTCGCACCCATGGGACACGTTCAAGGTGCGAGAGAGACAGCGCGACGGGCTTCAGAGTCAGCCAGCTCAGAGAGGATTCCCTCCACTCCCCCCGGCCCGTACGGCCCGTATGCCTGCGGGGGAGGGGAGGGGGTTGGGGGGGGAGGGGGCGCACGGTGAGACGCCCATACTTTTATCCCAGCAAGAGCGAATCTCCATAAGTGATTCCGAAGCCCATCAATAACGCCTAACCCAAAAGGCCAGAAATAGAGACCGAAAAAACTGCCCCGTAAAGAGCAGACTTTTTAGCGCGGTACGGATTTGAGTGTTGAGCCCGTTCGGAAGACGAGTGCAGCCAAGGACGGCGGCACGGAGGGCCGATGTGATACCGCAATAAAAGGCCAAGCGATGGCAATGCCGCAGTCCGAAGCGTAATCCCGTCGTAATCAGCCACGTAAAGGACGCCTGATAGCGGACCAGGGGCCAAACGGCATGCAAAGCAAAACAGGTGCTGACTATCCAAATCCATTTTTCATTATTCATTCCGGCCCTGTCATGGTGGATGTGGCGGCCGGAGGGGCTCGGAGGAACTGGAGGGGCTCGGAGGGGGCGGAGGGGTCGGAGGGGTCGGAGGGGGCCGAGGGGGTCCGAGGGGGTCCGAGGGGGTGGAAGGGGGTCGAAGGGGGTCGGAGGGGCCGGAGGGGCTCGGAGAAACCGGAGGGGTCGGAGGGGCTCGGAGGGGCCGGAGGAGCCGGAGGGCGGAGGCGGAAGCCGAGGGCTGCGACGGTAGCGACGCCACTGAATGTGCGCTCGATGCACGATGTGTAGACCCGCTCGTAGGACTAGGACTCTAGCATGGCCGAAGCCGAACGCCACAGCGGGGACACTGTAGAGCCGGCTCTCTAGCCGGCGGCCAGCACGTCGCACGACGCGACATTTGCATAAATAAAAAACTTTCCACCGGTTTCGGCAAATGACACGCGGCAGGGAAGAAGCAGGAAACCGCATAAACAAAAAAATGAAAACAATAACAACGGAAGGCCGAAGAGGAGGGAGTGGGCGCCTAGATAGCCGCCAGAAAGGTAGGCAAAAATCCATACTTTGCCCCTGGAAGTGGGCAAAAAGTGCTACTTTGCGCCACCAGCCCCCCTTCCCAGAGGCCGCCTCTAGATCCGCCCCTGGAGCACTGCCTCGGAGGTAAGGCAACACGAGCTCTGTCTCTCTCGCACCTGGAGGCGGCAATGACCCGGGAGCGTGAGTGCCGGGAAGCCAGAGCGATGACGGCCGCTCTGTCTGACAGAGATGGAGGGGCATCGAGCGGTCTCTTTACTTTCACCGACACCTGCTTTAGTGACGCCCCCCGGCCGCTGATGCACTTAGGTCCTTGGAGATTCGTTGGCGGACCGGGAGGGAGAGGGGGCGATCGGAAAGGGGGAGAGAGGGAGGGAGGGGGAAGAGGTGAGGGGAAGGGAAAGCAAAGGTACTGTACTGTATGCTGCAGCAAGGGCTCAAATGCATTGCTGGATAGCCAAAGGCATCCCACATCTCTTCACCTGAGAAGAGCCTCATACAGAGTCTCTGATGAGCCAGTGACCATGTTAGTAGGTGAATTATAAAACCTAAGTCACGATGATGCTCAGCGTGGAATAATTGTAACAGGACTTTCAAGCCCTCTGATTTTGCTGAATGGCAATGACATCCACAATAGAGGCAAAACGTGAATGGATGTTACAAAGGAGCAACAAGGGAATCAAAATACACGGCAGTCCAGAAGAAGAAAAATACAAAACAAATCATCCCAGGGTCAAGGCTGACTCCGCTCCAGAGAGTTCTTCCTATTCTGCTCAATTCAGTTCATCAATTACATCATACAGGAAAGGAGGCAGCATGCAGTAACCTACGTAGAAGAAGTATGATGTAAATAAACCATAAAGTGCACTTTAATTGGGCGACAACACACTGAAAGTTGTTCGCACAAAACGAATCAACCTTTCCTCATTTTCACATGAAATATAATGCCGTCGTCAACAGAAAATACATCAAACAACATACTGCAGGTCACAAGGTGACAGCAAAGGCCATTTAAACCGCCCCAAACAAGAGCTAACACACTGACACAGTTCAACATAACCTAAAAGATGCCAGACCTCCTGAGTGAAGCACAGGGCCGTCTGAATGTTGCAACATCCTGTCAGCACCAGACAACACCGCCAAAGCAGCCTTCCCTTCAGGCAGCACGTCCACAAGCTGCGACTTTTCCAGTCCTCGGTTTGGAAGCTGACTGCGAACCGTCCAGAAGTCCACGTCCCCCGTCCCCATTCAGGACGGGACGGGGCCACTCCAGAGCCTGCCACACTCCTGTGCACTCCTGCCAGGCCTAGGCCACCGAGGCCCCGCTGCAGGCACTGGCTTCCCCTAGAGGGGCATTACCTCAAATATCTTGAGCAGCGTCTTGACGTAGAGCCTGCGGACGCCCAGGGACTTGCCCATGGAGGCCAAGAACATGATGGCTAGCAGAAACATGAGGCATGGTGTCAACAACAGTGATGTAGACACGCTCAAAACAGTCCACAGCAACGCCATGGTGCGGCCGGCACATCCACGGGCACGGCGCTGCGCTGGCACACGCACAACCACAACACGCACTCGCGGTGCAAATCGGATGCACAAGCGCAAACTGTTGCGAGCGACACAAACAGTTCGTTACGCGGCCAAGCGCGGCGGGCTCGCGACTACGCCATCCTCCACCAAGGCTCTCGCTCGCGCGACTGTTCAACTGTCATCCTCGTCCCCTCCCCCTCGCTACCCCTCGCCTGCCCCTCGCCCCGCCCCTTCCCCTCCACCCGCCAGCCAACCCGCCACCGCGGCCGCGGCGCTACGCGGCCCCCTTCCCCTCCCGCCACGACTTCAAAGTGCGCGGCTTGCGCGGCCCGCCGAGTGCCCACAACCGCGTAACAGCCGCGGGGCGCGGCAGAGTTGCGCGGTTCGACTCCGCCTTCGATTCCCCGCGTGGCCGCGAGCGGTTCGAGCGGTACGGCACACGTCGCGAGACCGCGAGACGGAGGCGCGCGGCGAGGTGACGGCGAGGTGACGGCGGCCGGCAAACGGGAGCAAGCCGCGCGAACGGCGAAGACGGCGAACGGGGCGTGCTGTGTCCGTGCCTCATTCGCCGCATTCGCGCTCGACGACTAGACGGACGGTTTGCCTCGAAAGTGCAAGTTTGCTAGAAAGTAGGCCGCACGCATCGGCCGGCGCCGCCGTGCAGTCCGACAGACTGAAAACTCCTGGGGAACCAACTCTGTTTTCGACGGCGGTTGGTGACTAAGCAGCACCACGACGTCAGACCACGTCAGACCGCGGCGCTGTCGGGGGGTTGCCTACCCGCCGGGTGCAGCGAAGCGCCAAGTTCCCGGCCCGCCGTGCACATGCACTCGTGCATCGGCAGGACGGCTGACTCAGTCTCTCTGGCCTGGCCGCCGAGCTGGCTTGACCGTTCGATCGGCTTGCCATGATTTCGAGGCGGCAGGGGCGACCTGGGGGCGAGCGCGTCCATCGCGGTGCGGCGGTGCGGTGCGTGGTGCGGTGCAACGACCCTCACCCAACCCCCAGCACCCCCTTCCCCCTTCCCCCATCCTCCATGCGTGGCGTATGGCAGCACGTGCGCGCGCCCACTCTAGACTCTAGCTGTTCGCTCCTAGACGACGTCCGTTATCTACGCTACCCTGGCGGACGCTGCGGACAGCCCAGCGACAATCGCGCCACAGAGGGCATTTGGTGGAAGGCCCACGCCGACGCGGACCCACGCGGGGTTCGCGGGGCGGGGTCGCGCACTGCGTGCATCGGCTCATCTTTGAACAGCACACTGATGCCGCGAGTCGTTTTCCTTTTCGTCGCACTGTCTGTGGCGCCAATCGAGTTCATGTTACAGCGCCTCGACGGACAGCAACTCCTTTTTGATAAGGCCCTTTCTGAACACCGTGGGAATGCAGCGTCTTCGGTGCGTAGGCACGTGGGCGGCCTTCTCTGTCTAGAGGCGGTCACCTCACAGTGAGGTGAGCCGGGTGAGCCCTGCCCCGCCAGGAACGGGGCGCAATTGGGGAGGCAGCAGAGCCTGATTGCGAGAGCCGGTTTCGCCTTTGTCTCTCTCGCACCTAGATGGGGCGCTCATGAGTGCGAGAGAGACAGAAAGACGAAAACGACTCTGAATCAGTCTGAGGGCAGTGAGCGAAGGGGTTCCGGCCCGGCGGCACGTCGCCCCCACTGCGCGGTGGCGGCGGTGGCACAGTCCGCCAAAGTCCGCCTCGGTCCCACTCGAGGCGCGGCCGCGACTTTTGTACTCACAGCCGCACAATCCGGCCGACTAATGACTAATAGATCGTCCGAAGTGTCGCATGCCGTCGCATGCCGTCGCAGGAATGACGTCACCCCGACACCATCTCATCTCTCTTCCCGAACGGGTCGCGTACCTATCCCGTCATGCGCGACAAAAGAAAGACTTCGTCTCGGTGCGCGGCGATAAACACTTTCTGGGAGTTCGCTCTACCGCGCGTTCTGGCACACGCATTCTTCCCCTTTACCTTGCCGCCTGCCGCCACCACAGGGGCGGCGACCTGAAGGCTGCTTTCGAGAGTCATTTTCGTCGCTTTGTCTCTCTCGCTCTCATGGGCGCTCCCGGGCGCCCCGTGTAGGTGAGAGAGACAGAGAGACGGAGTGACTCGCAGAATCAGTCCGCGACTGTTACTGCGTCGCGCTGTCATGAGCTGCTCGCGGGACTCGCGGCCGTGATCGGTTCATCCAGGTTCATCGGTCCTCCAGTCGGAAAAGGCGACACCGGAAGGGACGTGGCTGTCGTGCCGCCGCTTGCTGCCTCGAGGAGCAGTCCTTGCTACATGTAGCACGGCGCGAGGCACAGAGGGGCGGTGGTGGCGCTCCGCGGTTCCAAAGCTTCCACACATGTGCACATCTGCATTGCGCGGCTTATCGGGCGCTGTAAACCAATCTCCTTGCTGCGCCTACACAACATTTTCTCCCACGGACCCGCTCAGCATTTTCATTTTTTGCCGATAAGAGAAGTACTTGGGTTCGGATACCGCCGCCGTCCGGAATCAACGCGCCAGCGCGTGCACACCGAGCGCTCGCGGCACGCGCATGGCGGTTCGAACTTCGACTTCGAGCCGGCGCCGTCAACGCTTAGCAACCTAATCGAGATCGAGGTGGTTCTTGTTCTTCAAGGACCAAGGCTCTGCCGGGCTCTGCCGGGCTCTGCCACCTTCTCTCCGAGATACGAGCCTCTCCCTTATCGCGACATCGCGACCGCCAACGGGCCCGGCCCTTGGCCCGGCCCGACTGGGCCCGGTGCGGTTCAAAAGTTGATTGCTGGGAATCGACGGGGATTATGATTTTGATCCGGCCTACCGCGCGGCGTGTCCACTGCCCACGAGCCGGCGAGCCGTGGCGAGCGTGTGTGTGCACCCGCTCGCACCCGTGATTATTTCCTGTGAACTTGTTGTCTTCATTTCTCAACAGAATCGTGGTGCAAGGGTCAGGAGCGGAGCAGGTGTCAGGCTGTACGGGTGATCGTCTATATTTCAGTCAATATTGACTGGCATGGACATCCTAATGGGGTTTATGAGTCCCACGAGGCCCCCTCCTCTTCCTCTCGGCCTCGCGGGGTCCCGCTCCCGCCACAAACACCAACGAAACTTGACCCTTGACTCGCAGTGGCGCAGTGGCACCTGGGCTGCCTCCAAATCGTCGCGCCGCCAGGGAAGTCGCGAAGTGCCCTCACCGTGGCTGCCGTGGCGCGGGCTCTTTTTTCGCGAGGAAACAGTCTTGTTCGCTCGGCTGTCGTTTGGGGCGCAACTCTTTGTCCCAATCTAATCAAGGAGTGTCTGTCTGTCTGCCCGTCTGAGTTCGCTTTACCGCGACAGTGCTGCCGTGCTGCGATAGTGGACCTCTTGACTGAGGTACCTGGGGAGCGCACATTTGACAAACGCATTAGAAATGGGTATTGAATGGAGATGTCCTTGGTGATTTGTCGTGTGAGGATGCGAGTGCGCTGGGCGGCGCTGGGTTGGGCAGGACCCTCTTTCCGCCACGATCCCCCGTCCTCTCCTTCCTCTCCCCTTCTACTCTCCCCGGCGTGGCGCCCGCAGATAGGCAACCCCTTCGACACCTGTGCATCGTGATGGTTAGTGGGTCGATGATGAAAACTGCATGACGCCTAGCGCACCTAGCGCACGAAGTCGCCCCGCTGAGCAACGTTCTGTCGCCCTCCTCGATCTTTGGACTCGGAGACTCGGATTTCCAAGGCGCCTGCTGCCTCTGGCTGCCTGCTGTCCTGTCCCCTAACGATGTACCATGGACGTACCGCCTTGCCGCTTTGCCGCGTGTTGTGACATGTAATTCCCCGTCCCCACGACGTTTTTCTTCGCGTCACTCAAACGCCTTGCTTGGGATTGGCGGCCGGGCCGACGCGACGGCATATGCCGACGTCCGACGCGGCGTTCCTGCGGAGGATAATTGAGAGAACGGGAAGGCTAAGGCCTTTCGAGGCTCTTTCGGTGTCGCAGTTCGGCCGCACAAGGGATTGCCGTTCTTCATGCGAGATGGCGTACCTCTGTCCGAGTCACGTGACACGGGCATACGTATGGCCCCTACAAGAGCGGATCCAGAGACGGTTCAAGGGGGGAGGGGCGATGTCGCAGAACTTGCCTACCTACTGGGGCGGAGTGCGACTCTCTGCCTCCCTTTCAGTACCTTTCAGGCCGCTTCCCCGCTACCTTTGAGGGAACGACGCCCCTATCAACCCCCTCCCCCTCTGATCCGCGCCTGGCCACGCAACAAACTCTTTTCGCAGCATGCTATTCAAACCTCTTGTCGAACCCGCAAAGCCATTACCTTACAGAGCGATGCTTTCCTGCGGCCTAGGTGCGCTCGGGTCGTGCAGCAAGTCACCGGCGGTCCCCCACGCAACACGCCAGCTTCGTGTCAAGAGAACAGGGAGGGGGAGAAGGGGACCACGCGCTATTTTTTGTACCCTCGACCATGGCAATGGGTGGGTACGGGTACACCCTAAACCGGTATGGTCAGCTGAGCCAAAGAAAAAAAGGCCCGGAGGAGACCCTCGCAACTCAACGCGCCTGGCTCTCCACCGGTAGGCAACTTATCGTGCACGACAAGATGTTTGGAGAAAATAGTATAAGCACTACTAGTAAACTACTATTTGTTCAGAAACTAAGTTTTAAAATGTTGTTCTTTTTGTAGAAAAAGATTATTGAAAGTTTCATTTTGCGGTATTCAGGGAAGGCCAATACAAAAACAACCTCCAACAATTTTTTTGTAGTCAATTTATTTACTATCACAAATTTATACAAATTATAGCTAACTGCTCCTAACACATAGTGACAAGATATTGCCTTCATTTTAGTCTGCTGTTCCCCAATACAAAGTAAGATTTGACTTAAGTCATTAGAAAAGGCTTAAACGATGTGTAGCACTGGTAAAATAATATACTTTGAAAATTTTAAAATTAGCACTGTCACAACCATTTTTCTTTTAATTGAATGTTCATACCAATGTCTTTTTCAAAATCATTGGGAATAAAGAAAGATATCTTGCATAGGGTGCATGCAGTAGGGACCCTCTCTGGTCCTTAAGGTGCTGAATGAATACTAGAAACATCAAAAATGTTACATTGGTATTTCTCATCAATTCAAATATCCTAAAGCTGAAAATCAAAGATTCAGCTCGACACACAAGATTGCAAAGTTTTACAGTCATAGTCATCTTCCCCATCACTATCAGAGTCTACAGTCTTCCAATGCAGACCATTTCCCACTGGAGGATGTCTTGAGGGAAAAAGAATATGTCGCCAATTCCTTGAACAAATTTTTTTTTTTCAAACAGGTACGCAAAGTAGTATGCGAAAATATTTCTAACTTTTATGGTACAAACCTTCCATTGACAAGCCCTAGAAAGAGCATCCAGTTTCTTCTTTTTCCAAAATCATAGGGGTTAACATAAGTCTGAAAAAAGAAAAACAGTATGCAATACCACAAACATAAAAATAACAACATAGATAAGAATATGTAAACCTTACTCTTTTGAACTTTGCCAAACGTTCTCTCTCTTTCTTGTTTATATTGGCTTCAATGCTGGTTTCCCCTCGGTTTATGAGTTTTCCATGCCATATAGTAAGTGCTCCTAGGGCCAGAATTGTACCTGCCCCAAAATCCAGTTCAGTTCAAATAACCATGATAAACTTGACTACATTTTTTAAAAATTGATTAAAAGATCAGATGACACACAAAATGACATACCTGTACAGAGAAGAGCCACATACAAGATGAATCGTCTTCTCCATGCTGCATCATCCATCTCAGGTTCTCCCTTGCTACCTACAGTTGCGCCCCACCCCTCTTCTGTCTGAAGAAAAAAAAAGTGCTTTTTAAACACAAGCCTATGTTAAAGCATTCCATTTCTCTGAAATAATAAGCAAGCAAATAATTGTTTGTTTTTTAAACATACCACAGGAATGATAGCACCAGAGGTGTTCACTCTAACTGGATGGCCCTCTAATTCAACCTCCTCATAGTCCTCTCCTTGAAAAGAGTGTACAAATACTTCAGCATACAGAATTTCTAGACCAAAAATAATAATAAAAATAATTCCTATACACATCCAGGCCATGTATGTATAGAAATAACGATGATTCAAATGACCAACACAATTGTTCAGCCAAGCTGAAGAAAGCGATTAAGGCTCAATGACATCTTTTTTTGTACCATGATGGAGTGATTGAAGAGTCAAAGAAAGGATACGGCAGTGATGGTCCATTTTTAATACACATCTGTTGCACACTGAGCAATGATGAGTTCTTGGTGGTTTTGGAGCAATGCACTTTTTACATATACTTACAGCTTCAGTAATGAGACTTCCCTGTAAATCATTCATTTTAAAATAAAGATGCCTCTAGTCATAAATTGAAAGTAAATTATGTTAAGGAGAAAAGTTATGTCAAACCTCAGGGGGATATCCAGGGGGAGTTACAACTCCCATGTAGTATGTAAAACATATATTGACTAGCAGCCAATGCCCAATTATTAAAATGGGTATGGTGGCAGTGGGACTTTTCTCCCACCAATATGGTAAACCAATCCAATAACAGATTCCTACCACTGATGCTGTTAATGTAATGACACAAACTATAAAAAACTGCAACAAATAAAGAGACAAATTTTATTAGTAATTAATAAGGCTATTTAAAGTTTTGATGGGACAAAATAAACTTACGGGTCCTAAAAATTTGGTAAAATTATCGACAAACCAAATCATTGGTTCCATTATGACATCTGATGCATAACTTGAGTTCATAAAATGATTGTAAGTCAAAGACCGTATGGTGAGAACTATCTTGGAATAATAAGTTGAAAACCATTTCCTAAGGACAAAAACATTTATAAATTCTCTCCATCTTCCAACTCAGCAAAGTTAAATGATGTTTTTCAAAATAAAGACCAGATCATAATTTACCTCAGTCTATGGGGAAAAGAAAATATTTTCCATTGGACCCGTACCATGGTTGTGAATCCAATGAAGCATCCCACTCAAATCAACTTACTATGGAATGAAGTAACATTTGGTCAGACCAACTTCAAAACATTGAGCATTGGTTAGGCGGTACTAGTATTGAATAAAATATTGTTTTCTACTCGTACACGCGGTTCTCAATCAAAGACAATATTAGGACTGGGTCATGATCGATATTTAGAGTGGTTATTTTCACTTAAGTACAATAAAATCGTGGATAACAAACTAATTACACCAAAATTTCAAAACAAAACAATAGCTTGACAGCAGCAGACGCCACTAACGCTATTTGCAGTAAAGAGACACGTACTGCTTTGTGGTTATTTGCAGCATTATTGCTTGTTTGGGAGATGTCACCATGGCGGATAGAGTTGGCGGACTTTATGGACATCAAAATGAGAAAAAGATTAGGTTTAGAACTAGCTCAAGAGTTCACTACAGCAACGAAAACAAAGTGGAAGATTTGTTCAACGAAGCTGACCTGAGGAATAGTTGGGACAGACAAGATATGATGCGTGATCCGGATAATCCTCGACCTAGGATAGGTTAGTGCTGCTATGGAGAAAACGTCCACTTATTTCGTATAACATGTCAAATCAATACTGTCAGCTGCATCTCTTTTAGCACGGTTGTACTTCAAGTTATTTTATTGATCAATTTTCAGGCTGGTACATTCTTAGCTGTGTGAAGCCTGCAAATATGATGCATGACCTCCAACCTTTTAGAACTAATTTTAATAACTCTGAGCTTATCACCTTCCTGCTTTGCTGTCTGATTTGTATCATCTTTCTGTTACTGACAATGACAGTTTCAACAGTTTGCCTTGGTTCTTGGCTTAATGCACTAGTACTTCTGCTGGCTCTCGTACCTCACTGTTGATTGTATTTTGCAGACTTGCAGAGAAAACCATCTCTATTTGAATTTCTGCGTGTAGAGCTGACACGTAGCTATCTACTTGAGCACGATGAAGAACGATACTCTGCACGTCGAGAAAAAGTCTATTCTTTTATGAAAATACCCAGAGAAGTTGAGAAGTTTATGACCTATGGGTTCTTTCAGGTACACATCATTCTATCCTTACATTTTTCTCCTCTTCCTTTCAATGCTTTTTTATAAGCTCAGTTTTTCGAACTATCTTGCAGTGTGCAGATTCCTTCTTGTTTGTTTACACATTTCTGCCTATGAGATTCATCATGGCCCTCATATCACTTATAACAAGACCTCTTCAAGTTTGCTTTGGGTATGTCTTTTGTGTATTTATTAAAATTTTACCTCTGTACTCTTTTGTCAGATATTTAAACCTCTCATCCTTTTTTTTGTAGAGCTCAAAGACCTTTACGATCCAGAGGGGTCTTGGCCCCTGCTGAAATATGTGATATTTTGAAGGCCTTCATTTTGATAACTTGTAGCATGCTGATGTTTTACATCGATACAAGTATGATGTATCATCTCATCAAAAGTCAGTCAGTAATCAAGTTGTATATTTTTTACAATATGCTTGAGGTAATCACTTTGAATTTTTTTTATTTTTAAAATTTTACCATTTGTTTAACTTAACATCACATTGATTGAATTTGAATCTCACTATTTGTGGCTGACTTTTGTGCGTTAGGTTGGTGATCGTCTTTTCTCAGCATTTGGTCAGGATACCATTGATGCTTTGTTTTGGACAGCAACAGAACCAAGGGATCGAAGAAGAGAGCACTTGGGGGTTATCCCTCATTTATTTTTTGCAGTGGCTTATGTCTGTATCCTTTTGCACAATTTCTTCATTTTTCAATTGTAAGATGCTTCTTGTGCTAGAGGCGTTTAAAATACTACCATTTTTATTTAAGGTTTTTTCTGCCCGATTTCCTTAACTATCTCTTAGTCCTCCATAGTCTTCTGGTCTTGTGCCAAGCTACAACTTTGAATGTTGCCATAAATTCTAACAACAAGGCTCTCATGACAATAATGATGTCCAATAATGTGAGTCTGTCTTTCAGTTCATGGTGAAAGTTTGACTTAAATGTTTAAAACTGTAGTTCTCATGTTTTCTTCCCTTTTCAGTTTGTTGAACTTAAAGGCAGTGTTTTTAAAAAGTTTGACAAAAACAATCTTTTCCAAGTTTCGTGCAGTGATGTAAGAGAAAGGTTTCATCTGTTTGTTCTCTTGTTTATTGTTGTTCTACAAACCATGAGAGAATATTCCTGGAAGGAAGGCAAGTCATTTATTTAACATTTCTAACATCAATCTATTTCTCTACCTTTACAATCTTAAGTTTTCTGTCCTCATTTCAAAATATATTTTTAGTTGGAAAAGCAAAGTGTGATTACTGTATTGTTACAGAACGTCTCTGGGTCTTAGTGCCGGACTGTTTATTGGTATTGGTTGCTGAGGTGCTTGTAGACTGGATCAAACATGCTTTCATAACTCGGTTCAATGAGTTGAAAGTTGATGTTTATCGGGATTACACTATCAGTCTGGCTTATGACATGGCCCAGACAAGACAGAAACACGTAAGTAGTGACTCTTTAATAACTGTTGTACATCTTTTCCTGTAAACTCATTTCACTTTTTTGGGAGCTCAGGCATTTTCTGACCATTCGGACTTGGTTGCCCGTCGGATGGGTTTCATACCATTGCCACTTGGTGTAGTCATGGTGCGAGTGTTAGCACAGGCCTTGAATATTGAATCACCCGCTTCTGTCAGTCTGCTCATTCTTGGATACCTATGTGTGACATCATTTCGGATACTGATCTCTGTTGTTATACTTGGAAAGGCTTGCGATCTTATAAACCAACATAGACTTGTAAGTATGAAATAATATTTGGTTCATTTAATAGAGATCATCAAATATTTTATGCCTGGTTTTATTTTTAAATCTATTTTAGGACAAAGCTCAAAGAACAGGTGACATGACTCCTCCATGGAACCGGGCTAGCAGCCCCACAAGTCACAGTCATATTGGTAATGGAGGACGAGATAGATCAGTCGCCCGTCAACTTGTCTTGACACCTACATCCCCACAGCAATCTGTTCCTTCAACTCCAGCTCCTCTCTCTCCTGAAACCTATCATTCACCTGTACCTATTGCTGGTCGTTTAGAAAAAAACAGTCAAGAACCTGTGAGGAAGGTTTCAAATGTGGATACAAATGCAACAAATCTTGGACCAGCTGCCATTTTCTCAAATAGTGCGGTAGGTTGTGTGCATTTGAAATAAATTTTTCGTTGCTAAAAAATTCTACAAAAGAGGGATTTAACTTGTTTTCTTTCATTTAATTAGGTTGACATAAGCAATGTCTGCTTGAATGAAGAGCTCAGTGATGATGGTCCTGCACCTGGGATGAAACCTATTTTTGAGGCAGAGGCATTGACCCGAAGTGAGCCAAACGTAAATAAGGAGGAAGACAATGATGATGATTCTCCTCTTGACATCGCCTTGAGTGATTCACTTGCCAGGCGAGCAGAGTCTGAGCCGTCTATTCCTCTGGCAATCGAAGCAGATGAAGCTCCCCAAGTTTCTGCCCCCACAATGTCAAGTGCCACCCAACCTGATTCTTCTGTAGGCTTACCCCACCATCACTCTTTTGTTTGCTCTGAATAAATGTCCTTATGTCATTACAGCATATGTAGTACCATAAATGGGTCCATTAAAAATATGCGCCTATTCAAAAATATAAATTTGTTCCCTAAAGGATAAAACAGAGGTGAGCTAAGTTAAAGATATTTTTCTGGGAAAGCAAAGAGAGAATGAAAAAGTCTTCATAAATGATATGAGTTGTGTATATCTGACTGTGATTTTGATGTAGTCTTCATTTTTGTTGTTTTGTAAGGTTGTCTTCTGCTACTAATTGTTATGGAATCTTACTCTTAATCGTGAATGAAAGTACATATAAAGCCATACACCTGTCTTAAAATAATTTTCATGTGTTGTTTATAACTGGATCTTGTAGGGTCTTGTGTGTTCTAGAGGTGATTACAATTTTCCCCCTTTTGTAAACTGGAAACTAATGAGAACTCTTTATGTAAATCACTCCCTGGTTGTGTTCTGTGAGGCTTTCTACCCGTCACTCTTACTAGTATTTTCTGGTGATCTCTTATTTAAGGTGACATGCAATCTCTTAAGAACTGAATGATGCTGCTGCTAATAAAGATTTAAAGAAAGTAGAAGTGCTTTAGAAATGGCGTAATTATAGCCTAATATTTTTTTACTGTGTGCTTTAGATATGGGCCCAAAAGAGGCAAAGAATTACGGTATCTCGATTCTTGTAGGTTTTCGATCCATGTTTTAAATTTATTTGACTTTGTTGTGATTTAACTCTTATTTTTTTAGTACATACACTAGTTTGAACTTTATGGGTGACATTTGAATGTGAGCCATTGTTTTAAATCCACAAGCCGGTAATAAATGCAAGATTTGACATTCATACAAGCACATTTATTTGTCAAGAATAGGTACAATTAAAATTTCTTGTAACAAAAACAAAGGCGAACCAAATTCACAGTCTTTATGTTATAAACAGATCTTTATCTTACAGCCCAACGGCATCACATACACAAGAAAAACGTTATAACAGTCAAAAGGAAATACATTCATTATAGATAGCATCAATGTTACAGCTTACTCGATACCATCAAATAAGCTTTACTTTTCAATATGAAATACTATTAAGACAGTCACTTTCTATCCAACATCATCACCTCCTCATATTTTCAGTAGTGAAAATTCTTGTTCCCCATTAATACATTTAATTACTGAATGGTTGGTTGCATGCATCTAAATAAATTTTCTGAACAGAATATAATTACCATTGTAAGGGCAAAAAAGGCCCCTTCCCAGGGGGGAGGCGAGGGATGGGTCTTAAAATAGACAATTCTCCTCTGACATACAAATGAAGCAAAATTAGGAGGGAGATTACAGCTGAGAGAGCACTAGACATTTTTTTGGCAAGACATGGTGAACCAAATGGAACCAAATCATAAAGACTATTAGATATTAACGCAAGGAAAAATATTCCAAAAAGAGAAAAAGAATACTTGGAAAGATGATCACAATCTTAAGACTAGAGTTAAAACTACAGATGCTTTGGTTAACAAGAAAGTTGCCTGGAAAATCAAGAGTTTCAGTCCAGAAACTGGGAGGCTGCCTCAAAGGGTTCCATCTGAAACAACACAATAGTATTATTAGCAAAATGAAGAACTCAAATAGGATCTACCTTCAGAGCAAGTTAACACGTGTCCCTAAAATATGTTTAAACATTTGCACAAAGCATTACTATGGTCAATGAAACCAAATTTCATCTCCGTTCTCTTATTAGAGTTGGAGAGGAACATGATTTTCAGTTTACTACACTGTGTACATTACTGAAAGGTGAAGCATGGAAGGAATCAAGTATGTGAATGTCAAGCAGCAGAAGGAAAACAGGTTAGCAGGGCGAGAGGGCAGTGAATCAATCACCTGAGGGATGGGATGGGGGATGGAAGGGTCAAGAGGGTCGGTATACAGGAATCATTCGGCGGGGATATTTGCGCTGACGTACATCCCATGCATTCCACTTCATGCCACATGCTCCATGCAGGTCTCCAAAGTACCCAGTTACATAAGCATTTGGGTAGTAACAACCCATATAGTGGCTCATATAATCATAATCATAGCAGTAACTGTTGTAATTGCCTACATAGTCACCGGCATAGCCACATGACCACGAATCCTGTACCTTCTTCAAAATTGACGGAAAATCCCTTGCAATGCGAGCCCAATCAGGTGGGGCATCATGAGAAATGGGGCTTGTTGCCAAAGACAACAATTCTTCATATGTGTATTGTTTCCTCTTGATAGATTCTCCTGCTAGGATGAAATTATTCCAGTTAAAAGTACAAACACCCAATGTTTTGACACTCTTCAAGGTAAGGAAGATCTTACCAGGTAGGTTTGTCGGAGCAACAGCTTCATCATCAACACTGTCGCTTTGTGGTATGGCTGCGACTGAGTTCTCAGTAGAGCTAATACTTGATCCTGTTTCAATAAGAGACACTGGAGCAGGATCAGTTGTTGCTGATGGGGATTGGATTTCACTCAGAGGCACTGGAACTGCAGTTTCCACAGAAGTAAGCGGCATAGAGGTTGTTGGTGAGCTGGATGAACTATTTGGAACTGGTGCCGAGGTATTTGACGGGGATGGCAACTCTTCCTCATAGCTATATAAGATAAGACATTATTAGACTAGAACAATATTATTATTGAAGATCAGTATCTATTTGGAAAAGTTTTACCCATCAAAGTATCCCAGATCCTGACCAGCAAAATACTCATCTAAAACCAACTTGGCGGCCTGAAACAGAGGAAGGACCATCAAATTAAGCCTTCCAGTGGTGAATCCAGAAGAGGCCAGCTCATTTCTCAGACTTAATTTCAATGTACATACCCGTACAATATCATGATTAGAGCAAGTAATTTTTAACACACAACTACCAACTGCAACTGTGTACTTATATTCTCCCAGACTTGCATCATTCGTAGAAAAGCTGTGCAACAAAGTAGAACGTCTTGCACCTGGAACACAACAGTTTCATTTTCAGGTAATTATTATTATTATTATTATTATTATTATTTAATTTTGAGTACTCAAGACTGAAAAATTTTTGATACCTCCTTGTGAGATGCGAACACTATCTTCAGAAGCACTGCTGTTAAGGCTTGAGCTAGAGCCCCCCAATGTTTCATGATGCTCTCGTATTCCATCAGGTTGCTCAGGCCTCACAGGGGAGGCATTGCGTCGAATTGTATCTTCCATTAACTGACGGGCGTGACTGAAACAATTTGTATGGCATTTAGCTTAGTTACTCTTAAAAACCATGGCAGCCCGACTAGTCAAAATGCCAATAAACAAAATGCCTACGTACACAATCTTTTCTTCCGTGGGACCAGTTATTTGCACCAAGCGCTCCTTTGCTCCAGGGTTCACTAGAAACAAAAATATGGACTCAAAAAGGGGAGAAAAGTGAAAGAATGACTTTGACGAAAATTAATGATGGTTAATGTAAGCTGATAAAATTTAGTGAGACAACACAAGCAATGGTTCAAAATCAAAGTTGATTTGCGAAACAATATTCCATTCCACCTAGTCCAAGGCATGTTTGTGCAGAATGTTGGGAGAAAATTTTCAGAAAATACTGGCATACATGATTATGAAGCAAATGGAAGTGGATTAAGGGTTAAACCTTGGTTAAACAGATGCAATGGGAGATTATGTGCTGGATTGCTGCACAAACTGTGCGATCAGATGTGTTAGCCTGAAGTCAGTCACAAGCAACATCATCATGCACCTGAAAATATTACCTCGCTGAAAGGAAATGATGGTTTCACTCATCTCTTCAATCATGTGCACCCTCCTTCCTTTGATTCCCATCACTAAAACAGATACATAATGCTCTAACAATGCTTCCCATTCCCCTGACAACCATTGACAATGGAGGTACATGATGGAGTGTGGGGCTTCAAAAGTAAGAAACTACTGTGATACAAACAGATTTTCAGAATTAAAATAAATCTTTAAAAAGCTGGGAAGGAAAGTGAACAAATCTTACACTTACCAAATTCTCTTAATTTGCATGAGAAAACCCAATTATCCTTAATAGGTAAAAATTGTGGCCAGTGATGTTCATTTGTTTAGGAGGACATTGGATTTGAGTTTAAAGTGGGGTACTTAAAAGAAACAACCAGGGAAACTAACTTATAAAACTATCCATCTTAAAAATTTTGCAAACCATCTTACCTTTGCCTGAGTCTGAGTTACGAATGACAACCTCATCCTTACAATAATTTTTATTTGGAATCTTTGTAGGCTTTGGGTATTTGCCAGATGTTTTTAAGATTTCTCCTGGATTGAGCAATGTTGGTTGTGGTGTAGTGGGCGACTGAGCAGGTGTGAGATTCAATGATGCCAGAGGATTTGCCTGGCCGAACTGTCCCAAACTTGCCAGGGCACTACTAGGAGTTACAGGTGATTCGATGACATCAACCTGCAATTAAAGTAAGAACCAGTCAGCTGACAACTCAATAAATGGGGAAAATATAAAAATACATTTAAAAAAGACAAAGAAGAAAAAGAAAGAAAAAACATACCTCATAGTTGTGAGTGTGAGCGATCTTGTGTCGATAGTAATCAGACATGTTGTCACATCCGGACCAGTTAGAACCACGGAGCTCGACCAATTCAAGTAAATGCACCCGTGAGATGTAGTCCAGTTTCTCATCCCGAGACCCATTGCGGAAAGTGACAAAAAGCCTGTCAAGTTGATCTAAAAAAAAAGCAAAACATTTCATAAACTGACAAAGATAGGGTCAGTTATCAGACACTGCAGGAGTGGGGAAAAATCAGACACCCCACTTTTAGACTGATAGTTTTTATCCTGTTACTGACTTGTTATACTAAGTGATTTAGTAATGTAAGAATAGCAAGTAGGGAGTATGTATATTTGGATAATAAAATGAGACAGTTCTGACCAAAATAAGGGTGTACAATTTTTCCCTTCTTTTTGCCGCTCTGATTCTAAGACTGCAATGTCTGGGACTTCAAAAAATTCAATTACCTTTATAAATAGTCTCCAACTGCTGCCCATACAGTTTTAGGCTTGAACTTAGAGTTACAACATTGGATTGCAACGCACGATCACAGTTGCCATTTAATATGTGTTGGCAAACAGTATCAGCCAAAGCCATCACCTCATCAACTAATAAAAATAAAATGTAAAGAAAAGTTCATGGAACAGTAACACATAAAATAGATATTGGGAATGAAGAAACTTACCAGAGACGCCTCCCATTGATAAACGGTTTTCGGCATGTCTGCTCTGAGAAGTGTTGAGTTTAAGTGGGCGAGGTTTTTCTAATTTTTTAACAGATCTTGTGTTGACTCGTGCTTGAAGGCTTATGGCTGACATCCTTGCTCTTGTGATCCTGAAAAGAAATGAGTCAATAATTACATCATACACTACATAAATTGTGTCTGCGTTAAAAGGCTTAGAAAGTAAGTTTGGAACACTTTCGTACACTTGTTGCATGCCCATTTAACAGAAGAGGGTAAGCCTTCAATAAATTGAATGTGAAAGTGCTATTGTAACTATCAAGAGATACAAGTATTGGCGGTCAGAGAATTTGCAGAAAGACAGTGAAATGCCAGTGGTAATAGCTTTCATGAAACAAAAATTCTCTGTTCGGGCAAGATCCAAACGACACGACAATCCGCGAAACAACAACAAAATAAAACAAACCTACAGCTCGCCTGGGATGGAAACGGCCAATTATAAAATGCGAATGCTTTGAAGTCCAAAGCCAACCAAAGAAATGTCAAAGAAATTTTATAATGTCAAGACAAAGCAAAGGGGGTTACGCGCTGACATGCCCAAAATTTCACCGTCTGAGTCAAGTAATTCCTAAAACTGTATAGAAAAAAGGACATCTAAGAAGTTGCTAAGTGTTCATTTCATTTCACATGCCTTTCGTTTGTTTCGGATCAGCGTGTTTTCGTTGTACTGGTTCGAGTTTCTAGAGTTCTGCACCAGTGTTCGTTCCAAAGGTAGGGGTGTGGTGGGCGGGCGGGCAGGGGGCGGGGGCGGGCGGGAAGCGGTGAGGGGTGGGAGGGGTTGGGGGAGGGGGGGGGTGCGGCGTGCGGCGCTCAACAACCAATTTATAACTCATCCAAAACGATTTTCTTTCGTGAAAAAAAAAAAAACACAAGCCGCTTTACACGGGACTGAACCACGAAGAGTGGGTTAAAGTGTATTTTTTCCATGAAACGAACGAAAAAGAGCTTGAATCATTGTCTCTTAGCCAGATAGTCAAAGAAGAACGCAAAGTCGAGGGTTACGAGTTTCCGGTAAACAAATCGCCGCACACCGGATGTTAGGTTAAGTTCTTCCGACGTTGTGCAGCAAAACCGTCAAGATGGTATGTGCGGCCCTCAGTGTTTTTAATCCAGTCAATCTTGGATTTTAGTGTGCATTCGCCTCTTTAATACGGTCCCGCTTGAAGGGATTTTTATTCATCTGATGATTGAACACTGAAGTTTCGCACTAAGTGGTTTTAATCAAAATTTGGCTCCGCATAACCTCTGGTTATGTTGTGCGGCTTCGTCTAATCATGTTTACGATTGTGTTCCACTGGCACAACCTAACAATTCTCTTCACTAATGGGTTGATGATTTGTTAGTTGGTGTCAAACTTATTGTCTCGTGGCAGAAGAGTCCTCCCCAACTTTTGACCGTGTCACGCACTTTTAAAGGGACTCGAAACTCTTTCCTCTATGGGCCATTGTTTGTACTAGCTTTGTTACATGGTTTGCAGTTCGACAAAGCTATACAGGATTCAGAGAGAAAGATAACATATTGGGGTTTGCACTACCAACAAGTCACCTCACTTGTGTGACGTTGATTTGGTTATTAGTGCGAAATTAAGTGCATTGTCGCTGAAGAGACCTCCTCTTTTGTATGCTGTGTCTCGTATTCTCAATGTTACATACATTTTTACCTCTGCGCTTCAAGGCCTCTGATAGTTATGGTTCATGTTGCATTTTTCTTGTTCCAGTACAGCTGAGCTGTGAAATTGGGTGCAGTATTGTAGCGTTTGTACTGGTCTTGGCTGGCACGGCCCAACAAATCTCTTCACTGGTGTGTCGTTGATTTGGTAGCTTGTGCCAGAACAAATGATGCAGCTGTTGGAGTTTTGTACCACTATGGTTCAAGTCTTGTATAAGTTACATTACAAAATTTTCCTGTTCAGCAAAGCTGACATCCATGAATTAGGTTATAGTGTAATTATTTGTGGGCTTGCACTACCAACAGGTCATCTCACTTGTGTGTTGATGATTTGGTAATTAGTGCCAAAATAAGTGCATTGTCGCTGAAGAGACCTCCTTCTTTCGTATGCTGTGTCTCGTATTCTCAATGCGACATTAATTTTTTCATCTGTGCTCCAAGGCGTCTGTCGGTGTGGGTGTAGTTTTGTTGCATTTGTACTGGACTAGGCTGGCACAACCCAACAAATCTCTTCACTGGTGTGTTGTCGATTTGGTAGCTTGTGCCAGAACAAATGACGCAGCCGTTGGAGTCTTGTACCTCTACGGTCCAAGTCTTGTATAAGTTACGTTACAGAGTTATCCTGTTCTTGGTTGGGTCAGCAACGTATTTCCTTACGCAAAGACAAGTTTCTTACGCTAAACCGAAAAATCCACCGCGGTTTCTGTTATGGAGGCATTCATTGATCCTCACGCTATGACAAGGCTCTTACTCTAAAGCAAACGGGCTGACTGATATCCCTTCTGGATGGGAAATGTGTAATGAGTGGCCCTTACGCTAGTACTCGTTTGCTGAGCGGGCCAATGAGGAGCCGCGTAGGGTAGCTCATTTGTCATGGAGTCAGTGGAGGGGGTAGCTCGTTTGTCATAGTGTAAAGGTTCTTCATGAATGCCTACTCTCTTGTTATAGTGTAAGGCGATCCGTGTAGTGTAAGACACTTGTCTTTGCGTAAGGAAAATCGTTGCTTACCCCAGCATCAGCAAAGCTGACATTCTTGAATAAAGTTATAGTTTAATTATTTTTGGGCTTGCACTAACTACAGATCATTACACTTGTGTGTTGTTGATTTGATAATTAGTGCCAAAGTAAGTGCATTGTCGCTGAAGAGACCTCCTCTTTTGTATGCTGTGTCTCGTATTCTCAATGTCACATGAACTTTTGCCGCTGTGCTCCAAGGCGTCTGTCAGTTTGGGTGTAGTTTTGTTGCATTTGTACCGGACTAGGCTGGCACAACCCAACAAATCTCTTCACTGGTGTGTTGTCGATTTGGTAGCTTGTGCTAGAACAAATAACGAAGCCGTTGGAGTCTTGTACCTCTATGGTCCAAGTCTTGTATAAGTTACGTTACAAAGTTTTCCTGTTCAGCAAAGCTGACATCCTTGGATCAAGTTATAGTTAAATTATTATTGGGCTTGCACTAACTACAGATCATAACACTTGTGTGTTGTTGATTTGATAATTAGTGCCAAAATAAGTGCATTGTCGCTGAAGAGACCTCCTCTTTTGTATGCTGTGTCTCGTATTTTCAATGTCACATGAATTTGTCAAGGGTATCTTCTAGTTTGTGTTAAAATATGGGTTTTTCACAATAGTGTTTCTTTCTGTTGCAGTCTCTCGTCATACCAGAGAAATTCCAGCACATCCTTCGTATTATGGGTACGAACATTGATGGAAAGATCAAAGTCATGTTTGCGATGACGGCCATCAAGGGTGTGGGGCGCCGTTATGCCAATATTGTACTCAAGAAGGCTGATGTTGACCTTAACAAGAGAGCTGGAGAGTGCTCTGAAGAAGAGGTATGCACTCTTTGTTGTTAACAAAATTACTGACCTTGTCATGTGACATTTAGTACTGTTAGTCAATGCCCATCCGTTTGGTATCGTATGTCAATTTTCATTCACATTGCAGGTTGAGAAGATAGTTACAATCATGTCTAACCCTAGACAATACAAGATTCCTGACTGGTTCCTGAACAGACAAAAAGATATTGTTGATGGTAAATACAACCAGCTCACTTCCTCAAATCTTGACTCCAAACTTCGTGATGACCTTGAGAGGCTCAAAAAGATCCGTGCCCACAGAGGCATGCGTCACTACTGGGGGTAAGTTATCCCTGTCGTACTGCTCTTTTTTTTCCCTTTCTTGTGTGGTCAATCAATAAACTTCAATGGAATGGTGTTATTTGATTACAGCCTCCGTGTCCGTGGTCAGCATACCAAGACAACAGGTCGCCGAGGAAGGACCGTGGGTGTGTCCAAGAAGAAGTAAAGGATAATTGGCAAACTTTTTCCATGGTTATTTACTGTAATAAAGATTGTCGATATCTCCACCTGTGTGCAGTTCATGCATTGTCCACTTCCTTGTCGACCCATTTGTTTGACTTTACCTAAGATTGATCTGTGAGGACCTGTCATTATTTGATAAGAAATATTTGGAGTGCTGATAGGGTTAAGTCTTGACGAAAGCTTCCTGCTGGTGACTTTTGTGACAAGAAAAACAAGAGTTTGTCTGACTTTCACCCTGGGTGAAATTTATTCCAAGAAAGTCTGTTTACAAATTGTTTCTTGGCAGGATAAGCCACTAATGTACAAAGGGCATTACAATGGCAGTGAAATCCCTTCATTATTTATTTAATCTTAGTTGGGTTCACTAATTAGATGACTGAGGCTATTCAAACATCTGCTTTGAGCATGTTTGCTGTAGCTTTTCTAAGGCATACAAGATAGTGATGTTATGAGGCATGTAAGCAACCAAATGCTGCAAGAAAAGACAATATTTTGGAGCCATGTTTAATATGCTTAACATGCCTATATACACACTTTTAAAATGAACTCAAATCTAAGGAAAATTGTTAGTAAAATGAATAAATTTAAATGTTAAGATTGTGGTGGTATGTCTTAATATTATCACATTCAGCCAGATGGTGCTAACACACATTAGTACAAAAGAGCTACCTACACAAACACTCTGGTTATCACACAAACTAACTTTCTTTTTCTTCAGTATTTTTGGGCTGCAGCTGCCCTTTTCTTTGCTTTTCTTAAACATCGCCCTTATAGCGAACATATTACAAAATATAATAAATACACTTTACAGTTCTTACATGTAGTATGAAAGACTGAAATTCATTGGCATGAAACTGATTTCATACATGTTGCAATAAATTATATACAAAGCACTCCACAAGCACAAGAGGTATACTGGGCCACAACAACTGGCTGGAAAGATAAGAATACCATTTTTTTCAAAACTTTCACAACAAACACATCACACAACTAAACTCTCATCACAACAAGCCACTGTACACTATCACAGCCCTACAACAATGGAGTAGATGTCAAAGTAGTTGATTTGGTAGCTAGATATTTCAACCCTATACCCTTTTGCCAAGAGGAATGAGAACCCTCAGAAGTTAATTTAACACACGGATCTGACACAGGGATGGTTTCACATGGAAGAAATACAAAATTTACAGCATTTAACTTGTTAGCCTCTTCGCATGTTGCAGGGACATAAAGGCTATTGGATGCCTCCCATAGTTTAGTTAAGTTGAAAGGCAGCCTAGGATCTCCAATAACAATTACCAAAATAAAAAAGCCTAACAGGCACCGAACAGTACCTCCTCTTCTTCTAAGAACATAAATTTTTTTTTCAAAGCTTAGATGCTCAGTCAGACAACAATTAAACATTAGTATGAAAGGATTAACAAAGAGTCAAACACACTTAAATAAATACACAAATATGACATAAACTGCCAGAAGAAGAGAGGGACAAAAATCAGGTCATATTCTGACTGCAACAAATGGTGCTTTTCTAAATTTTACTGCAAAGTGCTGTGCAAGCTTATTTTGTTAATGGAGTGAAATGCCACACAAGATAAAAATATGAGTCTTTGAGCATTGCAGCAACGAAAATTAAACTTATCATTGCTCAAGAGACATTGGCACATTTGGGAATACCATGCAAAACCGGGCTATAGTGCATTATTTTCCCTTTTTTTCTCTTATTACCTACAGTAATCTATTTTAAAAGTTTTGTCCTACACATCATTCTTTTTATTTCCTTTTTGTTTGTTGCTAAAAACTGATGTTTAAAGTACTATTGAAGCAAATTGCAATACTGTGTCAAGAATTTAAATTTGTTGATGCAGAACAGTGAGATACACTATGTCAAGCTTCACCTCTTCCATACAAGAAATTACATACTAATGCACAGCCTCATTTTGATTACATTTAAATGGTAATATGCAGACCCCATATAGTATACTAATAAGGAAAAGAACGAGAACCAAAACCCTTAGTTATTTGACAGAGAACACATGGTCACTCCAATTTGATCCACTGCAGTCAACTTTGAGCTGGCAGCCTCACCAAAGTCAAATTATTTAAGTCTATATGCTAGATAGCTATGTAACCCAGCCAGTACAACAAGAACAGCCCCTTCATCTGCCATTTTGATATTGACACACAATCCTGACTCAGTTATAGTAATCCTATAAAAAGTTTTATCAAATAGAGTTATTAAGAAATACAGGAGGAAGGGCTAAGATATTCTTTCATGATCCGTCAAGATAAACATCATTATTGAAAAACAAAATTAAGAAAAACTTTGGGATTATGTAAACTACAGAAAATACAGAGTCAAAGAGACTAAGTGAAAATGAGACACTTGTTGATAAATGGCACTAAACAAATCAAATTTTAAAATGGTAAAATTTTAGAGTAAATGCGATAAGTTGGCATTTCTTGGCTCCTTTTAAGGTGCAGGGAAAATCTGAAGTCATTCAGGAAATCAGAGCTTACATTAAATATACATGACACTAAAATCAAACCTATCCTGTATAATAGGGGAAAGTTCTTCTTACACAAATTAACATCTAGATATGTAATTATATTTTTGTTTGTTTTTCAATACATGCCCTTTTCTCAAGAGAAGAAACGTCAGATGCACCTCTGATAATTATCACATCTGGGACTACATCAGGCAAACCTTTTCTGTTCTCTTCACAGCCACATTTTCCTGCTTTCACCTGGGCTGGAAATGGTCATATTAAAAGAATGAATTCAAGTGAATGAAAGTATTATTTAAAGGAGAATCAAGGCTTACCGTTCATGCAACACAACAGTTTTACATATTATTGGGATGCATCAGTGATTGCCATGTCTGGCAAACTGCTAGCACTGCTACCACTGAGAGGTCCAGAAGCTGCACATGGCAGTGAAACAGCTTCAGATTCTGAAACACCACATATTCGAGGTAACGCTCATCTAATATGATGAGTCACATAAGATCAAGGATTTGTAATTATGTAGCAATAATTTTAACACACCATTCGCCACACTTATGTCCACTTTTTTTATTTCTTCTGGCTGATGAAGCAGTGAGTGTTGGAGGTGTTGTGGCTGAACTTTGGAGCGACAACTGCTTCTCAGCATTAAACTATCCTCTTGAAGAGGTCTTACCTTCACACGGTAAAACTTAGTTCCTTTGGGAACACGGTACCTGTTCTCTGACTGCAAGAAAATATTTGCTTCAGTTAAAAATCTTAAAATTAAAACTTATACAATTTTGTTATTAATGTTATTCACCTTTCTGGCATGACAATACTCCTTCTCAATCACTTCAGCCGTATTATATATTTTACGTCTGCCTCCATCTGGAAATATTGGATTACAGTGCCATCATTCAATTAAATTTGATATTCATTGATTATGAAGATATTATAATTGATGTGCTTACCTGTTTTAAGAGATAAGCCAAGGGATTCAAGGGAATCAGAATGTACAAAAAAGAGTGTGCTGGATTCTTGAAGTATAACATAATTTTGATGGGTATCATTCCAAACTACAAGCACTGCATCACCAGGAAAACAACTAGAAAGACAACAGTGAATTTAGGCATAAGTGTAAAATTAAAGGGCAATATTGAATAGCAACAATTACACTTACGTTAAAATGCTTATTTTGCCTTGTTGGAGCAAATTGTTTGCACTACATGTTAAATTCTTCTTTAGGCTGAGTGGTTCTGGGCTTGTAGCAGCATCGCGGCTGGTAACATTTTCACTAAATAATAATAATAATAAAAAAGGAATTAACAGTAGTTTGTGCACAAGTGAGTCACCAAAAAACAGATTGTGAGTACTTACGAAGAATCTATTGCAACGGATATGCCCATCGCACCACTTCGACTTCTAGCTTCAGTTAACTCAGTCTCCAGCTGGTTTATTCTGTCTTGGAGTTGCCACACAACTCCACTATTATCTGAGTTTCTGAATGTCAATCAGAAAACATACAATTAATTTTGTGAATCAAAATGACCTGGCTACAAAATAGTAATGAGTTGACTGTTGCTACGCACCCAGACGAGGGACCTGCTTCGTCAGTAATCCTGCGAATGGTATCTTTATGTTTTTGGCATTCTTCCTTCAGCACAGCTTCTCTCTCTCTAAGATGACGCTCTTTAACTTCAACTACTCTCCGCACAGCATCATTAAACCAAACCTTGATATAGGGAGAAAATAATAAGTTTAATTAGTTTCACTTATGAATAAAATTGATTTAAGAAAGATTCCATGACATACCTGCTTTTCAGCCTCCATTTTAAGCCTTATATTTCGGAGTTCTTGCTGAAGCTTAGCTTCAAAGCCTGAGTGTAGCCTTTTTTCTGTTTCCTGAACAGCTGCCTGTACAGCCAAATCTTTCTCTCTAAGTAAAACCTCTAAATCAACATCGACTTTGGAACTTCTGGCACCCTGAGAAACATATTATTATTGGCATTGTAATTATTATTAGTATACCAGGAAGTGGGAGATATTGACATATTATTTTACCTCAGTTTTCTCTAAGCTGCTTTCACTTGAAGATCTTTCTGAAGAGGCGCATGCCATAAGCCTAAATCTTGACCGCAATCCTTCCAGCTCTGAATGGTGGTCACGAGACAATTGATCTGACATATCCTTCAATGCTCTAGCTTTGTCGACTTCAAATTCTTCTTGCAGCTGCTTCATTCTTTGTTGATGTAAAAGCTATAAAAGGCACCGGTTAGTTGATTCATGTTGATAGAAGATACAGAAAATACATAAACATTACTTACTTCAAGAGAAGCCTTCTGTTCCTCTAAAGCCCGATTTAAATCAGCCACAGTATCCTTGCTGATGCTATCAAGCCGGGTCTGCAACTCTATGTAGTGAGTTTTGTCATTTTCCAGTTCCTCTAAGCGTCGCTCAAGTTCTGAACATCTCAGTTGTTCTGAATCATTCCCACTACTCTCAGTTTCTTCCAAACGACGCTGAAGCTGCTCTGCCTGAGCTCTCTGCTCCTCTTCAACCATAAGACGCTGACGTAAAGAAGCCTCTAGCTGCTCCACAGTGGCAGTACGCTCTTCGACAGACTGAGAAATAGAAATTATTTTTAAACATCTAAACGTTATATCACAATTAAGTTTTACAAGCATGAAAAAATTAAAAATCCATACCTGAGTCAAAGTTCTAATTAAATCATCTTTGGCAGACATAGCTCTACGTTCTCTTTCAAGTTCTACTTTCAGATCAAGATGATTAGCAGCAGAGTGAGCAAAATTGCCAGCAGAAAGGAGCTGTTCCCATGCCACTTTGAAAGTGTCCAGTAATTTCAGGAAATCTTCCCTTTCTACTGCCACTTGACCACGAATTTGGCCCAGTTCAGCACGCAAACTTTCCGTGGCTGCTAGTGCAACCTTTTCCACAGAGCTTAACTGAGCCTTTGCTCTTTCAACCTGAAGTTGAGCATTTCCTAGGTTGTCCTGAAATTAATGGAAACATAATGTAAGGGGGTGGCATTAAGACAACACAAGAAAACAATTAGAAATAGGCAGAAAATGCTTTTGAGGCTAAACATCAATAAAATGAACATAGCACAAAAACAAAGAAAGTATAACAAAGCGATACTAGAATCCAACCACCTGGATTCCTGGCACATGCGGAGTACTGTAACAGGACACAGGGCCTCAGTGATGCCTACTAAAACTTATATTTATACTACAGAGTAATATTATTGGTTGGTGCATAAAAATAAAAAGGCAAACAATACAATACAGTGATGCAAAACAAACAAATAACAACTAAAATTTTTAAAAAAATTCTGATATAGGAAGGAAAAAAGTTCAGTGAATACTGGGCAGTGCAGGCTATTGAAGTACCTGTAAGAGTCGCACCAAAGTTTGAGAATCCTGAATGGGTTTGTCTATGTCAGAGACATTGTGACTCCTCAAGCTGTTGCTCTCAGTAAAGCTTGATGGCATAGACTCATCCATGTAGAATTCTGTGGCCAGGAACTCTGCAGTCACATGTTGCCCATGTGTCTGAGAGGGCGAGAGAAGGATAGGGGAAGAGCATTGAGTTGCGACATGGCTGCGCAATTCAGATGCCGAGTGAAGTCGAGGCCCACGAATGGGCCATGAACGATCAACAATTAAGGAAGACGTAGCAGATGAAGGTGAGGTACATTGAACAGCTACATCGGCAGCTGTAGTAGGAGATGATGAGAACTCGCATTGAGAGCCAATAGCTATAAGACGAGGAAGAGGAGAGGCACAAGCCTCAAGAGAAGAAACTTGAACAGCAACATCAGCAGCACCCTGAGATACAGTTGAGGAAATACGTAGACAGCTTCCTAAAAGATTGTCGCACTGTATTCCAGAATCTGTAGCAGGAAATAGCGAGGAACTTGTGGATGGGGTCGGCACATCACTCGGGCTCTCACTGCCACACAAAACTGAGGCTTCAGATTCGCCATCAAACTGGATGCCAACTTCCACCAAATTAGCTTTTGGCAAATCGCACACATCTTTGTCCATTGACATAGAAAAACTGTCTCCTGAATGGCCACTGGGAGTCTGTGGCGGAATCTGTCGAGAATTGCATTGTATGCCAATATCTTGATAGCACACACTCTGAACACCAACCTCTGAAGTAGCAACAGTGGTAGCAATGCGATCCATATCTATAGGGCTCTGACCCACCTTCTCAAACTCTTCTGTGTCAGTTTCAGACTCAAATTCCCTAGAACAAAAAGGCAACAAGTTGGTCAGAAAAAAAAGGAGAGAAAAGTATGTTGTGAACACCACAAACTGGCGTATTAATGAAATTTAACAAGAATATACCTATCATCCCGTAGGGGTAAAGAGTTGGGGCTTGCAGTGGAGCTACCAGAAACAGGGTCACAAATCTGCTCAGCTGATTGCTTTTCAGCTTTCAAATCCGTACATTCAAGATTTGCTGAGGTAACTGCTGTTACCTATTGTATCAGAACAACAAGAAAGAAAAATCAATAATATGGATGGAATGTGGAACGAACCTACCCAACAGAACAAGTAACTTGCCAACTGATTCTCGATGGCAGCATTATTCTTGTCTATGGACTTCTGAGATTTGGGAGTATATTTTGCAAACAGCTTGGCAATTTGACCAAGTTCTGGTACAGTCAGTGACATTGCTAAACTAGGCACATCAATCCTCAGCCTATCCACATCTTCTTTACTCAGCTGAAACACAAAAACAAAAACAAAATAAAAGGTGGGTGATTGTCCATGGATCGCTCACATACAACAAACAAAAATAAAATTTTTGTTTATACCTTTGGCAGCATAGTGTCAAATGCAACAGGAGCTTGGGTGGCAAAAGGAGGAGGGCAATCCTCCATACCAGGAAATAGTGTATTTAAAAAATGCCCTTCGAATCTTGTCTGAAAATCACGGCGCCTTCCCAATTCCTCAGAATGAACCGCTTGTAATTGTGAGGCCAGCTGTCCAGCCCATGAAAGGAAGGCTTGAGAAAAAGTTCGCCTACGCACTACTTCTCCAACAGCACACACATACATCTGCGGAGCCATTTGAATTTGACGAACAACTTCCAGATGTCGACGCAACCTCTTAAGATTTTCATGATATATCATTAACTTGCTAGCCACATCACACATGCGATTCTCCACATACATAATCCATCTAAACAGTAAATAGCAGTTTATTAAAAAATATACAAGAAATATAAATGCAGACATTATTAATTGTCATGGTTGAGATAAAATTCTTACTTTAATCTATGATACAGATTGACAGAGAGCTCTTCTTTAGCTCGATTACATCGTTTCCGTATGTCTCTCAACCTGGTATGATTTTGAGACATAACATGCAGCTGGCGACGATGAGAAGCACACAAATCAGGCAGAATTGAAGTGTCCCCAAGATTGTTTGCACGAACTTGGTTCTGCTGAAAGGCCTGGAACAGGAATGCCAGCTTTAATGTTGTGCACATACCGGAGGGAGAAGAACAAAGTGCAAAGTCAGAGGTATACACACTGTTGCAAGATCCGTTTGTTCTTGAACAATACGTTTACTTTCGAACATGAGTTGCTCCAGACCATAAAGACGCTCTTCAAGTCCTTTAATATCTTTCATGTCAGTTTTGGTTGCAGCTTCTAATGCATTCTGAACATTAGCTCTTAGTTCTTCTAGGACACGTTCATCAAGCTGTGACAAGAAAGGAAATTTATATTAAAACTGTTATTGGAGATAAAAATTTCAAGTGGTTATTTTAAAGTTACCTGTTCAAGACCTCGCCCACATTGATCAACCATTTGCTCCAGAGTGCTTTGATTGTCTTTGGTCGAAATCCACTGAAGAAGTGTAACAGCCTTTTCCTCATGCCGTCGTTGCCAGTCTTCTCCGCAACTATTGTTGCTTTTCTTTGATACAGCCATAGGTTCGGACTCATCATGTGTTGCCACTGCTGACATGCTAGAAGCTGAATTCTCTTGAGGTAGAGCAGCCTCTTCCTCAGAAATCTCATCATCTTTAGATTTTGCATCAGTCCCTTGCATGCTCTCTACAGCACTAGCAAGTAGTCCCGGGAGGATTGGAATTTTGGAAAGTGTGACAAGAACCTCATTAAAACTGTTAAACAAAATTAATAAATGAGTAATGGCAATTTAATAGATTATTATAAACAAATTTTAAGTCTAGAGTATTTCTTACTTTTCTAAAAGGTCAACATATTGACCCCTTGACTCCAAATGCTGTTGATAACTCTGTTCAAATACCTCACCCTGATTGCGAAACACAGACACGCTGTCTTCCAGATTTGCAACAACCGCTGCCCATCCTTAAATAATCAACAAAACATAAAGAAGTTTAAATACAGCAAACATCATACTATTGCTAGAAATTCCAAAAGGAATTTTACCTTGCTGTTGCAAATGTTGATCATGAACAAGTCTTTCACATATACGTGTCTGGTCTCTAGCAAGCTCACAGAACTGTTGAGCCAGTTGAGCTCGAACAACCACTGTGTTGTAAGATGCTGGCAAACTAAGAGAAGCATCCACCTGTTCTTTGAGATCCATGTCTGGAAATAAAATTGATGTAGAAGTGTTTTGATCTTGACCACAAAAACAAGAGTTAAACAATAAACTTACCTGATCCATAATCTATGCTGGGAGAGGGCGGGCTTACACTCTCTATTGAGCTTTTACTAAACAGGAAAATAGGGTTTGTGTCAGTTCCAGCTGAGTAAGAACATACTCTAGCAGTAGGTTCCAAGCTCAGTCCTCCACTGATCAGAAGCACTTGCTTCTCTGGTGGAATACGGCATGCTCTTTCGATGACTTCCTTCAGATGAGCCACACTTAAAGGCAAAAAAGAGAACAATCAATTACTTTTCAAATTCTTTGACAGTAATGTGACTGAGGTAAATCAAAACAATAAAAGGTGAAGTCTCACCTCTCTAGAGCGAGGTTCATCTCAAAGGTCATCATGGAGCCAGTATCTACATGGAAAATGTACAACATTTTGCCCACCCTAGTCTCCCGAAGGAGAGTCGTCAAACTACTGACATTAGAAGCAAGGTCTGAAGTGGCTGACACATGAATAGAGTGTCCCACCTGAAACAACAAACAAATCATCATTAGAAAACGTTAAAACTTCAAACACCACAGAAAACTAAATTAAGAAGAGATTGAAGCAGTGAGGGAAACATTGCAAAAAACTCGACTGCAGTATGTTACAAAAACAAATAGCTATCCCAAAGTAAACAAGAACAAAACTGCAATCTATTCAGGGGCCTAATCTTCCACAGGTCAACTCAACTCTGTGGTCGGCTTCACAGTGGAGAAGTAGCAAGTCAGAGTCACCACAACAACAATGGGATAATAACTTAGGCTTATGGAGGAACTGGAGTTGCTGAACTCCAGCAAAAGGACGCGAAACTCTTTGTTTTGATCAGGACATCGATCAGCAGGCGACAACGAGGGTGGGGGGGAGGGCGGTCGTTGCTCCGAAACTGAGTCGCCTGGATTCCGCCATCAGTGCAACTCTGACCTAAAAACATCCAAGCCCTCCGGACTAAAATACATCGGGAACTTGTCAACTTGCAAAGGGAAGGTGAAATGTGCTATCAAAACTAGACTGCCACATTGTCCTTTTGAAATTCCCTGAAACCGCGACAACAGACCTCCCCAGCCGCAAAGCAGCCAGCAGCTAGAGGCCTCCACTCTGGAGGCCTCTACCAGCAGCCTGGGGGAATCAGAGCTGCCAACCCTCACCGCCCGTAGGACAGACGACCCCTCACCCCATCATGCGTCTCATAACGCAACATGTAAAATATATTAAGTGCTCATTAATTATAGAAAACTTCAATAAAGGTATCAAGCAGCGAGACTTTCGAAACAAACTGAAGCTTCCGATGATACATTGCTTAAATAATGTGTTGGTTGGTACCCCTGCCCGCACTTGTTCCACGCAACGCCACGAATTTTCAAAATTGTAAACATAATGCAAATTTCGGAATTTCGGAAGACAAATGCGTTTTTGAAAACGAGAATTCACACCAAGTAACCAAGATATACATATGAGTTAGCCTACAATTGACTTATTTCTTAATGTACCAGCCCAAAGCCCTTAAAAGTTAAAAACATTCAGGGCCAAGAAAATTGCATTATCAGACCGATCAAAGCCGGCTGAACAATTTCTCCTCATTTGGAAGGTGTCAATCTGTATACTTGTGCCTCTAGGGGCATTGTTAGCGCACCACCGCCATGTACGTAATGTATTGTTGACCAATGGGTACAGCCCGTCTCCTTCAATTCCGAAACCCAAGTTCAATCCCCAAATGGTGATACAAACCAATCATTATTTTTTTCTGTAGTTAGGTTGTCACCAAAGCCTCCAACTATTTATAAGAACGAAGATTATGTGTGACACTATGTTTACATCATCTGAAGGCAAAGAACGAGTCTTGGTAATATTAATCAAGTGCTTCTCTAACTTGACTTTAAAAACAGAAAAAATTAAAGAGAAAATTATAATAATGTGTTTTTGGGTTCCATGATACCATGACTGATGATCACTTCTTGAGAAGTTTGATCAAGATGTTGGGTGAAGAAAATTTAGGTGAACAAAAATCTGAGAAGAGAACTGTCAAATCTAAAATTGAGTGAACCATCAGAAAATTTTGACTGAAAGAAAATCACGCACCCCTTGGAATGTGTGTATACATGGGAATTTGGAATCCACCTGCAGCTAAATTCACACATTTGACATCAAGTGATAAACTCTGACCCAACTTAAAACAGTTTTAATAAACAATCTCATCTTCCTAAATGCAGGATAGAAAGGATGTTTCCACAACCTCCATAGTGAATCATGTTAACTCAACTTTTACAAGAACACATAAAAACAAAAACAAAAAAAGCAACAAGAAAACAGCATACACAAAGATATGAGATGAAAGTAGGTCAGGTAAAGTTATCAGAAACATAAAATAGATGAGGAGTGAAATGAAAGAACACTGGGAAAAGGGAGGTCAGCAAAATAACAATAAAAGCAAAGCTGCAGGAAGTTAACCTACAGGCGAATCAACTGCGCATTTTCACTTCCGCGTTGCGCACCATCCCTGATTCCTACACCAGTTGTAAATAGAAAGCCACCGAGGCCTTTCAACAGAAACAAGCCTCGCTGAGGCTAAGGGATTTTTCAAGTCCGAAAACTGCAAATCAAAACAATAACATTGACCCTGAACAAAGGAACCCGAACGCCAAGAAGTGAAAAGCAGACGACGAAATACCACCACTTGATGACGCACTATTCAAACGATTCGTGAGGTTTAAACATAAAAGCCTGCCTCAAGTTTGCCGAGGTACATACCCCTAGAACGTTGCTAAGACATTCTAAACTTCCATTGCACGATGTGCTTCAATCGCACAGTACAGCTGTTTGCTGAAGAGCATCACGGGAAAACAAAGCAGTGCGCAGAGTGCGCAGGCTCGGCTCGGCAGGCCTCGGCACGCGCAGCGTAGCGCAGCGCAAAGGCGCAAGTGTGAACGTGAATGAAAACGAAAAGCTCTTTGGACTGGCTTCAGGGATTTAGGCCTACGGCACGACAATGACAAGTCCCGCGCAAGGGGTTGCACGAAAAGGCGTAGAGGAGGTGCTCGAAAGACGAACCATGAAACAATTCAGAGAGTGCGTCGCGAAGCAATGTTTCTCTGTCTAGCTTGGTATCTCGCTGTTCTACTCGCTGTGTCCCCGTCCCCATAAACAACACCACTGGCTCTCACTTTTCCTCTCTCTCACTCGCTCGGTCGCTGGCGGCGTCGGCGTGATGAGTAGAACGCGAAACAAGTGCCGCTGCCTTATCGCAGCCGCCGCCTCTCTCTTTCTCACTCCCACAGGGGTCTAGGGAATGCGATAATAGAGACAGCGACGAAACGTCTTGGGATTCCCTTCCGTGGTGGGGCTTCTACCATGAATTTAGGCACTTTGCTTACAATGCATCAAATCAGGTTCATTCCTTGAGCTGGGAAGCATTTATGCTCTTTTTTGTGCTCCACAGATGAATCATGAGAAAGGGCGCCCTTTTTCATGGATGAATTGTTGGATACTCTTGTGGGTGTCAGCCCATGAAGACAAGCTAGTGAAACAGAAGGCTATCATTTCTGCCGCCGCGTGGGCTGCATTTGTGACTCAGATGTGGCGGGAACCGTGTTTGAGACTCATCTATTTCTTCTTACTTTGATTTTGACGTATGGCAGTTAAAAGTTTTCACTGAGGAAGGACGTGTCCGCCCGATTCATCCATTTGAAAAGACCGCGACGAGCAACAAAATGCGGCAGCTGGAAAACAAGTGACTACTTGAAACGCCATTGGCTGAAAGCATTTTGTTCGTTTGGATCTCCGACCAATGAGCTTCGCCCATTTAGTACACAACTTTTATCAACACGAATTTGAAAGTTCAACCGTCGAAGTGAGAGGGAGGCGAGAGGCCGTCGTGTTCGGGAGTGCAGTTCGGGAAGTTAAGGGGGGTTAGAAGAATTGATAGGTTTCGTGTCTTGTTTCGAAGTTTCGTTTAGTTGTAGCACTCGTTCTCACAAAATGGAAAATTATCGCTCGTTGTACAAAGTGGCGGGCAAGACAGGAAAATCTCAAGGCGAGAAACGGGAGACGGCTCGCCGCGAGCAGAAGAAGAAGCGGGAAGATACCTTCTTGGAGAGGAGAAAGATTGAGCAGGAGCCATCCACGTCTGCTGCGCCCTCCCCCTCAATAGCAAGCCCCAAGAAAGGTACGGTTATGTGTTTTGCATTTCACGCGTCGCCTGGAGTCCCGCTGTTTCGTTCTGATGATGAAATGTCATGTTTAGCGTCTGTTTTGGTAGAAATTTATACCACCAAGCCTAGGCTGCTCGCTTCGCCGCACCGGCGTCGTTTGGGCCCCTCCACTGTAAAATTTTCTTCGTTGCGGTGCATCGTCTTGTTTAATTCTCCTATCTTGCTTGAAACTATTTAGTATTTTATTGGTGTATCACATTGCATTTTAAAGTAACCCCAACTCCCTGTGAATTTTATTGTGGTTCTGTTCTTATTTGAGACTTATTAATATTCATCATTTTAATTTTTTGGATTTCAGAAACAAGACGTGAGAAGTTATTGAGATGGAAAGCTACAAAGGATAAAATTATTGCCGAACAAAAGCTTAATGACAAGAAGCGGCCTCCGTTTAAAGTTGGTGTCGCACATCATGCTTTGGATCCGGTGAAAGGATTAGTTGCCCCCCCAATTTACACCACAGCAAAATGCACCACTTCCAAGAAAGCCGCTGCTGAATCTTATTCAATTGCCACCGCTAAGCACAAGGCAAAACAGCCCTCTGCGGCTGCTTCTTCTCTTGCTTTGCTTGCTGAACCTTCTGCAGCCCCAACCTCAAGCGCCGCATTTTCTGGCAGGGTAACAAGGTCCAGATCAGCTGCAGTATCAGCAGCGTCCAAGACAGCTGCGTCCAAGACAGCGGCATCCAAGACGGCGGTGTCCAAGACAGTGGTGTCCAAGACAGCAGTGTCCAAGACAGCGGTGTCCAAGACAGCGGTGTCCAAGACAGCGGGGAGGACAGCAGCGTCCAAGACAGCAGCATCCAAAGCAGCAGCCAAGCCAACTGCATCAAAGACACCATTGGAGTTGAAACCCACAAGAAATACCAAAACCTCTGTCTCTAAATCTGTCAAGAAACTTCAAGAGACCTCATTTGCGCCCCAAAATCATCAATTCAAGGTATATTGTGTATTATGAATTACTGCATTTGGTTTTACTTTTTCTGTGTCTTACTCTTCCAATTCTTTTTCCAGGCACCTGCAAGTTTAACTCTTCCAACAACACCTCTTGCACTGAAAAGGTAATAATTTTTACATTTTCTCTTTTAACTTGGCTTTGTATTTATAATTAAAATAGAAATGTATTCCTCTTATTTTATCTTGACAAAATTCTATGTTGATTCGTTTTTAGGAGTGCTGCGAGGTATAAGGAAACCGGTTGGCCTTCTATTGCTGGTGTTGGTCTGCTAAGCCCATCAACTGCGGAGCCCTCGCCCAAAGTAGCCAGAAGGGAGTCAACTGTGGCATCACAAAGAAGAGGGCGACTATCTCGAGCAGTCAAAGAAAGAACGCCAAGGCAATCAATTAAAACATCAAAGGAGGGAACACCAGCAAAGGCTCCTCTGCTAGTGAAAGAAGCAACACCAGCAAAGACTCCTCCGAAAGTGAAAGAAGCAACACCGGCAAAGACTCCTCTGAAAGTGAAAGAGGCAACACCAGCAAAGACTCCTCCAAAAGTGAAAGAAGCTACACCACAAGACCTACCTCAAGTTGTTGATACTATTGTTGCAAGTGGATCAGCCCGAAAGATGCGTCGTCTAAGCCGCAAATCTGGAGGATTTGTTGTCACAGCCATGCCTGTTTCTACATTATCTGTAACGAAGGAAGCTGCAGTTTCTCCTTCTGTAGAAGAAGCCACTAATGTTGTCGACGTGTCACTAACTGGCAGTGCAGGCCGTCCAAAACGGTCCATGAACAGCAAAAAGCGTCAAAGTCTGAGAGAAAAGGAGAATGTTCCTGATGTAAACCTAGCACAAGTCCCTAGTGCTGAAGACTCATTTTCTCTTTCTCTGCCTGAGGAAGATGAATTGGATTCTATTGTTGCCAGTTCAAGGAGAATGTCTATTCATGAGCCATCACCTCCTGTCCATGTAAGCCCAGATATGCTGGCCAATGGAATGGTGCCTGCTCAGTTCAGCCCTTTTGTCACTTCAGCTCGTGGCAAGGACAAATACAGCCTTCAGAAGAGACGTAAGTTTTGAAGTTCATGCAATCTCTTTGTTATTTTATTCATATTTCTAAAAAGTTAAACTTTTCCTGACAGGGAGCAGCCTTATCCCTATAGTTCCAGAGATCTCACCAGAGGAGCTGGTCAATGAAAGACAAGTAGAGCACTTCAGGTAAGTTTGCCTCTCTATTTTCCCAAACAGTATTGTACATTTGCTGTAGTCACTATAGATGAACTTTTTTTTTTGCAGGAACTTATTAGAGCGAGAGTCATCCCGTTTGTTAACTCTGAGTGCGTTATGGGAAGAAAGGAAAGCTGAAGTTCCTCCTATTATACATGACAAACTCTTAGGCCCGATTGGACAAGCCCGCCTTCTTGTCAAAGATAAATTTCAACAGTTTCGAAGTCTAGTTGATAAATTTGAGTCTGGAGATTCTGATGGGAAGATCACTGCTGATGACCTAACTGGGTTTTGGGAGATGGTGATGTTAACAGTAAGTCACCTATCTTGAGCGTCATTTGTTTCATCTTGTTAAATTATTTTTTTCACTCCAAGCCATCTCCTTTTCATGTAATTTGTAGGTCGAAAATGTAGACAAGCGTTTTCAGGAGCTTGAAGACTTAAAAGCAAATAATTGGGAAGAGAAACTGCCTCAGATCATACCGAAGAAAACTGCCCCACATGCTGCTTCCAAGCCTGCAAAACCTCGTACTCAATCTCGTATCAGAGACTTAATTGAAGGTTCGTGGTTGTTCTTTGGATTAAGATTAAAAATCATCTATGAATTAATTAACTGAAATAATCCTCTGATGTGCAGCCGATAGAAAACGGAAACAAGCAGCCAAACAGAATAAATCTGCAAGTGTATCATCGGACACCACTACTTTTGATGGGGGTTTCTTCAAAGTGGAAAGTCCTAAGAAAGTCTTATCTTCTACGAAGACAATTACTAGCAGTCCTATTCCTAGTATGATAACCTTTGTCTTTATCTACTGTTTTGTTTTCTGTCTATCGGAAATTACCACTAATGCCTCCGTTAACTTTTGTGCATTCACAGAAATTTCTAAACCTGTGCTGTCTACACCTCGACAATTTCACAGACGCAGTTTACTCCAGCAAGTTCTTACAAACTCTGCTGTTCGTGTTCAGAACTCTCCTGCTGCCTCCCCGCTCAACAAGAGTCTTCCCTTGTCTGTGTCACCCAAAGTGGCTGCTGCTCAAATGCGTGCTTCTGAATTGGGCAGGAGAATGAGCATGGATTCAGGGAATGTAAGTTCCTAAAAAAGGGCACCTGTACCTGCAGTTACTGTGTTTTCTAATACTCGTTTTGTCCCATTAGCATACCTTCTCTGAACCCTCTTCTCCAGTTCCTAAAACTGAACCAACCAAGAGTATTCTGAAGTCTGCTGTGAGGAGAAGTTTGAGAGTGAATACACCACGGAATAGGGTTGCATTTGAGGTTTTAAATCAAACTGATAATTCTTGTAAGTTCTTTTTCATGAATGTCAGCATCCTACTCACCCTAAAATAATTTAACTGCGCATTCTGTTTAACTGCTATAACTATCGCTTTTGATTTCAGCTCCAGGTTCACCGATTCTTGTATCACCAGCTGGGACACCAGTTTCTGAAAGGATTGCTACCCCAGGAAACAGAAAAAGGGCATCTCTCATTCCTCGGCCTGTTTCTACTCCTAAAACAGGTGTGTTAAATTTTGTCACAATTCAACCTTCTGCAGAAAAGGTATTTGCTTCTTTCTTGTGATGTTGACCAACTGCATTCATTTAATTTTTCATTGCAGGTGAGAGAGTTAGTCTGCTGCCTGTGCGACAAAGTCTGGTACCGTCAAGGCCTTTATCTAATGGGGATCTGATAGACTTTGATAGTCCAAGAAGAGGTATGTTAATTTCTTACCTGAGACCTACATGTTAAGTTTTATTTTTTCATCGATATAATGAGTAACATTGCTTACACTGCCTCCTTTTTCAATTGCAGCATCCAGGTCATAGAAAAATTTGTCAAATATATGAAAACCCCTCTGTCAACGCCAACAGCTTGAGGCACTCATTCATTCAGTTTTATTCAATTTAACGGTAATTAGAGGCTATGTAAAGATATTTTTATCCTATTGCTTGAGAGAAGTTGTGTCATTCTCATGAATTATTTAAGTTTCCATAAGTATGTACTCATTTTTCAATGATAAATTCATTTTCAAATTTAAAAGCTTTAATTAATAGCTCCATAATTGAATGTGTGTTATACTATTTTTAAGCTTAATTTAGTTTTATGTAATTTTACTTTGAAGCTGTAACTACTTCTTATTTTATGATTCATCCTTCTTGAGTTCTTCTGTACCATATTGTTTCTTCGAAGTTTCTAAGCAGATCACTCTGTTAATGCAGTCCTATGGTCTTTGAAACTAATCGGCTGATTCTGATCTCTTCATATACTGACTAGGGTTCGCATGTATAGTTGGGATATCATTTTATGTTAAATGGTTAAATTCTGCAAAAAATAAATTTTAGTAATATACGTACAAGTGTTCACTTCTTGAAAGGGACTGAATTAAGTACAGTAAATACAACCACCATCTTTACTTCACACATTTTATTCAAATTAGTAACTTGACAAAAAAGACTAAAACTAAATAATAAATAAATTTGAATCTATTTAGTTTGAAATGTGGTTCACTGGACTGATAGTTTGCTTTGCTGAATTAAATGAATAATCCAACAATTCACTTTGATGGTCACTAAAAATGCTTGAAATTCCCTAATAAAACATTTGTGCCTTGGATGAGCTGACAGTCCTAACTTTCAGTCACTTCTTCATCCTTTGGCTTGTTGGGGTCATCAGGTTTCATGGCAGGGAACAAGAGCACTTCCTTGATATTATTTGAATCAGTAAGGAACATAGTAAGTCTGTCAATTCCAAGCCCCCATCCTCCTGTTGGCGGAAGTCCATATTCCAAAGAAGTGCAGAAATTTTCATCGATGAGCTGTGCCTCATCATCGCCAGCTGCTTTGTCTTTGGCTTGCTGCTCAAATCTTTCCCGTTGAACAAATGGATCATTCAACTCCGTGTAGGCATTACAGACTTCCTTCTTCATCACAAACAACTCAAACCGTTCTGTGAGGCCAGGAGTAGTTCTGTGCCACTTTGCTAAAGGACTCATTATCTGCGGATGATCACAGATGAAAGTTGGGTTGATGCAAGTTTCTTCCAAATACTCTCCGACTAGTTTGTCTAGAAGTCGGGCTCCAGTCCTAGGGGCAGGACATTCTACACCTTGCTTTTCACACAAGTCGCTAAGCATCTTGACAGATGCTGGGTCAGACAGCTTGGTGGGATCTGGCAACTTAACTTTCAAAATTTCTTCAAGAGCAGGGAACATGTACATTCGCTTGAAAGGAGGAGTAAAATCAATGGTAACCTCAGGCCCTTCAGGTCCTTCAGGGTGGTACTTGACTTGGTAACAACCAAATATGCTCTTCACCATGCCCGACAGCAAGTCTTCTGTGATCTTCATCAAATCAGTACTATCAGCATAAGCCATGTAAAATTCACAGGTAGTGAACTCAGGGTTGTGGGTCAAATCAATTCCCTCATTTCTGAATTGTCTGCCTATTTCATAAACTCTGTCGAGACCGCCCACAACCAGCATCTTAAGGTACAATTCAGGAGCTATCCTCATGAACAGATCGAGTTTCAACTCATTGTGATGAGTGATGAAAGGCTTAGCAGTAGCACCACCAGCAATCATGTTCATCATAGGTGTTTCAACTTCCAAAAATCCCATCTGATCAAAGAAGCGTCGCACATATGAGATGATTTTAGTGCGTACAATAAACTTGTTGCGGGTGGCTTCATTGATAATGAGGTCGAGATATCTCATCCTGAATCTAGTTTCCTTGTCCTTCACTCCAAAGTGTAAATGAGGTAGCATATGGAGGCATGGAGACAAAAGAGTAATTTTACTAGGCATGATTGAGAGTTCACCTTTTTTTGTTTTACCAGGCTTGCCTACACACCCAATGATATCACCTCTTCGAATTTTACCGATGTCAACAGCGAATTTTTCTTCAGATTCATACAGTTTTGCATTAGCCATAACTTGAATTTTCTTCCCTTCTCCACGTAGGTCGTAGAATACTAGCTTTGCACCAGAGTCCCGAATGGCATGAATTCTACCAGCAACACTGACAGTTTCCTCAACCACTTCCCCATCCTTTACATGATTATACTTTTCAATGAATTCATCCAACGATACAGACACATGGAATTTATGAGGATAGGGGTGCTCTCCTGACTCTTTTAACTTTGCAACAGCTAAGGAACGTATACGGCGGTACTCAGAGGGGTTGATTTCTTCATCCGTTACAGTCACAGCTGATGCCTTCTTGACAGGTGCAGAAGGCTGATCAGCCTTCTCCTTGTCTTTCTCAGCCTTTTCCTTTGCCTTCTGCTCCGCTTTCATTCTTCTTTTCAATTCATTTTTGGACAGTTTCTCTCCAGATTCTGCCATCTTTGCAAAGCACTTGGCTGGAAACAATCATGATAACACATTAGAGCATACAGTAAATATGTAAAGATAAATGCAACAGAGAATTTCTCACAACAACACACCTTGATTTACAAAGAGCCTCTGAGGGACACCTTCAACAAAAGGCGAAACAGCAACAAAGGATAGCTGCTTGCAGAACCTGAAACACCAATAAAAAAATATTCATTGAAAACACGAGTCGTGAGGAGCTTAGAAAAAGACAGTTCTGAGAGGAGACGAAAGAGATCAGGCTTAGAGATGAAATCTCACCTAGAGGTAAATGCTAAACGATTATGAAATATGACAGCTGACCTAACAAATTTTGAGGCACCCATTAATTACTAGACTCTGAAGAATGACGCAATTTCTGAGAGGGAAACATAACCAAGACACCACAGAAACATGAAGTAAAAAGTTCCGTTAAAATTTTACTTCGCAACGACTGTCCAGACAAGAAAGAGAATTCAGTGGGTCAATTTTCCTTCTCCCAAATTTAACGGACAAACACCCACAACAGACTGAGGTAAAGATAAGGTTAATTAACCCGCACTTGGAGCGGTGTTCAACAGCCCGGCAGGATACACGTGGATCCACCAATCATATGGGCTGGACTGAGCTCTGAGCCACCCGACGCAAGACAGAGTAAGGCTGCGGGAATCGCGACAGTGAACTGCAACGAGGCAATAGTCCCTATTTTGACGCCGAGTCGCTGTCAAGGGGCGTAATTTAGCAGCCAAGTCAATATTTACCTGCCAGTTGCAAATCTGGCCTGGTGAGTTTGGCAGCCGTTGCAGTCGCACCGCCTTGGCCGACTCGCGGAAAGACTCCCGCTAGCGAGAGAGGAGGAGAGGGGAGGGGAGGGGAAGGGGAAAGGGGCAGTGGAGGGAAACTTGGAAAGCACACGCGGCAGCGAACCGCGTCGAAGTCGAAACGCCGAGCCGACACCGGCGTTACTTTTCGTCTTCTCCTTGCGCGGCTCGCGCTTTTAATGCACGTTGCATCAACGTGATGAACACTGCGCACACTGCGCATGCAACGCAGGCGACCAGACCGCCACGACGCGCCTGTTGCTTGGCAGACTGTAGAGTCTGCATCGCGGCTTGAGATGGAGGGCTCTATAGCTGGGGCGGATCCAGAGGGGGGTCAAAGTGGCACGTTTTGCCTGCATACGGGGGTAAGATACGGCATTTCGCCAGCTTTTCTGGCTGCTATCTAGGTGACAGGGGGGGGGTGCTAATTTGCCGCCGCGCCCGGGCCACGCGGCCATGCTTGCGACGAGCGCCCAGCGAGTAGGCCACCCATCGTACGCCACCCGCAGCTCTCTAGCTCACACAGCAAGTGGCCGGCCGGGGTGGCCGGTGTCGCAACGAAAACGAGATTTTAATCGCTCAGAAAGAGGAAACTCGAACCCTTTCGCACAAACTGCACCACACGGTCGCACATCAAGAGCTGGCCGACGGCGCCGACGGCCGTTCACCTGCTGAGGCGCTGAGGCGCTGGCGCGCTGACGGGCGCTTCGAGGCGGGGAAACCCCCGGACTAGCGGACTAGGACCGACTAGCACCTCCAACAGGGTCCATGTCCATGGAAGAAGACGGCGCCCCTCCACGAAGTCTCAGCGGCGTTGTGAATCAACATTGCGGTGCGATTTCCCCGCCATTTCCCGCACCATCTTGCTCCGTGCCCGCACTCCACACCGATGAGTGGCTCCGCTCCGGTTCACTCGGCGGACCGATTCAAAAGATCGGTTTGTTGCTCTGTCTTCTCTCTCACCCTTGCGGAGAGCGCGGGAGAGCGCCATGAGAGCGACAGAGACAGCGACAGCGACTCTTCTGAATCGCTCGGTAGACAGCGGCGGCGACCAACACCACTAGCCGGTGGCATCCCCACCGCCGCGGTCCGGCGGCTGCGGTCAAATCGCTGGCGCGTCGCCGAGCCGGACGCGCCGGATGCTGACGCTGAGGTGTCCTGGATCTCCTGGGGAAGTCCAAGGAGGAGGGTCTCCCGGAGCGACTCATCAGCAGACTGGCTTGTAGGACATGAGGCACGTCCCGTTTGAGTCCCGATGGCGCTGGATCTCATGGGGAAATCCAAGGAGTAAGGTCTCCCAGGGTGACTCGTCTCGTCACTAGACTGGTGGTCCGCCCGAGCCCAAACTGAACTTTGTTTGACTGTCGGTGAGTCCTATCGGGGTGAAATCGAGTTCGGGTTGGGGCTCGGTCGGTACGGGAATTGTGTCCTGTTTGCCTATAAACTAATCTGATCATATGCCCGTTGGCTCGTGACAGTGTTACATGGTCGCCGCAAAGCTGGCAAAAAAGCGCGACCGGTTTGGACTGGTGGGGGTCCTCGATTCCTCACCCCTGGGTTGCGCGAGAAAAGGGGGGGGGGTCACAAAGTGTCTTGGAGCTCATCACCTAGTTCCCGGCTCGAGATTGGCTCGTCAGACATTGCCGCGGCGCCTGTTAATTTCCTTCAGTTTAGACCTTCGCCGCACTTGCGGCCAGCAAACAATACGCGTGGTCTCGAAAAGGTTACACGGAAAAAGGACGGAGCTGCGGTTGTTTGCTGCTTGTTTTTCTTTTGTTTTCTGTTACTTCTGACTGTTTACCAACATAATATGACCGGCCGAACGTCGCGGGCGATGATTCTCCGCTACGACGCGTCGCGACGACGGACCCATTCCTAGAAACATCCGCATTGGCATGACACAGCGCAGTGCGGCGCGCAGTGCGGCGCGCAGTGCGGGGCACTGGCAGGGAGAACACGGCGCCACGCACCACGCGCGCAGGCCAGCCCAGGCCAGCCAGAACCTAGAACCGAACCGCAAAACGGAGGAACGCTCCCGCTGCTGGCGCTGCTCCCGCGGCCGACTGATTCCGAAAGTGGCTTTCGTCGCTCTGTCTCTCTCGTACCCCTGCGGGACGCCCCATGAATGCGAGAGAGACAGAGCGACGAAAGCCACTCTCGGGATCAGCGCCCGCTGCTGCGAGCTGCGAGCGAGCAAAACACCGAGTGGGCCGCGGGAAGGACTGGTCAGGCTGGCGGCTGGCGGCCACCCCAGCGGAGGCTCGCGCCTTCGCCTTCGCGGAGTGAATGCATCCACGCCGAGGCGCGCGCGGTGCCTCGCGAGGTGGGGCTGCCACGCCGCGGCAGCCTAGGCTAGGGCCGGCGGGGCGCGAGCGATACGATTTGCGTAACTTGGACAACAGACATTTAGCCGAATGGTGGGGGCAGCACTGGCCGACGCCCCCTCTGTCCCTCTCGCGGACCGCGCGCTGCGTCTGTGTGTGTTTGTGTGTGTGTGCGCGCGTGCGCGCGCACTTGCGGCGAGGGGGCCGGGGGAAAAGGGGGGGGGGCTACACTGTGGGACTTTGAGGTTCAAGGGAAGCCTACTGCTTGAGCTGGAATGACTCTTGTGACTAATGTCCGGGGGTCCGGTGCCTGCGCGAACGCAGGGGAGGGGGGCGAGGGGGTGCGTCGCGCGGCGGGAGGGGCGGCGCGGCGGTGCGGAGAGGGGCGGAGAGGGGCGCGCAGCGCGCACAGGTAGCCTGTGATGATCTTCTCGGCCGAGTCTGGCTCACACTCGGCCGCGAACCCCAGTCTTGCGTACCGTCCCATTGGGTCCCCTACAGTGCCGCGCACGTGCCCGCGAGCTTGAAGCAAGAGAGTGTTCCGAAGGTGCGCGTCCACCGCCGTGCGTTTTGTGACTTCACTGTGAACCAATCAGTCCGAAGTGAGTAACTACCGCCAAGTGCCGCGGGCCTTCGACTCGTACAGAAAAATGTTTTCATTATAAATCGCGAGTACATAGTTCGGCGAAATTTTTCTTGAGGACGTTGTTTTGAGTGAAAATTCACAGCTCGACGTCCACCGCAGCGGCCCGCGTCGTGAAGTGTGCCAAGAGCCAGAAAGCCTAGTTTTCGGTGCGTCTGCGCCGTGTGGACCGTCTAGACCGCGTAGACCGTCTGCACCGTCTAGGCCGTCCAGGACGACCAGGCGCCGCGGAGCGCCCGGCGGGGTGGGCCGCCCTGCAGCAGCGCGAGGCTCGGCGGGCGTGCCCACCTCCCCGGCGCGCTGCCGGACTGCCTGCCCCACTGCAGTCTCTGACCGACGCGCTTTTGCCTCTGCCCGCACCAGGAGCTCCAGGATGACCCTCGACGTGGACCGCGGCGTGACGGCGGGCGGCGCCTCCGAGCAGGCCCAGGCCGCCAACGGCGCCGACGTCGTGTCCTTCTTCCGCGGCCGCTCCGTGCTCGTCACGGGCGCCACGGGCTTCATGGGCAAGGTGCTGGTGGAGAAGCTGCTGCGCGCGTGCTCCGACATCGACACCGTGTACGCCGTGGTGCGCACCAAGCGCGGCAAGAGCCCCGCGGACCGCATGGCCGAGTACGTCTCCTCACAGGTCGGTAAAACAGTAAAACGCGTCCAAGGCGGCAAGGGCTGCTCTGCTCCGAGACAGCCTCGTTTCGCCTCGCAGGGCAATGGGCACCTGTCTGCTCGCAATAAAGCAATAAGCCGCTCGCTCTGTTTTGTGCGAAGGCCGGACCGCGTGCGCCATGCCGGCCATGCTGGCCGTGCGCCGCAGTGGGCGACGTGGACCAGGGCCTCCATTGACTGGAGCGCGAGGCGTAACTGCACGCTACCCCGATGTAGTAAACTTATTTTCGATTTACTTGTGGATTTGTGGAGACTTCACTGTTCCACATCGGCCTGGTCCATGGTCCCTGCGACGCCGCGACCTCGCGCACCTCGCGCACCTCGCCACAATGTACACTTTTCGGCTCGTAAAGCAGTCTTACAATGCGGCATGCGGCACCGCGTTGCGTTCTTTAGTCCCCCTGTCGACCATTGCAAATTGCGAACGCGCAGCGCCGCTTTACGACTATATCGAGGCTTTCTTTGCGTCTCTGTCTGCCTCTCTCTTCTTTCTCTCGCTCCCTCTCTCTCGCACCCGCTGCGGGAGACGCCCTGTGACGTGAGTGCGAGAGAGACGGCACTGCTCGGAGTGTGCGCCTGTTGGTGCGCGGCCACACGCCCACGACGCGGCGGCTGGCCCGGCTGGCCGCACACGCCGCTTGAGATCTCTGAGATCTCCGGCCGGCGATTGGGCTGCCCAGTCTGGCCTAACCGAGCACTACGCCACCATGCTCGCATCGCCGGGCAACAACCACTTGGCTAGGCTAGGGCGCTAGGCAACCCACGGTCAGTGCCATGAGCCTTGCAAGCTGCAAGCAGGCAACAAGTGCAGGCCCTATCGCGAAGCCGACGACAGTGCACTCGCCTTCTGCACGCCGCCTTGCCTTGGCCTGCCTTGGCCTGGTCCAGGTCCAGGACGCCCCTCCCCCGGGCTTGCCGGCCCCAAGGACGCCACCAAGGGCCCCACTCTACCGAGGTAAAGATAGGCATTTATAGTGAGGGTGCCCGCGCCCGCGGTTCGGCCGGCCAGCCGAATTGGTCAACGAAAGGCGAAACATAAACGATCCACCTATGTCGGACACAACCCAGGGGGCCGGAGCCGGGACCGAGCGCAAACAACAACAACAAAATCAACGACAACAGCATCAAAAAAATTCCAGAGAAATCGGAGAAAGGTCTTGTTTGCAGAATATAGTCGGCGGCGACGGGTCAGTGGCCGCTGGGCCGGTTGGGCCCTTTGTTGTCGAGGCGTCTTCGGGGGGTTCCTCGGGGATTTCCGCACCCGGGGCCCAACGGGTGGACTGGGCCAGGCCCGCCATTAAATTCTGCCGGCACCCGGACCCCCATCCCGGGCCCGGTTTAAATCAGTGCGAGTCGACGAACCGCCCGAACGGAAAAGGACCCGTGGGGCTGTGGAAATAACCGGCGGACCGCCGCGACGCCCTGGTCCGGGCCGGGGCTGGCCGGGGCTGGCCGGGGCTGGCCTGGCCGGGGCGCGCCTGGAGAGTGGAGTGCCAGGAGTGCCAGGAGTGTCGAGTGTGGAGGAGACCGCCGCGGCCACTCGGGCACTCGCTTTGCCTCTCGCTTTGCCTTTCCATTTCCACCCACAACGGAAGTCAGAAGTGACTGGGAGGCAAAACACACGCAAAAGGAGTGACTGGCGGACGGCTCGAGTGGTGGACCGACGCCGACGTGGAACCTGGTCGCGAGGCGCGAGGCCCAGCCAGCAGTCCCTGCACCGTCACAGTCGCCCTTGAACCTGGAGCATCGCACGGCGCTGACTGCCTAGACTGCGCGGCACTGCGCGGCACTGCGTGGACAGTGGCGACACGCGAACAAACAGGGCGCGCCTCGCCCCCTCGGCCCCCGCGGCCCCCGCGCCCCCGTTGCAGCGTCGTTTGCCGACGACTTCGTAACTCCGGTGCAGGCCGCATGACGGACGTCGAACCAGGAGGCTTTTCTCGGTACTTTCTTCGCTGTTTCTGTTGCACCCTTGCGGGCCGCCCCGTGAGTGCGTGAGAGAGCGACGAAAGCAAAGCTCTGTTCGGAATCAGCCCGCAGTGTCCGCACCACGCTAGCCCGGCCCGGCCGGCCTAGCGCCAGCGGACAATGAGGCCTATGAGAACGCGTGCATACCGCGGGCGGGGCGCGGCGGCGCGGCGGGCGGCGGGGCGGGGCGCAACTGGGCGATGAAAAGCAGCAGCCCCGTCGGCCGCCCCCGTCGGCCGCCCCTGTTGGCCGCCCCTGCCGGCCGGCCCGGCCTGCCGCCCCCTGCGCGCCTTGCGACAACGACACTGTCTGTGCAAGGCTATCCGGTTCCCGATTCGGACGCGCCGTCGCCAGATTACGTCACGTTTTGCCGCGAACCCCACGCGCGGCTAGGCCGAAAAATGAACAGAAACAAACGGGGTTGCCAAATTGGTTGCCAAATTGGTTGCCAAACAGTTGCTATGATCCAGCCGGGCTGCGCGTCGACGGCGCGGCTGACGCGCGTACGCGTCCCGGTCCGGCCATCGGTCCGGACTCCAGGCCGGACCGGACCGCTATGGCCACACTGCTAATAACGAGCGGACAATGGCACCAGTGGTCAGTGGGTGACCAGCCCAGCCCGCGCAACACCGTGTCGCATTTCGGGCGTGGGGCGCGGCGCGGCACGGTACGGCACGCCGCGGCACGGCACGCCGCGATACCCAAACGCCACAACTAGCTCACCTTTCCGGATTATCGCAGAGCCCCTTGTTGCTGAGTCACATAGTGACCAGACTCGTCTAGTGGGTCCGTCTAGCCGCCCCGCCCGGCCGGGCCGTAGGCCGGGCCCGCCTCCACCTCCGCCCATGACAGGCCGGGCAGGCGCGCCGGGCACTGGGCCACCGGGCCAGCGCGGCGTGGCGGAGGCCGGCAAAAAGACCACGACCCCGCTGCTCTGGTTTTGGTTCGGTTTCGCGATTCGCGCGCCTCGCCGCCGCGCGTGGCCGGCGAGTCGTCCTCTCTCTCTCTCTCTCTCTCTCTCTCTCTCTCTCTCTCTCCTCTCTCTCTCTCTCTCTCGATTTGCGCTTCATTCGAGGAGAGGCGGCATGCAGACGAGCGCCTGTCGGTGTGAGTGCGTGTGAGTGTGTATGAGTGTGAGCGTTGGGGTCCTGCTCGGCCTACACGGCCTGCACGGCGTGGCGCAACTCCGCATCAATGATCGAATCGTGAGCCGCTCGCGTACATGCACGCACTACACACATGCGCACGCCCGCCCGCGCTGCCCGTGCTGCCCGCGTTCACGGGGAAAGGAGGAGGGGGGGGGGGAGCGTTCTCATTAACTCGCGTAATACGCAGCAGTGAGCCACGGCCAGCCCGCTCTGCCCCGCCCCACCCCGCCCCCAGTCTAGCGAAGCGGTGGAGAAGTCCAAGACCCCCGGCAAAGTGTCGGCCGAATGGGACTCGCCACGGTGGCTGACAGGCATCTTGGCATTAAAATTACCATCTCTAACTGTGACCCTGGGATATGATCATCCCAGTGTAGTGGATAGGACTCGCCCCACAATAATTATCGCTCGTTTGCGTTTTATTGCTGCTGTCTTTGCTTTTTGGACCGTTTTGAAACAGATTTGGGCGCCGGCCGGCCGGTCCTCACGCAGTGCAAGTCGCTCGGCGCGGAGCCTCCTCAATTAGAGCCTTTTCCCCGCCGCCCCGCCACCGAAAGTCTCCCTCTCTCTCGCACTCATGGGCGCCCGGTGTGGGTGCGAGAGAGACAGGGCGACAAAACGACTCTCGGAAGCAGTCTTCTGCCATGGTAATGCCGCGGCAGAAAGGAAAAGCAAGCGCCCTGGCCTAGACCACGTTCGCTTTCGGATGACCAGCTTTACGACGACGGCGGGAACTGGCTCGGCTCGACTCCCGGAACGGGTCTGCGACGGTCTGCGACGGTCTGCGAATCGCCCAGCGCCGCCGCCGTGGCGCGGCCGCGTGGCCGTCGCTCGGGGTGCGTCTAGAAGTAGGAGGGACTTGACGGGGAGGGGGAGGGGGTTCGCGCTAAAGGGCACGGTGCGCCGAGTCGCGGAGTCGCGGAGTCGTCGCGCACTTCACTTTCACCGGGCACATCTCTGCCGCCAAGCGGAGATAACTCGATGCGTGGCCGCGGTCTCTGCCAGCGAGGCTGCGGGGGTTCCGAACACAGCGCGCAGCTCGTCGCTCTGTCTCTCTCGCACCCGCACGGGCCGCCCTATCCATGAGAGAGACAGCGACGCGGGAGCGCGGTTCGGCATCATGCCGCGCGGAGTCCACCGGGGTCCTCGGCACGCGGTCTGCGCGATCTGCGCGGTCTGCGCCAATCGCCGCGGGTCTGGCCTGGCGCCTCGCCTCGCCTAGGCCTCGCCTCGCCGCGCGCCGCCGCCACCAAGCAGGGTCTTTTAATTCGATCCAGAAGAAAATAAATAATGAGGCCACCGTCGCGGGGGTTCCCAGGCGACCTGTCCCGTCCGTGTCACGCCGCGCACCGCGGTGCGTGTTGTTGTTATTGTTGTTGACGGGCTTCCGCCGCTTCCGCCTTCGACGATAAGTGCGGCTCGCAACAATTAAAAGCGACGCAGCGACAGTGTCGTCCTCCGGCCGCGTGGCCGCGTCATGTCGCAAAGCAGAGGAGAGGACAACAAGAAAATCGGCGAGGCAATTGTGTCTGCGCGACTCTCCGTGTGTGTGTGTGTGTGTGTGTGTGTGTGTGTGTGTGTGTGTGTGTGTTCATTACGCGACAGACTGCTCCACTTTCGGAAGGGCATGGCGCTTTATGGACACCGTGCGAGTGAGTGTATGTGTGTGTTTGTGTGTGTGCGCGCGCGCTCCTGGCCGCACGGCGCCGGGAGGGCCCTGCAGGGCAAATGACGGATGACATTGTTACGCAAGGCTGTTGTCGCATTGTCACCCGGCGCGGTCGGCACGCCAACGAGGTGCAGCGGCGCGGCAGCGCCAGTCCACGCCAGTGGCGGAGGGCTGTCGTCGGCGCGGTGGCTGCCGGGCGCAAGGCCGTTCCCCGTTCGGTTCCCCGTTCGGCCTTCGCGCTGGGCTTAGGCACAGCCAGCTTGGCCAGCTCGGTGGCCACCGCGCCGCGCGCCGGTCCCAGACACCCTCCCGTAAATCAGGAGTTTAACGCCGGAGAGCGTTGCGCTTCGCGCGCGTTGGGCTAGGCTCGGCCGGGCTGCGGCTCGCGTGGCGGACGAAGCCCCTTTACACCCGGCTGCTGCTTCTGGAGACGGATTCTGAGAGTCGGTTTCGTCGCTCTGTCTTTACACCTCCTATCCAGAACGCCCTACGAGTGCGAGAGAGACAGCGACGAGAACGGCTCCCGGAATCAGCCTGCAGCAGCGGCCGTTGCCCCCCTTGCTGACAAACTCATGGAATCAGGAGGACAAATTCCGGAAAGATTCCTCAGAAGCGACCGGAAAACTGAGAAGGTGCCAACGTGCTTCAAACTAGGAATATATCGAGCCCATCGTGGGAAGCGACGCTTGTTTGGGTGCCACATTAACCGGTCACCATAAAGACGTAGACGACGACGACGACCCGAGGAGGACGGACCGACCCACAATTACCAAACACTTCCCTGAAGACGCAGCGACGCAGCGACGCCACGCTCAAGACGCGGAGGCTCCAGGCCGACTTGGCCGGGCCCGTCTTAATGACAGTCCCACACTTTGCTGGTCACCGCGAGTCACCGCGCCACCGCCCCGGGGCGCGCTCGCAACTCGCTAGCGACTCAAGACTCAGACGAAAACAAGACTCAATATATCATGGGCTCAGCCGGCGACGCCGCCGCATCACAGAAACGGTGTTCTTTTGCTCCTGCTGCCGCCGTGCTGGATCACTGAACAGTTCCGCATTGTGTCGAATCTGCGGACTGATCCCGAGAGGCGTCTGTCTCTGTCGCTCTCACGGGGCGTGCCGTATGCGTGCGAGAGAGACAGAGCGACGAAACGACTATCGGAATCAGTCTGCCGCTGGTCGAGCCCCCACGCGGCATCCCCACCCCAAGGCTGAAGGGGCGGCGCGGGTCCGGAATTCCGCATTTAAATAAATATGTCCACATCGGGCACACTGCCAAGGGCACGGCACCGCGAATCGCCGAAGTGTCCGCGATCGGGCCGGCCCCCGGTCCGCGTTGTGCCGTTTGTGCCGTGTCATCTCATGTCATGCCGAACCGTCTCTGCCGTCTGATTCCAAGCACTGCTTTCGACGCTCTGTCTCTCTCGCACTCATGGGGCGGTCCGTAGGGGTGCGAGAGAGACAGAGCGACGAAGCAGTGTCCGGAATCAGACGGCTGGCTCCAGTATCTCTCTCCGTGAGTGCGACAGAGACGGAGCGACGAAACACCTCATCGGCATGAGTATGCTGGTGCGTGTCAGCGTGTGTCCGCTCCCTGGTCCAGGTTCACACCCGCCCAGCACTTTGTTCTCAAGCCGCCTTCCCTAGTGCTGCTGTGCACTGTTGTGCTGAAACCGCGTGAATGTGGCTAATAATAGGTTTCGCTCTCCATCCCAGTTCCTTAGCTCCTTATTGGGGGGCGCAGGGGCAGCGCGCAGCCCTGACTGCGTTCATCGCGGCCCTGCCCTCCGCGGCCTTGCGGGGGCCACTCTCTCTAACGCCATTCCGAATCGTGCTTCCGTCGCTGTCTCTCTCGCACTCATGGGGCGTTCCGTAACGCGTGAGAGAGGCATAGCGACGCTAGCGCTGCTCGGAATCAAGCTCACTGAAAGGCGCCGTTCTGTTGCAGGCGTTCGACCGGCTGCGGCAGGAAGGCCTGGCCGCCCAGCTGGACAAGATCGTGGCCGTCTCCGGCGACGTGTCCGCCGCGGGCCTCGGCCTCTCCGGCGACGACGCGGCGCTGCTGGCCGCCAGGGTGTCCGTCGTCTTCCACTGCGCCGCCAACGTGCGCTTCGACCTCAGCCTGGCCGACGCCGTGAACCTCAACACCGTGGGCACCCGGAACGTGCTCAACTACGCCAGCACCATCGACCGCCTGGACGTGAGTAGCTTGACGGCGTACCAGGCACAGAGAGCAGAATCCCGGGCGCGTTTTGAGCTCCAGAGTCGCTAAACAGGACTCGAATCAAACGTTTGACCCCTCCAGTAAATTGCTTTCCGAACGGAGAATCCACTGGTGGGGTCACACGCTCGGTTCGAGTGCTGTTTAGCGACTCTGGAGCTCAAAACGCGTCTAGCATTTTGGCCGCCCCCCGGTCTTCTGGCCCACTGTGCCAGGGCGAGACCGGGCCCGGGTTCGAATACCGGGCGGCGCGTTCCGTGTGGACGGCGTGTCGCCGCGCTGCCGCCGCCCGGGCCGACCGCAGGAATGCCCTACTTGGCCTTGAGGGCTGCGCCATGGCTGCGCCTCGGGGTACCTCGGGGCCTTCATGACGAATGGCACCAATGCCTCGCCTCGTCGCGGCGCGCCCAGCAGCGCCCAGCATCGCCGCGCGCACAGCAGCCAGGCGTCAACGTGTCGAAACGGCGTCTGGCGGCGGCGGCGTCTACGCGCGAAACACGCTGGTCCGTCTGGCGGTGCTGGCGGCGCGTCCATTGACGGCGATTCTGCGCCTGTTGCAGGCCTTCATCCACGTCTCCACGGCCTACTGCCACTGCGACGAGGACACGCTGGAGGAGCGCACCTACCTGGGCGACGTGAACCCCGAGAAGGTCATCGACATGTGCCAGTGGATGGACCCTGCCGCGCTTAAGGACATCACCCCCAAGTGAGTACGGAGAGGAGGAGACCAACAACAACAACAACAACAGCAGCGAAAACAGCACAACAACACACGTTACACTGAAACCTGTTGCCGGCTCCATCGGAAAGACCCCGTTGGCCGACAGTGTGTGGCGCGCGGTGCGCATTCCTCCAGGAAGATGGGAGTGACCGTGACTTTGTTTTCCAGACTCATCGGCTCCCTGCCCAACACGTACGCCTACTCCAAGGGCCTGTCCGAGCACCTCGTCAGCTCGTACAGCGAGCGGATGCCCATCGGCATAGCGCGCCCCTCCATCGGTGAGTTAGCTAACCGAAAAGATAAGTTTTGAAACGTCTGAGGAGCTATGCGCGTCGGTTGGGTTGCCTGTGCACCAGGCGGCCGAGGCGTCTGTCAGGCGACGGACAGCTCGACAGACAGGGCTTGGCCGCGCCTGATGGGTAGCCGCAACACCACGGCGCCGGTTGGGCTGCCTACCCACCAGGCGAAGGGGCTCGGCAAAGGCGTCTGCTGGGCTGCCCACCTTTAGGGCGGTTGTCGCACCCGATAGGCTGTATGACGTTCCTCTTTGAGGCCACGCCGCCCGAGAGCATTTCATCCGCACAGGAGCATTTCTTTTCTCCGAGGGCGCCGCTGTCTTGTCTTGTGCTGTGGCGCTGTAGCGCCTGCGAGGTAGGCCACCGTTCCGCCTCGCAACGCACCGGTGTGGAGACGGCGGCCTACCTTGCCCCTGCAGTCTTCACGGGGGCGGGGTAGGCCACCGTCTCCACACCGGTGCGCTGCTAGGCGGAACGGTGGCCTACCTCGCAGGCGCTACAAGCAGGGACGGACGTGCAAGGTTTGGCGGGCGTTGGGTTGCCTAACCTTGAGGCGCGCAAAGAGTGCGTCGGGATGCCTACTCCCTGGGGCTTGGCGCGCACGAGCAGAGGGGCGCCTCTCCTCAAAGTAAGGTCTTTCACATCGGCACTGAGTCCAAAGGGTTGTAATGAGAGTACCTGATACCATTTTGATGAACGGAGTAGTGTGGAGTTTGTTAAAAATGTTGTGATTTGTCTTTGCCTGGCAGTGATGCCGTCGTGGCAGGAGCCCATGCCCGGCTGGGTGGACAACCTGAACGGCCCCTCGGGGCTGCTGGTGGGGGCTGCCAAGGGGGTGGTGCGGTCTATGCACTGCAAGGAGCACTACCTGGCCGACCTCATGCCCGTGGACATCGTCATCAACGCCATCATCGCCCTCGCCTGGAAAGTGGGCCGCACTCGGTAAACTTTCAGTTTCAATCCCCTCAATCGGGAAAGAAATGAAGTAAATACGGAAGTAGAGTCAGTGCGTACGAACCGAACCGCTTTGCGCAGGCCGACCAAGCCGCTGGTGGTGAACATGTGCGAGTCGGGCGACAACCCCGTGACCTGGGGCGGCATGCTGGAGATGTGCAAGAAGGAGTCGCGCGTCACGCCGTCCCAGGGCGCGGTGTGGTACCCCGACGGCTCCATCAAGGACTCGCACTGGCAGCACACGCTGTGCGTCGTCTTCTTCCACTTCCTGCCCGCCTACCTCATCGACTTCCTCATGCTCGTCAGCGGCAACCGGAGATTGTGAGTTGAATTCAAGTCGAGCACCTGTCCTCGGATCACCCTCACATTCACAGTGCAGCATCCCTTGACTCGGCCCCGCGCCCGCTCCGCCTGTTTGCAGCATGGTGCAGCTGCAGCGCCGGATACAGGGCGGCCTCAAGATCCTGCACTACTACACGACCCGCAAGTGGGTGTTCCGGAACGAGCGGCTCAAGGGCCTGGCGGCGGAGCTGAGCCCCCAGGACCGCAAGCGCTTCCCCATGGACGTGCGCGCCGTGGACTGGCCCACGTACTTCCACAACTACGTGTCCGGCGTGCGGAACTTCGTGTTGCACGAGGACCCCGACGTCTCCAAGGCCGTCAGGCACCACCAGAGGTACGGACACATCCGCGGGCTCTGACTAAAATGATATACCAATGTGTGTGAGTGTAGTGAGTTTCCCAGTGAATTCAGTCATACCATTTGCCTACTTACGGCCGTTTTTTTAGGTAAAATTTTAGTGAATGTGAGTGGCAGGCCCCTTGCATATCCGGCAGTCTAAAAGGTTCACTCGAAAAGCTGCTTGTGTTCTTCGTCTTGCTAAACGGCCCTCTGCCGCTCTCGGTTCCAGGCTCTACGTGCTGCACCGCGTGACGGTGGTCGCGTTCTACGCGCTCGTCGCCTGGCTGCTCTGGACTCTCGTGTCCGGGCTGAGCGGCGCGCTGAGCGGCGCGCTGTCCGTCGGCGGCAACCCCACCCTCTCCAGGTGGCTGGGCTACTCCGTGAGCTCCATCGGCATCACCTCGCCGCTGTGAGTCCAGGACGCCGTCCCGCCGTCCCGCCACCCGGGGCGCCATTCTGCGAGGAGGCCTGTCTAAAGACTGATGGGGCGATCTCTGGAGCCGTGCCGGAGACGCCCAAAGTCATTCCACTCTCTGGGGACACTCCGAGACATCACCACCAAGACGCTCAGCAATGCACTTCGTCTAGTGATCAATTTTGTGTGAAGTAAAGTTCAGTTCGCCACGGTATAATGGTGAAAATAACCAACCTCTTATTATAGTCGCCTGTGATTGATTTGTATGTGTGTGTTTGTGTGTATGTGTTTTATAGTGTAGTTTTTTTTTGTTGTTAAGACTTTGATACAGTCAACTGTGTCTCTTTTTTTAACTACCCCGTATTTTATTGTTTTTTAAATTATAGGACCTGTTGTTCTCAGCGACATAATGTGAAATGAAATGTGGCGCCAAACCACGCCAAACCAAGGTATTACCTGGTGGGGCTCGTAGAAGCTCCTGTGTTGTCAATTATTTTTTGTACGGGCAGTTTCTTTGGAAAGACGGCAATTGTTTTTAGGCACGAAGTAGCCTTATTTAGTATAATCGATTTGTAAGCTCAATAAACCGTCTGAGAACCCAGACTTTCCTGTGTACTTATTCTCTTCTGCTGCGTCTCGGCCGTGGCGCCTGGCAAGTTGGCAACCCAACCGGCAACACACGCAGCAAAAGGAGGGGGGAGGGGGAAGGCCGGAGGAGGCGGCGGAGGGGGGGGGAGGAGGCGGAGGGGCCGCCGGTGCGTGGACCATTCAGCCAAGTGGGCCACTTTACGTAAGATGTGTCGGCATGCCCAGACTCGACGCGACCTGCTCGACCACGGCGCGGCACCACGGCGCGGCACCACCACGGCGACGCGGGGCGGCGCACAATGCACCACGCGGTCGACGCGGTCCCGCGGGAGAGAAAAACACACGAGGCACCTGTGGACGCCGATGCCTCTCGACGCCGGCCATCGTCCATCGTCCACCACCACCAGGGAAGGGCCCGGCCGATCCGGCCGCAGAGGCCGATCTCTCGCGTTCGGAAAGCACCGCGCGCCGCGCACCGCGTTGGCGGCGATGACGTCAATGGTCGCGCTTTAGCGGGAGGTACTTCTGCACGTGCTGGCGGTGCCGCGGGCGGCCCCAGGCAGGCACGCCCACGGCATGCAGCGTACCGCGGCGGGGGCGTGCGTGCTGCGTGCTCCCGCGGCGAGACGCGTCCGTCCCGCGGCCACTAGACTTGCAGGCTGCGTCCGAGCCGCGCATCTCCAGCCACCCCCGCGGAACGCCGCACGGAACGCCCCGCGGGTGCGAGAGAGGCACCGCGGCGGGGCACTGCTCGGAAGCAGCCCGCGGATAGAGGAGAGGGCTTGCCTTTGCCGACTCTACAATTGTGCGGCCGGACTTACGGTGGCGGCACCGCGGCGGGGTGCGTCATGCTCGGATCGGTTAAAAGCGGACAAAATATGAGGCGCCGCGCTCATGTATATTCAGGCCCGCAGGCCAGCAGGCCTTTGTTGCGCGAATATGGCGAAACGGGGCATAATCGCCGAGCCAAAGTGTCTTAAAGCCGCAAAGTCCGAAAATGGGGCATTTCGGCAGCGATCGACCGGCGAGTCGCCACGGGCCAGTCCCGCCAGTCCGAGGACGCCACCCGAGGGACGCGGAGTGATCCGAGGGACGCCGTGGAGACAGTCACCGCGGAGCGACGCATCCTTTGCCAGGTAACCGGGAGCAGAGGCGCTCCGCACCGCGTGTCGCCGCTCTGTCTGTCTCGCGCTCGTAAGGCGCGTCAGGTGCGAGAGAGACAGCGACGACAGGGCTCCTCCTCCACTCGGAACCAGGCGGCTGGACCGCGACACCTTCGGGATTCTCGAGCCGTACGCTCGGCCGTGCGATAAGAAAGGCAGGGATGAAATCGGCGCGGGGAGGTGGGGCGGTGGAAGGTGGGGAGGAAGGCACCCCATGGGGGGCTGCCGGCATGCTGGCGGCATGCTGGCGGTTTCGCCATCCGCACCTTGCACGACGCGGAATCATCGGTGATCGGTGCAGCCCTGCTCTACTCCACGCGGCCGGCCGCGGCGCCTCATTGTTGTCGGCCGCATGGCTGCGCCGCGCAATGAGGTCAAAGTTAACTACCGCGCCGCGCCAACGCGAGCCGGGCCTCCAGGCCTCCAGGCCGCGCTTGTCCGGGGCCAGGCCCTCCAGCCGCCGGGCACATCAACGTCAACGTCAACCCCCTGCAACCGACGTCCACGTCGACGTCGCGCTCCCTGCAAGGCTGATTACGAGGACTGCTATTGTCGCTCTCTCTCTCTCTCTCTCTCTCTCTCTCTCTCTCTCTCTCTCTCTCTCTCTCTCTCTCTCTCTCTCTCTCTCACACACACACCCGCACCCACGGGGCGCCCCTTAGGAGTGCGGAAGAGGACGTGGAGCGACGAACTCGGTCCTCGGAATCGGCCTGCTGGCGCGGGCCTGAGGTGACAGGCAGCGGACACTGGTGCTCCCCTCCCCTCTCAAATGACACTTACAGTACAAAGCCGCCTGCGTGAAAGGTAGGAGGGAAACCATAACGCCTTGAGTAGACAAAAAGTGCCCCCCCATGAAAAGAAAAGGCCGCCTCTGGATATCTGGATCCACCACTGTGAGGTGACCGGGCCGGGCACGGTGGCGGCTTGGCCAGCGGGAGAGAAATCACCAGACTTACGCCGGGCGGCCAGGGCGGCCCGGCCGGGCGATCAAGGACGGACGACACGGTGGGGTGGACCCGTTTTGGGGGGCGAGCCGTCCTGGAGTCCTGGAGAAAGAGAGTCCCTATCCGGAGAGCTGGAAGGGCGCTGGAAGCCGGCCAGGCGAGGCCGGCAAGGCCGGCAAGGCCGGCAAGGGGGACGAGGAAGCTGCAGGAGGGCCCAGGCTGGCGCAGGCTGGCGCGCCGCAGCTCGTGCGGTCGAGAAATTCCCCCGGAATGAAAAGCACCGTGATTGGATTGTTTTTGTGGCGAGGCGGCAGCAGCCGGACTCTAGCGATGATGAATGAGCGCACCGCGTAGCAGTTGCAGAAGCAGTGGGGTGGGAGTTGAACTCGAGCCAGGCAGCCGCGGGCGTGCCGTGGTGCCGAGGGCCGCGCGGACGGTGGACAAGGCAAATCCAGCCCGGTACTCTGTTTTATACGTTCACAGTTACTTTCAAGGCGATGGAGTTTTCAACGGGTTCCGAAGAGCGTACCGTCGCTCTGTCTCTCTCGCGCGCTTACGGAGCGTCCCCCGAGTGCGACGGAGACGGAGCGACGAAACGACTGAGACGCGACACGTGTTCGATGTACTTGATAGAGACCATGGCCGCTTCGTTTCAGTTTTTGTGGTCCCACGTGTTGCACCACCGCATCCATTCCCAAATGGGGTCGCTTCTTGAAGGAGCAGATTCGAATGCCATGGGTGACGGGCTATTCCTGACTGTTCCTGACGTGACAGCACAATGGCATGACCGTGGGGCCCAAACAATGGCCCTCAAAAACAAACCGACACCACTACACTACAACAAGTGCGAACCGCCTGGGCCGCCTGGCTGTTTAATCACTGTTTTGCTGGTGTACATTGATGCGGCCGCAGCCAGCCAGCCAGGCCGTGGCAAGCCGCGGGAGGCCAGGCACGCGTCTTTGTAAGCAGTCCGGTTATTAACAGCGCATGACTCGGGACATGCGCGATTACTACAAGTCTAGTCGCTCTGTCTCTTTCGCACCCATGCGGAACACCCCAAGGAGGTGAGAGAGACCGGAGCGACGGCCTGCCGGAGGCTACGAGCAGGGCCACCCCGTGGCCAGTGCCAACACTGCCTATCGTCGCGCCAAAGTTGTGCAGCCCCACCCCACCCTCCCTCACGGGCTGTCCCGTGAGTGCGAGGAAGACAGAGCGATCCAAGCACTGTTCGTAATCATCCAGCAGACAGAGCTGCATGAGCCCAGCGAGTGTGTCCGCCCACCCGAGACCGCTGAGGCGGAATTGCGCCTGAAATTGGCACTATACTCTCGCGGCATGGCGAAGCAACAGCTGCTTTTGGCTGTCGGGCACCGTCGGCCGGATCACACTTCGGGGCCTTACCGCACGTAGCGTCGGTGCGGTGACCCCGCGGCCTAGTGAGGCCCGTCCCAGTCCGTCACGGCTCGTCACGGATCGTCACGGCGTGCGCGTGGCGCGACAAAGTGCGGCGTTATCGGTCGTCGCGTGATCAGGGCCGTCACGGACAAGACCCCCACTTCCTTGATGCCTCCCCGGCGAAGATCGTCATTTTGGGCGATTAGCCTGCAGGGAATTCCCAGCACATCCCGGGCGAGCAACGTGGAGCATGGAGCAGGACACTGGCTTCATTAGTGCACGCCGGCCGGGCGCCTTCGTCTCCCTCGCACCCACGGGGCGTGGCGGCGTGGCGTCGGGGTGCGAGGGAGACGGCGCGACGAGGCACTGTTGGGAAGCAGCCCGTGCAGTCGGACATCAGTCATGGCGGTCGCGGCGGTCGCGGCGTTCGGGAGGACGTCGCGGAGCCGTACCGCCGTCAAGGGCACGACGGCCTGGTCCTGGCCGTCCTGCGCAGTGCTCACTACCGCGCACCGCGGCACGCACGCGTGTGAGTGGACTTCCCCGGAAGGGCCTCGCCGGCCCGGCCGACCGGCCTCGCCGACAAACACGCTCGTTTTTCGCTTCTGTTTTTGTGCGCTAGGCAATCAGCATCACTTTGACTTCGGCGGCGATTTCGTCGTAATTGAAGGGACGCGCCGCGCGGCCACACTGCGCACTGCGAGGTGGGTCAGCGCGTCGCCGCGTCTCTCTCGCACTCGCGCGGGGAGCACCCCACCCCGTCGGAGCGAGAGAGACGGGCGACACTCGCTGTTAAATGTGCCGCGGGAGCGAGGCGAGCGAGGGGCGGAGGGGGAGGCGATGACGCACGTGGCTCGCGACGCAGCGATGCACAACAGAGGCTGCACCTGGGCTGCGCTGGAGCGCTGCAGCGCTGGACGCACACTACACTTTCAAACGTCTTAACGAGAAGTTCCAGCAATCTATGATAATCCCTTTTAGAGCCTGGAAACTGGAGCCCCACCACGCCCCCTGCTGCCGGCTGGAGGCCTCGCTGAAGGCTGACGGCCGTCCCGGGACGCCCAGGACGTGACGTATGCTTAACTTGATTATCCGGATGGGCGCTCGCGCTCCGAGCTCGGACTTCTTGGGCGCCCCCTTTCAACTGCACTATGTATGCATCTTGCATCCAATAACCGGTTCAAAAATGTTACTGAATCGCGGGGAGTTGGATCCTCAATCACTGGGTGCAAAAGTGAGTGCCCTTACCGCATGGCTGTGACGTCGTGTGTTGCAGTGCCCTGTCTTATCCCCCCAATCTTTCATACACAGCAAGTGCATCCAGGACTGCACCACGCCAAGGGGCTGCGGCCGCCTTGTCACTCAGGCATGGGAGTCCGGGAGCAAACATCCTTGACGGCGGCTGCACAACGGGAAAAGCTCCAGTGATGGTCCTGGTTCTGTGACGTCAGGGCGGTTCTTGGAGTGAGCGCTTAACGCAGCATGCAAATCGTCAATACAGTTCTATTTTTAAGCCTCCGCGGCGAGCGGCGCCGTGCGGCGCTGGACGCCATGTCCCTGCCTGCAGGCTGCCTTCGCCACTCCGTCTCTCTCGCACCTGTACGCGGCGCCCTGTGAGTGCGAGAGAGCACTGGCCGGCACTGCCACTGGGACTGTCCGCGTCTCGTCAAGTACTCGTCTCGCGAGGCGGCCGGGCGTGGCGGCCGTCGGGGCGGAATGTCGTTTTTGCCGGTCGGCTGATGACGGCCGCGCATCCTTGGAGGAGGAGCGCCGGGCGTGCGGCAGCGTGCGGCCACCGCCAGCGCCGTCAGCCTCCCTCGCGGACGCGCCGGCCGGCCGGGCGGCACGCGACGCGATCTAGATCGGCGCGGCGGCGCGGTGCCCGGCTCTCGGCCCGGCCGACACGTTGCCGACGGCGGCCGCGGGTCTCCTCGTTGTCGGCGCGGTTGCAGCAGGACAGAGGGTCGTTGCCGGTTGTCCCTGTGAGTGGACCAAACGTTGCCACTACGGCGCCCCCCTGTCCAGGCTCTGGACCCGCCACTGGCCGGGGTGGCGGGCGGTGGCCGGCCGCGTTGCGACACACGTGTTACTCACGTGTCAAGAGGGCGGCAAACGGCTCGGCTCGGCTCGGCTCGGCCCCGCAGCGCTCCGCGCCTCGGCTCCGCGTTCGGCGGCGAGAGGAACAATCATAAAAAAGAAAGCGACAGACACATCGCCTGTTTCTGCAAAGCCTGTCCGTGTCCTGTCGCCGGCATTGTCCGCCAGGAGGCTTCCCACCGCGCCGCCCTGCCCTGCCGCCCTCTGCGGCCTTTACCCCGCCGCCCTCGCCGCTTCGGCGCCATGTCGTGCGGAAAGACGCGGGGGAACGCCGCGAAACGCCGCGAAAACGCCGCGGCCAAAACGCATGCCGTGTCGCCGCGCCGCCGCGCCGCGTTGAATTGGAACACAGCAGGCAATCTTGTTGACGTCGCACGCGCGGAAGAACCGCCAAGGCGGTTTTTCACGCCGATGCACTTTGACGAAACCAGCGTAAAGCATGACTTTCAAAATGTTACTTGCCGTTGAACCTCCTCGGAATCTAACAAGTTTGACTCTGTTTTCGAAACTATAATACGTCAGGGTGTTGATGTCGTTGCCGCCGAGGCGACGCCGCCTTGCCGGCCACGCCATGCAGGCCATGCATGTTCTGCCTGTTCCCACATGGCCGCGCCGTCCCCGCCCCGCCCCGCCCCGCCCTGCCCCGCGGTGTCGTCGGCGTGGTCCTCGCGGGACGTGTGAAAACCTCACCCACAAAAGGCTCGGACTTTACCCGGCCTCCACCGCCATTTACTTGAAACGGCTGTTTTGAATTTTTCGATCGACCGCGCTTTGTATTTGTGGGACTCGAAGGGAAATCGGGGTCCAAACTTCGCGCCGCCAAAAGGGTCGCTCTGACCTCGGCGACCGCGGCGTCGCGGGTTGCGCTCCCTTTGCGTGTGAAAGGCGATTCAGCACGCGCCTTCCTTTTATTCGGCATTTTGGTTCGGCATTGTTCGGCCACGCCTCGTACTTTTGACGGTTTGGTCGGTATAGTCCGGCCGCGCGCGCTCACCCGCGAGCCGCCGCCGCCACCCGCCCCAGCCCCGCCCCAGCCCCGCCCCGTCATTAGCAGGCGTGGGTGCGCTATACACTGCCACTGCAACTCCGGCTGGGGGTGCAGCGTGGAACAACTACAATGGTCTTGCGCGAGGCTTCCTGGGCCATCTTGCCGAGCCGCACCGTAAACTGCGGTACTAATGACCAAAAGGCTCCACGTGTCCGTACACTGTAAAAATAGTTTTTTGTCCATTCGCTGTTTGGTTTGCGAATTGCCTCTGTCACCGTTTCGCGGGTCGCATCCTTGAACCATGTTTCCCATCATTCGTCTCCGTCTGCTTCTTCCATTACTGCAGAAGCATACACACACTCACACACAGGCACACACACACACACCCTAGCCCTCTTTTACACGCACGCAAACATGGCGCCACCACGAGCCAGCGCACCCCTTGCGACTTAATCGTTTTCTTGGACTGCAGTAGATGCACATCGCGAACCCCGCGCTCTGCACTGGCGCTCCGTTCCGTTCCGCTTCACAGAGATCCTTTTCAGCCATTTCCAGTCAGTCTCCTCGCATACATTTGGCCGGCCGACCATCTTGATGCCAATCACCCGCAGAGCTTCTGCTAGAAAGTTGCAAACTCGCGGTGCGGCTCATCTCCAGCGGCGTATTAAGAATGCAGTTTACGCCTGAGCCACCCATGAGTTTATCGTCTTTCGTGCGGGAAAGGAGGAGGGGGGGGGAGGTCCGGATTCACGTTTGCGTTTCCAATATTTGTTCAAGACGTAGGAAACAATTCACACGCACATGTGCGCGCCTGCATCCAGCTTCTGTGTTCCCGGCCCGTGCACCTGAGCGACCCGAGCTGTCTCGGCGGGGCTGGCGGGGCGGCTGGGCGTAGCGGCTAGTGGGAGACGACGGGGGAGGTTCGAGTAGAGTGGGGGGCAGATGGACAACGGCTCAGCCGGGGCGTAGCGCAGCGTAGCGTAGGCATGGACTTAACGGTGGGGCGTGGCCTGGCGTGGCGGGGCCCTGGCGGGGGGGCAGCTCAACCCGAGGGGCTTCGGGGCCTCGTGGGCCCTCCCGAACGCCCGCCGACGGCACGCCGACGGCACGCCGACGGGCTGTCCGGACACCGGCAGGCAGCCCAGGCAGCCCGGCCTAGAGGCGAACAGGCGCGGGCCGCGGGCAATCATAGTCATATCCGTTTCGGTACCGAGCCGGAGCGGAGCACTGCTAGCCGACTGAGCCGAGCCCAGCCGAGCCCAGCCCGTCCAGTGTGTCGCGGGGTGCCGTGTCAATCGCGAGTCCGAGTCGGGACGAGTCGAGTCGAGTGCGTGCGCAGCGTGTGCCGCGGCCTTTACTTTGGATTACTTTGGCCCGGAAACATGTAAGTAGAGTAATCGCCTCCCTGGCTCTGCCTTGATTGGAGGCCCATTGGGTGTTCCGCGAACCCGGCCGGCAAACGGCAGTGCAGGCAGGGCTGGCCTCGGGGCTGGCGGAGGCGTCAGCCTGGCCTCTCCTTTTGTCGGGCAGTGGGCCTTTCGGCCCTTTCGGCTCATTATGCCCGGGCAATGCTGTAGAAAGTTTCGCACCTGCAGACACATCTGCCTGCCGGGCCGCACCGCCGGGCCGGGCCACGCCGCCGCGCTGCCGCCTAGGCGAAATTGCAATGATGGATGTGCCCGATGTGCTCGGTGTACCCCGCAGCGCAGCGCGGTGCGCCACGAGGCAAGGCGCCCACCGTGAGCCAAATAAATAGAACAGTCCTACACCCGAAAATTTACCACCACCGCGGGTTAGAGAACGGTCCTAGCACGCGAAAATTTTCCACTACCGCGGGTCAGGGAACGGTTCTAGCACGCCAAAAATTTCCGCCACTGCGGGTTAGAGAGCGGTCCTAGCACGCGAAAATTTTCCACCACCGTGGGCCGGCAAGTCGGCGAGTGGTCCTGCCCGCTGTGCTGCACGGCTGCCTGGCCGTGCCTGGCGGCTATGCTGGTCTGGCGGGCTAGGCCGTGCCTCCTGGAGGAAGTCGTGGTGGAGAGGATTGAGGACGCCGTCGAAGTCGTCTCCAGCAGAACGAAGTTTGCGTGGCCGCGTAGGTAACGGCGAGAACCTCCTGAGTTCAATTCCCGTCCAAACTTGAAATCTATCTAAAATTCAGCTTTTTCTGGTTTGCGAGAGGGAAGTTTGCCTTTAGTCAAATCACACATCACGCCAGTTGCAGCGAGAATAGGACGCGTTGTGCGTGGTCGCGTGTCTCGCTCAAGGAGGGCGTCACTGTTTACCTGTTTGCAGAGCGAAGGTTGAGGGGCTTCCCTCCCAGTCGTCGCCATCGATGCGGAGTCAAACACACTCCGCCAATTGTGCTCATTTCGGCCAGCCGAACACTCAAATATTTGCTTCAGTCATCAGCACAATATTTCACTCTTTCCATTTTTACAGTTGACGACCCAAACAAATGACATGCCTGCACAGTAAAACAACCAACTCCAAAAATTCAAACAAAAGTCTTACTTATGTAAGGTGCTCGGAATTTTATCACTATTATTTTCAGCGTTTAGCTTTAGTACATTTCCTGGACTTCGACATTTAATTTTTGATTCAGTAGGTCCAAGCTGGTCCAAGAACAGACCAGACGATTTTCTTCTCAGATCTGTGGGGCACATGCGTGCTGAATCGGGGCCCGTTCCCCCTGGTGCAACGGCGCTTGTGTTCCCGGGAACCGACAGTCATCGAAGAATGACGCCGTTAGTCACCCCTGCGTCCGGGGGCAGTCCAAGGAGCAGTCCTGGACCAGGACTCCTGGTGGCGCGTGTGGCCGCCGCCGCGGTTGCGCACACTGCTCCGGGCCGCGGACTGATTCCAGGAGGTAGACGGTCCAGGAGCGTCCGGGACCTCGGTGAGCGAGTGCGAGAGAGAGAGCGACGAATCCGCCTCGGTCACTGGAATCCGCCCCGCCGCGGGCCGGGCTGGGCCGGGCGAGTGCACGCAAAATGTGACGCGCCCCGTGCAGTGTGCAGTGGCGTGGCGGTGCACGCGGCGCGCCACACGCACTGCGCTGCACCGCGCTGCAGCCGGCTACTCCACTAATCGCGTTGAAAGTGTTTGCGCGTTCAATCTGCGGTTCCGATGTTCCAAGGGCCGCTGCGGTTTTTGCGCGACCGCAGTCCGCCGCAGTCCCACAGTCGCGTAGTTGCCGCGGGCCGCAGGCGGGCGGCGCTCTCTGTCTCTGCAGCCGTAACGAGTGGCCAGAGTGGTCAGCGAGTCGCTCTGCCTCCCTGCGCGGGACTACGCGGGACGCCCCGTGAGTGCGAGGGAGACGGAATCAGTCGGCTGCCTCTGCAGTTACGACCCAGGCGTGCGGCGAGCCAACGAGCTGCTTAGCACTCTTGGCGGCCGCGTCTTCGCATTGTGTCTGTGCGAGTGAGACAGAAACAGAGACAGGCGGACGCCGGGCTGACGCACTGACGTCACAGTGACGTCCCTGCGACGCGGCACGTCCCGCAAGGGAACCGCAGAGCATCGGCATCCAGCCATTGCTTGGCGTGCTTTGCGTCACGTACAGTCTGATCGTCTGATCGATGATTCCCGTGTGTGCATGTAACCAGCGAGGCAGCGCACGTGGATGTGTAATGAAGTGCGTTTGTGTGCGTGTGTGCGTGATTGCAGGGTGGTTGCTTTGGCAACGCCATCTTTGTTTGTTCTTTGCTTTTCTTTTGGCGCGGGTGGCCTAGGGTGGCCGCGCGGCCGCATAGAAAGCGCCAGACGCGTCGGGGACCTGAACGCAGCGGGAATCAGGCAGATGGCCGGGGTGGCTTCGCTCAGCAGTCTCAGCGGGAGTCTCTCTTTCTCTCTCGCACTCATGGGGCGGCCCCTTCGGGCGTGAGAGAGACAGACTGCGGGTAATGAATGCGCCCAATTATTGCCGGGCTTTCACTCCGCCATTGTGCACAGTATCGGATTTGGTGGGAACGTCGTCGGAAATGGGTCACCTTGAGTCTAGCAGTGTGGCCCAGTCGGAAGTAGACGCCACCGACCTTGTCCGCGACCGCCTGCAATTGATTATTCATCTACTTGAAATTTGGCGGCGGCCTCGCAAAGCTTTGCGTCACTTGCAGGTCAAGCACACTGTCATCCCGGGTGATCTGGAACTACACGCCTGAGGAGCTTGGTTTCAATACGCCTTCAAGCGCATTCTTTTCTGTGGCCTACGCCTCCGCCTAGGGCAGCGGTTCTCAACCTTTCTCGGCTCGCGACCCCAAATTTGAAGCCAAAAATTTCCGCGACCCCCAGGAAAAATTTCGCGACCCCACGGGACCCCTCCTTTAACATGCCACGGCGTCTGATCCGAGGCGGGCATTTTGCTCCCTCAACGGGCAACTGGTCTTTGGACCTTCCTTTAGCATGCCTTTGTTACGGAGTGCAATTATCAGTCTTAGTTTGGGAGCAGTATTGTCTCAAAGTTGGCCAAAACGCTCAGAAATGTCTATGAAAAATCGTGTTTTGGGCTGATTTTAAGCAGCCACAGCGTCTGATCCGAGGCGGGCATTTTGCTCCCTCAACGGGCAGTTGGTCTTTGGACCTTCCTTTAGCATGCCTCTGTTACGGAGTGCGATTATCAGTCTTAGTTTGGGAGCAGTATTGTCTCAAAGTTGGCCGAAACGGTCAGCAGTGTCTTTGAAAAATCGTGTTTTGGGCCGATTTTAAGCAGCCACTGCGTCTGATCCGAGGCGGGCATTTTGCTCCCTCAACGGGCAGTTGGTCTTTGGACCTTCCTTTAGCATGCCTTTGTTACGGAGTGCAATTATCAGTCTTAGTTTGAGAGCAGTATTGTCTCAAAGTTGGCCGAAACGCTCAGAATGTCTATGAAAAATCGTGTTTTGGGCCGATTTTAAGCAGCCACTGCGTCTGATCCGAGGCGGGCATTTTGCTCCCTCAACGGGCATTGGTCTTTGGACCTTCCTTTAGCATGCCTTTGTTACGGAGTGCGATTATCAGTCTTAGTTTGGAGCAGTATTGTCTCAAAGTTGCCAAAGCCAAAATGTCTATGAAAAACGTGTTTTGGGCGATTTAAGCAGCCACTTTCGTCTGATCGAGCGGGCATTTGCTCTCAAGGCAATGGCTTTGGACCTCCTTTAGCATGCCATTGTTAGGAGTCGATATCAGTCGTAGTGGAGCGATTTTCTAAAATGACCAAAATAACAACGATTTTTCAAAGACATTGCGAGCGTTTTGGCCAACTTTGAGACAATACTGCTCCCAAACTAAGACTGATAATTGCACTCCGTAACAAAGGCATGCTAAAGGAAGGTCCAAAGACCAATTGCCCGTTGAGGGAGCAAAATGCCCGCCTCGGATCAGACGCAGTGGCTGCTTAAAATCGGCCCAAAACACGATTTTTCATAGACATTTCTGAGCGTTTCGGCCAACTTTGAGACAATACTGCTCTCAAACTAAGACTGATAATTGCACTCCGTAACAAAGGCATGCTAAAGGAAGGTCCAAAGACCAATTGCCCGTTGAGGGAGCAAAATGCCCGCCTCGGATCAGACGCAGTGGCTGCTTAAAATCGGCCCAAAACACGATTTTTCATAGACATTTCTGAGCGTTTCGGCCAACTTTGAGACAATACTGCTCCCAAACTAAGACTGATAATTGCACTCCGTAACAAAGGCATGCTAAAGGAAGGTCCAAAGACCGATTGCCCGTTGAGGGAGCAAAATGCCTGCCTCGGATCAGACGCAGTGGCTGCTTAAAATCGGCCTAAAACACGACCCCAGCATCGCCGCGACCCCTTAAAAAAATTTCGCGACCCCGCTTGGGGTCGCGACCCTAAGGTTGAGAACCACTGGCCTAGGGTCAGTCGGGGTAATTATGGGACCCGGGGTAAAAATGGGACAGCTGATTCTTAGTCAAGATTTGACATTTTTGAACGCATGACGTACCAAATGTAATTTTTTATTGTGAGAATAACATTTGCTACGACACAAGTTCTAAAATGTCGATTCTTGACTAAGAATCAGCTGTCCCATTTTTACCCGGTGTCCGTGTCTCATAATTACCCCGTCTGACCCTAAGGCTTGTTGTTCCAGCGGACACTCAGAATGGCTGTGTAGACGACTGTCTTTTCAAGACTTTTCCGTCGGCTGTTGACCCGCATGCCCGAAACAGGTATTTCGGCGGTAATGCGCTGTTTGGGACAGCGTAATACGAGACCCGGCCAGGCCAGCCACCCCTTGCTGGGCCCCTGCCCTCCGGGAGGAAACCTTCCAACGGTGGCGCCGTGTTCGCTTCCTCGGTGACTCACATCGTTCCACGGGGCTTTACCCCCTTTTAAAATCAAAGGCTCTTGTTTTCGTAGCCGAGTAGAATAATTCGTGGGTT